ATCACTTTCCCTTATCCTGAAACCCATTTTTGTGAAGTGCCGATTGAGGATCAGACTAATCATCCCATGTGCAGGCCCCTTCCGGGCGCTGTAAAACCCCCTCCCCCTGAGACCCTGATTGCCCCTGCACCAAGTAAGCGTGGGATTCTTTTGCCTCCTGCCCTATTTCTGGTCTAATTTATCAATATCCTTGCTACAGTCGTCGGTTCCCAACAATGGACCACCGACAGACAGCTACCTGCTCCCATCGCGAGGGCAGGGGCGTGGGGCAAAGGCGCCCCCAAACTTACAGCACCAGTTGGGAATGCATGGAAGGCTGCTATCGCTACTTCCTCTCCGGCCATCCCTGGGCTCAAGAAGCAGCCCGCAGTTGGCGGCGGACCCATCGCAGTGAAAGCATCTGATGTTTGTATGTCGTCCACTTTTTCCTTCTGAAGTACCATCAACGCTAAGCGCTTCCTTTGTTTCACGATAAGGGGTCGGCCTTTCTACGCCCTCAGGACTTGGATCAAACGGGTGGTCAGACTCCCCCACTGGTTCTGGAATGAACACTCCCCCCAGCGGAGGCCCCTCTCCTTTACCTAGAACATTATCGAATCAATCTCCCACCGTCCCTCCCGGTCTGAGTGGTCCAAAAGCTTGGGATGCTGGAACGTCCTACCCTGCTCATCCTCCCGGAATTCCGGCAGTACCAAACGCATGGGGCGCTCCTCGCATCGAGACGGCGCCTAGCCTCGATCGCGACAACACAAGTGTCGCTAGCTGGAGCTCTAACGGAGGGTCCTCTAATGCCAGCATCGATATCGTACTCACTCCTGAGGACGACCCATACAAGGTTCAAGTCCAAATTTCGGAAAGCATGGAACAAGCGCTAGACGGGCTGTCGGTCCATGATGATATAGATCCCAATCTCGTCGAGCTGGACTCGATTGCACCCGGGAAATGGGATGAGCCCATGAGTACCCATGTTTGGTCGGATCATCCCATTGCCGATGGGGCTACCTGGGACGATACTCCTGCGGACGCTGAGGCGCAGTGGAGAGAGCTGAATGACGACAAGGAGAAGGAGAAGCCGATCATATGTAACGCCCATGGAATCATTTGCAAGAAGGGGATCTGTAGGGAGTACGCGAAGCAGGTTCGCGATGCGGAGAGGGCATCAGAAGGATACAAGTTCGAATAACAAGAAGGCTAAGGGCAGAGGCAGAGGCAAGGGGTATGGCAGAGGCGGCGGAGAAGGAGGGGGAGGCACCGATCGTGGAGGAGATCGTGGAGGAGCTCCTAACAATGCTTTCCGAGGTCGCGGCGCACCCGTGAAGTCGACCTGGCGAAGCGCTCCTAGGGCCATCGTATCCGCCGCCGCTATTGAGCGCCGGGAAAGCAACGAAGCGGAATCTGTCGCAGCTGAAACTCCGAATGCATGGGGCAATACGTCAAATGCCTCGTGGAGTGTGGGCGAAGATGTGGCTGAGGAGGAGGCGGAGCCTACGGGCAATGACGCGCCTGAGCCGTCTGATGACGGTTGGGGCAAGTCTGTAGCTAGCTTTGATCCTTGGCAGGCTGAGCCCCCGCCCCAGTCCCAGCAAAGGCCGAAACTTCAGACCCAACAGAGATCCAAGTCCCAGCAGAAGCCTCAGTCTCAGGCGCAATCCCAGTCTCAGTGGAAGCCTCAATCTCAGGCGCAATCCCAGTCCCAGTGGAAGCCTCAATCTCAGGCGCAACCCCAGTCTCAGTGGAGGTCCCAGCAGAAGCCCCAGCCTCAGCAGAAGTTCCAACCCCAGCAGAAAACCCAGCCGAACACCAACGCCAGTAACACCTGGACCAATCGGAGGGCTCCCACTTCCTGGGCAGATCAGGTGGACGCACATAGCGCTGCTGGATACCCTGAGGATGATGGGTATTCTACCGTTGGTAGCAAGCGTGGTGGGCGGGCCCAGGCGAAGGCCCCCAAGAGTTCTACCAGTGGGTGGGGCACTGTCGACGAGCAACCCTGGTGAGCGTGTTGAGCGAATAGAATTGCAGGGTCGTGCCGCCTCTGTATCTTTCTTTGTATTTTTACCCGAACCTCCATTCCTGTCATTCATTGGGCGATATGTACCATACCCTGATCGATTTTCATACCTATGTACTGCAGAATCACGTTTCGTCTTACCGACTATATCCAATCAACGCCTGCGATCATTGTCACATAATTGTATTGAATACATACTTTGTGATTGTTTTGTGAAATGCGTGTTGTTGTACTTTCGCAACCTTGTTTTATGGTGACGCCGGCGCTTATTCAATAACGAGTCTTGCAGCATGACATTCTTGCTAGAGAAGTTCAGGCAGTTGCAAAGGTTCAAAAACCATTTCAAGCAGTTCTCAATCTCCTAAGACTGAGAATTCTGCTAGAAAACGACGAACATCCTCATAAAAACGGTACTTACACTCAAGTTGCCACGGCAGGAATGTGAACAAAACTGTGGCCACATGACTGTTAGGATAGATTGATCAAAACTGACTACATAAAACACCATATCACCAATGGTCCAATCGCAGTGGTTCGGAACTCTGACGTATATTTGTAATCTGTTGGAACGCCCGAAAAATGAAAATGTACCGTCAATTATCGCGAAATGTTCAACTCGTTAGCAAAAAAATATGGCTATATGAATGATTTAAGAAATAAGAAATAAATTTCACACCAAGAATTATATGATGCATTTGAGATGCTTATAGCGACGCTTAAAACAGTGAAGAGTCTCAAGCTTGTTCAGGACTTGCCGCAGTTGTTTATGCGTGTGGATGATTCGCAGAATTATCGAGATAGTATGACCTTGCAAGCAAGGCGAAGTCCGAACCAAACAATGTATCAATGTATCACGTGATGTAAGTCTGAGCAAAGAGATTTGGTCGTTGTAAGCACCAGGCTTACAAAGTGAAAACTACTGGCGATATCTAGCGTGATTGAGGCTTGTAAGCATACTTCCACATAGTTTCCATCAACATCGCCCCAATGTTGACGACGTATGTGACCATCCAGACCGCAGTGACGATGCGGCAGATCATACTTTTAGAGGAAAAGCCAGTTATCAACATCGCTGGGGGTGAAATTCATGAGGGACAAGAGGGGGGCTTAAATGATGAAACAACTCACCAAATATGAAACAATGCAGGGACCAGGCAACGAAGGACATGGGGGCGACTATTGACAGCAGGTAGGACAGCACGAAGTAGCTGCCCGACTTAAGTTGCTGATCATATTTAGGTCAGTCGGCGCAATCGGCACGGCGAGAATGACCCCTACCTCCTGAGTCCAGTGCCGATCGGCATGTACCCAACGTATCATGCTCGAGCCAGATGTCAACAGCGCGATCATAGCGAGCATGAGCGATATAAAGAGCAGACAGTGAGGAGCGGGTGATGTATAGTCAAAGTATGGCACAGGAGAGCCGGTAGTGACGAAAACACCACTTATAGCGAGGAGGACGCCCGCCTTTTTGAAAGTATGTCAGCGCCGGATTCAGCTCGCGCGGAGTGGGACAGCTTACTGTGGTGATAGTGCTGGCTAGGATAGAGCATAACCTAGTTCTAACGGTTTCGAATGCTTGCTCTGATTGAAGGGACTTCCAATGATCTTCGATATCTGGGCGTCCAAGCGCCAAAAAACAGAGTACCCTCGTCGGGAGGGACGTGCGACGAAGGGCCTCGGGGAGGGGTTGTTCTTCAGCGAGTGCTCTCGAGTCAGCAGTCACATGTAACTTGAAAGGCAAGCGTAGTTCAGCGATACAGCAAGGATTCCTAAGTTTTGAAAGCGTACCTCAGTGGAATCGAGTGAAGCCATGGAGTCAAATGAGAGAGTGAAGATGGATTAATGCTCATACTGAGAACAGGGATATAATATCGTCTTTAACGCACCAGGGGGATTATCCTTACATCAGCGTGCAAAAAGCTTCACCGAGCACCGTGTTGTTAATTTTAGGGAAACCGGGAAAGCCGTTCGCACGCTGATCGCGCGAACCTTTGTTGAGCGCTAGCCTCAGACACACCTTGAACTTGACATCGTAAGAATTGAGCACGCCTATAGTAGTATCAACAACACGATGAGGCTAGCGCTCAACAAAGGTTCGTGCGATCAGCATGCGAACGGCTTTGATACTACTATAGGCGTGCTCAATTCTTACGATGTCAAGTTCAAGGTGTGTCTGAGGCTAGCGCTCAACAAAGGTTCGCGCGATCAGCGTGCGAACGGCTTTCCCGGTTTCCCTAAAATTAACAACACGGTGCTCGGTGAAGCTTTTTGCACGCTGATGTAAGGATAATCCCCCTGGTGCGTTAAAGACGATATTATATCCCTGTTCTCAGTATGAGCATTAATCCATCTTCACTCTCTCATTTGACTCCATGGCTTCACTCGATTCCACTGAGGTACGCTTTCAAAACTTAGGAATCCTTGCTGTATCGCTGAACTACGCTTGCCTTTCAAGTTACATGTGACTGCTGACTCGAGAGCACTCGCTGAAGAACAACCCCTCCCCGAGGCCCTTCGTCGCACGTCCCTCCCGACGAGGGTACTCTGTTTTTTGGCGCTTGGACGCCCAGATATCGAAGATCATTGGAAGTCCCTTCAATCAGAGCAAGCATTCGAAACCGTTAGAACTAGGTTATGCTCTATCCTAGCCAGCACTATCACCACAGTAAGCTGTCCCACTCCGCGCGAGCTGAATCCGGCGCTGACATACTTTCAAAAAGGCGGGCGTCCTCCTCGCTATAAGTGGTGTTTTCGTCACTACCGGCTCTCCTGTGCCATACTTTGACTATACATCACCCGCTCCTCACTGTCTGCTCTTTATATCGCTCATGCTCGCTATGATCGCGCTGTTGACATCTGGCTCGAGCATGATACGTTGGGTACATGCCGATCGGCACTGGACTCAGGAGGTAGGGGTCATTCTCGCCGTGCCGATTGCGCCGACTGACCTAAATATGATCAGCAACTTAAGTCGGGCAGCTACTTCGTGCTGTCCTACCTGCTGTCAATAGTCGCCCCCATGTCCTTCGTTGCCTGGTCCCTGCATTGTTTCATATTTGGTGAGTTGTTTCATCATTTAAGCCCCCCTCTTGTCCCTCATGAATTTCACCCCCAGCGATGTTGATAACTGGCTTTTCCTCTAAAAGTATGATCTGCCGCATCGTCACTGCGGTCTGGATGGTCACATACGTCGTCAACATTGGGGCGATGTTGATGGAAACTATGTGGAAGTATGCTTACAAGCCTCAATCACGCTAGATATCGCCAGTAGTTTTCACTTTGTAAGCCTGGTGCTTACAACGACCAAATCCTTGTTTCACCCGCGGACGGCGGTTTGTCTATGTTATACAAGCAGTGGCCTTCAGTCGCTTTTTATTGGCACACTCATGTCATTTCACTACAAAAGCAGTACATCATCTTTCTCTTCATGTGCTCCTGAAATAAGCACGGTGTATCTAGACGGCTTTTAATGCGGGACAATACAGTATATAGTTGACCACGAGCAAAAGGATCAATTCTGAGATCCAGAACTGTGAGACCTTGGCAACTATTGAAAGTGGTCAAGTCGCGTAAGCTAGTCTCAAAGGAAACTGTTTGCGATTCGTTGACCATCGTAGATAATAGCTCCTGCTTCTCAATGAAGCGGTATGCGGTGAAAATAGTTGTATTTTGGAGTGGACACTAACATCGTCATCAGTGACAGGTATTCCGAACATGTGCGTCCATGGACATATGTACTCGCAATGCGGAGGATAATGCTTTCACCAAAAAAGTCTGTCCAGATCGACCCTTGGACCACAAAGAAAAGACTGCTCCCGTGACTCTGAATTACATGGCAAATTTGCTCGGAAACACGTTGTTCGAACGTTCATCACTCAGCGGCATTGAATTGATTATACATGTAACATGTTCTCGCTCACCCCGCAAGTATAGTTCTTTGTTGTACACTTCCAAGTTCCAAAGATCTCCGTCGTGCGGTTGGTAGTCTGTAATCTCCAAGATATGTGTTACAGTGCGATAGATGGTCGTCGATGATTTGCGTGTAGTCGTATCCACTGATGTTATTTCCCAATATTAGGTTGTGATGAAAAGGTCAATCAGTGCGCTGCACAGCATAACGGGATGGACACAATTGATACCGAGCCGCCAGTTTTTCGTGTTAGATATATCCATACATCTTCAGAACATGTTCTCCTTTGTTTGTAACACTCATGAACTCGAAATCGACCCTTCCTCTCTACGAAGCTGCAGAGTTTTTTGCTCAGATTGCGATATCGTCCCTTCGGACTTCCCAGGTACCTCCACTTACACTCACAATGGTGCCGCTTTCGCCCAATGATGTGGGACCTGTCCCAGTGAATACATCTTTATCGTGAAGAAGTATACGTGCTGTGAGCCCCTGGTTATGCCACGGAGTTCCTGAAGCTAGAGTCATAAATTACCCCGTCCAATGTCCCATATAATCTACTTCACGATCATAGCTACGGCATCGATCTTTGTCGTCGTTTACGCCACGGTCCCGGGATTCGCATCAGAGAACGTGCGACACCTCCGACCCTGATCGATCGCAGGTGAGTGTCCCAAAACTCCTCCGGAACAGCACACCATAGGAAAATAAACGGTACCCATATCCAGCATGCAACTTCTAGGTAGACGATTAGCCGGATGAACCAAACACCAGACGTTAGGCCAGCGATCATGAGTGCTGGAGCATGCAATCTGTCAGTGGGCTACGCAGAGGGATTGAAGGTCTCACCGGCCATGAGACAGAAGATAGAGACAACAAGGGAAATGCTGGGACTGGCTATAATCATAAGAGTGCAACATACGCGGAAGCGAGTGGAGGTGAGGACCTGCGGGATGAAGTATTAATGACCCATTGAGTCGGCATGAATCATCGCCAACCTTCAAAGTCCACTCCCTGTCACAAGATTCATACACGGCAATAACAGCAACGCCTGCCAGCATACTTGCCAATGCCTGCACGAAGGATAGAATAGAGAATATGTAGGATGCTAACGTTGTGTAGGGCAACAGATTCATTTCTGTAGGCGGTGGCTGGGTAGTCAGATAGACTGCGCTAGTTGTCAAAATCAGCCCTGCCTACACAATAAAATGTGTAAACTTGTGCCATCGACTTGAAATCCCAAGCAAACACTGACCGCAATGTTTGACGCATTAAGCTTGTCACAAACCATCTTTCGATGTTTCTCCCACTCTTTGTCATCACTCTTGGAAACCCAACAGTGAACACCGAGGGAGGGACGAGTGATCGCGATGAGGCAGAGTATACGAAACGCGAGGATTTTGATGCTTGATAGCAAACTTCCATCGTCCTCCGGGACCTTCCAATGCTTCGGCATATCTGGAGGCTCCTGCGGAGCTTGTGAAGGAAATTGAGAAGCGGTGGATGAAGCACTCATTGTGAAGCTGGAGGCGGAGTCGATAAACGTATTCTCATTATATAGAACGGCATTAACAAAGCATTCACGAGCCCACTTCTGGCTTAGCGTCGGGATTGTTATTATATTGACGTACTTATTAGCGTTATGTAATAAAATGCGTGCGCGCCATGAGGCCTTGAGGTGCGACGCACAATGGCGGTATCCCAGACATCTGACCCATTGACTTTAGTGATCACCTGAGGACCGCCCCATGTTGGAGGTTATCCTGCACATGCTTTCTGTGTTTGTGAAAACTGAATGGTAGATTCGCTAAGGGAGGATGTATGTTATTCCACATGATGCTGTGCATAGACACCAGACGGCAGCGTTGACGCCGAGATCATGACCCACATTGCACAAGCATTGAATGTGACACGCACAAGTTATCAACTCAGTGACAGGTAGGTCACTCGTCCGTTCTCGCCCAAGCCAGGCTCACTTCCGGCGAGGCATGCCAAATGAGCAATGCAACAACAGAGTATCTGCCTCTGCAGAACATCAAGAGCTTGGTACTGAAGACGACAGGCAGCTACCTAGCTCACCTCGAGATATATATCTATATAGGTCATTAGGATTATCATAAGTTACGATCCTATAAATTTGCATAAGCTTGCTAGTGGGTGGAGTGAAAAAGATGTCTCCATTTCTGAAAGCGCGACGAACCACGAATGAACTTCGGGATTGTGGATGAGCGATACTTGGAAGGCAAAGGGACGTAGATTATAGGAGATGCAATCATATGAATCCTTGGATTTGATGATAGCGGGGAGGGATCGATCCTATATCTCACAAGCTGCCACCTCTGGCCGTCGTATATTAATTTAAGTGAAACTGCATTCATTACAAAAGAAAGCGCTCACAGTATTGGCGTTTGTTGACGAAAGTAAATAGAGTGTATCTCCACGAGTGATATATAGTTGACCATGGTCTATTCTGGGATCCAGAGTGGTGCTTGACTCATGAGAGTCAGTCCTTAGAGTCACTGCTGAATCAAATACAGCGCGAGCATGCATAAGATAAATGTCCTCCTCGACGCTTGAAGCTGTGTTAGGCTGTTAGCTCCAAGGCCCGTAAAAATTAATGGCCGCGGCCAAGTCACCATCAGGCAAAGTAACGTAACCGTCATATTTCCAATAATTTTTGGTGTGATATTATTGATACTTGGACGCATTTTGAACGCCGACCAACCCGACGGGGAAGGTACTGGAAGATGCAGGTTGTACCTATGTGCTGCTGATTGTGGTCCAGGAGAGATAAACTTGAGGCTGAAAAGAGGGAATGATTAAGAGCACGCAGTAGAGCAGGATGCTCTCAGAGGAACGCAGGCAAATGGATTACAGCCGCCATGTAGGATGATGGTCCATGGAGTGAACACAATTGACACCGAGACACCGGAAATACATGCTTATGTAAGTTTGTGATTACCTTTTGAAATGCATGTTGTTGTACTTTCGCGACCTTGTTTTATGATCGGCACTTATATTCAATAACATTCATGCCATCTCCTTGAAAGTACTCTGCTCTGCTGAGGCCTTATGCGACCTTAAATCCGGTTTCCTTGGCTCTGTTGTTTTCATGCATCTCACCATGATCTCGTTGAGAAGTTCTCAACACGGAACAAACACTTGATAGTATTTTATGTGCAGCCGATGTCCACTAACAGTCGGTTTCATTCACAGCATCATGGGTAGCGGTCCCTCTATATTTGTGCGCACGCCGCAAGAGCATCTGGAGCACATGTGGAGAAATCCTAGTCCACTCACACATTCCTGTCCACCCGGGTGCGCGAACTCTATGTATATCCTCGCTTGGTATTGATTGCTGAGCCATCATGATGGGCCAACAGACATGTGCGCGTATATCTTCTTCCAGAATGGACTCGGGGCAAAAACCCGATGAAAGAGCCCTGGGCTGCACTTAAAAATGACTTTGCGCTTGAACCTACGGGTGAGCTGGATTTGAAGAAAGTGAAGGGTAAATGGGCCCTGGAACGGTGTTCGGTGCGTGCTACCTACATGGTACTCTGTCTAATGGGATGTTAATCGACGTGATAGGCGATCGATCTGGAGAGAATGCAGCCGTTTGAGGAGAACTGTAAGGGAAGATTGTCGCTGCTTGCTTTAAAAGTATTGGCTGATTCGAAGGGTATTGTTTGGCTATATGGTGAGTTCGTGATGCTCTTGAAAAAAAACGTATTGCCTGTGTTTGTCTCGTAATGGAGATTTTTGTTTCGCGTATGCCCTTCCGAGGCGTACCTTCTGATGTATCTGATGGAGTGTCATGTCCAAGTGCTAATTATTGGTCTTTTAATGCAGAACCAACGCCCTCTGAAGACACCGCGTCCCTACGCGCAGACCGCCTACGTATTGTGCGGCAGTACGACGCGGCAGTTGAACGCATTTTGGAAGCGACACTAGGTCGCATCTCAAAACTACTCGATAACGGTGTAGTGGGAGAAAGCGTGTCTCATTACTATCCCGAAGTATCTGGTTTTAACCCAGGCCTTCCCGACGTGCCGCAGAAGGCACACAGCGAAGAAGCACCGGTCAAAGGGAACATTGGGGAGGCCGAAAGTGACAAAACCAGCGCAGCTCTATATCAACAGCAACGACAACTTATATTTTTTGCGGCGCTTGTGTTCTTGTTTTTTTCTGGCGCGCTGGGTCGATATGCTCAATTCGGGAGGGATCTCGCGTTTGGGTGGTGAGCATTTGATTGACAATTTTTCTACCGATGACTTGAACTATGCATATATGCCCTTCCTCATGTTCACTATGCCTTCTGACTGCCGTTTGCACATGCTCCGTGATTTCCTATCACCGTATACTTAATTGGTCCACTTGTAATTTTGAAACCATGAGCTATGCAGTGTTTTTTTCTTGACAACAGTTTCAAGCCAGGCGTTCAAGTCGTCTTCTGGAAAATCCCGCACGACCAGGCAAACGGCCTCGTTTCCTGGGCGTGGAAACACGAGAAACACATCTGAAGCAGCATTCATGGTGAATGTGTATCATGACTAAACTCTGATCTCAGAGCGGTCTCCCGAAGAATGTGCCTTGAGGAGAAATATTCACAGGAACAGATACGTACTATTAGTACTAGTACTAAGGTATATATGTGCTGTATCGTCCGGTTTGTACCCCAGTGGTTGTTCTCCAGACGCTGAGGTATGTTTCTATCTTCGTACACACTGTCTCTCTCTTACGAACATCCATCTCTAGCAACGTCCTTAGGTGGCGTGAATATGATAGCGGTTCTCCAGACGTTGAGCAACATCCTTTGGCTGCTACTTTCAATTTCAATAACGTCATTATCATCTTCAACCCAGGGGACCAGACCCCATACTTCGACCGACGATCACGAGTCACCCAATCACAAGGAGTCACTTCAGATCTTGCATGAGATGGAGGATACGACGGGCATAGATGCACAAGCTCTCGGTGCCTTCCAACCGGGGACGGGAAATGCCAGAGAGAAGCTTCAATGGCATCTACGCATGCCACGACTGTGCCAGGCGGCTCCTCCAGGAGATCGTGGCGGGGTCAGGCGATATCTCTCTCCTCGACTGGGTCGGACGATCCTCTGAGTTCAATAGTGGTACTTCCAGCTGATATTGCGTCATATGCAGCTCCTCCAAGTGCCCTCCCATATCTGTCTGAAGACTGAGAATCAGACAGCGGTCTCTTCGCTTGCAATATGCCGTCGCCGTTGATCAGGTTTCGAAACTTTATACCCTGTTGGAGAACCTAAACACTACTCGCTTTGCGCACCGCAGACTGCATTTGCCTTGCATCTCCTTCCGTGTCACGGAAGTCAGACTGCAGCGTGGTCAGCCCAAGAAACCCCCCGCACGTATGAAGTCAAAGCAGACAAACTTTATGACCTGCTGATCACCAGCGACCAGACGCTAGTCGAATTCTTGCGGGCAAGGCCCACGCGACAGAAATTCTTGCTTGTCCGTCCGTGGGACAGAAGTCTCTTCGAGCTGCCTGACTTCGCAGACGATGCAGACTCGGAAAGCTTGGGAGATTGGTCCGAATCTGAGTTTCCGTTATACTATTCGCACGGAGGTTATCATGTCAAAGAGGAACCGGCTGATTCAGAATCTCTTTCTCGAGTGTTACGATCGATCGTTCGCCTTGGACAACCGTTCAGTGCAATTTTGCTAGCACAGCAGCGCGGCGGAGAATACAAGAGGATCGCCTCGGATCACGATATCATTGTACAAGTCAAAGACAAGGTTTCTAATCACAGTCTGATGGATATCAGGACGCTAGAAGTATTGTAGCTGTATGTTTTTTGAAGACCAGAGACTTCTGAGAGGTTTTCATTCATGCATTAACGATATCTCATAATCATGAATACGCAGATACTGTTGCTCATGATTGTGCTTGATTGTACTTTGAATGAATTTGTTTGTCCACCAATGGCATTGATGTATCATCCAGGCGGACAGCGACCGATAATCTCCGTCACCATCGTGTTTCCAGCATAATGTGTCATTTGCGAAGAATTGTTTACAGCTACAAGGTTGCTACAAGGCCAGTTATACCTCGTGAATTATTCACCCTGACCGGTCTGACATTCGCATGAGATCACGACTACACTCGAGTACCAGCGAATCTAGTGGAAATACAAAGCGCTGTGGTTGGGTGTGCTCGGGCTCCTCCGCAAGTTGTCTTCAAGTCTTTCATTATATCTTTAACTCCTTTAGATTGCCCTGGAACAGTCTAGGACACAGAAATAAACACAGAAGACAGTCTATTGATATATTCAAGAAACAAGATCACCAACATCGAGGTCCCGTAGTGCCAGACAACACTCTGAGAACGGGGCAGCTCCTCTGTTGTACTGCACAGGCACGTCAGTATATGGCTCACCGCGGCTGAAACCAGACCATAGCTTCAGCTGGTTGTCGAGCCAATAAGCTTCTCTTCTGTGATGGAGAATGTCACAAAAACGGCGACTGTGGTTAAAGGGAGTTGTAGTATATGAGCAAGCACTTTTGGAGTTAGACGATGAACGATTTACAAACAGAGCCTGATGGGTTGTAGTTTTTTCCGCACTCACTGAGAGACCTAGCGATGACCACCCATGTAGCGATCAAGCATCTCCAGCGTCAGCTGGAGCTCGACGAGACGTTCAGGAGGCAACAATTTACACGTGACCTCGAGTTATTCTTTCTCCGTGAGCGCTCTCGGGGCAGAAGCCTGATCCGATATGAGACTGAGGAATTACAGCATGCGGTCAGCTGAGATGAGGAGGTATGTTGAGACGAACTTGACTTTGTTGTCCATGGCCTCGAGCTGCCTGGCAACTTCAAATGCGACGACACCGCCATAATTGTAGCAGGCGATGATGCATGGCGCTGCCTGGGTCCTCTTGACTCTTGCGGTGCAACTAGATGTCATCTCGGTTATAGAAGTGAAGAACAGGTGGCCGGGATCGAAGCTACGAGCACGAGTACGTATAATAAACACTCATTTTGGAAGTGTTCGGCGAGATTGAAGAAAATGAGAACTTCTCCCCAACTAGGGTGAATAAGGAAGATCGATGTCTTATTTGTAGTCAGTTAACGATGGGGACATACTCCTCAGTCTGGTTAGCAAGAAGTTGATGCAGTTGCTTGAAGGATTTGGACAGTGGCAATTTCAGGCAGACCGAAGTGAATCTCTCCCTCGCGCTTCAACCTGGAGACGATGTGTGAGTGGATGTCATTGATGGTGAGGATAGATATATTCATCTGATAACATCAATACAGGTACCGCATAGTTCGAATAAGTTGACACATGCCAGTACCAGCTCGCTCTCCGCAAGGTTAAAGACCCCTACGCATATCTTGGCAAGTATCTTTTCGTCTGCGTGGATGAGGCGACAAAAGAGGCGTAGTGTGGTAATCACTGTGGTTCCACCCCAGCATGGGTACTGCGCTTCGCCAGCTCGCCTTGTTTGAAAATATTAAAATGATGTACCTCTTTGTCGGTGCTCGATAGACTGTTCCAGAAGATTGCGAAGACACTTGCTGGTTCTTTTTGATGGCCATTCGATTGCCACTCGAGGGCACAAAGATTCCTAGAAAGATAGTGTTAAGCTTACTTGCTGTGATAATACTAAATAGAACTCACCATGCTGTGATCTTGGGGCTCATGTGCATTGGCTTAGTACTCAGCTGTCACTTCTTAATTGGTTGGGCCTTCAAGTCAATCATATTAGAAGGAATGGACTTTGGGGGGTTTGCTGCCATGAGTTCCATCTTGACAGCCAGGGAAGATGGATCAGTGTCTGATAGGTTATTTGATGGAGGGGCAGTTGTAGTTGACTCGGAGGTAGTAGTTCCAGAAGTCGAAGAGTCGGTGACACAAGAAGAAGTAGGGACCTTCTTTGTGATCAGTTTGGGGCAAGGTTTGAAGACAATATTAGAACTTAATTGATCACATCAGTAGGATCAATCAATTAATAGAACGATCACTTACAGTGGATTGTTGATTTCTACAGCAATCAATTCCTTTTCTTTTCCCTTGTCAGCACGGGGCAGTGGAGTTGGCTTGCGTTTGAGTGAAGGGTGTTGCAGGGTTTCTGGGTTCTCAGTGTGGGGTGACACAGGCGCAATCTACAACAGTTTAATAAATAAAAAGGACTGCAAGTTTGGCTTACCAGAGGAATATACAGATCTTCATCGAGATCCTCCACTTCGACCCGTTGTCTTTTCAACACTGGTTCTGCGACAGGGTTGATACCAATGTGAACTCGTTTCAGAGAAGGCATTGAAGAAGCTGACAAAGGAGGGGTAACTGCAGGCATTGAAGAAGATGATGAAGGAGGGGTGACAGCAGGCATTGGGGACTCATCTTCAGACTTGATAGTTTGCTTCTTCGCGATGTGGTAGTGGTACCATTTGGAATAGTTGTCAATCATTAATTTCATAGCTTTCCAATTGTCAGCACACAGACAGAATTCAATGTAATGTTTGCATAGCATATGAATAAGCCAGTGTATGACTTTGAGTGATGCTTGGCCGATGGACTCAGGCACAAGACCTTGAGATTCAAGTTGTTGAAAACATGACAGCATGAAAAGTTGAATAGTTTTTGCCTGTTGTGCAGAAACAGGCTGTCCAGCTTCATCCTGCAGATAGGTACATGCTACATTGATGCCTCATGCCATGTGTGTGGCCCCTTGCTTCTTGCCAGAAGATCCAGGATTGGCTGATGTACTTGATGGCATGTTCTCCTGCCAGTCTTTCTTCATCCATGATTTGACCAGTGGGTAATTGATTGTGTTGAGGTCACAATTGGAATCTTCATGAGCAACGTCCAAAAGATCAAGTTTTTGGTCTGTGGTACCATCACTTGCAACAGACAGAGACAAACTTGAGGCAGTTGAGCTAGCCAAACCTCGACTATTAACAAGTATAGTCTTGTTAGGGTTAGCATGATATCATTGATTGCATCAGAAAACATGGTGATAGCGCATATATGTGGTGATCGTGCATATATGCGCGCACAATGACTGAAACTTACTGTAACATTTCACACTTAGTATTCAGACACAAGTTTTTGTTGATGAGCATCACTTTCTCTGACTGGAGAAAGGCAACTGTGTGCTGGAGTTCTGAAATTTCTCACTTCAATTGTGAGATCATGCTGTTATCAGGATCATTTTGAGATAACAGATCCCGAATAAGAAGGGCCCAGAGGCCTTCATTCAATGTGGAAGACTGCTGTGTGTATCTCATTAATGTAATATTAGGTGTATCTGATAGAACTCACGGTGTTATTGGTATCACAATCACGCTGGGTGTGTTGAAAATGATGCGAGCTCCCAGAATTAAGCTGCGGATCAAGAGAATTTTGTGGAGAAATTTGAGACATGAGGAGATTGGCATATCCTGTCGGTGAAATTGCTGTGTTGGACATAATGATGGTGTGATGAGAAGGGGTGCTGCAGTACAAGTCAAGAAAGGAAATTGACCAAGTTCAACTCATCCTACACTAAGTTCAACTAAGTTAACCATTGATGTCCCTTGATCATGATACTGATGGTTATGATGCTGATACAAGGTATGTTTTTCATCACTTCTAATGCTGTAACCACTAACATTGTACCTTAGCATATCTTTTTTCCAGCACACCGAAGATGACACCCTCGGATGATATGCTTCTCAACCCTGCATACTGGCAAGCACATCCAGAGAAAAGACATATGATTAGACAGCGACTATTGTGAGTTCTCATTGTATTATTGTACAGTATCTTAGCTCAAGAATTTGTATCTACTAAGGCATCACCCACACACCTTACCTCCCTGGCCTGACGATCCCAAAAGCACCACCGAACCCAAAGTCATCACTGCTCCCCCTCGTCCCAATGACCCAGATAGTATCACTGAGTCTGAAAGTGATCTGCCACCCCCACAAACCACTGCTCCCCCTCATGTAGACAACCCAGATAGTATAACTGAGCCCGAAAGTGACCCACTGCTGCAAGCTACTGCTCCCCCTCATGTAGATGATCCAGATAGTGTCACCAAACCTGAAAGTGACCCACCTGCCGCAAGTTGTCACTGCTCCCCCTCATATGGATGACCTGGACAGCATCACCGAACCCGAAAGTGACCCACCCAAGCCAAGTATCACTATCACTTCCACACCCAAAGCCACTATCTGGAAGTCTATATTCACAGTGCCAAGCCCACCCCCACCTGGATCAATTTACTGGAAGTATGTGACCCAGGAGGAGGATAATGCATGGTATGACCGATCATGAACAGACAAGGATTTTCTCGTGGTTCATGCAATGAAACAAGAACTTGAAGACAAGTCTTAGTGCACAGTATGTGTTAGTGTAGTGATACATTGAATAAACTGGATTACATCTCATTAAAAAAAGAACTCAGTCCTCATCAAGAATCTCCTCCTCTTCCGTGCCGCTCATTCTTATTATGTCCAGCCCTGGGTGCTCCACAAGGTAGAAAAGAATACCATCAATACCCAGAAAACTGTGAGGAATCATAGCTACTACAGACTGTATAGTATGAACCTCCACAAGTTTCAACAAAGCGTCTCTGTTATACCGACAGGTGAAGACCATTTGAAACAAGTTTTCAAATAGGTCAGTGTGTGGTTGGCTAAATTCAGATATGAGCACCAAGGTCTTCTCTTCAGTGTGAATCTTCATATTGAAATAGAACAAGACTTTGGCTACAGCAGTCTTGCATGTCAACCAATAACTTTAGTGCACATGTCAATGTGTGATACAGGTAGAGTGACCATACAAAATGTACCTTCACATTGCACACCATTCTTGGTTGCTTGGACATAGCATTTTCCTTCCATGCAGACCGTGCAACTTGCCTGTTTGGAAGGTGAAGACATGCCCATTAAGTGATGAGAGGAGCAGAGGTGACATTGATGTCATTGTTGGCCAGGCAGTGAAGTATCACTTGGGCTTCACAGGGATGTACTGCATGTGCTATTCTCTCTCATCTCCAGAGCAGCAGATAGCCTCAGCCAAGGTCCAGTGATCCTTTTGGGGGAGTGTTTGATGAGGGTTCAATTGTGGGAATGATGGCCTTGATAACGTTAATTTGACAACAACGAGCAGCGCATTGAGAGAGATTAGCATAGACTGATGAGTTATGCAATCGGATTTCTTGAGCAAGATTGCTGATTATGCATTCCATAGTCCATTGTGATGAGCAGATAGGTGGTCCCTTGTTGACAGTCTCACCAGCAATATGTGTGATTGAGTGGAGCCATGGTCAAATGAAATGAAGCTGATCAATCTGGTGCTGGTAATAGAGCTCTTCGAATTCATCTGCAAAATGAAGAAGGTGATGGTGACCTTCAACAAGATCAGATTGAGATATATGATATTGTTGCATTATACATAGTCCCCAGGCAAGATGGCAAAAATGCGACCAATAGGGCTCAGGCAGAATGCCATAGAGTGTCACTGGTGCCATCCCATACAGGTAGAGAAGCCATTCCCAGGCCTTATACCCACTGTTGATCTTCTCCACAGGGTTACGAGGGGGTCGATCAAATGAACCTGGCAGAAAGGGTGTTGCATCTGCGATCAGAGATCCGTGGGCCTTCCAAGTTGCCTTCATCAGAACTGCCCAGGCCCACATGAATTTATCATCCATTGTCTTGGCTCTAAAAGTTCCTCTCCAGAGGGGTAGAAGGAGATTGCTGGTATTGATGGCAGCTATGTGCATGATGTCAGGGCCAAAACAGAGCGGGACTAGCAAAATATGATCAGTGTCGAAGCCACAAAAGATGCTAGGTTTCATAATGCCTGTCTTGAGGCGTGCAAGCTCATATTCGGCCATGGTGGAACAGCAGATCACGCACTCAAGATTCCATTCATAATCAAATGGTCCAGGAAGGGGAAGCCGATCAATGAAGAAGTCAGGGTGATCAGGATGATCAGTACCTTCAGGTTGACATAGGGCAGGATAGTATGTCAGTGCACCTGGTTTGTGCCTCCCTGGGAGTCCACAATAGAGACAGCATGCAAATCTGCCATGGTGACCAATGAGGCCAGTGAGGAATGCCATACCAGGGACATCTGCTGTTGCAATGAAGAGAAAGGGATTAGATCTGAATAGAATCTTCTTTGCGCTGTCCCAGATTGGTAGCCCTTCAGTCTGGATCGCACAAAGATGGTGTAGGCTGGGGAAAATGAAAGAATCTAGATTTTTCGGTTTTTTTGGGCCAGGGATGATACCACCTGGGAGTACATACTTCTTCTTGTACCATTTGTCTGGTGTGTGATTGAAGATTACCCAAATGTATATCCAACAGTCCAACTGCTTGGATTCATAGAGTTGCACTCTGTCGATTGAGAACATGAGAACCGCATCACCATCTTTAATTTTGCCAGATTGGCATGTGTCCAGATATTGCTTCCCATGGAGGACATCTTCATATACCTCCGGAATGCCATCGGTAGTCTTCAGTTCGTCAATGATCTTGTTGGTGTACTCCTGGCGCCATCACATCTTCTCAGCCTGGTCTGGATGGCGCCATAGGGCCTGGAGCTGCGGTCCAATGGGAAATGTGTCAAACATTTTCTGATCTACCTTCTTCTGAGGTGAGCTTTTTTTGGTGTCCCATCGATCTTCTCCACATCAAGGACAATGATCAAGCGTGGCATACAGACCCATGAATGCAAGACATGTGTTTGAACACATGTCATTAACGATCGGGACAACAACACTAAGTTCAGAGACAGCTTGCTTCATGCAGTAGTGACTGTGTATGTTGTCTTCAGGATGTCATTCAATTGTAGCCTCGCGAATAAGATTGTAAGCATGGACTGTTGTATTGGCAAAATAATACTTTAGGGATAGGATGAGATTAGGATCTGATGTATCAGGAAGTTCACAAGGGGGATTTCGGAGTCTGTCTAGTGCATCTGTAGGTAGCCATGAGTGAGCATCATCAAGAGAGGCTTTTCGAAGAGCGGTGATGAAAAACATGGCATCCTGTGCATCTTCAAGATGTGACAACCACTGTAACTCAGCTAAGTCCTCATCTGTCCAGCCCATGGTGCCCAAGTCAGGGCCTGCACCCTCAGGATCAACGTCATCTTGGGGCATGTCTTGATCAAAATTTTCAGGCATAATGTCCTCGACCTGAGCTTCCTCTTCCTCAACCTGAGCTTCCTCTTCCTCCTCCCTGTCCTCAGGTCCCATATCACCAAAATTGGTGCCATCAAGGTGATCGAAATCTGCCTTGAGTGTGTCAAGGCCTGGAATATTGTCAGCAGCCTCAGGTGTATGAAGATCTTATTATTCATGTCAGTAAATTGATCTTGATCACAGGGTTATGAATGCACCATCTTCTGCACCATCAATGGCAATAATCCAATCATCAAAGGCACCATCTGGCTCAATACCTTCGGAAGGATCTGCCAGTGTGTCATCCAGTAAGTTAGGCTTGTGTTTTGATGTGGGTGGCTGTTCCCGATGATCTGGTACTTCCAGGTGGTGCTTGCTAGACGAGGGTACTGGTACAGGAGTTGTAGCTTTTGTGGGAAGTGGTGGGGGGAAAAGTCTAGCGACTCTTTTGGGTTTGTGCTGGAAGTAAGTAGTTCAGGGTACGTGCTTGGGCTTGCCTTTGTTCTTCCAAAGGCAGGCATCACAATCGCATATGTGAGTATAATCACTGTTTGCAAGTCGATGTATGCCAGCCTCGAGGTTCTCGGACGTTGTAAAATCCATGAAGAGGCTGTGCGATCACAAAGGGAAGTTCAAGTGTATATGCGCAATCGCAATGTAAACTTAGGGCCTGGACAGCTGCCATTTGTTTCTCAGTTTGTTTCTCAGTTTGTTTCTGTATGTGGCGTGGCACTTGTGACATAACAGTGACCAACAGTGACCTTTGTGTGACGGTCTCAAATGCCCACTCATACCTCCCTTTACCGCTGCTATGGCAAAGAAAAAGACTACTGTACCTTCAGCAAACAATGCCGGGACTTTAGCAGTTGCTCGCTGGACTGTCGAAGAGACATCCCGCCTTCTCGAATACCTCATAGCTCACCGTGCTGAAGGTGGAGATGGGACAGGATTCAAACAGTCTACTTTTACTGGCGCATCAACTCATTTGCAGGAGCCACCAGGTGGCGTTTTGAAGGAAAACCATGTAGGGGGATCTGGCAGGGACTGGCAATCATGCAAGAACAAGTGGTTAAATGTACGTTCTCTGCTCATGCTAGATTATATTCTGATTGTAATTTGCACAGTGCAAAAAAAAATATGCCGCTATTATCGATATCAAATCTCAATCAGGCTTTTCATGGGATGATGAACTTGGTGCGAATATTGGTCCTGCTGACGCCGCTCGTTGGATGGCATTTGCAAAGGTGCGCTTCAGTTATGATATGAGAGGGGTACTGATATGATTATGAGTTTGCAGACACGTCCTGATACCAAACCGTTTCGCAACAAGGGCTGGGAACACTTCCACGAGATGGACGAACTCATGTGCACACAACGCCCTCGCGGTACCAACGCCTTCCATGCTGGACATGAGACGTTCGAGTCTGAACAAGCACCCCCTGATGATGACCAGGCCAATGGAAACGATACTCAACCTGTTGTGGAAGATGAGGTAGAGCGGTTAGTTGATGAGTATGTCAAGGACCAGGAGCGAGTAGCAGGAATGGTCAGTGACAAAGGGAAAACGGTTGCCGAGAGAGAGGTAGTGGCTGAGGACGACGACGAAGACGATATTATTCCTTGGGAGGTGACTCCTGTCAGAACCATGGTCAAGCGCAAGTTCGTATCTACCCGGTCTTCAACACCCTCCCTCACTGCCTCTGGATCTGGTACTACAAGCTCTGGTCCACCATCGAAACGCCGTCAGTTTAGCGGATCAGCAGGGGCACTCTACGCAATCAATGACCAATTTTCAGCATTCAGCGACATCTTCCGAGCCTCGTCGCAATCACACACTTCAAGCCCATCTATTATACTGTCACCTCAGCGCAAACAGGTGGCCATGCGACGTGCACAGGAGCTAGAAAAGCATCTTGACGATGATAGTATGGCAGCGCTCATTGAAGCATTTCAGATGGATGTCAGCGCTGCTGATGCATATATGGTCATGACAGATGACGGTCCAAGGAAGTCTTTTGTTGATAGAAAAATCAAACATATTAACCGGCAGGTTCTGTAGATTCAAATACTAGTATTGTAGGTCTCTATTCACGTATTCTGACGAGCGCAACAAATCCTATGGTAGTCCTCCCACATGGCGACCGCGATATGATCTCTGTCTTCAGTCGCCCACTGCCTCTCTTCACGGTCAGCTGGTCCCTCTGCAAGGTCGCCTCTAGACTCGCCTGGATCGCAGTCAACAATGTCTTCATCGGCAAATTCTTCTATTTCTGTTGGATCATGAATGCGAATAAAATTATGGATCGCACATAGGGCTGGGGGGATGCGAGCTTGCATCGACATACTATACTCTGGTGGGTGTACCAGTATCATGAACCGCCTCTTGAGCACCCCGAATATTCTCTCAATAGCATTACGAGCTTGAGCATGCCGGAGATTATAAATTTCTTTTGACGTTTTTGGCCTGTCACAGCGTTGAGAAGACACTACAGTGAGTCGTATATCACTCACCGAACTGCAGCTCGCCCCCATTCAGCCAGATGGTACCGAACACCTCAGTATGGGACAAGGAGTGAGTCGCATATCCCAAACCCAGCATCTGCAAGATAATATCTCCCTTCTGGAATATATAGGTCTGTGAGCCAGGCATTATTGTAGAGTGTCGAGTCTGATGTTGATCCATCCCAACCACTGAGGACATACTGGAACTGGAGATCGAAGGAACAGCAAGTGAGACAATTTTGGCTGACACCACCTTTGTGGTTTCGTGATAGTTGCCGTTCTGCTGCAGATGGGCAGCATGCAATGTGGGTACCATCAATTGCCCCGAGTGCACCTGAAAAGTACAGGAAGAATTTAGAATTTTCCAATATTTCCTTTGGTATGGGTGCATTGTCGTGCGGAAGGGATACAAATTTGTTGTAGAATGGAGCCGAAGATATGGCAAGTAGGACTTTCTTGAAATATCTGATAAGGCCTGTGTGAGGCTACTGGTAGTACAAATATCTTTGCAAGGTGAACATACTTTTGTATTGTCGTGTGAGAGTGCTGGAAGCGTTCTGCAACATGACAGCTCGATAACCCAGTCACACAGGTGTAGAGAAATATAGCAATCTGTTCATCAAGTGAAATATACTTTGAATCACAAAGTCCACAAGCCTGAAGTTCCTGTACAAGTGCATGAAATACGACCTTTCTCATCCCAAGCTCATTTTTGATCCAGTTGGGATGTCCGTTGACAAGCTCTTGCACCCATGCATGCCCAGAGAGGATCGAGGTATGGTAAGGCTCTTTATTGAGAAATGGGGTCATGTAAACAATTATAGCACCTATTATGAGCTGGATAACCATTGCTGCTGCCATTCGGAGGACATAGAACCGGTGAATTTGCTCTCTTGCTGCCAGTGGAGGCGGCATTGAGTCCTTAGTATGTGTGACTAAACCCTATGTCACTGCTGTTTGTATATATTGTGGTAAATGAAACTAACTGAGAAACAAACTGAGAAACAAATGGCAGCTGTCCAGGCCCTTAATCTAGGCGTAGCTTTGTAATTTGCAAGGTGTTGTTTGCAACAAATTGATTGCAGCAAATACACTGCAAATTTCAAACATTTGCTTGCAAGTTTGGACTTTGCATTTAATTTCACAATTTGCATTTTTGCCGTCTCGAAATTGTTAGATTACTATCTATCTCATTTGGTACTTAGATATCTATCCTTATCCCAATCGCCGGTCATTGCAATGAAGGTGGGAAATTTCCGACATCGGTGTCTAATTAAGTTCCCGCTTAGTGGGGATCTCTTTGGTAGCCGCATCCCCAACCACATCGGGCAAGCTACCTATGCTCTCTAGTACAGGAACACCACTATCGAAGCATTGACCGGTTGAGGGTCCCACTTAAAAAGCAGCAACGACTATGTACTCCTGCGCACCCATTCAGAGCACTAACATCCTTTTCTTTTGTTTTTCTTTCACAGATGACAAGGCTCTCCTTAGGTTCGCTATATATCACACACCTTCTTTCAGCCAGGGATAGGGAAGATCCCGCCATACCGGAGTGGAATGCATCTACCCAGAAGCAGTTCGGACAACCCCTAAAAACCTTCCCGCTCCTTCGTCATCCCATCTCGCGTCATTTCGCTGCCAAGGCTCAAGCCTCTAACTCAGAGGCATGTTTCCATCCTTAACTCTGATAACATAATCTGAGTGTGCTTCGTGCTACAGGGCTTCCTAATCAATGCAAAGTCTGTCGCCATTCAGCCCTCCTCGGCGACCTCTCTTTACATGAGTTGCACATTGTCACCCACGTGGACGCCCGATCGCGGCACATTGCTGGAGTGGAACACATCCGAGTCCGCCTCCACCTGGAAGCAAGTCACTCATTCCCTTGCGGGCCCACCCATCGCTTCCACATTTTTTGACAGCCAAGTTGGACTCCAGCGGCTGTCAGATCGACGAACCTTCACCACCTTCCAACGCTCAGTGGTCACCCTCTCTGTAGATAACACCCGCATCCTGAGTGGATGTCAGGATAAGATTATCTCAGAGTGGGTAGCACCCAAGGATGCTTTGCAAGAGAAACCAGCATCAATAGTACGTTCCCGTTGATTTCCCGCCCCTTCGTCATCTCATTTCGCATACTTTTGCCGCCAAGGCTGTTTCTGATCCAAAGGCATGTTTCCATCCTTAACTCTGATAACACAATTAGAGCGTGCTTCGTGCTACAGATTCTCGCAATCAATACAAAGACTGTCACCATTCAGCCTTCTTCGATTCTGAATTCTGTAAGCAGCACCATATTTGCAAACCGCAGCAAGGCCAAGTTGGAAAAATCGTTATGGGAGGATGCGCTTGTAGATGCGCAAAGGGTACGATGATATCCACTCAGACAGTTGTTTTAGCCGATGCTCACTAACACGATACACAGGTCATCGAACTCGAGCCTTCGTCACATGTTGGATATCAGTTGAAGCATACAGCACTTCATGGCGTACACCGCTACAGTGAAGCTATCGAGGCTTTCCAAATCATGCTTGCGAAATTGGATAGTGCTCACGGTACGCAAATACGAAGTAAGCCCTAAGCAAGACGCGTGCTCAGATGCTCAGCTCTTTCCTCAGAGCTGCGCGAGAAGTATGTCGGTCCATCTAGAGCAGAAGGCGTCATTCGAAAGTTCATCGACATCCAACTTTACACTGCCCCGCTTCGTCTGCTCAACACCAGCTCTGGGCTCCTGTGTGATCGAGAAGCGCAGATAAGCGTCTTCAAAACGACTGCAGAGTACAAACAGCTTCTCTTGTCGATTATGAACCATGCAGACCTTTCAATGGAGCGCATCGCAGACGTGGTGGCGACATACTTCCGTTACGTCATGTTATCCCATAGATGGGGAGAGAACGAGCCGCTGCTGCACGACATCCAGGATAAGGTCGTATACAAGTTAAAGGCAGCTGGCAGTCTTGTGAAATTGCAGTCATTCTGCAAATCAGCTCGCCACGCAGGGTATCACTGGGCCTGGGTCGACACGTGTTGCATCGACCAGAATAATAATGTCGAGCTCCAAAAGTCATTCAACTCCATGTTTGTCTGGTATCACCACTCAGCGCTCACGACCGTTTACCTGTCGGATGTTCCGCCTTCGGCCAAGTCTGGCGCCCTAGCGAAGAGTGCCTGGAACACCCGAGGGTGGACCGTCCCCGAATTCCTTGCTTCTAGAGTCATTCTCTTCTACCAACAAGATTGGATGCTATATCTCGACGACCGCTCCCCCAACCACAAGGAATCTGTCGAGATCATGCATGAGTTGGAGGATGCGACAGGCATAGATGCGCGCGTCCTCGTCGCATTCCAACCTGGTATGAGAGATGCTCGACAGAAACTCCAATGGGTGTCTACGCGTGTCACCACTGTGCCGGAAGACATCGCGTATTCATTGTTTGGCATCTTTGGCGTTGCACTACCTATCCTTTATGGCGAAAACGCGCAAAATGCGCTCGGGCGGCTCCTGCAAGAGATCGTGGCTCGGTCGGGGGACATCACCGCCCTTGACTGGGTTGGACAACCGTCCGAGTTCAATAGTTGTCTTCCAGCCCACATATCCTCATACGCTGCTCCTCCATGCTCCCTCCCATATTTGTCTGAAGACGAGATTCAGACAGCGGTCTCTTCGCTGCGACACACTGCGGCCGTGGATCAGGCTTCGAAATTTTATGACCGGCTCGACAATATGAGCGCTCCTCGCTTCGCGAGCTGCAGGCTCCGTCTGCCATGCATCGTATTTCCTGTCACAGAAGTCAGACGGAGGTCTGGTCCAGCCCAAGAGGCATTGTTCACTTATGGAGTCAGGGCAGACGGACTTGATGACTTATCGATCACCACCGAAGAGAATCTGATTCAATTTTCACGACCCAGGCCCACTCGACGGACGTTCTTACTTGTTCATCCTTGGGATCGTCGTCTCCTTGAGCTGCCTGACATCGCGGACGATGCAGAATGCTTGGGAGATCGTCCTCAGCCCGAGTCTCTGCTAGATGACTCTGACTCCATCAGCGATTCTCCTGGAGAAGCAGAGTTGGCTGATTCAGAATCTTACTCACGTGCATTGAGATTGATCGTTCGCCTTGGACAGCCGTTCGGCGCATTTTTGCTAGCACAGCAGCGGGGCGGAGAATACAAGAGGATTGCATCGGATCATGATATCATTGCACAAGTCAAAGACGTGTCTTCTGCTCATACCATGATGGACATTAGGACTCTGGAAATATTGTAGCCATATATGGTTTTTATTTTGAAGTCTGGGGGCTGTATTATCAGACGACGCATATCCATATAGATACCTTCTAATTCCAATCACGCATTGGCACTGCCCTTGTCCTGGCCCTTTCATCTATTTCCACTTCTCGCCATCAGTAATTTACAACATCTCGTGACACCTTGCTACAGACAAGCTGCAGCACACGAATTAACACCGCCTTCAGTTATGATAACTTAATCAATCGCGACCTCCATGAGCTGAAATTCAAGTAGCTAGTTATTCAGGGACACCAAATTGCAATATCTTGAGGCAGGCATCCAACCCCTTCTTTGGCAATTTACGCATACCCTCCAGGTTTACCCTCACCATGGCCGCCCTACGTCTGTCCGAAAGGTTCGTCAATAGCCTCAATTTACCAATGTCAATTAATTCAGGTAGAAGAGTATGTATCTCGACACTTTTGGGAGACTTGAAGACTTGTTTGAAAACGGTCAGAACGGCATCCTCTGGAGATCCATTCGGACGACAGAAAAACACTCGTCTTGTGTCCATTTTCCGGTGAACAGTATTCGATGGTTCATGAAGCAAACATATACCCATTGGTAGGTAGCAGACGCTCGAAGATTGTCATCACATGCGTTGGGAGGTAGATGTAAATCCTAAGACTTTTTTCTTCCCTGGTGCAACATGAAACAGTAGTCTTCGCATCAGGAAAGGATGAAAGATCACGTCTATACTTTTTTGAGTAAGGGTAGCCGTATTGAAAAATATCACATATTTACTTGCCACATCCGAGTCGGTATCAACTGCAAGACTTAGCCAAACACGAGCAAGATCCGGTTGTCTCACCAATTCTTCAGCAATATCAGGGGTATGTCACAGCTCAGCGTTCAATGCCCTTAAGCGCATCTCGTAATAAAGTAACAATCTAGATGTTGTGACTTGTCACCAAGGATGAGATAGACGAGATTTGCAGGAATCCGGGTAACTTCTGTGGTGTGTTTTATTGATAACTTCAATGGCCAGTATGAAAGGATTAAATATGATGTACTGAACTCACAGGTGGAACAGAAACATCGGAGTTCAAAGGATTTCACTGATTTGTCAGATGGCCGACCGCCCAGTGATGCGCAATATTAATGAAGGAGGAGACACACCTCTTCCTGGTGATCCGTGACATAAAATAATGCAGGGTTCAGACCCGCATCAGCACGCGGCGCTGCTGCTACCGAACAACTTATCTCGGTCCTTTGAGGCTTGAGCCTGCTGTTCTCCATCCTTTCTTCCTTCGCCATCATGCGTCGTTGCAGTGTGTGCAAGATCGAGTGCGAAAAGTCGCTGCGATGCTCAAAATGTCAGAAAACTATGTGAGTACAAGCTGGTACAAGAGATAAAAACTTTTGATCTGACTTTGTGATTGTTGGGACAGCTACTGCTCGTACGTGACAGGCATAAGCGCTAGCGCTTGTTAGACTGGGAGTCTCACATAATAATTCTCCTCTAGTGTGGAGTGCCAGAAAGTTGACTGGAAGGTGCACAAACGCAGCGTCTGCACCAAGCCGGCCATCTTACATAGGGTGGACAAAATGATGAAAAAATGGAGTGGGCCGGGGTCGATGATGGACAGCATTGATAGGATGGAACAATTGGCTTGGGAAGAGCGCCGGCAGAACTCAATTCCTACGCTAAAATGCGATGGCTGTTTTGCGCGATTCCGTGGTACTCCTCCAGATGAAGACGACGAGGACGATGCGGAGGATGTAGGAGACGCCTTCAAGCGGTGCACGACTTGTGATTATACCATTTGCAAGAATTGTGCGCATCCAGATATGCAAGGTACGTTTCATGGCTTCCATGTCTCATTTTTGACCGCTGAATCTGTGAATCCTAGGTGTACCGTACTTTAATCGCCCACCAGGCACTTGCCGCTGTCTAAAATCGAATTTTGGCGAAAGCTACTGCTTGTCGTCGCCCTGTTACCTTCACGGTGACGGTAGTAAACCATACTACGGTGATAGACACCCCGATATGGCGGGCAGTGGGTACGGTGAAGATGCATTTGAGGCGAAGGAGCGGCAGTGCAGGACATGTGGTGTGATTGCGCGATGCTTGAAGAAGGAGCATCTGAAGGACGCGCTTCCTGGCATGAATTAGCTATGTAAAGTCTGGCGAAACTTACGCGAATTTGTCTGTTTTCCAGTTTGCTCCATGCTGGCATGGATTTTGGTGATACTAGGACTTCTTGTAACGTTGTTGTCTACCATTGATCGATATTTAGATAGTACTGTGCAGCTTAGTTCGAGGGTGACGGTGAACGGTTATATTCATACATTTCAAGTTACCAACGTGTTGGACGCAGCCGCAAACAACTTTATGTAAACAAAGCAACTTTGTTCGGAACTGACACGATGATTCATTCTATTGATACTTTGTTGGTACTCTCACATGTTTTCTGCACCTCACCAACGGTCTCCCTTCGGTAATTGGATCGACAACTGCGTGACGATTCAGAGTCTTCATATCAATATTCGACACTGCGTATGAACGAGGCATCTGAAAAGAGATTCTCCGACAATTCGAATTTTAGCATCAACAAACTTGGAAGATATCTCATCCGACGCTGAGCTGGAGCTGAAGCTACGCACTGAGGACTCTGATGATGCATTTGTAGTGATATTTGTCAAGAAGGGTCAATGTAGATGTCCGCAAACCCGAGGTTACAATATGCGATAGAAACGTATCAGCAGGGATCCGAAAGGCTGGAGATAATCTCCAACCACAACTGGGAATTTCTAGAAAACTGGTGTCAGACTTGGACGTGCGGGGTGGACGAGCATGTTTCGAAGGACGAGAGTGTAAGCTATATCACAGAGTATACATTGACTACATAACGCTAATGCTACAAATACTTTTTATAATAGTGGGTGTGAAACCCTGATAACTGGCATCGTTGAAATCTTTGGTTATCGACGCCTTGCTATCGGGTTACCTCAGGTAAGCAAGTCATCTTCTTGTGCCAGTATCATCTTGACATGCCTGACCATGATGATCGTCACCTGTTGCCTTTCTAGTAGGTGCCACCTTCATCATATCACAATGGCAATAAGCACAGCATCACAACGTTACAATCCCTGACACTTACCACAATCAACCGCGCCTGCTCCCTCTGCACCGCCACCCTCCTCACCCTCCGTACCTCAAACTCAGGTTCTGTCCCGTCGAGCTGTGCATATGATGGCCGAGGGCCGTTTCGAAGCTCGTACATGGACTGTGCGTGATATATCTGCGCATACCACCTCAGCACAACGACCATACGACAAAGAACATGCACAAACCTGTTGAGTCATATCTTTCAATGCTAAGTTTTAACACGTAGTAGCTCTTCCCCTCAGTTTGACGACATGTTGTCTTGCAAATCACGCTTTCAAACCCCAGGATTTAATACTCGACGGCTGTGGGCGAACTCCACAGCACACAAATGAGCAATTGTCCAAGCAAACAAACAAAAGCGTCAGTGGTATGGTGAGTGGCGTGCGCTTTGCTTCCACAATTTATCGTCCACAGTTGCTTGTACACTGGGTGTTTACTTAAATACCTGTTTCGCTATGATGAGAAGGTCAGCAACCACTCCCCTCATTCGCACTCTAAAATTCTAGCTTGCATCGGATCGCTCCAGGACCTGTATCCTCTTACTGTATAGACATGGAAACGGAAATAGGTCCCGCACGTCACAACCCCCTGGATGCACAACGTTTCGACCCGCTACGGCGCACTCGCACAGTCAGTATTTCCTTTGGTTCATCTTCTTAACATGATCGTTCACATCTGTTCCATTGTTCAGAGACTCGTCTCGCTTCTCAACACTAGCACTTCAAAACTGATGATGAGGCAAGGTCTTTGCGTCAGGACCGAGCGAGCGAGCGTGGATGATATGTGGCCAGACCACAAGGTTGTAGTCGATCCTTTTGAGGCGGGAGGTTCTGATTCGGAGGGATCGTGCCCACTCCCATCCTTTACTTCTACGGAAGCGCGCGCCACTTCCCTTACACCTATCGACATATACGATCACGACGACATTGTTGTCACACGTACCATCATCCACCCTAATCCCAATCCCCATCGTGGTCCTACTCGTATGCTATCTCGCACGCGGATGGTGTTTACATGCATGTTCTCGTGCTCACCGTCTCCCACAAACGCCTACTCTCCTTTTCCATCTTCGTCGTCTGTGTCACCCCGATCCACCCCCCTTTCGCGCTCCACGAGCCTGGTGCTCCGAGCGCTCAACTGTTTCAGCACATCCTCAGCTTTCGATAGCGATGCGGATGATATAAAAATTCACAGGAGGGAGAGGCCTGTATTGCTGGTGATTGTTAAGGAGACGAGGGAAAGGTATGAGGATGATCGGGCGTTTAAGGAGATTGTGGGGAGCGTCTTCCCTGCTGCTGGTGTGAGGGGTGGCGCTTGAGATTGATTCTTGCATGGCGTGGGTTAGATGGATGCTTATGAATGATCGCGCTGCGGCTCTGGATGCCCTATTGCATATATCCCTTATTACGCTGATCATTTATTATTAACTTGGTTGTCATCTACCTCACTGTGCGAGTGCTGCGTGATCGGGAGTGGTCCGAGCGGGGGTACACCAACTGCAAAGATCGGCTTCCTTCTCAAATCACAAGTAGGCGTTGATACATAAAGCTGAATGTGTGTTTTCTGTGGTTCTGAAACGAAGTTTGCAGCCATGGAGTCATCACGCACGAGAGCAAACACCATGTCACGCAACTCCAGGTATGCGGCATCGATACACCGACTTCCTGAAAATGCCCGACAGTGTATATTTTTCGATGATCTGTGGAATTGACCCCGAGCGCGACACCGTGCAAGGGAAAGGAGCACAAATACATCTATTCACCTGCTCATTATCGCCAATCCTTTCGAACATCGCGTGTGCTTTGCCTTTCGCGTTGCATACGGGTCCAAAGATGTCTACATCCGCTGCATGGTTTGGTCTCTTTGCTCGCAGCACGGGGACTTTGACAACAACTCCTCTGTCCTTGCGGGCCTTTCCTCATCCTCGTGCTTTCGAATTTGGTAAACATGCTGCGGCATCAGTTCCATTGTTCGTCTCGCCAGTTCTGAACTCTCTCCTTTGACTTTAGCTATTGTGTTTGCAGCGGGTACTCCGATGAATTGCTTGTTGGTGAGGAGATACTGAGGACGTTGTCAGGGTGTGGAGTGGGCGATGAATGGAACTCTCCGAATATGAGTTTTTTTCGGTCATTGAGGGACCATTTGTACATCGCAGAGAGTCCAAATCAGAAGTATGAGGGCAATCAGAAGATAAGCGGAGTATGAGTTTTCAAACTAGATCCGAGATATCTGATAGTGTGGTGGATGAATGCGGATGTCCCTGTGGATATGAACAGGGTGTGATGTGCTCACATTCGTGCAAACAGTTTAAAATTTGGCAGTTCAGACTCCAGAGGGATGGACAACGAGTTTTCTGAGAATGTGAGGCCATCGAGGAAGATGTAGCTATCTGCTATAGGAGTCAGAGAGGAGATGAAAGGACATCAAAATACTGTTGTTGTTGTCAATTACCACATTACATGATGGGTACTACGCCACTCACACGGCAAGTCCCCGACTCCCATCTTCACATGAAATATTGCCATTGCGCTATGGCCACCACTGCGTGAACAAATAGCAAGCCGCATGTCAGTCATTTATCCGATGAAATCATGATTACCCATTCAATACTCATTATACATCCAATCGACAACCCTGGAGAGTGGCATACATGTCCCGCAGCTCTCGTAGGTCTTTATCTCGTCGGACTTGGAGCAGAAGCCGACCCTGTTTAGTTACATCCCTTGATGCACCCTGGGGCTGTATCATATCATGCTCAGTATTGACAATCCTGGGATTAATGAAGACAGATGCACGTTTGATTTTCCGCTTATCATCTGTCCATTTTAGTTACTCCGACTCACGGCGCTAATGGCTAGTAGCAATATAAAATGGCCCCTCTTTGACTGACTTTTCCTCCAGCAATCCGCTCTATTATCAACTGCCTCACATACCAGGCAAGTTGTCTGACTTAGTTCTCAGCCCCCTGACCATAACGCGACTGACTCCGTCTTGTAGCTTAACCGCACTCACCACCACCACCATCATGTTCAACAACAACACCCAGCAATGCAACTGCACCTCCGAGTGAGTTTTGCCTTTCGACATTTAAATGAATTGTTTCTGACTGTCTGTCAACAGCTGCAACTGCCAGGCTGGTAACTGCGACTGCAAGAACTAAATATCACGCGCAAGCGCACTTGCCTTGCTGTGTATGTAAACATAAATATATCAGCCGTTTGATGTGACTTGTACTGTTGTATTGAAATGCCAGAGTTGTTCTAGTAAAGCGACGTCTCTTGGATAAAGCTGGCACTCCGAAATTCTGAATGGCCCTTGAACCCGCTACTTCAAGGACTTCGGCAATATCGTAACTGTCGTTTAACTTGCATAGTACGGTATCTCCCAGGTTTAAACCAAATGACTCCACTCGGTGCGAGCACTTTTAAGATTGGAACATGTGTATTGGCACCCGGCATTGCAGTGCTATATTGACTACGCGCCCCAAACCCTGACTCTGCTTTTGGGACAACAACTACTCGACCGTTCATCACACCTGTTTTTCAAACAGGGCCTTTGAAAGTTGACAGCTGTTGGCATTCAAGTAATATATAAGGTATAGTACCATATGAACGATTGTCTCGATAAGTACGTAGGTCAACTGTTGATTGCTCGCGCAAAGACTGAGACAAGGGGGAAGAACTACTTTCAAACCCAAGATCAAATCTAGTCAAAACACGACGAATGAAGATGATGAAGCAGTGTACCACAGCTCACCGCAAAACCAGATAGAAAAGCCATGCACGAAAAATTCTGTTAGATAGAAAGGCAACACACGAATATTCCATGCAAGGTATCAGAACTTGCTGCCTCAGGCAGAGCTAGCGAAGTCTATGACAATGGCTGACGCGGGTCAGGTTCGAGGGCTACGTCTGGTTGAAGGATCGTGCTATGATCTGATTCATGGTTCGGGATAGTATGGTCTGGTTCGCTCTCCTCCACGAATGTGGAGGTCGGGGAGGATGTTCATGTATATGTATGCTTGAATCGGGTTAACCAAAAGATCGGATAGCGCCAGCAGTCGGTGTCGCTGTTTATCAGTTGTTTTAGAGCCTGGACACGAGAAAACTGTGCAGATGGGTATAGAGGAGGATGAAGGGGTATCAATACTGTCAGATGGAATGACATGGTGTTATCTGTGTGGGGATATAAGGTGCTAAGACGTATCATCATCAAGTCAGAAACCAAAACCACCCAGAGATATCTGATGTTCAAAAAAAGACATACATAATTATAATATTTCTAGCGTCCTGATGTCCATCATGTTGTGCACAGATGTCACATCTTTGACTTGTGCAATGATATCGTGATCCGATGCGATCCTCTTGTATTCTCCGGTGCGCTGTTGGGCAAGCAAAAATGCGCCAAACGGCTGTCCTAGGCGAGCGATCAATCGCAATGCCTGTGAGTAAGACTCCAAATCAGCCAACTCCTCTTCTCCAGGCGAGCCGTCAAGAGACTCGGGCTCCGACCAACCTCCCAAGCTTTCTGCATCATCTACGAAGTCAGGTAGCTCAAGGAGGCGACGATCCCAAGGACGGACAAGTAAGAACGTCTGTCGAGCTGGTCTGAGCCGTGAGAATTGTACCAGCTTCTCGTCAGTGGTGATCAGTAGGTCATCGAGCCCGTCTGCCTTGACTCCGTATGTGAACAATGTCTCTTGGGTTGTACCAGCCCTCCGCCTGACTTCAGTGACAGGAAATATGATGCAAGGCAGACGGAGCCTGCAATTCGTAAAGCGTGGATAGCTCAAATTTGCGAGCTGGTCGTAAAATTTCGAAGCTTGATCCATGGCCACAGTGTGTTGCAGTGAAGAGACTGCCGTCTGGATCCCATCTTCAGATAAGTATGGCGGGGCGCATGGTGGAGCTGCGTAGGAGGTAATGTCGGCTGGAAGACAGCTATTGAACTCGGATGGTTGTCCGACCCAGTCCAGGGCGGTGATGTCCCCTGACCGAGCCACGATCTCCTGCAGAAGCCGCCCGAGCGCATTTTGCGCATTTTCGCCATAAAGGATAGGTAGTTGGATGCCGAATATACCAAACAATGAGTATGCAATGTCTTCTGGTACAGTGGTGACACGCGAAGACGCCCATTGCAGTTTCTCTCGGGCATCTCTCATCCCCGGTTGGAAGGCAACAAGAGCGCGTGCATCTATGCCCGTCGCATCCTCCAACTCATGCATGATCTCCATAGATTCCTTGTGGTTGAGGGAGTGGTTGTCGAGATATAGCGTCCAATCCTGTTGGTAGAAGCGAATGGTTTTAGAAGCGAGGAATTCCGGGACGGTCCATCCGCGGGTGTTCCATTCACTCTTAGCTAGTGCGCCAGATTTGGATGCAGACGGAACATCCGAGAGGTATACGACTGTGAGTGCTGAACGATGATACCAGGCAAACGCGGAGTTGAGTGACTTTTGGAGCTCGACATGGTTATTCTGGTCGATGCAACATGTGTCAACCCAGGCCCAGTGAAACCCCGCTTGACGAGCTACTTTGCAAAATGACTGTAACTTCATGACACCGGCTGCATTCAACTTGTATACGATCTTGTCTTGGATGTCGTGCAGCAGCGGCTCATTCTCACCCCATCGATGGGATAACATGACGTAACGGAAATACATCGCCACCAGGTCTGCGATGCGCTCCATTGGGAGGTCTGCATGCTTCATAATCGATAACAGAAGCTGTTTGTACTCTGTAGTCGTCTTGAAGGTGCTTATCTGCGCTTCTCGGTCACACAAGAGCCCGGTGTTGGTGTTGAGCAGGCGAAGTGGTGCGGAGTCAAGCTGGACATTTATGACCTTTCGAATGACACCTTCTGCTTCAGAGGGACTGACAGACTTGTCGCGCAGCTCTGAAGAGAGAGTTGAGTATCTGAGTATGTGTGTTACGTGGAACTTACTTCGTATTTGCATACTGTGAGTACTGGCCAGTTTCGCGAGCATCATCTGAAAGGCCTCGATTGCTTCAACATACCGTTGTGCGCCATGAAGCGCCATGTGCTTCAACTGATATCCAACATGAGACGAAGGCTCAAGTTCGATTACCTATGTAAGCATTAGCTAGAACACTGCCTGAATGGATGTTATTGTACCTTTTGCGCATCGAGAAGCGCATCCTCCCATAGCGTTTGCTCTAATTTGGCCTTGCTGCGGTTTGCAAATATGGTACTGCTTGCAGAATTCAGAGTTAGGGAGGGCTGAATGGTGACAGGCTTTGTGTTGAGTTCGAGAATCTGGCATGAAGCAAGTTCAATTTGTGTTATGAGAGTCAAGCACGGAAAGATACCTTTGAAATAGAAACTTGAACCTTGGCAGCAATGAGATGACAAAGGGGCAGGAAATCAACGGAAACGTGCCGCTGATGTTGGTTTCTCCGGCAAAACATCCTTGGGCACTGCCCAATCTGATATCATCTCATCCTGACTTCCACTCAGAATGTGCTTGCCATCTATGTAGATAGCGACATTTGACGTCCACAGGGCTGAGCGCCGGAAGATTGCAATGGTTTGCCGATCTGAGAACCGCCAGAGGCAATTATGACTGCCAGAAGATGCAAGAGTCATGAATGTTCCCGCAGGGGGATGTCCGACTTGCATCCAGGTGACTGTGTCCCACTCCCGTATTGAGAGTGACAGTGCGTGACTCTTCGAAGTTGCGCCACGTTTCCTTGAATAATTGAAAGAAGTCAATGCATTCCACATTTGAATAACTTGAAGAATACAAAAGTGAACTATATGATCAACCGTAGGAGGACCAGTGGAAGAAACGAAAGGTACTAGGTGAAGGAGGTGGTGTACCTCACCATCCTCCGAGTCCCTTTTATACAAATCAAAGGGAAGGTCATGGAGCAGGCAAAGTAGAAAGTGGGATATTGTAGGCTGCGGGAATGCTGTACAAGGTATACTGTTGAGTATCCGATCGGCAGGTGATGACGTAGGAATCCGGAACACCCGCCCTAGCTAATGACTGACTCCACAAGTGTGGGGTTTAGTAAGATCAACGTTTCAACATATATTGTCAACCTACAGTGTGCACCATATGTCAACCTGTCACCGGTTCTCTGCGCAAACTTCTTCCCAGATCTGTTCGAATTCACTGTGGGAGTGGAACGTAAGACTTTCAAATTGCACTGCTAGGTGGTTGTTAGAAAATTGAAACTTCACTGTAATATATTAACAGATGTACACTTGACGAGGTAACTATTTGGCACGCAGACATAGAATCAGGGACTAGGACGGTTATTGATAATCCCGGAGGCGTTACACTGGTCTAGACCCTTTTTCTCGGATCAGTCTATATTAATCATTGTATGTCAGGTTCTAGATCCTGCGTCATCATACAGTCAAGGATGGGTCAATGTAGTGCTGCCGTGGTCCGGTCCAGAACCACGGTTCGAACCGGACTTTTGGTCCGGTTCTCTGTGGTTCGGTCCATGGTTCTCATCCTGGCCAGAACCGGACCGGAAAACAGTTCTCGGTTATACATATTCCCGGACCGTTCTATTTTGGTTCGGTCTTCCCGAACCGTTCCGAACCCTTGTCAACTTCGACTTCAACTTCAACAACATTGGCCTCAATGTCAGACTGTTGTCTTCAGGATTTGCACTCTAGGTTAATCAGGCAATCTTGAGCATTTTTGAAGGTAAGCACTAACTAATCAAATCATCAATATTCTTGCCTTCTGACATATGTTTGACTATGTTACAGATATATGTTTATTCCAGTCTGCACACTTCCTAGACAGTCATGATCCTCCACCGGCTCTCAAGTCTTTGTTCTGGGATGTGTTGGTGTTGGCTCCCTGCTTGGCTCCCTGCTTGGCTCCCTGCTCCATGTACAAAAGGAGGTACTGATGACAAAACTGTGAGTTATCTCTCTGACAATGTCTCAAGACACCTGTGTGCTTAACACTGATGGCTCCCTTAAGGATGCTTCTGATATCACTTTCTTTAATGATCCTGATGATGATGTACTGCTTCCACAAGTCCCACCTTCCACCCAGCCATTGACATTAACTGCATCTACAAGAGATGCCTACTCCATTCTACTCAAAGCTGGACATACCCCAGCAACAGTCGCAGCCAGTTCTTGGTGGTCTGGCCATCCCTCAAAGCCCTCAGCTCGTATTTGTGATGCTGACAATGCCTGTGGGCTGTCTTCATTTTCAGGAATGAGGAAGCACACATTATCAAGTGCTATAGACCATCTGGCACCCAAGAAAGTTGCTATGTGATTTTTATCTCCTCTTGACTCTGAAGATGAAGATGAAGACAAGGACATCCATCCAGAAGAATCATCCACTGATGAGCTGGTCCCTCAACCTGATGTTGAAGACTTAGATGACACTGATGACGCAAAGTCTGAGAATGGAGTTGCCACTCAGACGGTATGTATCTTTCATGTTGATTGTCTTCCTTCACTAACACATGTATATTTAGCTTTCAAAAAATGAATGTACAGCAGATATTAGGACTATATTCACTTGTATCCCCGAGGGGTGGATCTGTATGCTGTGCAAGTAAGTTTTTCATTTGGTTTTAATTTAAATTCAATTTTGATGTTGGACAAGGGATGCTGGTGAACCAGCACACAAGCATACATTTCATGGAGGCACCTCAACGCTATGAACACACATTGCTTGCCACAGATGGACCCATTTTCAAGTGTACAAGGTGCATTGCAATGCTGTGGGCATCACAATGCATTCTTGCACAATCCCACCTGGCAAAGACCTCACTGCAACACAACAAACTCTCAATCACAATCTTGTTTCAAAACCTGCTGTATTCACAAAGGAAGGGTTACTGGAGTACATAATGGAGCTTGTCATGACAGAAGATGAGGTGCATCCTCATATCTTAGTTTGCCATTAGAAGAGACAGATGATGTTGTGGTGTGGTGGGGGGTAAGTTGTTTTTTTATTCATACATTCTCAACTGACATTATTCATTAGCTACACTTGCTACAGTATCCAACACTTGCTCATATTGCCTGCAATTAGATTCAAGGTAGTGTGGTTCCCTCTGAACATGCTTTCTCTAGCAGGGGAATCACATCAACCTTGTGCTGCAATGCACTTGCATCATCCACCTTCTCTGCACTACAGTTATTGAAGGCTGCTTACTGTAATGACATCTTTCAGCAGCTACAGAGGCAGAGGGGTATGCACAAATCTTATTAGACTAGTTACTCAATGTGTAGACTAGTATTTCATCAATTTTTTTTGTAGTCCCTATAGAAAAATTTACGGTTTGGTTTAGGTTTGGACCACAAAAAAAACTGAATCGGACCTTTGAGAATGGTTCTCAATGGTCTGGTTCTGGGTTCAACAATTTCACCAAACCAGACCATTGGTCCAGTTCTTGGTTCTTGTTGAAGACCCTCTGAACCAGACTGAACTGGACCACAGCAGCACTAGGTCAATGACACAGGATGGCTCTATGAATCATTTTCTATATCACATCACAACTACATACTTTTACACATTCAACACATCTTGATTCCCTGCTAAATACATGTTTCTTGGACTCTCAAAAAACATGACTGGAATTGATTGAGAAAAGATGACAAAATTGTGTGATTACCATATGTGACAAGCTCAAATTTGGCCCAATTGAAATTTCTGCTTCGCCATGTACAACCCAATGGAGCCCAAAGCCTTCAAAAACAAATAGAATGTGATGGAGAACATCTCAGGTGTCCATTCCATTTGAATTCATAGGAATAGGTGAATTTTTGCAACAGTAGCAAGCAGATCATGAGAGGTATGTGGTCTGAGTCAGAATTTGTACTAGGCCAGGGTCCACCAGTCCAGTAAATTACTACTGAATGCTCTGTCTTGGCTCAAACAACATATCTAAACCTTCACCTCACACCTTGAACTCACACCAATGCCTGGATGGCCCAAATCAGCAACAAGAAAGAGGCAGGAAGCCTGTGAGGCTTGTGACTACCTCATGTCATGTGCTGTGGAAGCATATTGTGCCAAGCTCAAAAAAGCTCTAGGAATTCAACATTGTGGGGCAAGGACAATCTGCCATGACTTTGAAAAGATGAACTTTGAAGTAACAGGAAAGTTAATCAAGCTATCTTATTCAACTCTCATCTGTCTCGCAGCTGGTGGAAAGATATTGAGTGAGACAAATGCAGCCAAGGCATGGGTCACTGAGGAGGAGATGAAACAAGTCATTGCCTATATTCAAGAAGTTGGTGACCATGGTTTTCCACTCAGCCACAAGCAGCTTCATGAACATGTCAATGAAATATGTCATGCACGACTGGGACATACATTTCCAGGAGTTGGAGTTAAATGGACCAATCACTTTGTTGAGAAGCATGCCAACAGTCTCAAGACTTCATGGTCTCGCTCACTTGACTCAAAATGTGGATGAGCTGTCAACCCACACACCAATAAAGCTTGGTTTGATCTTCTCAAAGATGTCTTTGAGAAGTATGACATCAATGAAGACTGTATTTATGCAGCTGATGAAATTGGTATTTCACCAGATTCTGGTGAGCATGAATGTGTTATTGGAGGCAGATGGCCTGGGCCTCAATACCAGCAATGTACAGGGAATCGAGAGAACATCACCATCATTGTTACGGTCTGTGCTGATGTGTCATATCCCATATGCCAGACATAGATCCCATCATATTCCCACGCTTTTCAGACCTATTTCCAGACCCCATATCTGACTCATTCCTGGATCCCCTATCCTGTCCACCCTATGCACTTTCTGTCCAGCAAGATATCCAGACTTTACCTCCTCTTGGATACTGGACTACATCCACCACCTCACATATCTCAGTCCTGTTTCTGCCCTGCCTTCTGGATCCCCAGATCTCCAGACTTCCGGATATTAACTGTACTATCTCCAGACCATTCCCACCCTCTATCTGAGATCCTGCACCTATCCCCATTTAGGCATCTCTGCCTTTCTGGTTCTTGGTTATCTCTGTTTCCATCTTGCTGATTGATCCTTGTACAAGTCTTCATCTTCCTGTCCTCCATACTTCCAGACATCCTGTCCTATCCAGCTCACATAACTCATGTATATCAAGGCCTAGATGTCATTGTTTTTGCAGTCCTAAAACAGTGCTGGAGTGAGGAGCAGGACAAATGGGAAAGAGAGAAAGGTGAAGGCATCACAAAGGCCAATTTTATCACCATTTATGGCTGCACTCACCTCCGTGCACTCACACCAGACCTTGTTCGCATGGCTTTCTGCAAGACTGGTGTCTGGCCATTTGATCGTGATGTTGTCCCTAGCAACATGCTGGCTCCAAGTAAGGAAACCTCAACTAAATCATATCTTCCAATCACACCATCCATGCCTATGAGAGTTCTCACTGATGCCATTCAAAAGATGTCAACACAGCTTAGTAACAATGGAAATGAAGAAGAACATTCAATAAACTCATCATCTAGTACTCAGGAGGATCTCAAGACCATTATCAAACAACTTGCTGAAACATCATTGTCAAAACTCATCTCACCAACACCAATGAACTCACAGACTGACCTTCAGCATACCACAGCCCACACTATCTCCCCCATCAAGAAATCATGTACATACACCTATGACAAATATTCAGAGCCCCTTCAGTGACAAACTCTGTATTATATGGGCCAGTGGACTATGGGCCAATGTTATGTATATCCTCAATGTTGATGGGTGGGCCCATCTATGCTGATGTTATAAATATCCTCAATGATGGTGGATGGGCTGGAAGAAATATTATTACCAATGGAGATGGGTGGGCCCATCTGGGCAATATGTAGAGTAGGGTAGACATATATTATAGACAGCTGGGCTGAAGAGAGATGTATGGTAGATATTATTATATAGATGGGTGGGCCAAGGTGGGGGTTATATTAGATAGACAGGTGGGCCGATGGGGTGGGGAAATATGTATTATATATACAGGTGGGCTGATGGAGGGGGATGTCATATAAATGGGTGGGCTGATGGGGTGGGAAATATGTATTATATATACGGGTGGGTGTCATATGCCAGTCCGGACTCTCAACTCTAAATCCACTTCTCTGGATATCCAGATCCGAGATCCAGGTCTCAAATGATCTGATCTATCTTTATCTTCCTTCCAGAATCCAAACCCTATATCAGCGCCCAACCCCATTTAGACTTCCCCTGTCTCCAGACTCCGGTTAACCATGTTTCCCTTCTGATTATTGATCCATTACATACATTCCATTTCCAGTGTTCATTATTTGTGATCCATCCTACTTACTAATAGAATTTGCATATGCTTTGTACATAGCCTTTATGTTTGCTGACTGATTCCTATATGATACCTACAGTATATAAACCTCCTGTAACTCTTGGAAATACTCCAGTTTGAATATCATCTTAGTTCCTGCTCATTCCTGTGTCCTCTGGACTTGAGACAAGTCTCTTGTCATATTCTGAGTCTTAGGATTGCATCCTAGACTACATTTCCAACTCTACCTTAAGGTAGTCTATCCTCTGTTAGTTTCTAGTCTGGACTTCATCCAGATTAGTCTTATCTGCTTGCCCAAGTAACATCCGGACATCTGTTGGATTTATCTCACGTTTCAGATCTGGATGTCTGTTGTCTGCCCTAGTCAAATCCTGGAAACTCTGGATGACTGTTCTAGCCCCCAGAAATTAAGGGCACATACTCAGGAAAGGGGCACAGCATACAAGCTGAGGCCAAGCCCTTGTGATCTGACCCCCTTGAGCATATGACCTTAACAGTGGGCCGACGTAGGGTATATTAGATAAATGGGTATGCCCAAATACATATCATTTAGACATATGGGCCAAGGTATTGGTATACTATATGGACATATGAGCAATGCTGTTGCACTAGTTTTGATCCAAGTCATCAATGACATTCAGACTCAGATCCTGTCAACATTGATCAAAGTCAACACAGTGAGTACTGAGTCCCAAAACCCAAACATCGAACCCCGACCATTAAAACCCAAAACCCAAAACTTCAAAACACCAACATCAAAACTCAAAACTCAAAACTCAAAACTCAAACATTTGTATGACTGTCAAGTTTCCTGTCTTGAATCACTGAGTCCCGCATACCAAATGCCAACACCTGAAGTTGTGTTGGTAGCTGGACTCAGGACTTGGTGATTTGATACTTGAAAGTTGTACCAATATCTGAATTTTGAGTTTCAAGTTTTGAGTTTCAAGACTTGAATCACCGAGTCCTGAGTCCCGAACATCAAAACCCAACACTTGAAACTCAAAAGTCATACTGATATCTGAATTTCGAGTTTCGAGTTTCAAGACTTGAATCACTGAGTCCCAAAACCCAAAACCCAAACATTGAAACCCAACACCCAAAACTCGAAGGTTGTACCAATATCTGAATTTTGAGTTTTGAGTTTTGAGTTTCAAGACTTGAATCACCAAGTTCCGAAACCTGACACCCAAAACTTGAAAGTTGTACCAATATCTGAATTTTGAGTGTCAAATTTTGAGACTTGAATTACCAAGTCCCGAAACCTGACACCTGAAACTCGAAAGTTGTAAAAATGTATGAGTTTCAAGTATTGATTTTCAAACTCAAAACTCAAAACTCAAAACTCATACATTTTTACAACTTTCAAGTTTCAGGTGTTGGGCTTTGGGTTTTGGGACTCGGTGATTTGAGTCTCAAAACTCAAAACTCAAAACTCAAAATTCAGATATTGGTACAACCTTTGAGTTTCAGGTGTTGGGTTTTGATGTTCAGGTTTTGGGACTCGGTGATTTGAGTCTTGAAACTCAAAACTTGAAATTCAGATATCAGTATGACTTTCAAATTTCAGGTGTCAGGTTTTGATGTTCAGGACTTGGGTTTTGGGACTTGGTGATTCAAGTCTTGAACCTCAAAACTCAAAACTCGAAATTCAGATATTGGTACAACCTTCAAGTTTTGGGTGTCAGGTTTTGATGTTCAGGACTTGGGACTCGAAACCCAACAGTCGTAACAATGTATGAGTTTCAAGTTTTGAGTCTTGAATCACTGAGTCCTGAAACCCAAACATCAAACCCCTTATATTGAACCCCAAAATCCAAAACTTGAAACTCGTCAAAATGTATCAGTTTTGAGTTTTGAGTGTTGAGTTTACAAATCAACACTCAAACCTCAAAACTCATACATTGTTATGACTGTTGGGTTTTGAGTTTCAATGTTTGTTTCTAACTTTTGGGTTTCACTACTCAGTACTTGAGACTCAGTGATTGACTAAATGGACTGGCAGAGGTAACATTCATTGAAAAACTTGTACATATGTCTATCACTATGTGTCATATCCCACAATCTGGACCCATGTTCCATCATATTCCCACGCCTTCCAAGCCTACGTCCGGACCACACTTCATATCCAACTCATTCCCAGATCCCCTTCTGCTGTGTGCTCCACACCTCAGCAGGATTGACTATGCTCCAGATTTACCCCTGAGCTCTGGACCATCGGATCTCCACTGCTAGCCTGAACCATAACCCCCTGTCCCATCCACCCTATGTACACTCCATCCAGCAAGACATTCGGACTTCACCTCATCTCGGATTCCAGACTCTATCCACCTTCTCATATCCTGGTCCCGTATCCACCTTGTCTTCTGGATCCCCAGATCTCCGGACCTATTCCCACCCTCTGTCCGATATCCTGCGCCTATCCCCATTTAGGCATTCTCTGCTTTCTGGCTTTCAGTTACCTCTTCTTCCGTCTTGCTTATTGATCCTTGTATGAGTCTTCATCTCCAAGTTCATTTACTTATGTTCTGTCTTACTTACTAATGTGTTTCCACATGCTCATACATAGCCTTGCTCCTTTGCTTACTGATCCCCTCAGATACTGTTCAGTATATAACCCCTGTAGATACTCCTGTAGTTCCTTAGTTTGAATATCAACTTAGACTTGCCCAATCCTCTCTTGGACTTTGGTCCACCTAAGTCTGTCCTACTCATCAGGCCTAGGGATTGATTCCCTAGGCCGGAGCTCCGCCTTTCTGGCACTTTCCCTCTTTCCAGACTTAGGTCCAATCCCTGTCTCTCCGACTCTACCTTAGGGTAGTCTACCTCTGTTTGCTTCTACATTGGACTTCATCCGATGTAGCCCCTATTCCTTCTGGACCTCCGGACCTCCTGTCCCTTGTACCTCCGGGCATCCTGTCCTTTGGATGTTCCGCCCTCCATACCTTTGGACGTTCTGCCCTCCGTACCTTTGGACGTTCTGCCCTCCGTACCTTTGGACGTTCTGCCCTCCGTACCTTTGGATGTTCCGCCCTCCATACCTTTGGACGTTCTGCCCTCCGTACCTTTGGACGTTCTGCCCTCCGTACCTTTGGACGTTCTGCCCTCTGTACCTTTGGACGTTCCGCCCTCCGTACCTTTGGACATCCTGTCTTTCTGTCCTCCATCATCCTGTCCTCCTGTCCTCCTGTCCTCTGGACCTTCGGACCTCCTATCCTTCCATCCTGTTTCCTGTAGAAGTATTACCTTGCAGTGGGAACTCTCCAGAGCACTTCCTGTGTTCCCCCAGAACTCTCCCACACTCCTCCAGACGTTTCCCATGCTCCTCTGGAAGTCCTCTAGCGCTCTCCAGCAGAATAGCCAGCCTCCGGAAGTCCTCCAGACTTTGTCGGACCATCATCAGACCTCATATGAAATGAAGGGCACATACTCAGGTAAGGGGCACAGCGTACGAGCTGAGGCCAAGCCCCTCTGAGTCAGTCTCTCTCCCCCTTGAGCAACATGGTTCTTAACACTATGCAATTATGTAGCCATGTCAACCTCCTCAGAAGACACTTCAACATTCACCTCAACATCCATGTCATTGGAAGAATCATATTCTGGGACCAGGTTGCCTGGATCACCTGGGTCCACAATTTTGCTGGATGTATCTGGAAGCTCTGGTTGAACAACCTGGTTGCACTCAAACAGGAGGCCCTCAATGGCAGAGGCATCCTCAAATTTTGGGGTTGCGGGTGTCATCTCTCCAATCAAGAGATCAATGGGAGGGGGGAGTGCAGATGCAGATGGTGACATGGACAGGGGGATGGATTGATCAAGCAACAAGGATGTTGCATTGGCTGGAGGTTCAGGAAGTGGGAATGTGGGGTGCTGGTCGATGATTTCATGCCTAAGGCCTTCATGGAGGCATTGCAGGGTATCAATCTTACCATCCTGCTCTGCCACATGAGCCTTGAGAATGGCGATGCAAGCTGCACCATCCCAAATCACAATTGCCATGGCATGGAGATCCAGCATGGGCAGGTCAAGTGCTGCAGCAGGGACTGCCAGACTGGGTGCTGGAGCAGGGACTGCCAAACTTGAAGATGGAGGTGCTACAAGGGAAAATTATGGTCAGATGGTGATGAAACAAAACTTGGGTGACTTATGAGCTGGTGTAGGTGCAGGTGCCTTGATGGTAGTGATGGTCTTGCTGTGACCACACATCTGGGTCTTGGGGGTTGTCACAGCTGCGACACCCAGAGTTCTGGACTTGCCATGAGACTGACTGTGAGTCCAGGCCTTGGATTGGGAGGTGGGGGGAGCTTTGGAGGGAGCCTTGGAGGGCGTCCTGGACCTTGTGTTCCAGGTGGTAGAGGACCCACAAACGTGTTTTGGTGGGGTACCCATAGTCGCTGGGATGCACTTGACCTTCTTTGTTTTGCAGTGGACACACAACATACACAGATTCCTGGTCCTCTTGTCCAACTGAGTTGCACAGTCCCAGTTTAGCTTGGTGCAAACCTGGCATGGGTTGTTCTGTGGATTGTGTTAGTGAATGGATGCTTGTCAAATAAATTAAAGTACTCACTGGTCCAGGAATGAGAATATCACCTCCATCAATGACCGGGGGTGCCTGGGCCAAAGGGCTTTGTGGTTGGAACCCAGGGTGATCTAGGTGAATTGGAGAGCCAGGGAAGGATGACATCTGGCACTCCACCTGACAATGGCTACAAGAAAATGTGAGCCAAGTCAAAGACGAACCAGATGACATACCTGAATACCCACGTCTTCCTCATCTTCCAAGTCCACTAGGGGCTTGGATGTCACCCAGCAAGAGGACTTTGCATGCTTGCAAGTCTTCATCACAGACTTTGGTGGTTGGGAGGAGAGTCCTGAAATCATGGGAGACTTCCTCTTCCAGCTCCCTTCCACCTCAGGCTCCAGGTCAGCATCAATGGCCTTACCTTTCCCCTTGTCCCAGAACTTGGTGGTAGTGCTGGTGGAGGGACTGGTGACATTGCTGGTGCAAATGGGTGGGGAGGGAAGGTCCACTGGAATTGGACCTGTGGAGGGAGGAGCAGCAACTGGGAGATCAAAGGTATGGTCACCTGAGGCCTCCCAGGCAAGGAGCTTGGGGCACCAGACGTGCATCAAGAGACAGGGATCATTGTACCCAATGTTGTGCCAGTTGGGCCAGACCTGGGGAGTCATGCCCTGGACATGCAATAGCTCCTTGGAGCATGAAAGCACGATGCTGGGCAGGTGTTCAGACCCATAGTCCTTGATCACTTGAGCCTGCCTGGATGTTAGAGAGAAAAAAAGAAAAAAAAAAAGCAAGCTACATACCACAAGTGAACTGACCTGTGTTGTCAGAGAAAAGTGGCTGTTACCCAGGGGAATCTGTTGGGTGCTGCTGATGATGGCCATGATCTGGGCAGTGGATGCCTTGAGACCAGTCAAAGAGTTGTCAACTGGAGTGGACATGATGATTGAGTTGAGAGATTTAAAGATCTTGAAATAGGGTTGAAATCAGTTATCACAAGGATGAAGTTTCAAAAGAAACAACACATTTGATGGACAATTGATAAAATTGTTGATTGTTTGTCTTTGTTTGGTCCCAGTTCAACTTCCAGCAATTGCCAGTTTTGTGTTGAACTTCGAAGTTTTTTCAATTATCAGTCAACAAATCAGTAAGTTCCCCACACAACATGAGTCCACAGTCAGCCATTCGATTCAATGACCCTCCAGTGACCGACTACAATTCAATGGATGTGGATGAGTCCACTGTGTCCCAGGCATCACTAGGTGTGTTGTATTTTTATCATGCCTTATCTATTTACTGGGTATCCCTTAGATGATCTATACCTAGGGCTGGATGATGACATAGAATATGATTCTCTGTCATCCAGATCACCAGATGTCTTGGCTGCAATACCCAGTGAGTTTATCCATTCATTAGGATCAAGGATCACCATCCATGCTCACTAACCCCTTGCAGATCAATCACCTCTGGCTCAAGCTGATCATCCAGGTTTTCTCATCAATCCAGACTTGTACCTTGGGCCTGAGGATGATATCATTGATGTGGATGAGTTGCCAGATTCTGCTGATCCTAAGATTGATGTTCCAGCTGCATCAGAAGTGTCTATGTCATGTGAGTCCATTCATTCCAGAGGATTATAGATACTTATTGTATCTCCCAAGTGGATGACACCTCTAACAAACTTCAGTCAGAGCAGCCGGAGCTCACTAACAAAGATTTATGTTTAATGGCCTGGGAGTTCCAACCATTTGGGTCATATGAATACACTGGGTGTGAGTATCTGACCAAGCAGATCATTTATCTCTGTGCTAATTTTTCTGCAAGTGCAATTCATTCAAGATTGACTTGGTGATTACAAACACTGTACTGGGGATCTTCCTGATCCTTCCATTCCACTGCTACTCGAGGCCAAGCGACCCTTCCAGATGGCTTGGGCAGAAACTTCTGACAAACTCAGAAGAGCTGATGTGGACCTCCAGAGGTTGCAAAGAACCCAATGGATGAGCATTGAAATGCTCAAGGTAGTAGATTCACTGATCAATCAGTTTGAAGATCAGATTCAAATGTAAAGTACTGAATGTTTGATAGTAGTAAAATCACATGTAAACTTCTGAATTTTCATTAACATACCCACATTGTGTAAACAACTGAATTTGCAACGCATTCCTCTTCCATTTCCAATTGTGTTCCAGAGGCTCAGGAGTTCCTGGGTGTTGAACATGGAAGTTTAAGTCTCACTTTGGCTCACTGAGTCCCGAGTGTCAAACACCAAAGTTCAATTCTTGCTGTACAGAGGATTGCTGAGTCCCAAGTTTGATCTTTGAATCGAACTTGGGACTTGGTGATCCTCTGTACAGCAAGAATTGAACTTTGGTGTTTGACACTCAGGACTCAGTGAGCCAAAGTGAGACTTAAACTTCCGTGTTCGACACCTGGGAACTCCTGAGCCATGAAGATTGAATAACATTGACATGTACATAAAGGCAGGCAGTGTAGTATCAGTCCATTACTCCTTTCCCCTTGCTCTTATCACTCAAGAGGTATTGTCTGATGGCTGTTGAGTTGATTTACTCCAGGTTGTCCTCACTGATGGCTCAATTGCCGGTTTTTTTCCCCGCATGTTTTTTTGGCACTGGAGACATGTGCTCTCCTTCCAATCCAACATCTTCCTCAATATTGCCAGTGACTCCATCACTCATCCCAGCCAGGAGGTCACCCATTCATGATGTCAGCAGTGCACCAGTTTTTGCCGGCTTGACCAGGCAAGGCTTTGGAATTGCATGTGGGACTGCTGTCCCTTCATGTGCTGTCAAAGGACCTGGCTCTCTTCTGGGTCTCTTTTGCAGGGATCTACCATCAGCCACATCATCATCAACATCATCCTCCATGTGATGAGAGTCACTCTTGGGATTACTCCCAGGATTGCTCTCGGTGTTGGTTGACAAATTCCAAGGCCTTCAGATCATCTGCTTTCTGACTTTACAAGTCTGATGAGAAGGTGAATTCCCAGACACCACTGATGCTACCATGTCTCTGTCTTTGTTCTTCCATGCTTTGAACAGGAATGTTGGTCCTTCACCTTTCTCCTGCTGAGCATGCCAGAAATTGAGTAAGGCCATAGTGTCCCAATTTTGCAACTTGGAAGGCTCCTTCAAGTCCACATCCGCCGGAATATACTTCCTTGCCACAAAGTCATCCTGACTTTGTATGATGGCACTCCATGGCATGACTGCCTTGTCACTCCTGGAACAGATCCCTGTGTCCATGCATTCAACAAATTCTTGGGTGTTGCAATGATAGACTCACGATAGTGCGATGTAAGAAATGCCCTCACTATGGCCTTCTTCTCCTTGAGTTTCATTTTGGTAATGTCCAGAAGCAATGGCATCCCATCTCTGTCGGTTTCCAGTTTGAAAGCAGGCTTTCTGATTATTTTTCAACCTCCCTTCATCTGTTGTCCTCCATCCCATGCCCTGGCACCTATCATCATGATGATCAACAAATTCCTTCTAGTAGCCAGAGTTCAAACACTCACTGAACTGTTCCTGCATGTACTCCTGCCAAACTGGCTCGATGTCCTCCCAGTCCTTTGTCTTCATGAAGCTGTCCCCATCTCCTAATGCCTCATTATCATCGTGCCTGCATGACATCAATTGAGATTGAAGATCTGCAATGGCAGACACAATTCACTTACATCCTGAACAGCACCTCTCCCTGTTCATTCTTCCAAGCTGACATCACAAACACTCTCATCCTGCATTGCCTCCACATCTCCTTTGAAAAGTGCTCCATATACACAGGTCCCTTCTTGTGAGCAACTTGTGCCTGTATCTCAGGAGGAGGAAAGTTGTTGGACCATTCTTCAGCTGTTTCCTTCACCTTCTCCAACTCGTTGTTGGATAATTCAGCCATGACTCTCTTCACAGCTGCCTGATAATGCTTGAACATACTGGGACCTCCTGGCTTTGCTGTCATATCCACATATCCAGATCTCAGATCCGACCCTTATCTCATCTCAGATCCACATCTTATCTCCGATGCTATCCACATCTTATCCCCCTCCAACATCTTGTCATTCAATCTGTCCACTTGTCTGGTCTGGTCCACAACTCATCCGAATCCACAACCAGCGCTCATCTCTTTTTGGTAACCCCCTAACTCCAGTATTTTGGTTATCTGTATATCTGTCCTGCTCCCTTATCCACTACCTATGTTTCATTTCTGTTTCATGATTTGTGATCCGTTTCTACTTACCAATAGACTATCCACATGCTTTGTACATAGCCTTGGACTCTGCTGATTGATCATTCTGTTAGATACCTATAGTATATAACCTCCTGTAACTTTCTGTAGTACCTCAGTTCGAATATCATCTTAGTTCTACTCATTCCTGTCCTCCAGACTTGAGTACCTCTACTCTTGTCACCCTCCGAGACTTAGGATTGATTCCTATAGTCTATCCATATCCGCCTCTGTCCCCGACAGTCCACTACCATTAGTTTCTATTCTGGACTCATCTGGATTAGCCTTATGATACTTATCCCTCATCCGGAAGTCATCTGGATCTGTTACACTACTCATCTGACCTTCTGGACGTGCTAGTCTTGCCTTCCTAAAATAAGGGGCAATACTCAGGTAAGGGGCACAGCACATGAGCTGAGGCTGAAGCCCTTCAGATCCAGTTACCCTTTGAGTATGACCTTAACATTTGCCCTGGACTTGTCCTTGATCCTCTTTAGCACCTCTTCCTGGTTCTGCTGGTAGATCACCATCCTAGGCATCCATTTCCTCCCATACTTTATCATGTCCTTCCTTTCCTTCTTTTTCCTGTTGTTGAACAACCAAGTCTTGTATATCTGGGTGTTGATGGAAGAATAAAATTTTAAAATTTTAGTTTTTTAACACAGGGAGGATGAATCACCTGCTTCCTCTTCTTCCATTGTGCTTGGTCAACCTTAGGAGCAAATAACCTGGCAGCCCTAGCTATGGCAGTGAAAACTGCTTGCTTCTCTTTCCGTTTTGCTAAAGTCCACTCAGGAAGGTAGTTCTTCAACTCCAAAATTTCATTTTCCATGAGCTTCTGTGTCTGTGGTTGATGTGCCCTATGTCTTCCAGAAGTCAACTGAGTGAAGTGACCTGATCTTGCCATGGTGAATGAGATTACAGAATGGGCTGAGGATAAGCAAGGTGGAAGTAATAATGGTGACAAGTTGAACTTTGAGCAAAGCCTGACAGTTGGTTAATCAACCCATATTGGATGCAATGCCATTAGTGGAAATGAATTTGTAATGATGCATCAAGACTGCATAACATCATATTGCAACAATGATTCATTTGACCTTCCTGAGCTAATGCTTTGCTTGCAACATCAGAAAATAAGATGAAGATAGGCAGATGCACCCCACTGCAAAAATCACACAGGGTAGAAGCAAGGGGCAGCAAAGGTAGGAAAACTTGGGTCAAGGTCCCACTTGCTAGCACAAAATGACATGCCTACAGGTCCATGCCTGACTCTCCCCCAGAATCACCAACACTTCAGCCTGTTGAGGCACCACCTCCTTGGGAAGACTTTCCTGACAATGCTTATGAGCATGACCAAGGCTCATTTGAGCCTTTGCAACTCCCAAAAACCATGGCAAGTTCATGTAAAATGTTGGATTGTCATTCAAATGATAGCTAAGCATAACAAATACAGAGTCAGAATGACTACCTCAGGCAATGGCTGCCAAGGCAGGAATCATATCTGCATCACCTCCTGGATCAAGAAGCTCCACCAGAAGATAGGAGATGCGTCATCTGCAACCAGGATGGGGTCTACAAATGTCAAGATTGTCTTGGGGAGCCACTATATTGCACTGGCTGTTGCAGGAGTCAACATTGTCGCAATCCTTTCCACTGGATCAGTCAATGGAATGGTCAATTCTTCAAGCAGAGTTGTCTCACCCATGTCGGACTCATCATACACCTCAGTCATGATGGCAAACAATGTCTGGTCCTCACAGATAGGTGGGATTTGTTTGAAGAAGACCAGCATGAAGACCAGCTTGAGCCTGAAGATTGACCATCTGTGTTGGGACCTGAGTTCCAGCCGAAGGAAAACACCATGGTCATCATTGACAAGTCCAGAGTTCATCACCTTGAGGTTCGATGCTGTGATTGTCCAAATGCCATGAGTCCAGACATTCAAATGTTTTGACATGGATTTTTCCCACATCATTTAACAAGCTGAAGACTTTGTTCACCTTCAGGGTGCTTGATGATTTTCTATTGGACAACCTTGAATGTGGCACCTTGGTGATGAACTATTACAGTAAGCTCAGGTGAATGACCTCGAGCATGTTTCCACATCTTGTTCCAGTAATGCCAAATCTCCAACATCTAAAGTGTTACGGCGAACCGTAATTCGACTAGGATGGGCTCGACAACAGGTACTCGATAAGAGTAACACCTGAAGCTGGATCGTGTCCTTACAAATGTAAGGTTCTTAAGACAAGGCAGAGAGAGTGTCTCTGACTTGAATATCGGTATCAGACGACTTAGGATTGGAGGTCCTAAGCGAAGGATGTTCTGGGTAAAACCTAGTAGATTAAAGTGAAGTCTAACTAAGTACAAGACCCTGCTTATATAGGTAGAGCCACTTTAGGGCCGGTACGTACACGTCATCGAGACGAGTCATAGATAAGAGAAATGACGTCAGAGATGAGTCATAGATAAGAGAAATGACGTCATCGAGATGAGTCATAGATAAGAGAAATGACGTCATCGAGACGAGTCATAGATAAGAGGTATGACGTCAGCTAGCGACGGCATGAGGCGGTCGTGCTGTAATACATGAGTATGATGGCGGAGTTAGTCTAGTGATGGCACGGTGAAGTGCGGTCATGACGTGATACAATGTGAGAGAAAATGATAGGGCCCAGCCGTTACTGTAACATAAAGGACATTATATTGACACAGCATGTAGCAAGGACTGATACAGGGAGCTCATGAGAGTTGCTTGACAGTGGAGGCAGTTGAAGGCCATGAAATGGCATGGATTTGGCCATCATTCTGACAACCCGAATGCAGGAGATCTCACATTGTTTTGCCCCACATGTCCTCAGCCTGGGATTAATGTATCCTTGTCAGGGGATGAATCACTTGATGAGTGAGTCTAGTTTGATACTGAAGTCACCTCAGCTATAATAACAACTCCAAGCTGGAAATACACCTGGTCATTTGTTATGGATGGAAATTTCAAAGCCAAACACCTGCATCCCATCAAGCCATTTGATGAAGTGTGGCTTTCCGATGGGTTGGGATTCATGGTGAGAAAGGACAGGTATAAAAGCCATCTTGCAGAGGCTGCTGACACATTGGAAAAATCAAGCTGCAACCATCACTGGGTGGTGAATCAAGCAAATGTGGCTCAGCACAAGCTGGAGTCCATGGGAATTGGGGGAGTTGCCTGTGCCCGACACAGTTTCTTTGTCCCTCACTCAATGGTAGATTTTCAGAAAGGCGAAAGGCAAGCCAACCATGCCATTCTACATTCACAAGTTAATGGTGCATCATTTGCAGACAAATGAACATGGATTATGCCCTTTGTGAGGCTGCCCAGCACAACATAGAAGGCATAACCAGGGCTGTCACCTTCTATGACATCAACTGTCAATACAACAAGCATTTTTGGGCTCAGGTGGATCGAAGCCAATTTTTCAAAATGGTTCCAGAATTGACCATCATTCCTGGAATCGGGTTGTAGCATGTCCATGGACATCAGGACAGCTGCTATGTCCGATATGTGTCGAATTTTATTGAAGGCATCAGTCAGATCAATGGTGAGATCATGGAGACCCTATGGTCACATCTCAACCTGATTTCCCCTGCTGCTCAGGGAATGTCATCCCTGCATTGAAAGGAATGTCTTGATTATCAGATGAATGATTCCAATTTCTGCAAGATGATCCACATAAAAAGGACTCTTTGCTGTAAATACAAGCAGGTGAAGAATGGCATTGCTGAAAGTGAAAAGGCTTTCAACAGACTCAATGAAGCAGCGCCCATAGCTTCAAAGAAAGAATGGTTAGCCAGCAAGAGAATCACTCAGTCCAGCAGAATAAATGATCCTGCGGCAATGGATGTATATGAGATTAATATCAAGAAGGGTAAGTTGACTTTGGCTACATCAAAGTCAGAATTAATTGTTGCACTCAGCACTGAGCAAAAAGGAGATCGAGCTTAGACTGCTGGAGGAGGGTAATGCCCGTAATGCAGCACCTGCTCACAGATCAGTGGCAACATGGATATCAATGGGTGTTACGAACTAGGATGATCGTAACAACAGCAGCTTGATAAGAGCGACAGCTGAAGTTATAGTCAAGACCTTGCAAATACAAGGGTTGTAAGACAAGTCAAAGAGAGTGTCTTTGGCTTGAATATCAGTTCAGATGACTTAGGATTGGAAGTCCTAAGCAAGAGAATGTTCAGGTGAAAACCTAGTAAGATTAAAGTAAAGAACTACTAAGTACATTGTTGACTATATATATGACTATAGATGCTTCAGGGCAGGCATAAGTCAACAATGAGTCAGAGATAAGAAATGAGTCATCTGGCAATGGTGATCGTGATGTAATACAAATGAGATAGGTCTAGTGGTGGCATCATGTGGCTTGTGACATAATACAAGGATAGTAAGGAGAAAATGAATAGGGGCATATGTGACTGTAACAATGGGGTTGGCAATTGAAGAGGCTCAAATTGCATTGGTCATTGAGCTCTGAAGAATTGGAAGAAGAACTACAGAGACATGGAGATTGGACATCACCCAGCAACATGATCGTCTCCAAGGCCAGATAGATGGATTCACTTGGTCTGCTCTTATGCATCTGGGAGAGGGATTTGATGCAGACAATGATCCTGATGACTTGAATGTAGACATTCTCGATGATCTTGATGATGACCCGGCAGATTTCACTGACACATCTGATACATGGGCGAACTCCCCCAAGCTCACTGTCATCCCATTGCCATCAAACCTCAGGGTAGATTGAAGCAGACGCTGTATGGCAGAGGATCTGATTCACAACTTCTGGATTCACTTGTGCAACAAGGCAATCCTGTTCCAAACAATGGTCAGGCAGGCCAAATCTCAAGCCCTGAAAACTCGAGCTTGGTCCCAGGTGACATCAGTGCAGCAGGCAGTGTCCCTCCATGCCAGTATATATACAAAGACCCAGAAGCAAATGATGCAACTCAAGCCAGGGCAAGACCAGCTTCAGACATACAAACCACTGCTTCAGGAGCAGCTCAAAATCAGCACTGCTGTTGGTGATCCAAATGCCCAAGGTCAGTGGAACAAGTCCCTCTCTTGGTTCTGGTCTGTCAATGTGGACCTGGGGGGTCCAGATCACTTGTGGAATGAGGAATGTGAATTCAGGCATGCTTGACGTATCCCGTGCTCAGCTAATGGGACCCATCTGAAGTTTACCAAGTTCATTGGCTTCAGGCAAAGGCCCTATGGGATCAATGGAAGGAAGAAATGACATTGGTCCAATTGGAGATGGATTGGACATGCAACTTTTTCTTGTGGAAAGCAACCCAATGGGGCGACAGGATGTGGGAATCATTGATGAAACACCTTCCAGGTTATTCATGCTACTTGGGAAGGCAATCCCAAATGTATTCATTACTGGCACAGGATGCCCAGGCAGCATTTCAAGACCTGCAGAGTGGGTTCATAGACACTTGAGATGAATGAACTTTTTTGCCAATGATATGTAACAGCTACTTTGACCCAAACATTTTAGTCTCAGGAAATGCCCGGATGAACAAACATTGGAGTTTGAAAATTTTTATCCATCAACCAGTGGCTCATATCTTCACATCCAAACCAGCTGGCATTGTGATTGTGATTTCCAGCTTCATACTCCTGCATTAGCCATGCCTGTATTGCAAACTCCTCCTGCATCCCCTTCTGATGCCATGGATTCCAGCAATGAATACCAACCCCTCACACTTGGTCTTGCAGATATTGCAGCCACAATGTGAATGGCTGCATCGCACATCCAAGCATTGATCTCCCAATATCAGATGGAGGCTGCCAACACCAAGGAGCCTTCTGCTGCTCAGATCATGCACTTTAAAGCTGGGCTGCAATGGGAGATTGCTGTAAGAGACTGATGACTGTGGTGGTCAATGCTGAGATTTCCAACAGACTTTTATGACACCCATCTTGCAGTACTCAGCTGCAAGGCACATCATCTCGGTCATTCCAAACCCAGTCGCCCATATTCTTCAGTTGTTTCCCCAGCTCACCTGGAACACAGTTCCAGACCACATCTTTTCATCCAACTTATGTCTCTTTCATGATGTTGCAGATCTGGGAGATCCCTCCAGGATTATATCTGGCTATGATACTGCATGGTGGATCAGACACACTGCAATCCCAGATGAATTATGGCAATGGGACCGGGTAATGGGTTGCTGTGTCTTTTGCTATCAGCATTGGCTAGTAAGAACTATGAACAATTTCCTCAAGTGATGATTAATCTGTTCTAGGGTGGCATTGAGGACAATGGTCTGATTCTTCCTGAGCAGGTGGATAACACCTCGGTTCCATCACTGATGGGACTGAGGTGGCTTAAAGAACACCTCTGGACATTGGTTGAGGAGCAAGAAGAGGGCATCAGTGAAAAGATGGCAGAGATTGATGTGTACACCAGCATCCTGACCAGATTGAAGAGAGGCAGAGGAGAGTAGTGCTAGTCCTTGAGTTCAGAATGTTGATGTCCAAACTCCATGAAAATGACATACAGTCTTCCAAATATCTAACCTAACATTATGTGCCAAGTCCTGAATACTGAACATTGAGTATTGAGTACAGACAATTGTATATCATGTTGTGAATGTGGACTCCTGAATATTGAGACCCAAATGGTGAATATTGAGTATTGAGTATTGAGATTCAGATATTGAGACCCGGCTATCAAATATTGAGTCCCCAATACTGAGTCCCAAATATCAAGTACAGAGTTCACAATACCGAGTCCTGAACATGGACTACCGAATCTCGAGACCTGATCATCAAATATCAAGTTCTGAATATCAAGTCCTGAATACCAAATACCAAGTCCCTAATATCATGATAGTGGACATTTGGAACTCGATATTTGGAATTTGACATTCCATAGTTGGGTCTCAAATATCAACACCCGAATACCAAATACCAAATGCTGAGTCCCTAATATCAAATGCCAAGTCCCTAATATCAACACCCAAATACCAAATACCAAATACTGAGTCCCTAATATTGACACCCAAATATCAAGTTGGGTTTTGATATTCAATACTCGCTAGTTGGGACTCAGTATTTGGTATTCAGGGGTCAATATGAGGGACTTGGTATTCAGTATTTGGTATTCAGGACTCAATATTTGATATTAGGGACTCGGTATTTGGTATTTGGTATTTGGGTGTTGATATGTGAGACCCAACTATGGAATGTCAAATTCTGAATATTGAGTTCTGAGTGCCCACTATCGCAATATTAGGGACTTACCAAATACTGAATACTGAGTCCCTAATATTGTGATAGTGGACATTTGGAGCTTGATATTCAGAACTCAATATTAGGAATTCGACATTCTATAGTCAGGTCTCACATATCAACACCCAAATACCAAATACCAAATACCAAATACTGAGTCCCTAATATTGAATATTGAGTCCCTCATATCAAGTCCTGAATACTGAATACCAAATACCAAATACCGAGTCCTGACTAGTGAGTATCGAATATCAAAACCCAACTCGATATTCAGGTGTCAATATTAGGGACTTGGTATTTGGTATTTGGTATTTGGGTGTTGATATTAGGGACTTGGCATTCAGTATTTGGTATTCGGGTGTTGATATTTGAGACCCAACTATGGAATGTCGAATTCTGAATATCAAGTTCCAAATGTCCACTATCAAATATTGAGTATCGAATATTGCCCATCGAGTCTTGAGTTCTGGATATTGAGGCCTGAATATTCAAGATCCTGATATCTAATATCTGGTATTTGACAGTACATGCTAACATGGGTAACTACACTTTCCACTTGTTTCATCTTTCACTGTTTGTAATCCACCCTAGCCCATCCACATGACAGAACCCCAGCATAAACATGAATGGAATCCCTCATATACCATGCCCAAGCAATCCAATCCCCTTCCACTGCATGAACCCCATGTCTCATGATCCTTCCAGAAAATGTAATCATGCAACCCGGATTGTACCTGAACTCCAGCTGAAGGCTTGGCATGCTCATCCAAGCATTAAAATAATTCCCCACAGTAGTGAGAATGTCGAAGCATTCTGGAATAGATAAATGGTCTCGATGATTGGGGGTTTCCCGATTGGAAATGATGGACAGGCTGTTAAACACAGATGCCCAGTACTGGAGAGTCTCTGACATCTTTGGCAGTTCCTTGCTTTCTGCCTTTTCTCCGAGGCTCAAAAAGGCTTGCAAACCTGCCCAGTACTGCTCAGGATGCATCATCCTGAGTGCCGCTGTTGCAATGGCTGCTGGCCTTGCAATCACTTTGAGGATCTTCTTGGAGGATGCCCCCTTCAATGATGCAGATACCTCCAGATCCGACTGATTCTAGGGGATTCATGAGTTTGACTACCAAAATCACCATTGCATCAGATCCTACCTTGTGCCCCTGTTGAAACCATGCCAGAGACAAATTGATGCACCCAGGAGTTAAGACATTGTTTTCCGAGCTTGGTTTGAACCACTCTTGATTAGTTCGCCAATTGCTGTCAAGCTTAATGCTTTTTTTGAGGATTGGAGCAAGCAAATCAGAGGCCACCCAAATTTCCTTCTGTGGGCACCATTTGATGTTCAATATCCATTGAGTAACAATATATATTACACACCTGGGTGGCATCAGTCAGGGCGTCCAGGACGTACCATGCAATGATGGCACCAGATGCATCAAGAATTGTGGTGGGTATCTCCACCAACTTTGTGCCCTCATGGCCAGGGGGACACCTCTCAAGCAACTTCTCCTCTCTCTCTTCATTATGCCTGGTGTCCTTTGTGGAGATCACTTTGCTGTATCTTGCAACATCAATCTGCATCTGAACTGTGATGAAGCAATTTGACTGATAAAACCAATTTTCCAAATCCACAGGAAGACCCACTGGGATTTTTATATGCCTTTATCAGGTGATCAACCAATCAATCACAAGCCATCACCAGATCAGTGTCTAGGTTCAGAGAAGGTATAACTGGGTCTCCTCCTGTCTTCTCTGCATTGAATTTCTGTTCAGTATATTCACATGCCTCGTGAATGACAGTCAGGCCCAGTGAAAATCGACAAAATACAGGTAGATATACGTAGATAGAAGCCTAAAAAAATAATCCCTATGAAAAATATCGATACCGTTTGACCTCTTTTGACAAATGAGACTTTTCGAGACGCAAAAAGAAAGACATCGAGAGAAAATTTAGATGTTTAGATGCGATTCTCGCTGCACAGATATCCATTTACATACGAATTTATCATGCGATTTGTTACAAAAACAGATCTAATGAGAGCAAATAAGATTATCTGTAGGTATCGCCAGGGTTAGGGTGGTATCACAAGCATTACTAGATTGGGTATCACTGCGCCTAGTGCGCCATCCCACCCTCCCCGCCCTCCCTGCCCCCTCCCCGCCATCCCACCCACTATTCATCCTGGTTGTCGTCTGCTTGAGCCAGTCCTGGGGCAGACAGCTATAGAACATGCGGTCAGTACATGTGATAGCAATGCAAAAAACACTCACCTGAACAGCTGCTTTGCGCTTGTATAACTAGTGTGATTGTAGACAGGTTAGTTAGATGTTAATAAAAGAAAATTAAATGAACCTCTTTGTCAGCTGTAGACAACCTATTCCAGTAAGTAGCGAAGACACTGGCTGGTTCCTTTTGATGGCCGTTTGACTGCCACTCGAGGGCGCAAAGATTCCTAGACAGATAGTAATGAGCTTAATTACTGAAAAATATGGAATAGGACTCACCACGCCGTGATCTTGGGGCTCACACGCATCGGCTTGGTACTCGGCTGTCGCTTCTTGATGGCATCAGCCTTCGAGTCGATCGTGTTAGCATTGACGAGTTCCATTTTCACAGCGAGTGAAGCCAGATTGGCAAGTGAAGTCGAATTCGAGCTCGATGAGATGTCGGTCATGGATACTGGTGTGATGATGTGTGAGGGCAGGACTACAGCCGGGTTGGATTCAGAACTTGAGGAGACGATAGAAGTTGAGGAATCGATAGAAGTCGGAGGAAGTTTGGGTGGAACGGGTCTGGGCCGAGGTTTCATAAGAAGATTAGAACTACATCAATCGATCAGTGAATAAGCCACCGTAAGACTTGCAACGAGGCTTGGCCAATAGACACCGGTGCGAGGCCTTGGGATTGAAGTTGCCGGAAGCTTGAGAGCATATGATTGCGGATGCTCTTTGCACAATCAGCCAAAACAGGCTCGCCTTTCTCGTCCTGCAAGTAAGTACACGACACATTGATGCCTTGCGCCATGCGCCCAGATCCTCAAGATGTGCATCTAGAACTTTCGGGTTCAGCGGATGTGCTTTTCGGATATTGTACCTGCCATTCCTTCTTCATCCATGATCGAATTGACGGATAGTCCTTCCGATCAAGTTCTCGATCACATTCTTCAGCGACTATCTCGCCCACTAACAAAGGTTTTTGATTGTTGGAAATGATGTTCGAGGTGTCACATGCGGATAGAGATGATGATGTCGATGCTACAGAGCTCATGGAACCACGGATATTGACAATAACATTCCTGTATTCGATATTTTCAGCATATATGCGCATGTACTCAATAGATTTACTTACTGTAAAGCTTGGCAAGTGGAATTGAGGCCAGCATTTTCGTTGATCAGCCTGAGTCTATCAGCCTGCAGACTGGCGACAGCGTGCTGTGATTCTGTGAGTTGCCGTTTGAGTTGGGCAACTAAACTCGTGTCAGAGTCTTTGCATGCCAGCCGATCATTTTCGAGAAGAGAATGAAGGCTATCTTGAAATAGCAGAGGCTTACCATGTATTCGACATCAGTTTCTGATCTTCGATGCATCAATGTAATTAATTTAACGACTCACGCTACTAGCCATTGGGTCCCGCAAATGAAACATCTGGGCCTGGCTGGATCCAATATTCGGATCAAAGCCTGTTAATGACTGTGGATTAATTTGAGATAAGAGGTCGATGTATCCGGCGGGTGAGGTTGTGTCGTTGAGTGACATGATGGTATGAGTTGAAGTCAAGAAAGGAAACTCACCAAAAACACACCAAGTCCGGACATCTGTAATGCTACCACCAGCCGTCCAAGATTTTCTGGACCTATCATCAGATCCAGACCTTGATGGTTATCAGGCTGATACCAGGTGAGTCTTTGCTTCATGATTGAGATCTAGATCTATTAATCTTATGTACTAGCATCAATACAAATGATTCCAACGACTCCACCTGTTCTAGCACACCCGTCATGACCTTGTCCGACGATTTCTTGCTGGATCCCGACAATTGGACTTCTGATCCTCTCAGGGCGCGTCTGATGAGGCTGAGGGATTTATTACAACAAGAGTAAGTTTTAATTTATTTCTGTGACATTTTAATACAAGTTAAGTAGATCTACTCCTACCAAACCTACGCCCATCCTCCCTGTTGATGACCTGAGCAGTGTGACCGAACTGGAAAGCAAACCCGAGATAGCTGCACCTATGCCCATCCTCCCCGTCAACGACCCGAGCAGCATGACTGAGCCAGAGAGCGAACCCGACAACCCGCCCCAGCCTACCATACCGACTCCTACCCTCCCCATTGATGATCCAAGTAGTGTTACTGAACCAGAGAGCAAACCCAAAAACCCACCCCAACCTGAGTTCACCACACTGATCAAGATCAAGGGCGCAACTCCAGTTCTGAAAAAGAAGGGCTTCTTCGACACTCCAAGTCCCCCAGGGCCTGATTCACTCTATTGGAAGTATGTCTCGTGTGAAGAAGACGAAAAATGGTATGATCGTTCGAAAACAGACTCCAGCTTTCACGCAGTACATTCAATGAAACAGCAACTCAAAGACATTAGTTAGAAATGCATTGTATTGTATGTAGTTGACATGATCACACTTAATGAAACGCTTTGGTGCGATCAACTTCCGTCTGATGGGATCAGTGTGATGGGATCAAGGTAGTCTGATTGTATCAATGTAAGGTATGCAAGGTATGCGTATGACATCATAAATGTACTCTACTAGTCCTCATCAGGGATATTATCCTCAGTGCCGCCCATCCTGATGATATCCAGCCCTGGACGCTCTACAAGGTAAAACAACACTCCATCAATGCTGGGAAACTGATGTGGAATCATGGCGACCACTGATTGGATATGAGAAACTTCAATGAGTCGCAATGATGTGTTGCCACAATATGTGCATGCAACGACAGTCTGGAATGAGCGCTCCAAAAGTTCTGGGTGTGGCGGTCCATATTCTGAAATGAGTGCGAAGGTCTTGTCTTCATCGTGAATCATCATGTTGAAATAAAAAAGGACTTCTGCAATAGTTGTTGTCCCATCAATGAATAACTGTAAGACACCAATGTCAGATCAGCTGAGTAACTTAGAAACTTAAAGCATACCTTCACATTTCGCGCCATCCTTGGCTGCCTAGTCATTGCAAGCTCCTTCCACGCAGATTGTGCGACCTGTCCATTGGGAAGTTGAAGTCGAGCCCACCTAATGATTCGAGGGGTAGTAGGAACATGTATGTCTTTTGCAGTGAGATATCGAAGAATGGCATCGGATTCACAGCGCCGAACTGTGTGAGGAGTGCGTTCTCGATGGCGTAACAGCACATAACTGTTGCCTAGGTCTTGTGAACCTTGTGGAAGGTTAGTTTTTGCGGGTTCGATTGAGGGAATGATGACTTTGATTGCATTGACTTGACAACGGCATACAGCACGTTGAGACAGATTGGCATAGACAGATGCGTTGTGAAGTCGGATTTCTTGAGCTAGGTTGCCAATGGTCCGCTCCATTGTCCATTGTGACGAACAAATCGGCAGTCCCTTGTTGATAGTTTCAGGGGCAATATGTAATGTAGAATGGATCCATGGGCGAACAAAGTGAAGGCGATCTATGCGGCGTTGGTAATAAATTTCCTCGAAGTCTTGCGAGACATCAACGAGATGCTGGTGAGCATCGACAAGATCTGATCAGGGGATATGGTACTGTTGCATCAGACGCATTCCGTGCACAAGATGACACAGATTGGTCCAGTATGGGGTGGGAAGGATACCGAATAGTGTCACAGGTGCCATTCCGTATAAGTAAAGGAGCCATTCCCATGCCTTGTAACCACTATTAATCTTCTCGGCAGGGTTACGAGGTGGTCGGTCAAATGAGCCTGGCAGAAAGGGAGTTGCACTAGCGATGATGGATCCATGTGCTTTCCAGGCATCCTTTGTGAGAACAGCCCAATCCCATGTAGATTTGTCATCCGTGGGGTCTGCCCTGAAGGTACCTCGCCAGAGAGGTATGAGAAGATCACCAACGTTGATGGCAGCAACGTGCATGATGTCCGAACTGAAACAGAGGGGAACAAGGAGGATGCAATCAGTGTCGAAGCCGCAGAAAATACTTGGTTTGGTGATTCCAGTCTCGAGCCGTGTCTGTTCATACTCGGCCGTGTTTCTGCACTTAATAATGCACTGTAGGTTAGTTTCATAGTCAAATGATCCAACAGAAGGCAGCTTGCCAACGGGAATGTCAGGGTGAGAGTCGGTTCCATCTGGCCGAAGAAGAGCAGGATAGTATGTAGGCCCGCCAGGTTTGTGCCGCCCAGGTAGACCACAGTAAAGACGGCAACCCATTTTGCCGTGATGACCCACGAGGCCAGTCAAAAAGGCCATACCAGGGCCGTCCGCTGTAGCTATGAATAAAAATGGATGTGAGGTAAAGGATATTCGTTGTGCTCCATTCCAGATGATGAGACCCTCGGTTTGGATGGCACGCAGATGATGGAGACCAGGAAATAAGAATGAGTCAAGGTTTTTTGGCTTTTTAGGGCCAGGAATGATGCCCCCGGGGATGACATACTTCTTCTGGTACCGTTCCTCTGGTGCGTGATCAAAAAGAACCCAGATGTAGATCCAACAGTCGGACTGTTTAGACTCGTAAAGCTGCGCACCGTCGATTGACAACATGAGCACAGAGTCTCCATCTTTGATTTGGCCTGACTGATAGGCTTCAAGATATTGCTTGCCGTGGAGTACGTCCTCATAGACATCAGGTATGCCTCCGCTAATCTTGAGTTCTTCAAGAATCTTCTGAGTGCATTCTTCACACCATCTCATTTTCTTTGCATGGTCGGGATGACGCCATAGAGCTTGCAGTTGTGGTCCGACAGGAAATGTATCGAAAGTCTGATGAGGGACTTTTTGCGTTGGCTTGCTCTTCTTTGCATCCCAATGAGATTCTCCGCATTGAGGGCACACATCAAGGTGAGCAAATGGTCCTGTGAATGCAAGACATGTGTTAACACACATGTCATGGACAATCGGAACGACACCACTCAGTTCCGTGACAGCTTGTTTGACGCAATAGTGGCTGAGGATGTTGTCTTCGGGGTGACGTTCCATAGTTGCATCACGTACAAGATTGTATGCATTGACTGTAAGGTTGGCAAAATAGTATTTCAATGATAATGTAAGATCAGGGTCCATAGCATCAGGAAGTGTATGTGGGGGATTTTGAAGTCGGTCAAGTGCCTCTGCAGGCAGATGTGCGTGAGGATCGTCGAGTGAGGCTTTGCAAAGGGCTGTAATAAAAGCCATGGCGTCTTGAGCGTCCTGGAGGCGCGCCATGCGGTGAAGTTTGTCTAAGTCTTCATCAGTCCAGCCCATTGTTCATGTCTCTGCTCCGTTCCCCTCTGCTCCATTCCCCTCTGATCCGTTCCCCTCTTCTCTGTTTTGATCGAGATCGTTGATATGATCAATAGGTGCCACCAGTGGTTGTTGGTCTGGCTGTGCGACACCTTGAGAACCACGAGGTTGGTCGGAATTTTGGTCCTCTTCTAGAAGCACCTCATCAGGAAGCCAATTGTCAGGAAGCGCCTCAGGTATGGTGTCATACTTGAGGCCATCATACTGATAAAAATCTAGATAATATTAAATTCTCGATCATGATCGAGAAGAAGGACTCGTACCTTCATGAGTGTCATCAGGGTGGGGGTCAGGCTGTTCAGAAATATGTGAGTGAGCCTCTGGAATAAAACAATCGGACTTACCTCAGATGTATGCACTAGTTCTGGGCTGTCAGAACGTCCCTTTTTCTGATTTATAGGTCCCCCACCATCGAGATCTTCCTGAGGCCTCTTGCTGGATGAGGATGCAGCTGGTGGAGGGGTGCATCGAAGATCTGGTGATGGGAGATCTGGCGCAATGCTCAGAGCGATCGGAGGAAGGAAGATTGATGTGCATCTGCTGGGCTTATGTCTGAAGTAAGTAGCTTTGGAAACACGTAAATTCCTCCCGCCTGTTTTACGAAGACAGGATTTACAGTCACACACATGGATGATAGTGCCATCGTCAAGTCTGTGCACGCCAGCTTCCATAGAGTCCATGATATGCCTTATGGTTTTGCAGATTTGGACTTAGTGATATTAATATTGAAATTGGCGATCTGATCTTAGCTTGCCCATGCACATTGCAAAGTGCATGTGATCTTTGCTTATTGTATGTTTTTTTACCTTTGCAAAGATTCTTGACATTTTGCAGACAATTTCATTTTTGACGTCTCAAATTTATTGAATTTCTATCTATCTCGTTTGGTACTTAGCTATGTATCTACATGTATCTACCTGTATTTTGTCGATTCTCACTGGGAGTCAGGGCCCAAGTGCGCCAGAGGGTTATTTCAATATCAGAAGTGGAAGAAACAGTCATGATAGAATTGATCTTGGGAAGTTGGATGCTGGGCCCTGCATGTCTACACTTTGGAGTTAAAGGGGGTGGAGATAGTGAGGATCAGATAAGGGAGCCTCGCATGATGTTATTTTCCAAAGATGTGTTATTGTTCATTGCTCAATGAAATACCAGATGATTGGCAGTGTGCTGGATATCAGATATTTGTTTGTCAAGACCTGGGCCTTGGATCTCAGTACCCTTCACTTGATGTTTGGTAGTTGGAACTTGGCTTCTCGTAGGGCAATGCATGCCATGTGCATTAGCTACTTGGTAGTTGGTGTTGCATGTTTATGTCTCTACTGGGTGCTTGATTTTCTGGCACTAGTGACCTTCATCATTAGATGACTTTGAATTATTACCTCCTTTGATTTGGATGATATACAACTACCTACAAAACTCATACATTTTTATGACTTTCAAGTTTCAGGTTTCAATGTTTGGGGTTTGATGTTTGGGCTTTGGGACTCAGTACTCAGTGATTCAAGTTTCAAAATTTGTTTCGATGTTTGAGTTTGAGTTTCAGGTTTTGGGTGTCAGGTTTATGTTTATGTGTGATAACAACTACCTAGCCCCACCCATCAATATAATATATATCACTACCTCAGCCTATATGTCCATATGTCCATATAGTATACAAATACCTTGGCTGTTAAGGTCGTACTCAAGGGTAACTGGATCCGAAGGGCTTCGGCCTCAGCTCGTGCACTGTGCCCCTTACCCAAGTATTGCCCCTTATTTCAGGAAGGCAAGACTAGCACATCCGGAAGGTCGGATGAGTAGCATAATGGATCCAGATGGCTTCCAGATGAGGGATAAGTATTGTAAGGCTAATCCGGACGAGTCCAGACTAGAAACTAATGGTAATGGACTGTCAGGGACAGAGGCAGATGTGGATAGACTATAGGAATCAATCCTAAGTCTCGGAGGGTGACAAGAGTAGAGGTACTCAAGTCTGGAGGACAGGAATGAGTAGAACTAAGATGATATTCGAACTGAGGTACTACAGAAAGTTACAGGAGGTTATATACTATAGGTATCTAACAGAATGATCAATCAGCAGAGTCCAAGGCTATGTACAAAGCATGTGGATAGTCTATTGGTAAGTAGAAACGGATCACAAATCATGAAACAGAAATGAAACATAGGTAGTGGATAAGGGAGCAGGACAGATATACAGATAACCAAAATACCGGAGTTAGGGGGTTACTGAAAGGAGACAAGTGCTGGTTGTGGATTCGGATGAGTTGTGGACCGGACTGGACGAGTGGAACAGATTGGATGACGAGATGTTGGAGGGAGATAAGATGTGGATAGCATCAAAGATAAGATGTGGATTTGAGATGAGATAAGGGTCGGATCTGAGATCCAGATATGCGGATATGACATTGGCCCTTATATCTATGGACTATCTTCCGAGGTATCGCTGGATTCTGAGTTGACAGGGTGCTTGGCTGTGTTGACTTTGATCGACATTGACAGGATCTGAGTCTGAATGTCATTGATGACTTGGATCAAAACTAGTGCAACAGCATTGCTCATATGTCCATATAGTATACCAATACCTTGGCCCATACATCTAAATGATATGTATCTGGGCCCACCCATCTATATGACATCTCCCTATGTCAGCCCACCCATCTATGTAATATACCCTACATCAGCCCACCCATCTATCTAATATACCCCCACCTTGGCCCACTCATATATAATAAGTATTTCACCATCCCATTGGCCCACCCATCTATATAATAATATCTGCCATACATCTCTCTTCAGCCCAGCTGTCTATCATATACAGTAAGCAACAAAACTGTTGCAATGTTTGTATGAGATTGATTACTCTGGCTATATCATTACAGGGATGGCAGCTATGAAAATGTAAATGAGAGCAATATTGTAGCCCTACATCCAGGCTACAATAGTTGTACTACATTGAAGATGTGAAAACATTTCCTTAAAAGGATATAAGCAGTTTACTACATGGTATGCATTGCAATGGTTTTGTTGCTGATATTTTTAAATATCAAAATCCTATCAATAGACACCAGTTATGTTATTGAGTATGTCTTATAATGTTATGTGACATGTAAAAGGGTCAATATGATATAAACAAAGCCAAATGTTGAACTTTCTCAACATTCATCATCATGAAAGCCCTCTCTGCTGACAAAACCAATCAAATCCTTTTTTACCTTGATTTTAACCAATCTACAAGGGAGATCTCACATGCTACTAGTGTACACCATAGTACCATTATCAGAATTCACTCTGAACTTAATTCTGACCTTCAAAAGACCTCTGGTGGTCGTCCTTCTGTCTTTTCCTCTCCCAATATTCAGCATGCTATTTGGTTAATCAGTACAGACAAGCTGAAAATGTCACTCAAGTCACAAGAGCACTTCAGGATGTCAAGAATCAGCCTATGTCCTCTCAGACAACCAATCATTCCTTGAGGAAATCTAGTATGAAGCTTTATACACTTGGATAGGAGAGGGTGTTTTTGCTTCACTACAAGCTTCATACTAGATTTCCTCAAGGAATGATTGGTTGTCTGAGAGGACATAGGCTGATTCTTGACATCCTGAAGTGCTCTTGTGACTTGAGTGACATTTTCAGCTTGTCTGTACTGATTAACCAAATAGCATGCTGAATATTGGGAGAGGAAAAGACAGAAGGACGACCACCAGAGGTCTTTTGAAGGTCAGAATTAAGTTCAGAGTGAATTCTGATAATGGTACTATGGTGTACACTAGTAGCATGTGAGATCTCCCTTGTAGATTGGTTAAAATCAAGGTAAAAAAGGATTTGATTGGTTTTGTCAGCAGAGAGGGCTTTCATGATGATGAATGTTGAGAAAGTTCAACATTTGGCTTTGTTTATATCATATTGACCCTTTTACATGTCACATAACATTATAAGACATACTCAATAACATAACTGGTGTCTATTGATAGGATTTTGATATTTAAAAATATCAGCAACAAAACCATTGCAATGCATACCATGTAGTAAACTGCTTATATCCTTTTAAGGAAATGTTTTCACATCTTCAATGTAGTACAACTATTGTAGCCTGGATGTAGGGCTACAATATTGCTCTCATTTACATTTTCATAGCTGCCATCCCTGTAATGATATAGCCAGAGTAATCAATCTCATACAAACATTGCAACAGTTTTGTTGCTTACTGTATGTCTATCCTACTCTACATATTGCCCAGATGGGCCCACCCATCTCCATCAGTAATAATATTTCTCCTAGCCCATCCACCATTATCAAGGATATTTATAACATGGGCATAGATAGGCCCACCCATCCCCATCAGAAATAATATCCCTCCCAGCCCATCTGTCATAGTTGGGGATATTTTTACCTTTGGCCCATGGTCTGCTGGCCTGTATTATACAGGATATTATGCACATCCATTCACTCATATAATATGGAGATAGGTCACTGCAATATGTGATATTCATCCTACAACTGTGAACGAAATCCTGCTACTTGCAGCTCTCCATGAAGCTGAGGCAGCCAATGTCACACTGAAAAAATGTGATATTGCACTCCAGGCATCCAATATCTTGAATGAGATGTACTGTGCCAAAATTTGCAGTCAGCTTGCACACCAGGAGTTGAAAAAGCAGGCAGGAAACAATGGTGGAAAGATTCTTGGGGATGGCTTACCACACTTGTTGTCAGGTGATGAGTTCTATGAAAGAGTCATTCAGTTTGAGGAGGCTCAAACCAGAGCTGCAGCCAAGAAGAGGACAAGGACCAAAGAGCAGAAGAGACATGCTGAAGCATTGGCAGATTGGAAGAAGCTTGAGGATGCAAAGAAGGCAGAGAATAAGGCGTGGCGATGTTGACATATAGATACTGTGTTACCATGTTCCATGTCCTTCTTGCTTCTTGGTACTATATAGTAATTCACCATCACCACTCAGCCACCGCATCACTCTGTTCTCAGACCTATTAGTAGCATTATGGACTCACACGTTTTCCTCAGCATTTGTTTCCCATCTGCTGAGGTATGTTATTCTTGTACTTGTACCTAGACTCCTACTGATGTGACTAGACTCGTTGCTCTAGGTACATTCAATCTATTAGCATTTGTTTCCAATCTGCTGAGACTCATTGCTATAGTCATCAGGCGAGAGCGCTATCATGAAGCATTACAGATATGGGAGTCAGAGAAGGCTCATGCAAAAGAAGAGAAGTGGAAACTCACAGAGAAGAAGCCCACTTTGGGCAAGCTCATTGCAGCCATACCATGGCCAAAGGCAATCAAAACTGAGGAGGCTCAGGAGGGTGAAAGTGACGGCAAGTATTTTGATCTTGATGATGTGGGATCATGCACCAGCAACAAATATTAATGACATGTTGTTGTATCTATGTTTCAAATCAGAAACACACTGGTAATCGATAAGGTTTTCTTATCTAATTGAGGCTGATTCATTGAGCCATACCTGGCAAATTAGGCACCCATTCACTGTTGTTGATGCCATGCTTGAACAGCTCACTTGTTTTTCTTTGAAATGTATGAAGACCTCAATCAGAGGTCTATGTATGGGGCAAAATTAGTTTGAAATGAATTCATGCAGTTGTTGTGGCTCAAGAGGTCAAATTTCAATGTTGTGGTTCAATGAGGCATCCATAACTGTAGATAGCTTTGCACTCCCTTGATGTGTAAAATCTCCCTTTCCATTCTCCATCTTCCAGATGAGGATGATGGGGACAATGCAGAGGATGTAGGAGATGCCTTCAAGCAGTTCACAACCTGTGATTACACCATTTGCAAAAATTGTATGCATCCAGACATGCAAGGTATGTTTAATGCATTTTTACTGCTGAATCTGTGAACTCCAGGTGTACCATACTTTGAATCACCCACCAGGCACTTGCCACTGTCAAAATTCAAGAGGATGTGGAGTAAATTTGATGTTCCATGGTGGGGGGAGACATCATGTCAATAATTCCAACCATCTACTATGTATCTCATTTGGGAATTTTTAAACTTGCTGGCATTTGCTCTACAGTGGCTCAAAAAACTGTCCACATGTTTTGACATTTTTCACTATCTATGATATTGTGTGAGAACAAAGAAATGGCTCAAGGACATGCTTATACCACATTGTAGTATGACTTCAGGGCTTTCATTTGAGCCCTACACCGTGGGAATCGGTGGAGATATGGTGGAGACATAAGGCTTATAAAATGATGACTCATGTGGACAGTTTTTTGAGTGTATATTAAAACTATATAAATCATTATTTATGACACCACAAAAATCATGCCACTATTATATAAATTATGAAGTGGTGTCATTATGTTATTTTATGGCTATATCTAACTATATAAATTAGAATATCTCATGTATCATAGTCATAATCACCATGAAAGCCATCTCCTCTGCTCAAAGAGATAATATCCTCTCTCTGTCTTATGCTGACCTCTCTGCTCACCAAATTTCCTCTAGAACTGGAGTGTGCAAGTCCACTGTGGCCAAGTTTATCAAAGAAAGCCACCCAGACAAGGAAAACTCTTGTGGAGGACGTCCATCCAAGCTTACCTCTACTGACAAAAGGGCTATTATCCAACATATCACTACAGGAAAGGCTGATAATGCTGTCCAAGCCACCCATTATATCAATTCTACCATCACTACCCCTGTCTCTTCACAAACTGTGAGGAATGTTCTCAAGGCAGCTCATCTCAAGGCAGTAACAAAGAAGAAAAAGCCTCTTCTCTCCATCAAACATAGGCAGAGAAGACTAGCCTTTGCCTTAGCTCATCAATACTGGACTGTAGAGGACTGGAAGCATGTTATATGGTCAGATGAGACCAAAATCAATAGGATTGGGTCAGATGGGAAGGTATATGTATGGAAAGAGAAGGGAGATGGCCTAACAGACAGAGAGGTTAATGGGACTGTCAAGTTTGGAGGAGGTTCTTTAATGGTATGGGGCTCTATGGGATGGAATGGTATGGGAATGCTTGCTGAGGTTGAGGGGAAGATGAATGCTGAGCAGTATGTGGACATTTTAAATGACCACTTGCTGCCTAGCTTGGCAGAATCAGGGATTGATGAAGAAGATATCATTTTCCAACAGGATAATGATCCCAAGCACACATCCAGAAGAGCTAAGGAATGGTTTGAAGAACATAACATCAATGTTCTTGACTGGCCAGCACAGTCTCCTGATGTCAATGTCATTGAACATCTCTGGGGAACACTCAAGAAAAAGCTTCAAGCCTATGAAAACCCCCCTAAAGGAGTATGGGAGCTTTGGGAGAGAGTAGCAGTGGAATGGGGGAAGATCACAGCTGAGGATTGCCAGAAATTAATTGAGAGTATGCCTAGAAGGATATAGGCAGTAATTAAAGCCAAGGGATGTCATACAAAATACTAGAATACCTGGTTATTATTGTAAAATACTTGAGTCAAAAAACTGTCCACATGAGTCACCATTTTGTGAGCCTTGTATCTCCACCATATCTCCACCGATTCCCACGGTGTAGGGCTCAAATGAAAGCCCTGAAGCCATACTACAATGTGGTATAAGCATGTCCTTGAGCCATTTGTTCATTCTCACACAATATTATAGATAGTGAAAAATGTCAATTCATGTGGTGTGGGTCTGTCATTCCAGTGATGATCACATATATCATCTTCTCACCATGATTTCACATTTGCTAGTTATTAATCATGCAAAAAGGAATATATTGCAGTGATAATTCATCACCAACTGCCACCCTCCTTGTTCAAATGCTCCAGGACTCCACTTAACCAATATATAGGCATGTTTGGCTTGACTTGAGCTGATAGACTACTGTTAGCAGAATTGACTAGATGTTGCCTAGTCAAATTCCTTGAACCTTTACCATCACTCACACTGATCACTGCCTAGTAAAATCATCAGCAAACTAGGGGTAGACTAGACAACCCTGGACAATTCTGGACAGTGTCACAGAGCCCACAGAAAGGGTTCTCTCTGTGCAGGGCTGTACCAAGTATATACAGAATGGTACAGAAGTGCTACAGAATGACACAGAAGTCTATAGAGGTGGCCAAACAAATGAGGTACAGAGTATCACAGAGCAACACAGACAAGGTACAGCAGACTTGAATTCAATAATAGAGTACCAATCAAATCATAATTACATTGTCATCAATACATGTGTGTAAATGTATCTAATCAAGATTTAATTTGAGACCCCAATCACAGCACTGGCCAGTATGACTGTAAGTCAGAACACTGAACCATTGTCAATAAAATCACATACCCTGCAGCACAGGCCCACTTCTTGTGAACTGCTTGGCATTTATTTGAGTGATAATGGTTGAGGCACACTGTCATGTAGAGTTCAATGACATTCTCATAGATAGGTTGATACAAGTCAGCAGTGAATTTTGTTGGCCAATAGAGCCCAGTCTTCTACTTGTCGATGGCTGCAGCAAGCTAGTGGAAGTGAGGCCCAAATAAGAAGGTGAGGGATTGACACCTACTACACTTGCTGCAAGTGCCATGGCACCTTCAGGAATGGCCTCAGCAAATACATTTGGGAAGACCTTGGCAAGTGCATTGTCACCCTTATAGAAAATCATACTACACAGCTCACCAAGTGCATCATGAATGAGGTTGTTAGTCCTCCCCTAGTGAGAATACTTAGCATCTTGAATCATGTATCTCATAAACTCACCTGTTCATTGACACTGTTCTGCAAAAATTAGCCTCCATCTAATAACTCTGTGACTTGTTGACTGACATAGTCTTCAACCTTGTTGTTGTTGTCAATGTCTGATGGTAGGATGCCGAACTTGCTGGCAGCAATGGGCTGTGCAGCTTTTTTCATCTCAGACCACATTGTAGCACAGTCATCCCATAGCTAAAAACAACAATTAGTATCAACTATGGGAGACTCTGTGAATGTACAATAATTGCCATGTCACATTTATAGATATCCCAGTAGCTGTTGTTGATGCCAATATCATCCACTGCAAAATCATTAAGTGTTCTGTGAGGTATTTGATACCTGTCTTCTCAATGAATGTTTTGCAGCTTGAAGTGGTGCCATCCATGACCAATCCTAGTGGCAACTTCTTCTTTAAAGCCTCCAGGATGTCTTTCCAAGAGTGGGGATAAAACCCAATGGTTTTAGATGCTGCTCTGTTAGCTGAATGTGACCTCTTGGGTGGGTCTACAACCTTGTTCTCTTCATTGGTGGATGATTCATCTGCTGCCTGTTGATGCAGATTCTCAAGTCTATCCGGGTTAGGTGGGCGAGGATGATGGTTCTTCATATGATGGTCTTCAAGGACATCATGTAAGGAACCAGCATTATTAGGGCTGCTGTTAAGAACCATGCTCAAAGGAGAGAGAGACTGACTCAGAGGGGCTTGGCCTCAGCTCATATGCTGTGCCCCTTACCTGAGTATGTGCCCTTCATTTCAGAGGAAGTCCAATGATGGTCTGATGAAGTCCAGAGGACTTCCAGAGGCTGGCTACTCTGGTGGAGAGTGTGGGAGGACTTCCGGAGGAGCGTGGGAAATGTCCGGAGGAGCATGGGAGAGTTCCGGAGGGATGCAGGAAATGCTCAGGAGAGTTCCCACTGCAAGGTAATACTTCTACAGGAAAACAGGATGGATGGATAGGAGGTCCAGAGGTCCAGAGGACAGAGGACAGGAGGTCCGAAGGTATGGAGGACGGAACGTCCGAAGGTATGGAGGGCGGAACGTCTGAAGGACAGGATACCAGGACATCTAGAGGTACAGAGGACAGGAGGTCCGGAGGTCTGGAAGGAATAGGGGCTACATCGGACTTCGTCTGATGTAGAAGCAAACGGAGGTAGACTACCCTAAGGTAGAGTTGGAAGGACAGGAAGTGGACCTAAGTCCGGAAAGAGGGTTAGTGCCGGAAAGGCAAGACTCCAGCCTAGGGAAGCAATCCCTAGACTTGGGACAGAGACATAGGGGACAAATCTGGAGGTCCGGAATTCCGGCCTAGGGAATCCTTCCCTAGGCCTTACAGAAAAGGACAAGACTCAGACAGACTGAAGTCCAGAAGATGATTGGGCAGATCTAAGGTGATATTCAGACTGAGGACTCTACTGTAGTTGTACAGGAGTTATATACTAGAGGCTATCTGAGAGGATCAGTAAGCAAAGGAGTAAGGCTATGTACGAGCATGTGGAAACACATTGGTAAGTAAGACGGAACATAACTAAATGAACTCGGAGATGAAACTAGTACAAGGATCAATCAGCAAGACAGAAAGAAAGATAACTGAGAACCGGAAAGGCGGAGATGCCTAAATGGGGATAGGCGCAGGATCTCGGATAGAGGGTGGGAATAGGTCCAGAGATAGTAACAGTTAATATCTGGAGGTCTGGAGATCTGGGGCTCCAGAAGGCAGGGCGGAAACAGGACTGAGATATGTGAGGTGGTGGATGTAGTCTGGAATCTGAGAGGAGGTAAAGTCTGGATGTCTTGCTGGATGGAATGTGTGTAGGGTGGACAGGATAGGGGATCCAGGAATGAGTTGGATATGGGGTCCAGAAACAGGTCCGGAAAGCGTGGGAATATGATGGGATCTATGTCTGGCATACGGGATATGACAGCTGCTTTCCACCAGCTGATCCTGGCTGCTAGTGTAATAATTCCCTCTACCTGGATTGTTAGTTGCTTGGTGGTGCTTTGGAAGAGAGGAATATCACTATCCATTGATGAAACAGGGTGAGGCTGAGATTGAGGATGTGCAAGCATATTTTTTTTCAAGTGGGGAGGGGGTAGAGTAGCACCATTATCAGTAGACTGAGATGAAGAGATTGAGATTGAATGTGCACATTTCTTTGTTTTCATGTGAGAGTTGTTAGTGCCTTGGGGAGGGGATGGGATATCATCATCATCCGCAGACCAAAAGGAAGAGAGAGGATGCATGTGTTTCTTTTTCTTGGTGTGCAAGTCATCAGTGCTGTGGGTAAGAGACTGGATTTTGCCATGATCTGTGGCATCTGCAAATGGAGTGCCTGCCATTAGCTTCACCTGACTAGAATAAATGAGGGAGTCAAAAGTATGGGGCACATACCATGAATATCATAAGCCTCTGAATCACAGAGCAACATGCTAAGAGTGAGTAGCAGGAAGGTAAAAAATACAGGACACATACTGTTACTGTCATTAGTATCTGTACCATCCTTGGTATCATCCAAATTATCCTTGCCATCGTCCAAATTATCATTCTTGTCGTCCAAAGCATCCTTATCCTCCTCTGAGTCCTCCGCACTATCCTTATCCTCCACAGTGTTGTCTGCCTCTGTGATCACATTGGGGGGAACAAAACCGAACCGCAAGTCAGGACCACAAAGTTGGGATCTGGGAATGTCCTCTTCTGGTGAGCTCAGAGACTGTAATTGTGGTTCAGGTGTTGAGGCCTGATTCTTGCTGCCTTGCAATTTCAGCCTTATTGGTGTCCTGGACTTCTTCAGTACTGGTCATGGCCTTGGTTTTGGTCTAGTGGCATCTGGTGCCATGATATTGACCAATTGACTGTCCAAAGCATTCTGTGTGGGATTTGTTTTCATTAGTCATTGCACCTTCATCTGTATCCCTTCCAACTTCTTCAGCTGACTGAGGCATCCACCTTGTCCATGGTTTTCTCACTTGGAATGGCAAGGCTCATCTTCAAATTTCAGATGAGGAGATAATATCATGCAAAAAGAAGCATGCTCACCATCAGAAATGACGTTCTTGCACTTGGCCATGTCAAAGAGAACAAACCTAAATTCAGACTCCATGATCACTTATAACTGGTACAAAGCTGTTACTTCATAAGTCATGGTAATACATATTGTGTAGCATAGTAAGGCATAGTACTGGTATTGAGACTAGAGAACTGCTGTAATAGTACATCATGAAAAAAGGTATTGCATAATGAGGGTCCTAAAATTACACATGTGCAGTAAGTGTAATGGAAGGCTTCTCTGTCTCAGTGCTATCATTATCATCTACTGCAGACAAAATAGCAAGGCTAGTAGTAGCAGTGTCCACCCCAGTGTCGCCCACAGAACTGCCCAAAGTGCTGGCTGATGTACTACCTGAAGTGCTGGTCAATGCACTGGTTGAGGGTCTCTCTGAGTTAGCCTCATGTCTGCCAGCGCCACTGTTTGCACAACAACATTTCATGCTGGTGAATTGGCAATGGTACCAGTTGCAGTACTGGAAGTGGGCTGTCCTGTAGATAGCAACTGACATGTAAGTGAGATCTAAATCCCAGTCAAATGCAACACCACTCAGTGCAAGCACATGGGCATGGTAGATACCAGGTTCCATCAAGTCCAAAGTGTTGGCCATCTCTGCTCTAACTTTGTCCAGGCCAATGTTCAAGGCATCATTGATCTGGTCCATGTTAAGATGGTCTGAAAAAGACAATATCAGTATGCCAACTTAAATGTGTTTAATTTAATTTTACTCACTCCATAAGCTGTATGAGGAGATTTGATATCAATGGGCTTGTCATCTGTCTTTATCCAGATGAAATATTCAATTTTAGAGACATTGATCCAGGTGTGATCCATCACATGAACAGGACCAAACAGCTTGTCTGGCTCCTGCTCTGGTCTGGGACTAGCAGACTTTCAATATTATGTTAGGATGCATCCATTGATAGCTCTATTCTCTGCTTTTGACCTTGTTTGTTCTGCTGTTGTCTTAATAACCAAGGGTCTTATATAAACGCGTGTAAAATGTAATGACACCACAATTACACTAGGATAAGACTTCTTGCCAGTCCTCAATTAACATGGTCTACGACTTTTCTTCTTTCATGGTAGATAATGTGTGAGTTCTTGGGAGGCTCGCTAAACCAATCTATGTGATTAACTTAGCCGGAGCTTTTGTGTTATATCCCAACTTATAAACTTGTCTAGGATAAACCATCTAGACACTGGAACATGGTTCCTTGTTAAGATAATCCTCTGTAGAGACTACGGTCTCAAATACAAATACGTTGACCAAAGACTGGTTGGTCAAATAGGCACAAAGTGGTGAGAAACTGGTCTCACAAATGATCAGATTGACCAAAGCTTGTGTTGGTCAATATTAGTAAACTAGATGAGAAGCGGATCTCACAAATGAACAGATTGACCAAAGCTCATGTTGGCCAATATCAGAAACTAGGTGAGAAGCTGGTCTCACAAACTGAACAGATTGACCAAAGCTTGTGTTGGTTAATATCAGAAACTAGGTGAGAAGTGGGTCTTACAAACTGTTTGAGAAGCTGGTCCCAAATAAACTAAGTTTCTATTGTAAGAAACTTATGTAATCCCAAGGGAACGTCTTTTCCCTGCACTTAGTACTTCAAAGGGGCTTTCTTTGTAAGCAACAATCTTCACAGTGAGTAGCTCAAACTGAGATTCAAATGATTGCAAGTGGGAGATCCTATTTTTTGGGGGGGAGAATGGGCCCTCCTTATATACATATTGTGTGGGAATATTATGTAAGTAAAAAAGCGGAGCAATGACATCAGAAGTGGAGCAGAACATTCAAGAACAAATGACATCATCATGACATCATAACTTTTAACAGAATACTTGCAGGAGTATCTGTGGAGCCATATGACATCATTATGACATCATACCCTGTAGGTACAATTTTGTGAAGTATCTGATGGGTCAGAGCATCCCAATAGAAAAATAAATCAAGGAAATACTAGAGAAAACAACTCAGAAATAATAATACAATAACAAGACACAAAACACAGGCTTTTTAGATAGGTTTTTGTTAGGCTTTGAACTTTTCTCTATGGTTTTCTCTAGCCAAATTGAATAAGCCAAAGGCAAGGCAATACCTTAACCTTCTTGTTTCACAATATCAACTAGGTCATTATGTGATTCCCATCTCACAAATGACTTTTCTTCAAGATATAATAAATTCATGAATCACAGAGGGGAAACTGAACTATATGACCAAGGTTTGAAACCAAGGTATGGGTTGACTAGCCTGATGCCTAAGCTAACAGACTTTGTCTTTTAGGGGGGCTACCTAGTAGTCATGTCCATGCATGATTCCCAAATCATGCAAGACACCGTCACAGTCTTGTTCCCTTCTACAGGATCATCATCAGAGCTCTAACAACAGACTTAGGGTGTTGTTGACACAGGCATCCAATCCATCCTCTGACAATTTACATGTTCCCTCCAGGTTTGTTCTCACTGTAGCTGCCCTCCATCCATCTGAAAGCTTTGTCAAGAGCCTCAATTTACCAATGTTAATTAATTCAGGTAGAGGAGCATACATCTCAACACTTTTGAGTAAAAACCTATATGTTGTGACTTGTCGCTAAGGATGAAGTAGACAAGATTCATAGGAATTTGGGTAACCTCTTTGGTGTGTTCTATTGATAACTTCAATGACCAGTATAGAAGAATCAAATATGATGGATTGAACTCACAGGTGGAACAAAGTCATTGGAATGCAGCAGGTAGGCCAAAATATCTCATTGATTTGTCAGATCACTGTTCATTCAGTGATGTGGGCAACTTCATTGTGAGTCATCTGAGTATTTCCACTGATATAATTCCTTATTCCTTCAAGGTTATAGCACAAAGTCAGGTTCAATGTTTAAAGCCAGGTCTGATGCAATATGTGCCATGTTGGATAGATGAAGGATAAATGTCCATAAAGTTTTAATAGAGATAAGTGGTCTGTGCAAAGGGAGAGTGAAGAAATTTCTTAAAGAAGAGAAAGAAAAGAACGGAGCTCAATGACAGACTCATTGATGACTTTACTAGTGGATGAGCAGAAACAAGATCCATTGCTCTTGTTTCCACTTATCCAAAGACCAAATTCTAAGGGTCTGTATGGACAGCAAAATAAAACAGAAAAAGAAAAAGAAAAAAGAAAATCATCAGTCATGTGACACTATCACATGACCACCTGGAAACCCTAGATTCTCACCAGTGCTGGCAGTGCAGTGATAACAATGATGTATCCTTACTAGCATGTTTTATTCGACCTCTGGCAGCACAAGGAGACACGCAGATACTGCCTGGTTTTTATTGTAACATGTGTAGTGTCCCAATTAGTGTACATGTATCAACTTTTATTCTTATCTCCTGCCTCCCACATCCCATATCACACATCAGCATTGTCAGGCTATGCATGGGTCTGTGAACTCCTCACAGGCCACCCAGACTGCATCAAAAATAATCTTGGTGTCAGCCTAGAGGTGTTTGAAGCATTGGTGCAAGTTCTCAAGACCAATGGTTTTACACATTCTCGCAATGGTGTATCTGTGGAGGAACAGCTCACTATATTCCTGTACACCTGCATTACAGGACTTTCAACTTGTCATCTCAGTGAATGATTCCAGCATTCACCTGATACAATTTCAAGGTAATTCTCCTATGATTCATTTTATTGTGATATCTGATGTTATATCAGATGCTTCAGGCACTTGCTTGTTTTTTTTCTGAAACTGAATTCTATGATACCCAAGTCAAGTTCCCCACTGGTGAAACACCCATCTTTTCAACCATATACAACGACCTGCACTACTGCTTCTTTCACAACTGTATTGGTGCTGTTGATGGTACCCATATTCAGGTATTCTCAGCAGACAAAGATCACGATACCATGTGTAGCTGGAAAGGCTACCTGTCACAAAACTGTCTCTTTATCTGCAACTTCAACTTCTTATTCATCTATTCACTTTGTGAGTGTGACAGATCAGTTGTAGATGCATCACTTTGGCACAATGCATGATGAAATGACCTACAGATCCCAGGAGGGCTGTATCTGCTTGCAGATGTGGGCTTTGGGTCCTGTGATGCTCTGTTGGTCCCATACTGGGGTGTACACTATCACCTGAAGGAATGGCAGCAAGCAAACATCTTGTGAGTTTTCATTCTCTCTCTCTGTGATTTCTTTCTAATTAGGTACCTATGTAGCCCTCAAACTCCCAAAGAACTCTTCAACCATTGCCATGCTTGTCTATGCAATATCATTGAACATATTTTTGGGGTCATGAAGCACCAGTGGCACATTCTACAATTGCCCCCAGAGTATGGAATGGAAGTCCAAGCACATATACCTGCAGCACTTTGCACATTACATAACTTTATTCATAGATATGACCCAGCTGTATTCAATATCAATGGCAATTTGGAGGTCTTTGGAGGTGATGAGGTGATGTTGGAGAGTTGGCTGAAGGCCCTGCTGATAGAGCAGAATGGCAAAGAGCAGAGCAACATCAGGAGGCAATTACTGCCAAAATGTGGGAGGATTATTGCACAGAACATGTACATCATGGTCTACCTGTACCTGGTCAACAATAGTTTACTTTGTACTCAATGAATGAATCAAATGAATCAATATTTGGGAGTGTAACAAGGGAGGACATGCAAATGTACTACAAACTACCTAATTATTTGAGGGAGTATAAACACTACTTGGATGTGGCATGAAGCTCCTTAAGCCTCCTCAATATCTACATGGACCTAAGTTGAGTGTCACTCAGAACAACATACACAACTGCACTGGCCTTGTTTCAGCATGTGAGAAGTGATCAACCATGTCTAAAATGTCCTCTGCTGACAACCCTGGGTCATGATGAATGATGTCAATGGCTTGTGCCAAATGAGAGGTAGCATTGGAATTTGGTGAGCAGTGTGGAAATGGGGGCATGTGTGAGCTTTCAGCAAATGTCTTGCTCAAGTCTCCTACAATGTCAATGAGCTTTGACATTGCAGTGCTCCCCTCCTGTTGGGCCTGCATGCTAGCAGATGGAGTGCATGGCTTCTTCTGAGAAGTTTCACTGGCACCAGGGCCAAGAGCGCTATGTTTGCGCTTATTGCCACTATGGCTGGCACTGGTCATCACAGAGGGGTTGGTAGAGGTGATGAATGAGTAGGGAGAGGTGGGAGTAGGAACCAGCAGTTAATAGTATATTGTCCACAGAGAGGAAAGATCAAGTGCATTCCCAGTTTCAGGAAGCATGGCACAACTGGATGAAGGAATGGGTGGAGGAAGCATAGAAGAGCTGGAGGCAGGCACCTTCTTTCTGTGAAGAACAAATGCCCCTTTGGCTTTGTTCTTCCCCTTTTTATTGCACATCATTTCATTAATGGCAGCAAAGTGAATGAAGCCTTTGTTGGCAAAGGGCTTTGCTGCAGGGCAGCTCTTGAAAAAAATATCAGGACTGATCACAAGTAGACCACAGCATACTTACCCTCACATGTTCATTCCATACACTCTGGTTCTCAGGTGACACCCCTACTCCATCTGCATCACTCCATGTAAGACTGGAAGTGCTCTTGATCAACTGAACTTGGAGAAATGTGCCCTTAAGGTTCTCCCATTTGCTCTTGCAGGACACAGGTAGTTTGTTGGAGTGTGTCTTGGACCCAGAGGGAGCAGGGACTGAATTTACATACTCAGGCATGCTCTTCCACACATGCTTGGGGAAGTTCAAGCCATCACCAGAGGTAGAAAGCTCAGCAGTGAGATGATCAAGTAAAGCAGTCTCTTCAAATTCTTGCCAACAGTTAGAGACATTGGCATTGGAGGTTTGTGTGGTCTCTGGGGTGTCTATAGAGCCTTGGGAGTGGAGGGACCATCCAGATCCTGCAGACCCTACATTGGATTCCATTGTGTTCATTGATAAGCACTATGTATGCTTTGATATATCTAATATGTACCTGGGATTTCCCAGGTGGTCATGTGATAGTGTCACATGACCAACATTTTTCTTTTTTCTTTTTTCTTTTTCTTTTTCTGTTTTATTTCGCTGTCCATACAGACCCTAAGACTGCACTCATGCCTTGCTTTGTCATAGAGTGACAATCGTCTCAAAAACTGTCAGTTAAAGTGTTATATAATCATGTGGCTCTGTTTACATTGTGGCTGCAGACTACTTCCCCACACAATGGGTAGGAGTCTGAGTGGGACCCACGAAAATGATGCAGTATGAAATTTGTGCATTATGAGCAAGTGTACTGTACGGAGAAAGCATGAAGTATTCATGCAAGACCAACATATAGCAAGGGAACAAAAAGCAAAGTAAAAACCCATGAGTCAGGTGGGTGCTGGCACCATTATAGTAATGTCATGGCAAATACCACAGCAGTGGCACAGCATTTTCCTAGTGCAGCATCCATCAGACTGTGTACTTTCAAACATACAGATCCAACTTCCACTGCTGCTGCTGCAACAAGCTCGCACAATTCTTGTTGGGCTTAATGCACAGAGACTCAAGGTATACACTAAAGTAGATCCAATAAAATAAAATAAATTCTGCTGGGCCCAGTGCCCAGAGATATGTTGCCAGGTCTTCAGATCTAGTACTTAGGTCCACATCTGAAAAAGCTTTTATCCATTGCTTTGATCTTCTATTTGCCATAAACAGCCAATGCACTGATGATCCCACTAATCCATTGGTTGAAGCTAGGACATCGCTTGTGAAAGTACACACCAAGGATGCTGTTAACCTTACATCCATTGACACACACTTTCTCACTTTTAAGGGGACGACAACTTAGATCTGGAATGCATCTCTACTTCCCACCTCCCCTGTGGTATATTGTAACAGTATTGCTTGCTCAGGATGTTGAATGCATCAAGGAAACCCAGCGCAATATTGAAGCATCACACACTGTCACTTGCACAAACCTCTGACATATCCTGGAGGCAAGTCTGTCATCCCCTTGCAGATATGCTCATCTGACCTTTTGCATCTTCTGATAATCAAGCTCCACTCTGGCAGCTCCTAAATCAACCACCTTCCAGCACTCATTGTTGAGGACATCATCCCTTGCTTTCTTTATGGATGATAAGCGCATCCCAACCTCTACTCAGGATAAAATTATCTCAGAGCAGGCAGTACCTAAGGATACTTCGCCAGAGAAACCAGCATTAACGGCACATCTCCATTAATTTGCGCCCCACATCATCTCATCTCATGTTCTTTTGCTCTCAAGGCTCAGTTCTCTAATTCAGAGGCATGTTTCCATCTTTGACTCTGATAACACAATTTGAGTGTGCTTCGTGCTACAGCCTGAGATGGTGATCAATGTGAAGTCCATCACCATTCAGCCCTCCCCGATTCTGAATTCTATAAGCAGCACCATATTTGCAGATCATAACAAGGCTAGGTTGGGGGATGTGCTTCTTGATGTAAGACAACTTCCACTCAGGAATGTTTTAGCCAATGCTCACTTTGGCAATGCATAGGGCATTGAATTTGAGCCTTTGTCTCATCAGTCGAAGCACACAATGCTTCAAGGCATACAACACCACATTGAACTTATCGAAGCCTCCCAGATGATCCTCACAATATTGACCAGTGCTCATGGCATGCAAATATGAAGTAAGTCCTAATTACCACTTGTGTCCAGATACTCAACTCTTTCCTTAGAACTGCTCGAGAAATATATCAAAGTAGAAGCTGCTGTTCAAAAGTCCATCGAGAATCAACTTCATACCACCCCACTTCATCTATTCAACACCATCATGGGGTGCTTATGTGACCAAGGGGCACAGATGAGCACTTTCAAAACAAGTGCAGAGTACAACAAGCTTCTGTTATTGATTATGGCACACCCAGATCTCCCATTGGGGTGCATCACAGATGCAGTGGCAACATACTTCCATTACATCATGTTATCTCATAGATAGGGAGAGAACAAGCTGCTGCTTCACGACATCCAAGACAAGATTGTGTACAAGTTGAATGCAGCTGGTGTTGTGAAGTTGCAGTCATTCTGCAAATTAGCTTGTCAAGTGGGTTATCACTGGGCCTGGGTTGATATGTGTTGCATCAACCAAAATAACCATGTCAAGCTCCAAAAATCTCTCAACTCTACATTTGTCTGGTATCACCATTCAGCCCTCACTGTTGTCTACCTCTCAGATGTTCTGCCTTTGGCCAAGTCTGGTGCATTGGTGAAGAGTGAATGGAACACCCACAGATAGACTGTCCTGGAATTCCTTGCTTCTACCAACAGGATTGGATGCTATATCTCAACAACCACTTCCTCAACCACAAGGAATCTATGGAGATCATGCATGAGTTGGAGGACACGATGGGCATAGATGCACACACTCTTGTTGCCTTCCAACCAGGAATGCAAGATGCTCAAGAGAAACTCCATTGGATGTCTATGTGTGTGACCACTGTGCTGGAAGACATTGCATATTTGTTGTTTGGCATCTTTGGCATCCAATTGCCTATCCTTTATGGTGAAAATGCACAAACTGCACTTGGACAACTCCTGCAGGAGATCATGGCTTGGTCAGGGGACACCACCGCCCTGGACTGGGTTGGACAACCATCCAAGTTCAATAGTTGTCTCCTGGCCAACATTTTCTCATATGCAGCCCCTCCATGTGCCCTCCCATGTTTGTCTGAAGACAAGATTCAGACTGCAGTCTCTTGGCTGCAAGATACCATCACCATTGATCAATCTTTGAAACTGTATACCCTGCTGCAGAATGTGAGTGCTCCTTGCTTTGCACACTGCAGGCTCTGTCTGCCTTGCATCATATTTCCTGTCACTGAAGTCAGGCAGAGGTCTGGTGCAGCCCAAGAAACATTGTTCACATATGCAGTCAAGGCAGATGGGCTTAATGACCTGTTGATCACCACTGAAGAGAAGCTGATCCAGTTCTCACAGCTCTGGCCAACTCAGCAGATATTCTTACTTGTCCTTCCACGGGACTGTCATCTCCTCAAGCTGCCCAACTTCACAGATGATGCGGAAAGCTTGGGGGATTTGGCTCAGCCTGAGTCTCCACTGGATGACTCTGATGAATCCATCAGCAATTCACCTGGAGAAGAGGAGTTGGCTGATTCAGAATCTTACTCACATGCATTGAGATTAATTGTTTGCCTCAGGCAGCCATTTGGCGCATTTTTGCTAGCACAGTAGCATGGCAGAGAATACAAGAGGATCACATCGGATCACAATAGTGTTACTCAAAGTAAATTTTGCTCTGTAAAACAAACTTGGTAAAGCGTGTAAAAAGCTCATTTAAGTCTTCAACAAACTCAGTAAAGCGTGTAAAAAAGCTCATTTAAGTCTTCAACAAACTCGGCATAAGACACACAGCACACAGCGGACTTGGAAACACTTAGTGAAATTTCGAGACATGTATACTACTACACAAATATGTAGATGGTAGTTAATGAGCGTGAAATAAATGCACCGCGAGATCAAAACAGAGCGCGGGAGCATGAACAGCACAAAAACCAAAAACGAGAGCAGCGGGAGGGGTAGATGGAATGAGAGCAGCCGGAGGGGCAGAAAAAGCTACAGCGGGAGGGGCAGAAGGAACGAGAGCGGGGGGGGAGCAGAAGTAACGAGAGCAGGGTGGACAGAAGTAACGAGAGCAGCAAAAGTAATGGGTTCTGTGGGAGGGGCAGAAGGAACGAGAGCAGCAAAAGTAATGGGATCTGTGGGCGCTAGCAGGGGAGGAATGATTTGCGAATCTGTAAGTTGATGGCAGCTTAGTGGAGTGATATGAGGGGGGGGGCTGAGCCCTGGCGGCACATTTGGAATGCGTGGAGGGGCCACTGTAAGATAGATGGTGGTAGTGGATGGCTCGGCGGAGTCCATCACTCTCAGGCTACAGCGCACTGGAGGGTTGCCTCCAAGTCGTGCAGAACGATGAAGGCGTTGGCGAACAGCAGGCATATTTGGAACTCAGCCACGATGCCGGCCTGACTTCCAAACCTGCCACATGCGGCTGTGCTTGCTTACAAGAGTTTTGACGGTGTTAGCGAGTTTGTTTTACAGAGCAAAATTTACTGTGAGTAACACTAATATCATCACACAGGTTAAAGATGCGACATGTGTTTATAGCATGATGGACATTAGAACCCTAGAAATATTGTAGCTGTATATTTGGAAGACTTGGGGGTGTTTTATCAGACTCAGCAGTGTTCAGCAATCATGGTTTGTACTCTGACAATAGATATGTATACAAGTGCATAGATGCCCTATTATTTCAATCATTCATTGGCACTTCCCTTGTCCTACACTGCGGGTCCCTTGCTATCACCAATCGATTAATCTACAACACTTTGTGACACCCTGGTATGGTCAGACAGCAGTACAGAATCAACACCACCTTCAAGTTTCAGGTTGTGATTGGCACTTACAGTGGCTCAAAATACTGTCCGCATGTTTTGACATTTTTCACTATCTATGATATTGTGTGAGAACTCACAAATGCCTTAAGGACATGCTTATAGCACATTGTAGTATGGCTTCAGGGCTTTCATTTGAGCCCTGCACCATGGGAATTGGTGGAGATATGGTGGAGATACAAGGCTCACAAAATGGTGACTCATGTGGACAGTTTTTTGAGCACATATTAAAACTATATAAATCATCATTTATGACACCATAACAATCATGCCACCATTAAATAAATTATAAAGTGGTGTCATTATGTCATTTTAAAACCATATCTAACTATACAAACCAAAAATTTCCATATGTCATGGTTATATTCACCATGAAAGCCACCCCCCCCTGCTCAAAGGGATAATATCCTCTCTCTTTCCTATTCTGGCCTCTCTGCTTGTCAAATTTCCTCTAGAACTGGAGTATCCAAGTCCACTGTGGCCAAGTTCATCAAAGAAAGTCACACAGACAAGGAAAAATTCTGTGAAGGGTGTCCATCCAAGCTCACCTCTACTGATAGGAGGGCTATTATTCAACATATCACTACAGGAAAGGCTGATAATGCTGTCCAGGTCACCTATTACATCAATTCCACCATCACATTCCCTGTCTCTTCACACACTGTGAGAAAAATTCTCAAGACAGCTCATCTCAGGTCAGTAACAAGGAAGAAAAGGCTCTCCTCTCTATCACACATATGCAGAGATGACTAACCTTTGCCTTAGCCCATCAGAATTGGATTACATGGACTGGAAGCATGTTATATGATCATATAAGACCACAATAAATAGGATTGGGTCAGATGGCAAGGTATATATGTGAAAAAAGAAGGGTGCTAGTCCTCTCTGCATATGTGTGATAGAGAGGAGAGCCTTGTCTTCCTTGTTACTGACTTGAGATGAGCTGTCTTGAGAATGTTTCTCACAGTGTGTGAAGAGACAGGGAATGTGATGGTGGAATTGATGTAATAGGTGACCTGGACAGCATTATCAGCCTTTCCTGTAGTGATATGTTGAATAATAGCCCTCCTATCAGTAGAGGTGAGCTTGGATGGACACCCTTCACAGAATTTTTCCTTGTCTGTGTGACTTCTTTGATGAACTTGGCCACAGTGGACTTGGATACTCCAGTTCTAGAGGAAATTTGACAAGCAGAGAGGCCAGAATAGGAAAGAGAGAGGATATTATCCCTTTGAGCAGGGGGGGTGGCTTTCATGGTGAATATAACCATGACATATGGAAATTTTTGGTTTGTATAGTTAGATATGGTTTTAAAATGACATAATGACACCACTTTATAATTTATTTAATGGTGGCATGATTGTTATGGTGTCATAAATGATGATTTATATAGTTTTAATATGTGCTCAAAAAACTGTCCACATGAGTCACCATTTTGTGAGCCTTGTATCTCCACCATATCTCCACCAATTCCCATGGTGCAGGGCTCAAATGAAAGCCCTGAAGCCATACTACAATGTGCTATAAGCATGTCCTTAAGGCATTTGTGAGTTCTCACACAATATCATAGATAGTGAAAAATGTCAAAACATGCGGACAGTATTTTGAGCCACTGTAAGTGCCAATCACAACCTGAAACTTGAGTAGCTAGTATGATTGTGTTGATACAAATTTGCAGAATCTCGAACCAGGCATCCAACTTGTTCTCTGGCAATTCACACATTCCCTCCAGGTTTGCTCTCACTATAGCTGCCCTACATCCATCTGAAAGTTTTGTCAATAACTTCAATTTACCAATGTCAATTAATTGAAGTAGATCAGGAGCATGTATCTCAATACTTTTGAGAAACTTGAAGGCTTGTTTGGAGATGGTCAGAATGGCGTCCATCCATTTGGAGATCTATTGTTACAAGATCCACATCTTGTAACAAAATAACAATCTAGATGTTGTGACTTGTCACCAAGGATGAAATAGACGAGATTCACAGGAATTTGGGTGACCTCTATGGTGTGTTTTATTGATAACTTCAATGGCTGGTATGGTAGGAACAAATATGATGCATTGAACTCAGGGTCGTCAGGGTGCAGCAGGTAAGTAATCCAAAGGATTTTACTGATTTATCAGATAACCATCCACCCATTGATGTGCAATATCTATAAAGTAAGGTGGAAGGGCGTGGGAGGGTGTGGCATGCTCGCATGAAAGCCACATTTTGCCACATGGGATTCTTTGTTTAGAAGTCTCACATGGTTTTTTCAAGCACTGACATCCTCCACTCCGATCCAAGTGTGCACTGTTCAACATCCCAATTTGATTTGACTGTGCGCATGTCTTCCATTGGCCAGAATTTCATATTGTGGGACTACACATGAGTTCCCATTGCTAAGTTGACTTGAATGTGTTGACAGCTACCCCTCTGCAGCTCTCAACAGGCTCCAGGCTGCCCACCACTGCCTGCACAGTCTGTGGTGCAGTTTTCTGCTTTGTCAGACAATGGGTGAGTCATTCTGTCATGTACTAATGAGACAAATATTGAAAAAAATCCTTCTGTAGTTCCCCTTGCACCCAAGCCCTGCTTCCTCCCCTTCAGCATGGCTATGCTGCCCTGCCACCTTCCTTGCCTTCCTACTCTGGTGACTGGGAGGCCAAAATGCACCACAACTACCACAACCAGTTTCATGCTCAGCTCCAGCATTGCAAGCTCAATGATCCTTATAGTAAGACAGCCTGTTGAGAGCACACTCATGCACATGAGCAGAGGATGCATGATCTCTCCAAGGACACTGCAAGGATCCAACAAACCCTGGAGAGGAGCAAAGAGGAGCATGAGCACTGGATGAGTAAGGAGCAGAAGAAGTTGCAGAAGATGGTTGATAAGGCAAAACAAAAGCAACTCATCAGGGACTGGAAGGAGTGGTTGCATAATAAAAAGGCATGGTCAAGTTGTCAGGCCCAGGTTGATGCCTATGACAAGCTACTCCATCAGGCACCAACACCAGGTTGGAAGTTGCCACCAGGCTGGAAGTGCCCTCCCCCACCCTCAGGAAAACTCTTTTGATAGGTTTCTCTTAGATTGTTTATATTTGAACTATCAAAGAATCTGAACTTTGTCATTTAAGAATCATGTTATTTGTTTCAGGGCCTGCTATAATCATTAGGATGCAGGGATGGGAGGACAGGAGAGCACATCAGTAAATCCCTAAACCTTCACAGACTTTGGCTTTTCCCACAGATTCTCACAGTGTGACAGTCATCACAGAATCCCAGGATCCCAGAGCCACAGGGCCACAGATCCTTACAGTGTGCCACAGACTCACAAAATTCCCAAGCTCCCAGAGTCACAGAGTCACAGTGTGCCACAGATCCACAGAACTCACACAATACATTATAAAAATTTCACTAAGTCTTTTCTTTAGTTAAACATTAACACTAAGCCTTAGTATGAACCAAAAATTTCATTAAGTCTTTTTCTTCAGTTCAACACTAGCACTAAGCCTCAGTATAAACCAAAGCTAATCAAAATTTATTGAGGAGAAAAAGTGCTAAACCTATTACTAAACCTTGTTAAAATTCGCAATTTTTACACTTTGCACTGAACTTCTAAGTTTCTCTAGTCAAAACTATGTTACAATAAGGTTTAGTTTATCTGGAGAATTTATGGGCAAGTTCTAATGAGGTTTGAAGTTACAATGAAGTTTGGTGATAGATTTCACAATATTGAGGTTTGAGAATTATTGGTATATCAGTTATTGTAAGTGAGACCAAAGAAAGGCACTATGGTGTAATGGTAAATATGTGTTAAAGTTGTTGCTGATTTCTGTGAGTTCAATTCCTTTCATCAACAGATCAAAATGTTGAAAGTGCAAATTTATTTTGGTCTATTTACTAGAGAACACTGTGAGCTCTGTGGCACTGTGAGCTGTGGCACTGGGAGATCCTGCACAGAAGGGACCAAGCTGTGGCCCTGTGGCACTGTGAAGCTCTGTACAGTGCTGCACAGAATATTGGGATTTACTGATGCATGGAGAGGAGAGAATGAGGGGATGGGAAAATGGAAGATGGGAGACAGGAGACAGGAGACAGGAGGTATCAAATGTGACTCAAGATAGCATCCAAGATTAGTTGTTGAGTAACTAACAGATTATACTTTTAGTTGCTCAAAAATGTAGGTTGTTCAAAATCCACTATGATCATTAGTAAGTCAAGGTGCTGCAGGCACCTCCCAAAGGAGCACTTCATGCTCCTTTGCCTTCTTGTGCCAAAGGCACAGTGAGTATTAGGATGAAGCCAAGGCCAGGAAGCTAAAAAGGAGCGCTTCGCGCTCCTTTTGCTTCCTGTGCCAAAGGCACAACGGGTGGTGGACTAGTTAATAAAGGAGGCAACACACCTCTTCCTGGTGATCCATGACATAAAATCATGCAGGGTTCGGGCCCGCATTAGCACGCGGCACTGCTGCTACCGAACAACTTATCTCGGTCCTTCGAGGCTTGAGCCTGTTGTTCTCTGCCCTTTATTCCTTCGCCATCATGTGCCATTGTAGTGTATGCAAGATTGAGTGTGAAAAGCCACTACGATGCTCAAAATGTCAGAAAACTATGTGAGTACAAGTTGGTACGAGAGATAAAAACCTTTGATCTGACTTGTGATTGTTGGGACAGCTACTGCTCGTACATGGCAGGCATCAACGCTAGCAGGGTGTCCAACATAATAATTTTCTTCTAGTGCAGAGTGCCAGAAAGTTGACTGGAAGGTGCACAAACGCAGCGTCTGCACCAAGCCGGCCGTCTTACACAAGGTGGACAAAATGATGAAAAAATGGAGTGGGCCGGGGTCGATGATGGACACCATCAATCAGATGGAACAATTGGCTTGGGAAGAGCATCAGCGCAACCCAATTCCTGCGCCAAAATGCGATGGTTGTTTGGGGCGATTCCATGGCACTCCTCCAGACGAGGATGACGAGGACGATGTGGAGGATGTAGGAGACGCCTTCAAGCGGTGCACGACTTGTGATTACACCATTTGCGAAGATTGTACGCATCCAGATATGCAAGGTATGTTTCATGGCTTCCATCTCCCTATTCTTATTGCTGAATCCGTGAATCCCAGGTGTACCATACTTTGGTCGCCCGCCAGGCACCTGCCGCTGTCTAAAGTCGAACTTTGGCGAAAGTTACTGTTTGTCGTCGCCCTGTTACCTTCACGGTGACGGTAGTAAGCCATATCACGGTGATAGGCACCCCGATATGGCGGGCAGTGGGTATGGTGAAGATGCATTTGAGGCGAAGGAGCGGCAGTGCAGGACATGTGGTGTGATTGCGCGATGCTTGAAGAAAGAGCATCTGAAGGACGCGCTTCCTGGCATGAATTAGCTATGTGAAATCCGGCAAAACTTACGCGACTTCGTCTGTCTTGACTGGCTTTCAGCTTGTTCCACATGTTGAATTTTGATGATACTAGGTCTTCTTGTACGTTGTTGTCTACGATTGATCGATATTTACAATGTCCGTCATTCAACAAGTTTATAATTAGCTACTGCTAGACGCTAGTAGCTAACGTTCAAACGTTGAGCACCAGGTTTGAGCTTTGCAACTTATAAGCTTGAAGAGGTTCAAGCTGAAACAAACATGGGGTTCCTTAGCGGGCTACCCGCTGTGCTCGCGTTTCGCACTGTTCCAACTACTATACTTATAACGGTCATTTATGCGGCAATCTTCAGCACTTTGCTAATCACCGACCGGCTCCCCTCTGTGCCCAAGCATACACGGGGCCTGGATTTTCAACAGGCATACAGAGACTTGCACGAGGTGTGTTGTTTTCATGGATATGCAACTAGTTCAATTCAGCTCTTTGAACTTTCAGGTGGCCGCTCGTCCGCATCCTTTCAACTCACACGCCAATGTTTTAGTTCGTTCCTACATCTTGAACCGCGTGGAGGACATCGCTTCTTCCTATGATCATATCTCTGTGGATTTCGACCTTTCTTCAAATGCATCTTGGGCTTCAGGATTGCTCTCTACCAACCCGTACGCAGTATACTATGAGTCTGACAATGTGTTGGTCAAGGTCGAGGGGAGTGATAAGGAGTATCAAGAATCAGGCGGGCTTTTGCTCAGTGCACACTGGGACTCTGTCAGCACCGCTCCTGGCGCGACGGATGACGGTATGGGCGTGGTGACGCTTTTGAGTATGGTGAGGTACTTTGCGGAGAACAGGCCCAGCCGGACGGTGGTTTTCAACATCAACAATGGCGAAGAAGACGGCTTAAATGGGGCGCATGTGTACGCTATAATTCTGTTTTTGCTTTACACTCATTCATCTGACTCGCCAGTTTCATGGAGCATCCGTGGGTCAACAACACTGATACCTTCTTGAACCTTGAAGGTGCTGCGGCGGGAGGGTGAACGGTTTAATGCAACTGTGCTTTATTACTTTGCTGACTGAAATCATGAAGACGACCACTGCTTTTCCGAACGACTTCTCGCGCTCCTCTGGCATCCTGGAGCACTTCTCGTCCCCACGCAAATGTTATCACTGGCGATGCGTTTTCGCGTGGTGTTGTCCGCAGTGGTACAGACTACTCGGTTTACGAGCAAGCTGGACTCAAGGGGCTAGATTTTGCTTTCTACCGTGGGAGGAGCAGGTATCATACGAAGTACGACTCTATCCCTGGTATGTCCGATGACAAGAGCAAAAACGCATTATGGGCGATGATGGAAGGAACACTGTCCTCGAGTCTCATGCTTGCAAACGATATGAAGGGAAAGACGAGGACCGAGTCCGTTGGACAAGGAAGTGAGCCAGTGTATTTCGACCGTGAGTTTTTTCCTTGCTATTTCACCTGGCTCCATCTATAACTCTCCTCTTATCAGTTTTTGGTGCGATCATGATCGTGTTCACATTCCAAACTCTGTGGATCGTGAACATCGTCCTCCTTACGGTCGGGCCTGTCATTCTCCTGACGTTGGTCTACTTCGAGCACATCATCAGAGTCACGTCTCGTATTCGTTCCGGATACTATCGTGCTGCAAATGGTGATGTACAGCGCGAGAGCTTTGTGGCGCGTGCGTCGGCAGAAATCAAATATTTCCTCAAAATCTTTTTGGTCTGGTCCAAATTTTGGACTGCTTTGTTGCTTGGTGTAGGCTTCCAGCTGCTTTTAGTGGTTGGATATGCGAACCTGAATCCATTCGTGAGTGTCTATTTCCTCGTTCTCCGTGCTCACTCGCTTATAAATTGTCAGGTCATTCATACGCACCCTTGGCTTGTGCTTGTGTCTGCGTTGTCGCTGGCTTATCTCACAACAGTCCTTGCTCTCACCTTTCCATTGACAAAGCATGGCGTTGTCCCCGCTCCAGAACAGCAGAAGCTGTCTGTCCTCCTCCATCAGTATGTTCTGACATGGGCGCTGCTCGTGTATACAACATCGGCGGTCACGTTTGGGGGAACATATTTCATAACTGCTTGGAACGCGGTGGTTCTCCTTGGAGCCGTGCTTGCGTGTGTGGAAGGCATGACTGGCGCTCGTGGATACGAAGACGAGGAAGAGACCGCAAGGCAAAGGCGTTACGTGCAAGGTGTCCACTACGATGCTGTTGCCACCGCTGAGAATGGCCATCAGGACTCCGAGAACGGGCACCAGCGCGTGGACGTAATTGAGGAAACTGAGCCGACAGAGATTACACCTCTCATCGCTCAGCATGGCCAGCCCACGCCGTCAGCTGAAGAGCAGGGTGCTATTGGCTGGTGGATTGCCCAGCTGTTGGTTGTTGTTCCGCTGCCTGTTATCCTAGTGTCTCATATCACAGTCATTGTGCTATTTGCGATGAACCAGACACTCACAGACGGAAACAGTCCGTTTAGTGGTGAGTGTTTTAATGGATTCAGTATTGCGCTGGCCTTTGTGAGCTGACGTGCTTTGTAGTTTATGGAATGGTCTCGATACTGGCGTTACTTATTGTGCTTCCCCTTGCACCGTTCAGTATGAACATGCATCGCTGGCTGAACGGTACCATTCTCATCATCTTCATCCTGTCAACACTCTACACCTATCTTGCGTTCCCATTCTCACAAGAAACGCCGCTGAAGGTCTATTTCGCTCAAAGCGTGGACCTAGACACGTCTCGTGTGGTTACCGCACTAACTGGGCCTCGTCAATTCCTATCGACCGTGATTATCCCCCGATTCCCGTCTGCATTTAACCAAGCCCTCAATTGTACAAATGCTCCAGACAAGCTCGGCCTGCAAACTTGTGAATGGGAGGTTGGGGATGCGTTTGTGCCCTCTCCGGGTAGAAGCGAGCGTCATTATGGACAGAGCCCTACGTCCTCCCTGGAGAAGTGGGTGACTACATCCATCAAGCGTACGGGATCGAACAGCGCGCGCATCAAGGTACAAGGATTAAACACTCGAAGCTGCACTCTCCAATTCTCGGGCAAACGCGTGAAAGAATTCCATCTTTCCGGTGACGGCGGAAAAGGTCTGCAAGGCGGCTCTGAGGTGCCTGAAGACGGGCTCGAGCAAATACGGCTGTGGAGCCGGGATTGGGAGAAGGAGTTTGAAGTGGATGTTGATTTTGCAGGAAGTGTGGATGAGAAGGCCACGGGACGCGTGAGCTGCGGTTGGGCAGAGTATGAGAGTGCTACGGTTGGTGGGGGGCGTACTGGGGGCAAGATTCCGTCATTGGAGGAGGTGCTCCTTTTCTTGCCGGAGTGGGCAGTTGTCACCAAGAGCTCGGCCGCACTGTTTGACGCCGGATGGAAATTTGAGGTTTGAATGCCAAGGCTCGAGCAAGTTCTGCAGTATCTATTGATAATTGAATAGGAATTTTGACGGCCCGTTGATCACACGGTTCCTCGCGGGTTGACGTAGGCTGAAAGTTGAGTATGTCCAGCAAACAAGTTCGGTCGCCGTCAGGGCCACTGGGTGTTCGCAGTACAAGCGCCAGTCAAACCACTACACGCCACGTCAAAAGTACAATTGCAGCATGTATTCTTGAAGGATCAAATTATGATCCGCGTCATATTTTATTCTGCATTAGTCGAGCGCGCGGAAAGTCACCCACTGATTGAAGTTCACTGAACCCTCCACACCAAAAGAATAGGCTAGAAGAAAATTACGCCACAGCGACTGACATCCGTTTCTCCGGCTATGCAAGTGTTTGGCTGCACCAAGCCAGCCTACCGATCCAGAAAACACCATCAGAATTCGACCACGAAATTCATTTCACTCACCATTATCGTCGTATCTGTCGCAGCGATAGCTGGCGTAGTTATCGCATCTGACGATCTGAATATAACACCCATGAACCTACCCTGCGCCCCCGCTAGTGAGTACTTTTGTGGCCTACGTGCGGACCGCGTACTTAAGTACTGTTATCCACAGATTCAGTGCAGTGCTCAAAGGTTAAGTATAACAAAGGGAACGATTACGGTTATACCTGCGGACGGAAAGGGAATGGTATATCATGTCACCGATGCTGTAAGACGGTTATACGGGATGTTATATCATACACTGTGACGTAGCCTGAGTGTCAATGGCATACTAGACCCAATGATTATCGATCGACCGCCATCTGATTTTCATATTATGTAATGTCGAATCACCTTCGGAACGTATCGCCAAGACAGCCAAGAAAGAAATTCAATTGTTTTCGAATCCGGAAAGCCACTACCCTCCAGAGGGAACCCAGAAAATGCCATGGCAAGATGAGTTTAGTAGAAACACCAGCCAAACCACTATGTAGCCACACGCCACGTCAACGTACAATATACCTTGAACTGCTGGCACCAGAGATACTAATTCATAATAGGTAAGAACAGGTTCAGCATGTCCGAATTTCGTATAGCCGATTTGCAGGAAGTTATAAAACTCCAACCTGAACGACCGTAGCTACAGTTCATTTCAAAAGCCCAAGGGCAGCCAAGATGTTAGGTTTTCTTGTTGGTCTTCAAATCGTCGGCCTCGTCGTGGCGTCCTCCTCGGACCTTTCTGACAAATGTTATTTCGTCCCTCTCCCTTCCATACCACCCTCCACTGCCAACCGTACTGTACCATGGGGCGAACCAACAATACATTACGCAAATGGCACAACATGTTGTTCTTCGCTGGATGAAATACGAGAGAATTTGGACACCATTGATGCACAGCTAGTGAAACTATTGTCAACAAGGTGCAGTCTAAAAGAGCTTTAAAAGATTCTTCATATCACTGAGATTCGTGCACCTGCAGAGCCTCGTACGTCAGAGAAGCAACCCGCTTCAAGTCCACACTCGCAGATGTCAATGACCCGTCTCGGAATCAGCAGGTGATACAGGGTGCTGTTGATGCTGCTCCATCGGTCCATTTGCCGCAGATTGTCGCCGAGATAGTGTATGAGGGCATCATAAATTCCAGTGTACTCTTTGAGGAATGCATAGTGAGCACTACCCCTATTTCAGAAGTTATCTGTTCCTGATACTTCAAAAAGTTCAACACCCACGATTGTCCCAAGAGTGTCGCACAAACATTGCTCAAGTCAGCGGACTAGAGCGCAATTGAGCATCTAAGATATCGTGGGGTCGAAGTTCTAATTTTGGTAGTTCCGATCATGTTGAGCTCAATGTACCGTAGTATCAACATAAAATGTTTGTTACATATCTGAGTCACGTCCGACCTTGTGCATAACAGTCTGCTCAGTGCTGGCCCTGGGCCTTCGCAACGTCCTCTACTGACCTGTAATTTATACGCGTTCCTGTTTCTCTTGTTGATTTCTAGTGAGAAATGTTCGCAGGCAGGAGCCAAAAGGCAATTGGATTTGCAACAAAAAGAGCATTCAAGTCGAGGTGAGTTGTAAGTTTATATTCTCATTCCTCCTTCTGACGTGGTGTTTGGAATCGCTAGACTTTACAGCGATCGCGCAGCAGATACCAAATCTATCGTCCAAATTTCACGGTCCAACATTTATCGCTTTGGCGATCCAAACTTCGCGGCGCCGGTCTTCCGTGATGTTGAATGGACTATCGACGAGGGTGAAAGCTGGGCTGTGATAGGGACAGGCTCGAAGCAAAAGACAGCCCTTTTGCAGGTGCGTCATACTAATATTCCAAAGTGTTTACATCGACAAATTCATACTGCGTTTTAGACACTCCTAGGTCACCTACGCATAACTCCCCCTCCGCCCTTACCCGGTGGACTATTTCCATTCCTCTCAAACCCTCCTCGCGACCCAAACACCTGCGTGGCTCTTGTATCATTCGCGCATCGTCCCCGCGCAGCAGGTGGTGCCTTCTATGACTACACTTCTCGATACGGCGCAGTCAGAGAAGAAGACCGTATCACCCTTCGGGAAAGTATGTTTGGAGAGTACGACTTTCTGAACATTCAGCCAAAAGGTGGAAAGGTGAAAACTTCTGTTGAAATTGCGCAGGACGAAGTGAAGAAGGGCATTTTTGAGGACTTGACTTCGAGACTTGGTCTTTCCTCTCTATTGGATTTGCCTTTGATAGCTTTATCGAATGGCCAGACGCGTCGAGCACGCATTGTGAAGGCTATTTTGTCTGAACCGGAACTCCTCGTACTCGACGAACCTTTGAGTGAGTCATTGGACTTAAATTTGACGAGTGCAGAGTGTAATTGCTGTACTCTATCCAGCTGGCCTTGACGTCAATACCCGCCCAATTTTGTTGAATGTTCTCCGGTCACTGCATGAGTCTCGCAGTCCACGCATTATCATGGGTCTCCGGATGCAGGATCCTGTTCCTGACTGGATTTCACACATTGCTCTGGTGACGGGCGAAACTATCATGACAGGTGTAAGAGATGAGATCATGTCCAAGCACGCGGATCATCACGCAAAGGAAGCTGAGCATAGAATGGCAAGCACCACTCAGTTACATCTGCAGCTTGGCCTTGATCATGGAAAGCCTGTAGTCGACATGCAGAACGTAAACGTGTCATATGGCCCACGCAAGGCAACTACATCGTTCTTTATCGTTTCAATGTCAATGACGCTGTGTTGATCTAGGTGCTCAAAAACATCAATTGGACCATCCGCGAAGGCCAGCGCTGGCATCTTCAAGGCGCAAATGGTGTGTCAAAATTCTACGAAACCGAAGCTTTAGAACTCTGACCAGTTCCGACCAGGTTCCGGGAAAACGACCCTTATTTCGCTTCTGACTGGCGACCATCCCCAGTCTTACACTCAGCGAGGTGGTTCGAACCTCGAGCTATTCTCTCGACCTCGGCAGCGTATCCCTACTCCGCTCTTACGTTCGCTCATTGGCGTCGTTTCGCCAGAGCTTGCGAATGCATACCCGCGACGCGCTGGCGTTAGTGTGTTCGACGTCGTAGGCACAGGATTTGACGGCGGTTTCGTCCCTGGTGGAAAGGACGGCGTCGGCCAGGGTCTAGAAGGCGCACTCAGCGACGAAATCAGACAATGGAGAGTGAAACGCGTACGCGAGGTCCTCAACGGCCTCGGTCCGACTTCCTGGGAGACAGAAACTAGCAGTTCCGCCGCTGACGACGAGCTATTATCACCGAACGAAGTATTTTCGAAACGCGATTTCGTGGACCTCTCCCCAGGCGAACAGAGTATTGTTCTACTGATGCGGGCACTTGTGAGCCGCCCCCAACTTGTTTTGTTGGATGAAGTTTGGAGTGGTATGGATGAAAATATGGTTCGTGCTGCGAGGCGGTACCTTTGTGAGGGCGGTGTTGGGTCTGACCAAGCAGTGGTGGTTATTAGCCATTGGGAGGAGGAGGTGCCTTGGATGGTACGGGATGGTTTGAGAAGATTTAAATTGGATGATGGGGAAGGACGAGAGTTGTAGAGGTATTGTTTCTCGATTCTTTGATAGACCACTCCACCTTCGAGTTACCCGTAAAATTCCCCACTAGCATAGTGAAATATACCAGCTAGACAGTCGCTGTCAAACGTGACGCATCCACTAGACCTTTTCCCACAATGGTACTCACTGGTTGGTCTTTCCCCGTGTTTATGTTGTCATCTATTCCATAGTGATCAGTGCCCACTGCCAGCACGCTAGATTTGGAGAACATCGGACTTGCACAGATTCTAGGAAGGACACGGAAGGACGCACGCTTTCAACAACCCAAGCTGGGCCCCTACACAGTGGCGTACCCTCACGCACGTGCATGAAGATGAAAGAAACACTATAACTCTGAACACTCATCCGTCAGGTTTTTTTAAAAGATCCTTTTATCTGGTAACGAGTGTAATCGAGTTGGGTAAATAAATGAGTGTCTATTGACTTGTACCTTCGCTGGGGAGTGTACACTGTACGAAGCATTGAGAGCTGGTCTGGCAGCTATCTGAGGATGGTTGTGCATGCGCGAGGGCACGAGACGTGACGCTAGAGTGGATTGTGCGAGGTTCTGTAGGAGCGTGGGCGAGGGTTGCTAATCATGCGCTGAAAACTGTAGGGTCTACTAATCTTTTGGCTCCGGCGGGGTGACATCGCCGAAGTTCTGGTTTCTGCGATGTAGCGGAAGAGGTGCCACGGGTACGTGCTTCGGGTTATTAAGGAGGGCGCGGAGGTTGAGCATTCTGGCTGTCGTTCCTGCTCGGAGGGTGTCTCTTTGTGTTTGGTATTCTTCGCACATCAGGTTCCGTCAGGTTTTCACAAGGACCTGCTTGTTCATACGTGGTGCTAGTACACAATTGTCTGAATGTGATATATGGATGTGGACGCTCGCCACAAGCGAATACCATCACAAATTGCTTCTGTCGGAACAACAGACAAGTGATCGATATTCTTGGCCATTTGGATCTACCTAGTCCCTAATCGAGCAAGGACAGATCCTCGTGGCCCCTTATCATATCATCACATGGCTTCGAAGGTATCGCAGAAGGCAAGTGGCCATACCATGCACACACATCCATTAACGCCCAAAGTGAGTATAAAACCATCAGTTTCCTGCACATGTAGAATCGAGCCCATGACTCTTCAGTACCGTATTCACGATGTCGGACCATCAAGCGCTCGTTGAAGCGCTCCTGATGAAATCAATACTTGGCCAAGGGCTTGTTGATACGAAGTTCCACTTATTTTCAGGCTGTTCGGCACATTCACGTAAAGTCTCCCAAGTGCAGGCTTTGTCGGCCAATGATGTTGTCCTGACTGCGCGCTCTGATTTTTTTGCTGAGCGCAAGTTATTTTTTACATGTGAAGGTGGTGAGCTCGCTTACGATCTGAGTTTGACAGTATTGTCGAGAACGGGACCACCTGACGCTACGTTTGTCGACTTTGATGATGACTCGGCGTTCGAGGATGGCATGGGATTTGATGATTATGGATACGCTTCTGACAGTGATCTTGAAGATGAAGATGTTGAAAAAGCTAGTCAAACGCCGGTCAGGAGCGAAACCGCCACCCCCGAGGGTAAGTGATTCAAAAGAAGATTAGCGACGCAAGTTCTGATGTCTCTTGCAAGGAAACACGAGTGAATTAGATGAAAATGACGATGATTTACTTGTCGTGGCGGATGGTAGGTGCAAAGTTGACTCAATAGTCCGTGATCTTATCCCGCCACAAGCAGTAACGCCTATCACCTCTCCCCTAATTCAACATAAGGTACCAGATGTCAACTGCCGGAACATACTGGTTCGAGACACGGCTTTCAGGACGTAAGTCACAAATCATCATAATGGTAGCAGGCCTTTGATTTATGTGTCAGGTGGAAAGCGCTCCTGCTTTATCTGTACACGAACAAGATCGTCTTTTCCCCACTCAAGTCTCAGGGACAGCCCAGAGCTGATGTGGAAGGCCCTAACCCTAGCACGTTGTGGCCTTGCTCACCAAAGTCCATGTATCGTTTAGGGTGCAAGGTTCGAGAAAACTTGCCTTGTGCTCCCCAGATACCCTAATACACAACGGTCAGGTTCGACTCGATAGTGTTCGTGACCAAGCTTTCCGTGCAATACGCGATAGTTTGAACGCAGAAAACATTCTCCAAGAGCTTTCCTCTTCATTTACATCCAAGTTGGTCGTTTCCTTGAGTAGGCCGTTTACCAAGCTCACGCGATATCAGGTATCCTGCAATCTTGCAAATGCAGGTACAAGTCCTAATCCAGCACATCGCGTCTGTCCCTGTTATCCAGAATATCCCGGCGCTGGTCAGGAGGATTGTTGATTCGCAGTTACCTCATGGTGCAGATATTATCATTGATTTGTACCAAAAATTCCTGCTGCAGTGCCATCCTCGAGCGCTTGCGCTTGCAAATTCGCCGACAGAGAAGGAGCCGTCACCTCAACCTGGAGCCTTCGGACAGAGTGGAGTGGGAGCGCCTGTTAGTATCTTCGGACAAAGCGGAGCGGCAGCGCCTGTTAGTGTCTTCGGACAAAGTGGAGCGGGAGTGCCTGTTAATATCTTCGGACAAAGTGGAGCGGGAGTGCCTGTTAATATCTTCGGACAAAGTGCTTCGAGAGGTGCCAAACCCCAAGAAGAAGAAAGACAGGGTGCGGGATCGAGTCTCTTCGGACAAAGTTCTTCGAGGGGTGGCAAGTCCAAGAAAAAGTAGGCAAATCGATATCGGTATCTTTCGTTGAAGTACTACGTCAGTAATGTGTAACTTGGATGGTATGGATTGTGACTGCGATTGTTGTTGCGACGAGACTATTTTCCCTGTTATTGTATACAAAATCGTCGCAATTGCCACGAGCCACTGGAAGAATGATGACTGCACGTGCACTCAGCCAGTCAAATACGGAAGGGATTCATCAAGTGTGTAGACCCTTACACAGAGTGTAGGCACGTAATACAATGCCTTGTTCACACGTCAGGCCTTACTCAACCATACACCACTAGTACTCCCCTTTGCCCACGACGACCTGGTGTGAGACCATTAATGCATGTTGCAGGCTGATGATAACACCAAAATCCCCACCTGGTAGACCACATCCTCGGCTCTTGCCATTCTGCAGTCATCTATTTGGATTCCAGACTATTATTGTAATGTCAACGTGGTCATGATACGGAATACGGATGGAACTATCAAGAAAGAATGACTAGCAGGGCCATACTCGAACCATTCAAGAAGGAAGGCAGTCGATGCCTTACCTTTCCGCTTGAATGGCCTGAGTACGGGGACTACAATCATGGACCATACTTGAGATGAACAACGCGAGGCGTGTTGTGTGCTGCCAAGCTCGGTCCTGCTAATCAGCGTTCATATCTTGGACTTGATTTTTGCTTTGCTTTCATAGATCGAGTGAGATAAGAGACCAATCGGAGGTTCGTCGGGTATCACGGGCCAACCCCATCACTAACACTGCGACGGTCCAGGCGTGGTACTGATCCTGCGGTAATAAAAATGTATCTGAATCAGAGGCATATTGCGGTTGTGAGTATATGCGTATCAAGATGATTTGCTGTGAGACCCAATTACAATTTTGTGCTTAGAAAGAGTCAGGCAGACGAACAGACTCCTTGCACAGCACTGGCTTTCTACAATCCTACGTTGCAGGATCTTCAGGCATGCGAATCATGAACTCTGCCCTCCCTTCCACGCCCACGACAGCGGCTTCCACTGTCTCATTTCGGTCGCACAAGAAATAATCTTCCTCCTTCAAGCCCTGATCACTTTGCGTTACCACGACTAAGTAGAGTTGCGCTCTGCAGAGTGAACGTATGAGACAAGGAACGCCCAACACAAACGTCAAAGGCACTGACACGTTGACGTCCAAGCGGAAGCTCTTGCATGCACCAGTGAGAACTTTGCCCATTCGTGTATGAGGCTTCGTGCTGAACTGTGCATGCTGCGCGGAGGGTTTGTGCTGGATGCTAATGACGAGTTTGGTGTGTGCAAGCTCAGGCGCTGGTTCGGTGTGAGCAATCATGGCAGAGATGGATGATTGTACAAATAACGTACATTCCTGAATCGCTTGAGGCTGAAACACCGTCCGCTCTGCAGAACTTGAATTTTGCTCTTGTTTGATAGGTCGGCCTAATGTTGATGTGTAAGATATCAAATGACAAAGGAGATGCACTACCTGGTGGTTCGTGTACTCCGAAGAGGGATCGGCCTTCTTGGGAGCTTCCAGCGACCGACGACACTCGTACGCGATACGCAGGAGGAGTTTCGTTTTCCTTCTTAATCGGTTGTTCTATGTCTATATATTTCGTTATCACATACCTGTGCAGCAGACGGGAGTGACTCACCAGGGACATGCGGCATGTTTTGTGTACGACCAGCAATCGTTCGGTTCTGAGCACTGGGTGCCAAGGGCTGAGGGTCACCAACGACAGGAGCTTTCTGTATCTGCTGCAAGTCTGCAGCCAGTCTTGAGCTACGGTCAAGCGCCTTTGGGCCATCTTCTTCATCAGACACAATGACCCGTCGTCGGCGACCGAATGGCCTAGTCCACACAGTACTTTCCTCCCTCTCCTCCGTCTGCTCGTCCTCCTCCTGCTCTTCCTCTTCCTCCTCCTGCTCCTCTTTATCCTGCCCTTTCTCCGCCTCGTCTTCGTCCTGTGCTTCGACCTCCTCGACATTTTTATTGACCTCTGCTATATCACTGTGTTCTCCCCCTCTATTTTCCTGTTCGTCAGAGTCTCGGGCTTGCTTGTGCGTCCGAGCATCTTCATGTTCCTCTTCAACGAGTTGTAATGTCTCTTCGCCGGATGGACCGGGTATGACCTCCTCCAAGTACACCTCCAGACAGCAGACAAGATCCATTAAGCCCTCTTCTTCCCATGCCTCTTCATCGACCTCAAAGGCTGAGTCGTCTTTGCAAGGCATGGAGCTAAGATTGCAGGTCGTTCGGAAGCGCAGGGATGAGGGTGGGCGGTCTCCAATAGCAAATTTCCGGTGCGCAAAGGATTGGAGGGACTGATATGACCACAAAATGATTTAAAACTCACAACAAGAGAGATTAACATGACACGCACTTTGAACTCACGAACTTTGGATGCTGGACCCTTCCGTGTCAGCATCTTTTTGTTAGCATACGATATCATCAGGAAACGTAGTGGTATGGCATCCCAGTTAATGCAGTTGTGGGTCATGATATACAGGGCTGAATTATATAAACGTGATTACAGGAGTAGAACAGCGTCGAGGGCACACAAAGTTTCCAAACTTAAACAGTGCGTTCAAGTTAGTAAGTTATCGATTACAGCTGTTTGCAAAAAGGTTGACAGTAGCGACATTTTGAGAAAAGAACAAAACAAATAAATAATAGATTAATAGCCACATACATACATCACAAATTGACCATCATGTATTGCATTCTTACTAAGTACGAAGAATGAGCACGTGGTCAGAATAAGGTCTATGTCCGTTTTGAGCAAAGTGTAACTCATGCCTTCTTCTCTTTACACCTATCGATTCTCGATATCATCGATAGTACTTGCGGCTCGGAAGTCCATCTGATCTACCTATTTCAAAGCATCTTTCCGAAGCCACTTCTCATTTACAAAATCTGACGATTTCACCGAATGAACAGACTACCCTGTGACCCCAGCACTAATGTGTGCCCTGATTTCATGGATGAAAGGTATCGTGCCAGTTGAACTGTTTTCATGACAGCTACCACCACAGAAGCCCAAGCGGCAGTTGGTCTCCACGCCATCTAGGAAACCACTAACGACACCCTCTGTGCACAGTGGCAACTACAAGTAGCTGAGGATGAATGCCTATGCACTGAACAGAAACGTTTGGCCGAAGAAGAAGAACGTCAAGTCCAAGCTGTTCGGCTTGAAGAAGAAATTGCGCTAGCTGAGGAAAAGAAGAAGAACTGCAGCAAGTACCATGTACTCCCTGAACGTCCCCACCCTACAGCAGCAGAAGATGAGATACTAGTATCAGATTTTGCCATGCAGAAACTCAACAAAGGTCTGTATGTAGAGATATACTACTGGACCAATGACGGGCTAGACGACACTCTCACCAACTATCACACCAAGGACAATGATGGAATGGTGCCCACCATGGGAGAAGACAGGTCCACAGCTTGGGTCAGCGTGGCAGCCATGAGGCCCTCAACCAGTGTAGTACCAGATCACAATCTCACCACAGTAGACTTCACACAAGCAGTCCCACACATGATCAACTCTCTTGAAGAGAAGGGTTGGCCCAAGCAAAGAGTCCTAATGCTAGCCTGCTTCTGGGGAGCAATCATGATCCATAGGCACTGGAACTCGAGGGACAAGTCAGCGCACAAAGGTCTGATGTTATTCCAGGAAGAACAACGTCGGGCTTGGCACAATGCGATTCCCATTCCAGCAAACGCTTGGGACATATCCATCATCAATGAGACAGTGATCACATGCATGGTGGACAGAGTCTATAGAGATGAGATGACCAAAACAAACAAGATTTAAGTAATGACTTCAAGGTATGTAGTGCATCAATGTCCCTACATTGACCCTTACTGACCAATCTTTTCTTTCCCTCCTCTAACCAACGCTCTTTATCATCACATGCTCACTCATCCGCTCCCATCTTGTTACTCAATTGGTCATGTCACTCTGCGTTTGCCTTCCCCTTCGTTCTTGCATTCACCTGCCTTTCTGTGGTTGTGGTTGTGGTTGTGGTTGTGTTTGCCTTCGCCTTTGGTCCATTGCAGCAAAAGAGTCAACACTCAAGCTCTCGCAATGGGCCAGTTGAACCCTCTTCCAACTCGTGCGGAAGACATTCTAAGCGCTGTCTCCCTGAATCACAAAAGACGGTCAGCATCCCCAACAAAGAAGTCCTCTGCCCCACACAACACTCGCATTTCAACAGGTACCCACTTGGGTTTTCAAGGCAGTGCACACAGCACTCGCTCCCCAGCAGTGTGCGCCACCTGCCTGGGGAGAAACTCACACAGCTTCATTGAATGCACTGCTGAATGACTCTGGGACAGCGCCTTCCCCATGGTTGCCACCCACAACAACAAGCAATTACTCCTGCGAAGCTCAGACAAACCATTATGCATTGACTGGCAATGGGTTGGCAGTTGCTCCAGCTCCTCCCACAATGAGAGACACATCTGCTCGGGTTGCCTGGCTACCACCCACAGAGCTCAGAACTGCCCTCGAGCTCAGGCGATTGCATCCAACCACACCATATAAGTTCGACATCTGGGAAATGAAACTGCACGCATTCAATCTTCTTGCCAAATATCCAAATCTGCCTCAAGGACTCCAACATGGCTTTGTTCTCAACATTCCCCGCATTCACACCATACAGACTCCACCTAATAACCCTTCTTCCAGTATATTCCTTAGCGCATTTGAAACTATTCTCAACCGAGAACTTAACACCGGGTGTTACATCAGCCCTTTCTCCCAGCAAGAGCTACTATCCCTACTTGGCCTGTTCCAGACTTCTCCCATCTCCATCATTCTGAAACCAGGGAAACCTGGCAAGTTCCGCATCATACAAAATTTTTCATTCCCCCATGCCATATCAACAGAGTACACCAACCCATCTATCAACTCAAGCATCAACTCGGACGACTTCCCTTGCACATGGGGCACCTTCGACACAGTGTGCACCATCATACGGAGTCTACCACTGGGGTCTCAAGCAGCCACCCATGGTATTGCAGAAGCATACAGAACAGTTCCCCTGCATCATTCGCAATGGGCAGCCATGGTTACACAGTTACCAGGGGGAGGTTTCTGTGTGGATACTTGCATTTCCTTCGGTATGGGACCTTCTGCTGGCATCTATGGACACATGGCTGACACAGGTATTGATATTCTACGTGCAGAAGGGCTTGGTCCCATGGTTAAATGGGTGGATGACCACTTGTTCTTCCGCATGCAACATGAGTATTTGGACAGCTACAATGCCTTTCGAGTGCATGCTCATACGATGCTGGCAGCCAATGGTCAACTGCAGACAGGAGGAAGACTATGGTTCAAAGGCACTGTGCAGGAAGACAGCACCTTCAATGTCTATGCAGAGGACTGCACCTTCCCACTACGAGATCTCTCACTCACTTCCCCACACTCACTTCACAACTCCCAGTTCAACTTCAGCTTTGCAGATATCAACTGTGTATCTGTCCCTCTGGGTTTTCCTTGGGAACTCACCAAAGACACAGTGTTCACCTTCGTGGTATTATACCTGGGGCTTATGTGGAACTTGGTGAAACTCATGGTCCAGCTATCAATGGCCAAGAAGATGAAGTACCTTGCAGCGATCATGGAATGGCACTCCCACATCATGCATGATCTCCTCAACGTTCAATGGCTGTATGGGAAACTCTTACACTCCTGCTTGGTGGTACCCACAGGAAGAGCCTACCTCACAGCTATGGAAACCATGCTCAGAATCTGCGGTAATAGTCCATTCATGCCACATCATGCAGTCAAACATCTTGAGGAAGATCTCAATTGGTGGAAACAGAGACTCTCTCAACCTTTTGTTGGACATTCCATCCCACAACCCCCAACTCTCATCGACCTGCACACCTTCTCAGACACAAGCTCATCTGTTGGAATCACAATTGTTATCAATGGGCATTGGTGGGCCTGGACATTACACCCCAGGTGGAGAACTCTCAATGGTCAACGAGACATCAGCTGGGCTGAAGCTGTCGGTGTCGAACTTCTCCTCCTCACAATCCTGGACAACTATGGTGATGTCAATGCATCCTCTCACTTTCGACTGCTCTGTGACAACCAGGGAATCGTTCTTGGTTGGAAGATGGGCTGGAGTCACAACCGCGAAACCAATCTTGTCTTCAGACACATCCACCAATGGCTCGAACAACTTGATAACCTCGTTGGAATCCATCTTGAGTATGTACCCAGTGCCAAGAATCCCACAGATGGTCCCTCCAGAGGCATGTTCCCCACTAGATGTTTTCTCTTGCTGCCAGTTATCCTCCCTGGAGACTTACCCAGCCTCCTCATTGACGCAGACTTATCCACCCCACCGCCCAACAACACCGTCAGCAGCCATAGTCCAATTGATGGGGAGCAGGTGGATGGGACAGAGGGGTGGAACTGGGGAGAAGAACTCATCCACTATTGAGACGCATGGCAGGACTAACCTCTCTCATTTCACAGGAACCACCCCACTCCCCTTGACCCTCATGCATGCGCAACCCCGTCCCTATCCTTCCTCACTTACTCCTCTCATGTCAGCACTTCACCCTCACTGCCTAACATGTGAAAGGCTTCACCTGTGGGTCCCAGCTGCTTCACAATCCAGACTCGACAACTCAGGATGTCCCATTAGCATTTCAGAAGACAACCTGGACAGGATCATAACAGTCATCAGCCACTCACACGTGGCAAGCATGCATGAGACCTATGGCTCAGGACTGCTCATTTTCCATGTTTTCTGTGACTTGCGTAAGATTCCAGAAGAACAACGATGCCCAGCCTCATCTATTCTCTTACTAGCTTTCATCGTGTCCTGCATGGAATTGTACTCAGGGAAGATGCTAGCAAACTACTTCTACAGGATCCAAGCTTGGCACCTTCTTCATGGACAACCTTGGTTAGTCCAACAAGGAGAGATCACTCTGGCCTTAGAAGGTGCCAAATGCCTTGCACCACCAGCCTCGAAACGCCCCAAACGAGCTGCCTTCACCCCAGACATCATCAGTGCGATCCGCACCACCCTAGACTTAGATCGCCCTCTGCATGCTGCAGTCTTTGCCTGTCTCACCACGTCCTTCTTCACCATCGCGCGAACTGGCAAATTCACAGTCACATCACTCCAGAACTTCCGCAACAATCCCCAGATTCATGTGAGAGTGGACTGCATGCAGCAAGAAGAGGATAGGAATGGTTTCAAGGTAACCATTTTTTGTCTGCCACACACCAAGACCTTGCTAGATGGGGAAGACGTTTACTGGGTGGCACAGTCAGGCCCAGCAGATCCCAAAGCTGTTGAAGTCTGAACGATCTGAAGAGAAAGAGAGTGAGGAAGCCAAAGGATCCAACATGATAGGTATGAGTGAGAGAGAGAGGTCCAAGCGCATGAGGCAGATGGGCCAATAGGCTGTGCCCAAATGACATCGGCTTGTGCCCTGCAATATACATATGTCAGAAAACTTCACCTTTGCGTTCCTTACTTACCTTCCTATAAAACCAAGTGCCCATTAGATGTGCACATCTCAGTTCTAGTTGAAACTGAGATGTGAGTACTTGGAAACATGTATGTCAGCATTTACTGACCAAAACCGTAGCATACCTTTGTGTTCTAGGTACTATACACGTTAATATGAGTTCTAGTTGAAACTGAGATCATACCTTTGTGTTCTAGCTCCCTCTCCCATCGTTCGCTCGCCTGTTCTCGCAACAAAAGCAGCCTTACTGAAGCATCTGACCATCAACAATCCCCCTTCATCAGCTCATCTCTTCAGTTGGCGCCACCCAGGAGGTTTAAGGCCACTGACGAGAGGAGAGTTTCTCAAATGTTTGCAATCAGCTGGTGAGCACTTGGGGCTGGAGGGCCTGAAGGGCCACGGCATATGGATAGGTGGGACACTTGAGTACCTTCTGTGAGGAGTGCCTTTCGAAAGTGCCAAGGCCATGGGCCGCTGGAACAGTGACACTTTCGTCTTATACCTCAGGCAACATGCAGTAGTTCTGGCGCCCTACCTACAGGACAATCCCGTTCTCGAGCCATTCATGTGTTTGACACTACCTTAGCCTTTCTTGAACAATGTTTCGTAAGTCGTCACACTCTTCCTTTGGTGGTTGGGTCTCAAGCTCTCGCTAGATGCGTCATTATGCTCCTAATCTTTTCAGGGTATCTCAGCTTGTCCTTGCCACCTCCACTTACGTGTTTCGGTCGAAAGCCCGGTGGGCTTTGCCCAAACACTCTTTAGCGTAGTTTTCGTTTGCTTGCTCTTGTATGTCACGAAGTTATCGGGCATTCGCAATAACATTATGTTCGATCCTGGTTACACATCGCGAGGCAGGAACATAGATCGGAAAATCAGTCACGACTAGCCGCAATTAATCTTCACGAGCATCAACACCTTGCACTCAAAGACATTCTTGCTTGCGTCGGAGATTCGGAATGCACGTCCTGGCGGATCCTCAAGCTCTGGCGCGAAACGGGAGGCATACATTGCGTCAAGCGTTTGCAAGTATATGCGCGTGTTATTTGACCCTATGTATGTGGCTATTATTTATTTGTTTTGTTCTTTCTCAAAATGTCGCTACTGTCAACCTTTTTGCAAACAGCTGTAACGAACATCTCAAACAAGCAATCTAATGCGGATATCGTCGGTTCATCATCGGCTCCAGAACTTCAATGTATGTCATATTCACATTGACACTTAGGCTATGTCACAGCGCTCTTTTCACGTGCTCTTGTGCACAACATGTCAAATAACATTAATACTCGGGCTCGAAAGGCAGCAGGCTCGCTCAGTTTCTACACTGGAAGTCATTCCCATCAGCAATCACCTTACAGCAATTTTTGCAGGAACACGACGTGTACGGTATAATTCTCCAATCAGATCCGCAGAAAAATCTATAATCGTTCCCGTCATTGTAACCTTGCATGCCTGTGGAGCACTGCACCAAATCTGTGGATAACCGTAAGTACACTGTCTGCACGTAGACCGCAAAAGTGCCCACTGCTCACTGTTGCGGGTGCAGGGTCGGTTGATGGGTGATGTAGTATCGTCCGAATCAGCGATAGTGGGCGGGGAGCGAGCGAGGGCCGGCGCTCGCGCTATGCCAGCCATCGCTGCGGCAGATATGACAGTAGTGGTGAGTGAAGCGAATTTCATAGTCGAATCCTGATGGTGTTTTCTGAGTCGGGGTGGGTAGGTCGGCTTTTATACATAATCACTGTAAGGTGCAGCAAAACACTTTGTGCTTGCATCGTTGCATACTCGGAATGAAACAGATGCCACTCACGCCCCACAGCACAATTTCTTCTATCGCAGAAGTTCGTTTGGCACGGGTGTAGGTAGACTCGGTGGAATTTAATCAATAACGATGGCTTATTCACAATTTTCACATTTAATGTGGTAGATGCACGCATGCAATACTACTCAATAATCAATTGAATTGTGGGATCATTGTCAAACGGGAGTAGGACCTGGTAGGACATGCTTGACGAGATCTTGATCGGCTTGAGCAGTATCCACCGTCATGGATGATTTAACAAGAGAATGAAGTGGGGTTGCTAGAGGACGTAGAAGACGAAGAAGAAACTGCCTGGCTGTTGCTACCACTGTCCTAGTTGCTGCTGAGCCCGCGCGCCAAGATCGCATCGAAAATCGACAGTGACTATGACTATACCTTTGCCGTCTGCTACTAGGAACCTTCTGAACCCACTGAGAAAGATACCCCACGGCAGGTCCTATTTGCCACCCAGCGAGCATTCATCACGACGATGGGGTTTGATGTCGACTCCCATCGATTGGTTTGGATGTACATTGCAGACTAGCCCAAAGTATTGTTGAAGTCCGAGCGATCCGAAGAGAGAGAGATTGACGAAGCCGAAGGATCCGACCTGATAGGTACGGGCGGGAGAGAGAAGTCCGAGCGCATGAGCCAGACAGGCCAATAGGCTGCGCCCGGATGACGTCGGCTTGCCTGCAATATATATATGTCAGAAAACTTCTCCTTTGCGTTCCTTACTTACCTAGTATAAAACCAAGTGCTCATCAGACGCACACATCTCAGTTCTAGTTGAAACTGAGATGTGAGTACCTAAAAACATGTATGTCAGCGTTAGCTGACCAAAACCGTAGCGTACCTTTGTCTTCTAGCTCCTCTCTCGTCGTTCGCTCGTCTGTTATCGCAACAAGTATGAATCACATAAAAGTCTTGTTGGTGGGTATAGAGACCTCCTGCAGACCAGTAACATGGCACATGCCGACTTGATCGTCTCATCTGACTGGTGCCCTCGTATTCAACTTGGCTGCTGCCCACTACCTGCAAGAATAAGAACATAGATATTTCACATACATAATTTCGTTGCTGTTACAGACGGACTATAAGTACACGTTCTCCTCTCCTAATTGCATCCCCGAAACCACTTCAAGGCAACGACAGAACAGTCTGCATAAACTGATCATAATTAATCTGCACCCATCCATCATTATCCGTATCAAGACCCTGGAACGCCCCGCTCAATTGCTTGATAACCACACAAGCGCGAACGAAGCGATCGAACGTGATACCAGGAGTAGGCCCATAGGCACCAGCTACATTGGAAGCTTTGATGTCTTGAATTAGCATAGTTTTAGCAGAGTGAGTTGTGAGATGGCAGCTCAACGGAGGCACGACTCGACATTGGGAATGGATGACGTACCGTATTTGGCTTGGACGAGTTCGATTAGGGGTGGGCTGAGGTTGAACCCGAATTGACGGAGGGCTTCGCGGAGCTCGTTGCGGTCAATGGTGCCGGAGCGGTCTCTGTCGAAGTGGCGGAATACATTCTGCCAGTCCTATTGATAGTTTTTTGGTAAGCTGTGTAGGTGAAGCTGGGAACGTGTACACACCTTGATGTATTTCCAGAGTCCACAGAACTAATATCATTTAGATCGATAGGAAAATGAGATAAGATAGGGAAACAGTACTTCGTTGAACCCGATTGTTCCGCTCCGGTCGACGTCCTATCGCAGACCGATGAACAATCGACCAAACGGCACGGTAACAGAGAAGAAACTCACAAACATGCTCATCAAGAGCTTCACAGTGTCCAGATCAAACGCTACACCACCGCCATCAGTTCCTATCCCAACCAAAAACTCAAAAGCAAAAACTCACGAGTCCAATCCCCATTGACCAACGCTCTCTCTAATCACAAACGATTCCGAACAGATCACGATCAATAAAAACACCCATCTCACTCAGAAAGGGCGCACCGAGCTCAACAGCAGAGATTGCGCCAGATCGGTCCATATCAACAGCAGCGAACCACGACCATAGCCTTTCGAATCATAAGCGCATCAGTCAAGAACACATCGATGATGGAGGGGATGGAGATAGAGCGCTTGCAATTGAAGATGATATGGATGAAGGGCTATATTGATGATGAGAATGAGCGGCACTCACTGAGGATCAGCACCAGGCGGAGGACCTCCAGGAGCCACGCCTCGATTAAACCCCCCAGGCGCTCCATATCCACCATACTACAATAATATAGGGTAAACCAAGTACCCACTTGAAGTTAGCAACGATTCAGATTCATAGATAGCAAAAGTATCTACGCCTGCATTATATGACATGTCTTAATAAGTTCTGCGTGGGTGAGTGGGTGTGCGCTTCAAAGGGTTTGTTGGTGGCTGGTAGGGAGCGTTTTGTTCGTGGTGGAGAACAAGCGCTGTTTGCTGATCGATGGAGCCTTCTTATGAAAGGACCTGCTTGTGGCAGTGTAGCACAAGCAAGCGAATCGTACACAGCATCGACATTCATTGTAAGCGTTATCTTAGCGCCCTGTAGGGGCGCGATACGTACCCTCACGTACAAGTATCATATGATGATCATAAGTTACCTTGGTGAGTTTAACCTAGTCAGCTGAACCGTTTCAAATCGTTGATCGTCATCGATGCATAATAAAACTCCAAGTACAAAGCGAACAAAAAGAGAAGACGATGACATGCCCATAGTGTAGCTAAAAACAAACGAAACGAGAAAAGCAAACAGATAGCCCTACAAGAAGCATTGAGTTAAACGCTAGTGAACAAAAAGCGAGTGAGTATATGTCATTCACGAAGACGAGGGTGACTTACAAGATGAGACATGGCGAAAGAGTGAGTTCACAAATACGAAAAGACGAAAAACGAAGTAGGACTCGAGCGAGGAATCGAAATCGGAACAACATGCGACATACGAACAAAGAACATATGGACGTGAATGTGAGCTTGGCATGTTGTACTGAGCATGCAAAGTAGATCGGCTGGGCGCATATATGCACTGAGCAAGCCAAGTAGACGTGTTGGGTTGTTGAGGTAGTTGATTTGATGTGGTCTGGTTGGGGTGAATGAGTGATAAAGTGGTGTGATGTGGTGTGGTTGGTGGTCATATGCCATGATGTGGTGCAGTGTTAGCTTGCGGATATAGTGTATAGATGAGAGCGTGACGTCGGGAGTGCAGCGTCTATGCTAAACGTATTGTGCAACGTCCACCGGGTTCCCTGGATGTGATGCGTAGTTTAGGAATCCGCCATGCGTGGTTCGGGAAACTGCCATGCGTAGTTCGGGATCCTCCAATAGCCTCGAGCAGTGAGATCACCTGATAAGCCTCCCATAATCCAGCCTCGTCTCCCGCTTCTCCCCGCCCTCCTTCTTCGGAAACGCATTCCAGAACCTAAGCGTCTCATCCCCAGCACCTGTTACGATTGTTTCACCTAGGAACATAAATCAGCATCTCATCCCAGCACCATTGGACGTTACAACCCCAGCACCCCAGCATCTCATCTCCAGCACCACCCACTGGATGGAATCAAAGAGAAGCCGACTCACCATCAGGACTCATAGCGAGATACAACACCCGATGCGTATGCCCCGTCAAAGACGCCACCATATTCAGCGTCGGGTATTTCCAGATACATATTTGGTTTTGGGCTGTGGTGCTGCTAAAGCCGTGGGTGCTGACGAGTTCGTGGGAAGTTAAGGACCATATTAAGTTGCAGACCTATGCCGATCGAAGTTTAGTTTCAGGGCGGAGAGAATAGGAAAAGGTACGGAAAAAGGGGAATGGGATAGGGGAAGGAAAAACATACCTGACTCCCAGTGTCAAGCTCACTAAGCATCGTCCCATTAAACGTATTCCAAAATCGAATATGTTTATCTTGCGTCCCTCCTCCAGTCGCCAACACCCCACTCACATGTGGATCCCAGGCGAGTGCTTTGACTGCTGCTGTGTGCTCGTGGAATTTCCAGAGTGGCGCATCTCCGCTTCCGCTTCCTCCTGCGTCTTCCACACTCCCTGATCCTGACGTCGAACTTCCAGAAACAGAAGCGCGTTTCGAACCTCGTAGATCCCATATACACACTTTGTTGTCATTCCCCCCACTTGCCAACGGCCCGCCATCCCTAGCCCACTTCAACCCACACACTTCCTGTCTGTGCCCCGCACACCGCTTGAACGGACGGTGAGTGGGCTCTCGGACGTCTCGATGGTGCACCATACGATCTCGTGAGCCTGATGAAAGGATATGTGAATTCCAAGCGAGAGCACCGATACGTTGAGTGTGGGCGTTGTTGTATGAGCGTTGAACTTGGAGAGTATTAGCGTCGTAGATATGCATTCTACCCGAAAGAGTTCCAATAGCAAGCAACGTGCCCTATCAAAGTATCGAATCGAGAATAATTAATTAAAAGGCGAGATATACGGACCTTTTGGACCCATGAGACGGAGCTGACTGTATCATTTGAACCTGCTAAATCGCATAGCTTGGAAACAGCTGCATTATGTGCTGTCCATAAGTACACGCAGCTTCCTAGTCCAACGCCGAGTACATTCGTATTGCTCCAATCTACGAGATTAAGGTAAAAATCATCCGCAAGATCTGGTGCGTCGAGAACGCGATAGGGCGTTTTGCAGACGCTGCGGAGTTGTCTGCGGGGGGACTCGAGGAGTTGACGAGATTCTGCACGGACGGGGCTCATGGAATAGGCTTCGTCTGTTGGAGTGTCAAGTCTGCGGGTTGGTGTGCTGGGGTTTGCTGATGTGGCGGGTGATGTGTAATGGAATATGCGCTTTCGGGTGGGAGTACTTGGTGGGAGAGTTGTTGTTGCACTTGAGGAAGTTGTAGGTCGTTGGGGTGAGGTGGGTCGACGTGGGGAAGGGGGAGTTACTTCTGTGTGCAGGATGGATGTGAATATTGCGTTTGCTTGTTCTGCGGGTGTATCAGTTGGTAATCCTAAGTACAACAAAGGTGACTTACCCTTCAATGCATCTGATTCTGTTGGTATAATTCTAGATTTTGAAGGTGTTGAAGGACCGCTTTCATCCATTAAGTGATAGCTCGTTCGCATATCCCCAGCATCCCGAGATGGCACAAATCTGTCCCCGTACATGTCGCGCGTCGTAACAGGCGATTCTGGCGTCGCGTCCTTTGTTGTCGACGATGTGGCGGTATAGAAAATTGGGTTAACGCGTTGTCGGTTTCTTCGTGGACCGTCTTCTTCGTTGTCTTGATGTGTCGCGCGTAGTCGCTTGCCAAAGGGAGAGTTTTTGAGTCCGGACATTAAGCAATTGGCTTGATCTAGTCAACGTGATCGTCAACGAGCAGAATCCACGGCGAGCATCTACAAAGCAACAACCCCCAAAGCTGTAGTCAAAGCCCGAACACAAGGCACAATCAATTCAAGGTAAAATTACATAATCGATTCAACGTAGCGGAGTTTAAACGTGTCATTCCTCGAAATCTTTCTATGGATCACTTGCAGTAACAAATCATAACGTTATAATGGGCTCTGATAAAAGAGAAACTTCTTTCGCATCCATTTCGTCGCTTGTTTTGTAACAATCCCAGCCAACATGGTATGTCAGTCTTTTCTCATGACTCAGGATCTCACCAAGGAGGATATGGAATGAATCTGGCTCCCAAACTTCAAAGGTGCTGCATAGGTGGCTGCAGACATGATACCAATGTTTCTAACCATCATGTATGTATCTCACTTTGGAGTTCTTCAAGTTGAACTCACTAGCTATAGCACTTGCTCTGTGTCAATTCATACATTATAATAGGTCCATCATTTCAGTAATTGTGTACATCACCATGATTTCACACTCTCTAGTGGCAAAAAGGAATGTGTCACAATGATAATTTATCCTGAACTGCTGTCCTTTTTCAATGTGTCCTAATACCTCCAAGAATCCTCTCAACCAACATGTGGGTGTGTTAAGCTTGACTGGAGCTGATGGACTACATTAGCAGAATCTCTTAGATGAGTTCCTAATAGCCTGTACCATCAGCATCTCTCACACTAGTCACTGCTTAGCAAAATCAACACTTCTGGTCTTGGTTGAAAATGATCACATCTTCAATGGCAGCAATGGAGATGTCAGATAATGTCCTTTTCAGTAGCTGTAAACGGATGACACTATAAAGGCAGACTTGCTCATCTAAGGTTTATGAAGTTTGAAATTTGAACTGTTCTGTCCTTTGTGACCACCCAGCATGTAGGTTCTTTTGACTTGATCACTATTTGTGTGCTCACTTGTCTATCAGTATCACAGTCTGTCAGACAATGCTCCAGTTCATGTTTAGAACATTATGGATTTGTGCAACCATGGCATTGTACTGGGAATGTACAAGGTGAAAGCCCACCCCATCACATCACTATGCACCAATGCCACTACCAATACAGCCAGCTTGAAAGCAATTGTATGGAAATATACAGCATCATGCAAATGAGTGGAACATTGTCCATTGTGCATATGCCCACCATGACATAGAAAACTGCCAATTGCTTGACCATACAACTTTTTATACAGTTCTGCCTCCTAAACTACCACCACAGACATGCCACCAGCAAGTCAAGAAACTGCAATTCACTGAACTCAATCTTCTGGATATTGTCATATGGCTGGAACTTCAGGGTCTGCTACACACAATTAGATCAGTGGGACTGTGACAACTGAATCAGATATCACATATCACATATACAGGCAGTGCTGTAAAACAACTTCAATAATTGTGTTGATTAACTCTGCCTTTTTCTGAGAGTGTTTGGCCAACCCTGGTATCCACTGAGAGAAATCTGCTTCATATGTGTGGATGGCAGAGCTCAGAGCTTCCCTGACAGCAATTGCATTGGGAGATGCTATGTACTGCTGAAGAACAATGTGAAGAGGGCGAATGGACACCCGCCAGAGATAACATCACTGGTCCAAAAGATAGAAAGTGTTTTTGAAGATGATAACAACAGTTGATGATCAATAATCAGCAAATTCATTACAATGTGGTCTAAAATCTCATCAGAACCAAGCTGAATAGTTTTCTCCAATGTTGACAACCCAGAGGGCTAGTAAACCTTTCAGCTGAGAAGTGTGTGGACAAGCTGTGAGCATTAGGACATGCCAAAAGTTGTAATGTGGACCACATTTTCTCATCTTTGAGGTAGTAATCCTGATGAATGAGGATCAAAAGTCAGAAATAGTTGAGGATAATTATACTTGCATACTGGGATTATCAACACATCAGTGCTCAGACTTAAGAAAGGATCAAAAGACTCACACACTGTCAAGGGATCAGTGATGGGTTTGGTGAGCTAGGCTTGAGTGGGACAGAGCATCAACACACTCACATGCTGTGAAGGGATCAGAGGCAGGTTCAGTCAGTGACTCTTGAGCATGACATAGCATCAATATACTCACATGCTATCAAGGGATCAGCAACATATTTGGTCAGTGAGGTTCCAGCTCCACAGAGCATCAACACACCCACATGCTGTCAAGGATCAGCAATAGGTTCAGTCAGTGAGGCTCAAACTTGATAGAGAATCAACACACTCACAACCTGCAAGGGATCAGGGTTTGGTCAGTTAGGCTTGAACTCAACTGAGTATCAACACACTCACATCCTGTCAATGGATCAGCGATGGGTTTGGTCAGTGAGGCTCAAGCTTGACACAGCATCAGCACACTCACAACCTGTCAAGGGATTAGCAATGGTGAAGGAATCAACTACTAAGCTATGGCTCTACAAGGGATACCAAGTCAGAGTATATATGTGGTCATCTCAGCTCTGCCTAGGCTACTATACTTTGCAAAGGCAAGTGTGTTCGACCCAAGGGAAAGTGAGTGCAACACATCCACAGGTTGTGCAAAGCATGGGAAAGTCATGCATGTGAAGGTGAAGGCATGCGTAGTGAGTAGTAGGGTGCATGAAGCATGGGAAAGTCACGTGCTAATAGGCAAAAGTGTGCAAAGGGCTAGGAATGTGATAAAGACTAAGGGTGGATGATGGCTGATACTGATGGGCACAGAAATGATAAATGCGATGGCAATAGGATGTGATTGCCAATAGCTACTGACTATGGCTCAAAATGTGTGAACTACACTGAGGGATACTAAGGGATGCTAACTAGGAAATGAGTGGCAACTAACTAAGTCATAAAAATGTGAATGCCAATATGCAAAAGCCAACTAAGCATGTTCCCATGAAGTGGAGCCAACATGAGTAAGGTGTGGGAATGAAGAAGGTATGTAAGGATATATGTAAGTAAGGGTCTATGATGGGATATGGTGTCATAATGAAGATAAAGTGCAAAAACATGCCAGTAGGACTTGCTGGACAATGGATGGATGCTTCTGGATGATGGGCGATGAAGCACAGGAAAGCATGTGGGATGTGTGCAGGAAGATCGCACTTGTATAGGCTGAGTGAGGAAATGATATAGGGAATGATACCATGAGCTTGTGCTGTGAACTGTATGCAGATACATCGTAATATAGGACTCTATGGGCATACAGAGGTGTGAGTCTCTACAGCACTTTGATGTCTGCAGTATGAGGGCTGCATTTAGCAGGGAGCAAGGGACCATTGTAATTGATGATGAATTCTTTGAGGGCTGATGAGATGGGAATCAGTGGGTAGATGCCCCTGGAGGGGTCATCTGCAGGGTTGTGGGCACTGGGGATATAGTGAGTGAGGAAGATACAGTTTGAGACTGCAGTAAGCTTGTGGATCCACTTGAAGATGTTGCTGGTGGCCTTGTTTCAGCTTTGACCTTTCCACTAGCCTTCAATGACATCATAGTTGTCACTGAATACTTTGATGCAGCTGCCATCTGTGCTCTGAGTAAGGAGTGTGATGATGAGGAGTTCCAATTCAACCACTTCTGCCCAGCCAATATCATGGTCGTCAGCTTTCCAACCTAGGAGGAGATGCCAGGCCCACCACCAGCTGTTGATCCATCACATATTGCAGTAATCTATCTCCATATTATATGAGTGAACAGACGTGCATAATATCCTGTATGATATGGGCCAGTGGACCATGGGGCAAAGGTAAAAATATCCCTGACTATGATGGATGGGCTGGGAGGGATATTATTCCCAATGGAGGTGGGTGGGCCCATGTGGGGAATATGTAGAGTAGATGAGTGGGCCAATGGACATAAATATTCTATAGATGGATGGGCTGAGGTAGTTGGATATTATGTAGATGGGTGTACCAATGTAGATGTGTATCAGATAGACAGGTATGCCAAGGGTACTTGTTATCACATACATGGGTGGGCCCAGATGTATATTATATTAGATGGGTGGGCTGAGGGTGGTATATAATATAGTAGACATGACAGAGCTTAGGTAGTTGTATATCATCCAAATCAAAGGAGGTAATAATTCAAAGTTGGAGCATGGGAGAGTTCCAGAGGAGTACAGGAAATACTCAGAGGAGTTCCCACTGCACAGGAAGTGGAGAGACCCCAAGGTAATATCTCTACAGGAAACAGGATGGAAGGATAGGAGGACAGGAGGACAGGAGGACAGGAGGACAGGAGGACAGGAGGACTGAACATCTGGAGGACAAGATGTCTGGAGGTCCAGAAGGAATAGGGGCTACATTGGACTTTGTCCAATGTAGAAACAAACAGAGGTAGACTACCCTAAGGTAGAATTGGAGAGACAGGAATTGGACCTAAGTCCAGAAAGAGGGTAAGTGTTAAGAACTGGTTGCTCAAGGGAGAGAGAGACTGACTCAGAGGGGCTTGGCCTCAGCTCATATGCTGTGCCCCTTACCCAAGTATGTGCCCTTCATTTCATATGAGGTCCAATGATGGTCCAATGAAGTCTGGAGGACTTCCAGAGGCTGGCTACTCTGGTGGAGTGCTAGAGGACTTCCAGAGGAGCATGGGAAACATCCGGAGGAACACAGGAAGTGCTCAGGAGAGTTCCCACTGCAAGGTAATACTTCTATAGGAAACAGGATGAAAAGACAGGAGGATGGAGGACAGAAGGACAGGAGGATAGGATGTCTGAAGGTATGGAAGGAACAGGGGCTACATCGGACAAAGTCTGATGTAGAAATAAACAGAGGTAGACTACCTTAAGGTAGAGTCAGAGGGACAGGGATTGGACCTAAGTCCGGAAAGAGGGTAAGTGCCGGAAAGGTGGAGCTCTGGCCTAGGGAATCAATCCCTAGGCCTGATGGATAGGACAGACTTAGGTGGACCAAAGTCTGAGAGAGGATTGGGCAAGTAGAACAGGATCTAAGATGATATTCAAACTAAGGAAACTACAGGAGTATCTACAGGGGTTATATACTGGAGAATATCTGAGGGGATCAGTAAGCAAAGGAGCAGGGCTATGTATGAGCATGTGGAAACACATTAGTAAGTAAGATGGAACATAACTAAATGAACTCAGAGATGAAGACTTGTACAAGGATCAATAAGCAAGATGGAACAGGAGATAACCAAAAGCCAGAAAGGCAGAGATGCCTAAATGGGGATAGGCGCAGGATATTGGACAGAGGGTGGGAATAGGTCTGGAGTTAATATCCAGAGGTCCAGAGATCTGGGGATCTGGAAGACAGGGTGGATATAGTCCAGAATCTGAGACAAGGTGAAGTCCAGATGTCTTGCTGGATGGAGTGTGCATAGGGTGGATGGGATAGGGTGGTATGGATCAGGCCAGCAGTGAGGATTTGGAGGTCCGGAGCTCAGGGGTAAATCCAGAGCATAGTCAATCCTGCTGAGGTGTGGAGCACACAGTGAAAGGGGATCTGGCAATGAGTTGGATATGAGATCTGAATGTAGGCTTGGAAGGTGTGGGAATATTATGGAATGTGGGTCCAGATTGTGGGATATGACAGTAAGTGCCGGAAAGGCAAGGCTCCAGCCTAGGGAATCCATCCCTAGGCCTTATGGAAAAGGACAAACTCAGATGGACTGAAGTCCAGAAGAAGATTGGGCAAGTCTAAGGTGATATTCAGACTGAGGACTCTACAAGAGTTGTACAGGGGTTATATACTAGAGGATATCCAAGAGGATCAGTAAGCAATGGAGTAAGGCTATGTATGAGCATGCAGAAACATATTAGTAAGTAAGATGGAACATAAGTAAATGAACTCAGAGATGAAACTAGTACAAGGATCAATCAGCAAGACAGAAACAGAGATAACCAAGAACCGGAAAGGCAGAGATGCCTAAATGGGGATAGGCACAGGATCTTGGACAGAGGGTGGGAATAGGCCTGGAGATCTGGAAGGCAAGGTGGAAACAGGACTGAGATATGTGAGGTGGTGGATGTAGTCTGGAATCTGAGAGGAGGTAAAGTCCAGATGTCTTGCTGGATGGAATGTGCATATGGTGGACAGGATAGGGGTGTACAGATCAGGCTAGTAGTGAAGATCCAGAGGTCTGGAGCTCAGGGGTAAATCCATAGCAGAGCTAATCCTGCTGAGGTGTGGAGCACACAGTGAAAGGGGATCTGGGCATGAGTTGGATGTGGGATCCAGAAATAGGCCCAGAAGGCGTGGGAATATTATAGGATCTAGGTCTGGCATACAGGATATGACAGTATGCAACATGTGAATTTTTCACTACACAAATCACCAAGTATCAAGTGATGAGACTCAAAACCCAAAACTCAAGAACCAAAAACCAAAAACCAAATCTTGAAAAAATGTATATAACATGAAATTTTTTTATTTCATTACACAATTCACTGAGTGTCAAGTGCTGAAACCTGAAGCCCAAAACTTGAGACTTGAAACCCAAAACTCAAAAACTGAACACCACAAACCAAATCTCAAGACTCAAAAACTGAATCTCAAAAAAATGTATATAACATGAAATTTTTTATTTCATTACACAATTCACCAAGTGTCAAGTGCCAAAACCTGAAACCTGGACATATGTTTTGTAGTACCAGAGACCACCAAAACCTGAAACCCAGTACTACTGACTTCTGAGTGTTGGGACTCAGGACTTGGTAGTCAATATAGGCAAATGATAATGAAAAAATGAAAGTTGTAGTCCAAGTCAAGGTGAGTGTCTTGGTAGTCTGTCCTTGTCAATTGGGTATCATTTGACCAAGATATGAGCTAAAGAAATCTGAAACATCAGTGATAATGAAAAAAAAAATGAAAATCATTATTATGCTTCACTTCCTTAATGAGAGTTTTAGTCCAAGTCTATGTGAGTGTATTGGTGGTCCTACTGAGTGTTGGTACTCAAGACTTGGGAATCAGTACTTGGTACCCAGGAATCAGTAGTTCCATACCTCTAGATGTCCTGTCCTTTGTATCTCTGGATGTCCTGTCCTCCATACCTCTGGACAACCTGTCCTCCTGTCCCCCATACTTCCAGACCTCCAGACATCCTGTCCTCCTGTCCTCCAGACCTCCTACCTTTCCATCCTGTTTCCTGTAGAGATATTACCTTGGGGTCTCTCCACTTCCTGTGCAGTGGGAACTCCTCCAAGTATTTCCTGTACTCCTCCAGAACTCTCCCATGCTCCTCTGGATGTTTCCCATGCTCCTCCAGAAGTTCTCCCACACTCCACCAGAGTAGCCAGCCTCCGGAAGTCCTTCAGACTTCATCAAACCATCATCAGACTTCATCTGAAATGAAGGGCACATACTTGGGTAAGGGGCACAGCATATGAGCTGAGGCCAAGCCCCTCTGAGTCAGTCTCTCTCTCCCTTGAGCATGGTTCTTAACACATTGCCTTTTTCTTCAGCATAGTGGTATATAGTAGTAGGGAGAGGATACCACTGTGTTTTGAACAGGTATGAATGCTCATCTTAGAAGAGTGAGTCTGAGTTCAAGTTGCTGGTATGTTGGGTATTCATTATCTCTTGATTATTGATTATCACACTGATGTCACACTGAGCCTGGGCTTACAAATCAAAATTCTCAAGTTTAGTTCAGGTTAATTTGGCCAAATGTGCATATCCAAACAGACTCAAATTTAGTAATGCATTTCTTTGATTATTTCCCTTTATTTCAAGGTCTGAAGGGTTTGCTACAGTGGTTGAAGAATATTTACCAATGTTTTCTGCCAGCCACTGTGGAGAGAGAACAAGGGATACGGTTTGGGCTACATATGGAAAGTTCAATGTGCACGTGATTTTATTATTTTATTTTCTCGCACTGATGCAGCCCTCTTCTCTTGACACTGCGGTTGGGAAGGAACCTGACATCGACTCAAAAGTTAGCCAACCATTAATTACGTAGGCCAAAACCCATCATAAGCGCTTGTATTATCTTGGCCGGAAACTTCCATAGACATTCAAACTCCGACTGAACAAGGCAGTTGTCCCGCTGAGTCCGTTGCGCGGTTAACGCCAGCCGGCGCGACCAGAGGATGAATGTAAGCTTCGTCAAGCCATCCATACACACGTAACTAACAGTATGCAGAATCTCCTCAGGACACTCACCGAGAGCCAGGTTAGGCCCTCGCCTGACCTTAGGCTACTTCTGAGTGCTGTCAAGGACGCACGCGTGAGTCTTGTTGTTCCGTGCTGTGCCTAAAGCAGAAATAATGCATTAAATCATTCTAGCGCCAAAGCTTCGATGCCAAGGTATCAGAACCATTCTATGACTCCCTTGAGGGACTGCTTCATGATCTGCGTACAGTGACCATGGTGTGTGCATGCGGATCAACGCTATCTTACCCCGCTGACATCATACACAGGATAATCACGACGCGGAGGCGTTCCTTAAGCCAGTTGCAAAATCCGATGTTCCCGACTACTACGATGGTGCGCGCACATATCCCGTCTCAACATATCTTGTCTCATACCATCTAGTGATCGTAAACCCCATGGACCTTCAAACCATGCTCAAGAAGGTCAAATCAAAGCAATACAAGTCCAAGCGCGAGTTTGCAGATGATCTAGATCTGATATGGTCAAACTGTTTCACCTACAATGCGACTGAGGTATGTATCACCGTCGTGAAAACGCGTGGTGAGGCCCACTGTGCCGCGCAGGACCACCCTCTCCGCCAGTGCGCAATGCGCCTCAAGAAAAAAGCCGATAGACTACTGAAGAACATCACTGACCGCAAGGAACGAATCGACCCTCCCTTACCTGCTGCTTTATCCCAGCCTTCGCATTCCGCTTCTCCCGTCCCAATGAGACCTAACGCGACGGCACGGCCCAAGATTAATGGCACGGCATATGCTCACAGACGATCTCCGTCATTGACCGCAACACAAACTACCATCACCCCAAAGCAGCGCATGGATCTCCCCTTTGCCGATTCTCCTGCGCTTGAGCGTACGCCACACGGTATGGCCGCGTTCCATGTACTCGAGTCAGAAGCTGGTCCATCAAGCATCCCGAATGGATACAGCTCATCTGCTTCTACAAATGATTATGATAGCGAAGCAGACGAAGTGTTAATGTCAATAGATAACGACTCGGGGGAGAAACGCAAGCTGTGAGCCTCGCCTTTTTGTTCCTTTACCAATGCATCTTCCGTACATTGATCGGCAAATACTGATTGCGGTACCTCTTCGCTTATTCGATGCAGAAACGGTTCATCTTACCGTCCTCGTAAACGCGTACGTCTAAGCCCTGCTCCCTTTGCGCCTATTCCCACGGCAGACGACCCGAATTCGACTTGGTGGTCCTCTGTTCAGTCCGACTTATTCCTCGCCAATGGACTTCCAGCCCTTCCCCAGCCTTTTGCTGCATCGACCCTCTATCCGCAATCCCAGCCCATACACTCATCACAATTTGCAAGGCCCCGCAAGCGACGGAAACTCCGCCCTCAGTCCCTAGCAAAATACAGGGACAGAGATACTCCCGCACCCAACACCCTCCTCAGTATCATGAACACGAACATTAAAACTCTTAAACGGGTCCGACGTACGCATGCTAAGTTTGCCGCGCTCAACCTAAACACAGAAGAGGGTGGTATGGGTGATGAGCCGCCAGATCTGGGGGAAGAAGGCATGGTTGATGAGGTGATAGATGAGCGGCCGTGGCGAGCGAGATATGCTGGCCTTAGACAAGTGAAGGGACCGGTGGAACTAGAAGTTGGTGAGAAGAACGCGGACGAATGTCTGAAATGGATGAATCGGAAGGTGCTAGAGCATGAAGGATTTCAAGGTGCGTTCCATGCTCTTCTTTCATCATCATTTTGTTTGGTGTGATAGGCAGCTAGAGGCTAGCGTACTTACTTTCACTATATGTCCAGGGACGTCAAGCGCTGCACTGGATGTGATGGCGGGGGTGACGTCTGAGTATTTCCTCAATGTTGGTCGAACGCTACGATTCATGTGCGACAAGTATGCGAAGAGCATGACGCCAGAGGTACGTCTCACCTTTTCTCTCCCATTGTTAACCTGGAACTCACTGGTAGTGTTATAGGAAATCATCCTGCATACACTCTTCGAGAGTGGAGTGACGAGGATTCAAGATCTTGAGCGGTACATCAAGGACGACGTCGTCCGGCACGGTTCGCGCCTTATTGACCTCGAGAAGAAGCTTGTTGGAGCGTATCGCGAAGCTGTCAGTCTTTCCTTCCTTTTACTCATTAGTCAACATCCCTTGTACTCACCATATGCACAGACACAGGTAGAAGTTCTTGACGACGATGCGCTTTTCGCTGGCGAGGATGACGAAGAGGACGAGAGTGCGTTTGTTATGGGTGGGTTTTCTGACTCACTTGGTGATGACTTTCTCGGGTTACGGGAGCTTGGCATTGCTGCGGAATTGGGGCTATCGAGTCTCACTATCCCAAAGAAGTTACTCAAAGGGAAATCACGGGGAGCGGCAGGGGCTGCCATCGAGTACGTCTTATCCATCCAGTCTCACGATTTCTCGTCTAATTTTATTCCGCTCTCAGGGCAAAACCCAAAGAACCGCCACCGCCATATCCACCACCGCCTTCGCTACTTCCTATCACGAGCAAGAATGTGGGCGATCAGATCGGGCTATTGCGTCCCTACTTTCATATGCGGCTTGCAGCACTCGCACCTCCCGGCACCTTCCAAGGTCTCCCTTATCTCCCACCTGGCCCTCAATTTGGCTTACTTCCTCACCCTGGTGCTATACCATTACCTTTTGGACCAAGTTCGTCAGGCGAGTTCACACGCGTCATCACGATTGCAGACGATGCACCCGCACCTGCGCAGGCGAAGCTTGGACCTTTGGGTCAGGTACTCAAGACAGGTGCTGCTGCAGGGACTGTCAAGAAGAAGAACAAAGCGAAGGAGCCGGTGCTAATGTCAATGCCCGATATGTCGGATGCCGTTCCAGTGGAACCGATGCGCGCATTCAGTGGGCTTGGGGTGGAGGGAAGAGATGTTGGTGGCGCTGGAGCTGGAGCTGGCGGTGGTAGCACTAATGGATTAGGTGGGGGGACCAATGGAGCAGGGGGTGGGGGGACCTTGGGTATAGCGGGAGGAAGCAAGAAGAAACCGGGTCCGCAAGCGCAAGGGCAGGGAAGGGCGATGGAGCTTCCGCCTGTCATTACTGCGAGCGCGTGAGACGTGCGGGTCTTGCTATTACATACATACTTACACTTTATATTCGCATGGTCATTGCTGTCCGTACTATGCATTTGTGGATCATACACTATACCTGTAGCATTATTCTATGTATTGCACTGGACGTTGGATTCGTACGTGGGTCGTGTGGTCTTGGAACGCTGAAGAATCCTTTTAGTTGGAGGTTGAACATCAGATCTCAAATTGCAAGAGGTGTGCACTGGACATAACACATACGCCTATGTCACATTTCCGGGACTAAACTTAAATCGAAGCAATGGCGTCGGCCCCCCGAAAGTGACAGTGCGCAGTGATATTCATTCCTGCAATAGCTATTACTGTGCGACAATGAATTTCCTCGTCACGATCCGCTACTTGCTCATCAAGATGTCGTGAATACACCACTGGCACGCGCATCTTGGCGCATTAATGTCTGGGATTCTCGTTCATTGCTCTGGATTCTGCTCTGGCCTTTCAGATTTTGCACAACGATCTCCGTCCCAGTCACCATCCCACTTTCATTCATGTCGATTGTTCCGAGTCGTTGGTTCTGTGTAGGCAATTCTGCCTCTTCCTGCGTCATATTATTCCTGACAGTTTATGCGCACCTCAGGACGACGAGCTCTGCCGATTGTAGTGCCCGAAGGATCTCGCATCTACATGCATTGTGTATTTCAGCTGTTATCTTTTGCACTTGCCTCATTGCGGAGCCTGGGGCCTCTCTGCAATATCTATTTGGTGAATTGGTTCTGGGGTTGGACTTCGTTGCTTTCTCTCCTGCGACGAGGACCACTCAAATGTCCGTCTGGGTAACGTTCATATCCTTTGTTCATGTTACTTTGTCTATGGTACTATAAATATTATGATTTCGTACGGCATGCTGTAAATACTTAAGTAACATATGAATGGACAACAGTGGGACAGCGTGGTGTGTCGCATCTTAATATCTTCACCGTGGCTGAGATGACCCTGGAGTCCGGAGAAGATGTTCCTGTATTTGCGGGTCAGGCCTTGATGTTGTGAGTCTAGAGAACGTTGGAAACATCCACCATCGCAAGTTTCTGGCCTCCTGATAAAATAGCGAGACAAGACTGTAGATCCTTCAAACTCCACTGCCTTTTGAGCCAGGAGAGGAGATTATGATTCCAGAAGGATTTGAATAGATGGGCGAGCTTCCCATCCCATGGATTTGGAGCTCACAAGAGATGGTTAGCCCAGTTTTGACATGCATAATTGAGGGCATCAGAGGCTGATTGACTGCGTGTGCATGCTTCGTATGTGAAAGTTGAAAAAGCTTTCATAGCATGGATGATCTCCATGTCTGGTGGGTAACTTTGTGATAATGCAGAGGTGGAATGATCCTGGTGCCTTAATGCCAGGAATGTCAGGAACATCAAGAAATTGGGCAGGGACTTGAGAAGCTGGATTGCTTGAAAAGCTGGCTGCAAAGGCAGTTCTGGGGCAATTGTGTACTCCCTGATTGCTTTTAAATTGCTTGAAAATTCTTTGACAGTCACCCAGATAGTCTTCAAACACCATGCTTGACCATATGGTGTTTGGAGCCAGTCCTGGCCACCCTGGGTCTGCAACCACTCTTGGCCATATGTCTGCAGCCAGTCTTTCCCACCCTGGGTCTGTAGCCAGTCTTGCCCGCCCGAGGTTGGCAGCCAGTCTTGACCACCTGTGTCCTGTAGCCAATTTCTCCCACTTTGGGTCTGCAACCAGTCCCACCCTCTACAGTACTGCATCCACTCTCACCTGTCAAGGGTCTGCAACCAATGTAGGCTGCCAGGAACCTTCAGCCAGGCTCCCTCATCTGAGGTCTGTAGTTGGTCTCCCCTGTTGGGAGGTAGTTGTGAGGATCACTGAGATACAGAGGATAGCAGTGAAGGCTGGGAGATTGAGGGAAAAGTGTGGGACCACTGCTGACTGCTTGGGATCTGCAGCCACTCTTGCACACTTGGGGTTTGCAGCCAGTTTTGACCACCTGAGGACTATATCCAGGCATACCCACCTGAGGTATGCAACCAATCATGTCTGCTCAGGGTTTGCAGCCAGGCACACCCATCCAAAGATATCATCCAGGCATGCTGTAATGGGCATGGACTGCAAGGGAAACCAAGGCCAAACCTCTATAGTGGGAGGCTGTGGCTCTATCTATCGAGGACCGACTATGACAAGCCACAGGACTACCGACTATGAGCCAGGACTCCTGCTACTGTGCCAGAATCCCTGGCACTCCCTGTGACCTGCACCAGATCTCCCCACTACAATGCCCATCCAGGGTCTGCAGCCAGTCACTCCTGCCCCTAGTCTGCAACCAATCTCACCTGCCAGTATGCAACCAACCTTACCTGCCCCTGGTCTGCAGCCACCCTTTCCCATCTATGGTCTGCAACCAATCTTGCCCATCCCACTCTCGCTTGTCCTCAACCTGCAGCCACTCTTGCCCCTGCTCAGTCTGCAGCCACTCTTGCCTGGGCTTGGTCCACAGCCACTTCAACTCAGCCTGCAGCCACTCTTGCCCCTGCTTGGTTCACAGCTACTTTCACCCTTGCTTGGTCTGCAGCCACTCTCACCCCTGTTTGGTCTGGAGCCACTCTTGCCCTTGCTCAGTCTGCAGCCACTCTTGCTCAACCTTAGTCCACAGCCATTCTTGCCTGTCCCTGGTCCATAGCCACTCTCACCCATCCTCTGTCTGTAACTGGCAACTCATGTGTATGGTCTGCAGCCAGTTTCTCACCTTCAACAGAATGTCCCAGTCTTGCCCATGAATCTCCATCCAGACTTGCCCACCTGGGGTCTTCATCCAAGCTCTCCCATCTACAATTTGCAGCCAGTCTCTCCCACCTGGGGTCCACAACCAGCTATTCCCAAACATGGTCTGTATCCAAACTCACCCACCTGGGGTCTGCAGCCAGGTTTTACCATCTGCAGTTTGCAGCCACTGTCCCCCACCTGGGGTCTGCAGCCAGATACTCCTGTCCACAGTCTGCAGCTAGTCTCTATGGTCCCCAGCTTTCAACCAGTTTCACCCACCCATGGTCTTCAGCCAACCATGCCTGCTCGAAGTGTTCAGCCAACCTTGCCCGCCTGAGGTCTTCAGCCAATCCCACCCACCCAGGGTTTCCAGCCAGTCTTGTATGCCTGGTGTCTCCAGCCAAATTCATCCATGCTCAGTCAGTAGCCACTCCTGCATACCCAGTGTTTGCAGCCACTGTCGTCCACCTTGAGTCTCCACCCAGTCTTTCACATCTTCAGTCTGCAGCCAGTCTCATCCATACTGGGTCTGTAGCCAGTCTAGCCTGGCCTGAGTTTGTAGCCAATTTAACCCACCCTGGGTCTGCACCCAGACTTTCATAGCTGGAGTCTGCAGCCAGTCTAGCCCACCCAGGGTCTGCAACCAATCCTTCCCCCCCTGGGTCAATAACCAGTCTCTCCCACCATTGGTTAGCATCCAATCATTCCCTCCCTGAGTCTGCAACCAGGCATGCCCATCTGGAGTCTCTAGCCAGAATTGCAACTCTGAGCCATGATGTCCACGAACCCATAGCAGACCTATGAGAACTTGCAGTGGCTCCAGTGGCTGGATAATGAAGGATAATGAGTTTTTCAAGTTCTGGGGGTCCTGGGATTGTGTAGCTTGGCTGTGATTCTTCAATTCTGAAAGCACACCTAGGAGGGTGGTGCCATCTGGAAGGTCTCTCATCATCAAGCAGAAAGAGGAAAGAGCAAGTAGGGAATGCGGTGATGTGATGTGATGTGATGTACCTGAGGGAGGCTGCAGTTGGAGTGGTGGGAAACATAATCGCAAACAGACAAGTGATAGATATCCATGGGGAGACTGCTATTGGTGGGAACATTTATGATAGATCATAGCTGTGTCAGTACTGTCTCAACGTCCCTGCCATGGCCAGGGCCAAGAAGCTTTGAGATCTGTGACATTGGAAGTGGGTCTGTGAGGGCAGCAACGACAGACAAGTGCAGATATGCTAGCGTCAGGTTGGCACACATGGAGAGGATGTGGTCGTAGAGCTTGTACACCTCCATCCCTGGTAACATTTTACTCATTAGCTCAAGCATGAGCTGAAGTTGATCATGGGGATCATGGTTTTGATCATCAATGAATTTCATCATCATAGATGCAACAATAAAATGTCTCCCCACTTGGCTTGCCAGCTGTGCAAGTTGATTGGCCAATGGCTATGGGAAGTCTGGATGGCAACTTCCCAGTTCTCTGAACAAGTGCTGCAAGAAAACATATATGTTGTTGTCAACATCTGTGCCATCTAATGAGATGGTGGCAGCAACGCCCTTCCCAGAGATCTTCACTGGTATTTCACACAGAAGCAGGTGCATCTCTTCAGCCTGCACAGCTTTGTGGATATGCTCTTTTGAGTGACTCATGAGCAGAATGTGGACGATGGGCAGATCAGGTTCATAAAGAGCTTCACCAAGCAGGGAGATCAGATCAGCAAGCTCATTTTCAGAGGTAGGTTCATCAAAGGATTCAGATCCGAGTGATTCAGGTGTGCATTCATCAAGGGCATCAATAACAAACATCAAAGGCAGACAGTCACAAAGTCTGAGAAAAAGCTTCCAGAGAGGTCAGAGAAACAACACCTCCATCTGATCCCAAAGAGACTTGTCAGGATCTAGAAGGGCAGGATTTTCAATGATGGCTCTGTTCACATCCTCCCAGACACTGGGAAAATTACTGGCAAGCTGGTAGGCAAGCATTGCAAAGAAATAGCCAGTGGTGCAGCATTTTATGTGCTTGCACAAGAAAAAGAATGTTCCCCCAAGCTGTTTTTCTATCTTCGTCTCTTCTGTCATTTTCAGACCTCTCATCTTTTCAGCTACAGTGAACACAACAGCAGACTTTCCAATGCCCACCATGCCATGCAGCCATATAAGTCAATTCTTCTCTTTCTTGTCTAAGAACCCATAAATGTAGTCAAGGAGATCTACCTGAGTCCCTTTTAGACATTTTGGATGGGGCTGGCATTCACAGGTGTTGTACTCAGCACCCTTGACAGCAACCTGGGAAAGCCTCTCCCAAGTTCCTTCAATTGATTGAAGATTGCCATGAACTGTCAATGAGGTTGAGGTTAGAATGCAAAAGAGATCAGAGATGTGAATACTGACATTGATCCTGGTAACTCATTATGAAAGGTTGATGATAAGACACAATTGGCGAGTTTCGGAATAGAAAGATCAGCACTGGTGTTCAAGAATCAACAGTGTGGTTAGGTTAGACATCATATGCCAGTTATCTCGAGGAAAGACGTACGAAAACGCTAATCGAAAAAATCTAAGCTGCAACTTGAGGGAAGGATAAGTTGTGAAATCGCAAGTTTATCCGATGGTGACGGTTTGAGCAAAGATTAAGCGCTAAGCTGTGAAGCAGCTGTGGAGTAGTTAACGGAAATTGATTCCAGTAAGTACTTGCTGTGCGTGCTGTCACATGATGGCGTACAGCCAGCACTGGGCGCGCGCTCAATTGCCAAGTCAGGCGCTGCCGCCGTCAGGAAGCAAGTGGCACTTTTCAATTTACAGAACGGCCATCACGATGCCTTCTGCGAGCTTCTATGCGTTCGCTCCGTGCTGTTCCCTCCTTGCGTTTTCCAGGCCTTCTCCTTGCTAACCTAATGTGATCTAGAGTGACAAGTGCAAAGCATACAAGCGCAGGGGCTGGCGTTCTACCATGATTTAAGACGAGGATTCCAACCGTCACAACAGAACAGCAGCACTCCTCTCTAATTCCTCAACACTCACCAACTACCTACTCCCAATACCAACATGACTGACGTTCTTGGTGTTCTCGTCATCGCCCGTAATGGTGACCGCACAGAGTACTACCAGGATCCTAAGACCTATGAGAGCTCCTACACTGAAAGCACTGCTCTTGGTGTTGTAAGTCACTTGTATGCGGCTTGTAACTTCCCTAGCTAATGCAGCCTGCGCTACAGGTCCAGTCCCACCAGCTCGGATCCTTCCTTCGCTCGACCTACATGTCCTCGTCTTCTCCTTCATACATCGCGAACATGAAAACCGACCTCGTAGATACCCATGAGGTTCACGTCCATGCCAAGGCTGGCGGTGAGGGTACCGTGATATTTGACTCTGCTGTCGCCCTCCTCCAGGGTCTTTTCCCTCCCAACCCTGCCAACAGGATCGTTCTTGCTAACGAGACCACTGTCGTTGCTCCCCTTGGCGGTTACCAGTACGTTCCCATCCAGACTGTCGATCCCGGTAACGACAGGTCCCTTGAGCCATGGATCGACTGCCCAGTAAGCAATACAATAGTTCAAACCTGCGGAACTGCGATCTCACCATGACCTGCAGGCTTTCGAGCAGCACATCTCCAATGTCTACTCGTCTTCTGGGTTCAAGGAGACTGCAAAGGCTGCTGGTCCTTTCTTCGGTGCTGTCAGGGACTACGTTTTCGGCCGCCCTACTACTCTTGAGAACGCTGTAGGTTACACCTCTCATTCTTTGATACAAATGCTGATTACCTCTGTGATTTAGTGGAATGTGTGTCGCCATCTAACTTAGGTTACTGGTGTCGTGCTGAACTTCTTCTAGATTTACGATTACATCTCGACTGGGCACTCTCACAATAAGACCTACGCTCACCGCCTTCTTCCCACTTTGCTTGAACAGGCTCGTGGTTTTGCTGACTACCACGAGAATGCCATCTTCTCGGACAAGCATGTCGGTGGCATTGGTAACTGTGAGCCGAATTCGATTCACGTACGTGGTCCATCACTAATCTTATTTTGTTCAGTGGCTGGCCGCACGATCCTCCACACGGTCTTGAACTCCCTCCAGCGGATTGCATTCAACGGTGACCCTCTACAGTTCCTCCTCGTTGAGACCTCCTACCAGCCTTTCATCTCCCTATTCCACATGCTTGAGATGATCAAAGAGAACCCTGAGCTTGCCGGTATCCGTGCGTATGATCTCACTTCGATGTGTTCAGCTGATTAACGCAAGGACTACAGCGAACTACGCTTCTGCTCTTGCCTTTGAGCTCCGTCGCGGACCTCCCCCTGAAGACCGTGACTTCGTCAGGATCAAGTTCAAGAACGGCACCCGCGGCGACTTCGAGACCTACCATGCTTTTGGCCACAAGTATGACATTGCTGCAACGGAATTCATCTACAGGATCGAGGTAGGCACCTACGCTAGTTCTTTTTAATTTGCTCTTACTTAATACCACTATTCCAGAACTACGCCATTGCCAGCCAGAAGCAATGGGCCGCTGCTTGCAGCTCAGGTCTTACTGATGACTGGGTCCACAGTGACTCCCAGAGCGTGATCTCCAGCACTGTCTTTGCCATTCTGGCTGCTGTCTTCCTCTTCGGCATGTTCATCCTCTCAAAATTCATCAGGAGCGCCCGTGCCAAGGCTCAGAACACTCGCATCCGTCTTGCTGACGACGAGGTGAGTCAGTTCTACTTACCCCAGAGCCAGTACCCCAATTATGGAACCCTTTCCGACGTCGGTCCTGGTATTGTGCCCGTACTGACAAAATGTACATTTCCCCTTTCTTATTCACGACAGAACGTCGTCGCTCAGCCCGCTTCCATGAGTGAGAAGCAGTGCCTTCCCTTGTAAATGCCGGTCTAGTAGGAGTCGGAGAGGTTGAAAAAAATCTTCACTACATGCTTCAGCAGGGTGGGTTTCTTGTTCGATTGGTATCTGGACCTGCATCGCATTGCTTCAGACTCTTGCCACATTTTTTCTTCTCGTTTACAACATGACTACTGTGTAATTTATTATATAGGTTTGGGTCCCCATAGTTAAGTTATGAAATTCACGCATTTTCTCGGATCTTTGCACCGCTTGCTACGACATTGTGGATCGGCTTGCCGATGGTATAGGATCAAAGTAGACCATCGGGTCACAGGGAATGCAAGGAAAAGTGTTCTGGAACTTCTGCTGATTCACCCTTCAACATGCACGATACCTGGGCATCGTTTGTTATGAAGCGCAACCTCCGAGTCGCAAGAATTCCCTGTATCGCTGCCAGACTTGCCAATGTGAATCACTGGACTTGACTCAAAACTCACTCTCCAACGTTCAAGCGCTCGTCGACGGAACTATCCATAGTAAGCGCTAGACTGGCGACCATCCTCAACCTTATTTAGGTTGGCGCGGAGACATGTTAACTGTCACGTCGTAGTGAGAGACCAAACAAATTTCACGTCTGCCGTCCCTCTGAGTGGCTCGATGCCAACCGATGCCATCGACCTGTACTCAGTCAAACAACGAGTTACGAAAGAACCTATTACCTATTACCCTATTTCGAGTCCACTAGTGGCCTCCTTATGAGCTGATGGATTGAGACCAGGATGCTGTACATCATGATAACAAGGTAAGAATGGAAGCTTTGTCAAGAACTATGCACAGCAAGGTGTACCTTTCTAAGAAAATTTGTCCAAATTCCTAAGAAGGCGTCTCCAGAGCTTCATAATCACGATAACATCCACAAATTTGTTCGTCAATATAATCACGGTCGACCAGTATCTGTGTGGCACGACACGCCCAGGTGATTCATGCCGACGTAATATCATACGCAGCACCTCCGACCGGGTATCAAGGCCACGCTGACGGACGCGCGGTATTACATTGCTGTGTAACCTTTGGATCTGTGCGTTTCAGGCTGTTTGAGAAGGTTTGTAAAACGCTTTCACTGGAAGGATGTACAAAGGGAAGGCCTCATTAGGTTACAGAGTCGAAGTCTATCGGAAACAATTTTCATATTGTCCCTTCCTATTTCGGCCAGTAACTTTGTATCAACCGAAGGCCCAGCCAGGCCCAATTTGGACTTTCTCGTGGACACTGATAGTAAGTAAATTTCACGAAGCCACAGTTGTCTGCTACAGCAGACTGCAATCGCGCAACCGAATGGAACAATAAATACCCGTGGACTACATTTCCTCAGATGCGCTGGCATATCTCCGCTGTGGACAATGTGCGCCGCAGTACTGTGGACCCTTGGCATTCAACGCCCTTTTTATCCCAGACCACAATCCACATATGGATCGTCACTGGTTTATAAGGTGCGTCTCAACGAAAATTTGTGCATCATCTAAACAGCTTCACACCCTTCTTTCCCATCATGCAAGCCACTTCTCCATTTCCGTTTGCAAATCTTTCCACAGAGCTCATCCTCCTCATCTTTGCACACGCTGCAAGGCCTACTTTCGTCAAAACTAGCGACGATGCATCGAAGAATCCATATGCATCCGCCCTCTCACTATGCCACGTCTCCAAAATCGTCAGACGCACCGTTCTTCCTGAGCTTCTGCGCACAATATTGCTCCCGGAATATAACAACGTCACGGCTTTCGTCCGTACCCTGCGCATGCAGCAAGCATTCGCTCTAGAAGGAAATGACCTCCATTTCGATTACGCTGGTCGCGTAAACAGGGTTTGGTTTGGGCGAATCTGTGAACCTCCCCCACAAGCTCCCGTGCATAGCAACTTTGCCTCATCTACCACATCTGAGCTTGAAGCTGATTTCAGCCTACTGGCGCCGGTGCTGCTATCCGCACCCTCCCTCGCACTAGACTTTGAAAGTCTGTGGCTTCTTTACGGCTGCCTCGAGTCCGCATGGAGCTCCTGCATCCACATCAACGACCCAGAACGTGCCCCTCCTCCTTGGCGCACCAACAATTTGACATTAGTGGGGGAATTCAATCGATGGCGCCCTCTCACAAGCACTACCGAGGGATCCGCTTTCCTTGCATCAATTTCACGCCTCTCCTTCCTCTCCCCCACAAGAGCAGAGACCCATCTGCTTCCTACCTATGATCCCTGCTTCGACGACTTGGAACATCGGCAATACCCACTCCCTGAATGGATGACAAGCGTCCCATGGGATTCGTTCAAACGCCTTCGAACAGTTTCGCTGGTGCTGCCACGAATCGTGCTTACGGTCGCTGCGAAGACGAGTCTGAGCGAGGAGAACGTGGATGTTGAACTATTGACGTTGTTCGATCCCCCACACTCGGCCTACTGGGACCCCAAGGACATAAGCGCTTACATCGAGAGTGGGGAAGGGCTTATTGTGTCCGTTGGTGTTCGGACCAAGTTGGGGAACTCTCCCATCCAGTTCAGTGTTTCCTTTGATTGGGAGGAAGCCTGGGCATGCGGCCTACTGAAATAGCGCTTGAGGAAGTTGTTCTCATCTGTATTTGTTGACTTTCCACTTCGTTCACACGTAGCCTCTTTACACGATGAAGGCTTCAATCTCTTTTCCTTCACTGTACCCAGTCTTTCTGCTTCGTTTACTTTCAAACCTGTACTTGTGCTGGAGGTTCTGGTCAGCTCCCAACCAACGGTTTTGTGAGGTTATTTATTGCAGTAATGTTCTTTGTCGACTCTTAAATGACAATCTTCAAGTATTCATTATTGGGGCCACTCCACGCAATGTATGGACGAGCGTGTTCTAAGCCAAATCGTATCTCCACCTTGTAGCCGTAGAAGGGGCCGGTGAGTCGAATTGAAGGCTGGGATGAACATGGTGGCTGGTGTGGCACCTACTAACTAATCATAATTCACGGATTGGTGTACTGTGGGATGATATATATCATTTGTGAGACGCCTGCAGTAATACCAATCATTATGTTTCCCGAGTCTTTGTGACTATTAGTAAGCTCGGCCCTGCTGACTTTCATCTTGTTTCGTGGCACGCGGTTTTATTTCCTGCGCCTCCGTTTTATTGCGAAGGTACTAAGGTCTGTTAGGATATCTGTTGTAATGCAATGGCTCAGGGTTCATGTTCTGACTGTGATGGACCTGCGGGAATCCAGAACCGAGGGCTTACAGAAATTGATCCAGGTTGGGTGTGTGAATCTTCCCTTATTACCTTCTACTACTTATCTAGTCCACCCGTTTCAATGATTCGGTCTGCCTAGGGGGTCAAGACTACTCATTAATTACTACTAATCAGCAAACCACTTTGCCTCTGTGGGCTCTGTACAGAAGGGACCAAGCTGTGGCCAGCCATTTTTCGATGGTGGGAAAAAAGTGTTTTGCTGTATACAGCTACTCTTGTTGATATGTTCGTTGCAGGATTAGCAGCATGATCCGAAATGCAATGACCCTGGACCGAGAAATATTGAATGGAAGTCGACGTTCAATTCTCCCATAAGGATGCCGATGTATATGCTATAGGTCTCGCTAACTGAGTCTGTTATTGTTGTCTACACGTAACTCACCGATAACCTTTTCCATCCGAAAATCACTGCAGCATCACATTGCTATTCTCGGTATCCACGAAGAGAGGGTGATGAGATGGATAGGTAGAGGGAGGAGGACTTAAGGACTCCGAGTCGTAGGAGGAAGTGAAGTGTATCATCTCAAACGCGGACTCCTCTCGTACTATACCCTAACCCCATAGGGCACTACATCTTAATTACAGTTTCCTTTGTTTGTTGGGGTATACAAGTACCTAGTGATATCCACGCCCAGAAGTCGCCGTTACGGTTAAGTATGCGAAATGTGACAACCGCGAACCGAAGTCCACATTCAATTGACAAGAACTATCCTTTCAAACTATTTAAATGATGCTGAACGGTGAAACAGAGGCTAAAACACTCATGTCCAACTTCACAGCCACCACTTTGCTGCGCCACTGCGAGACTGCTTGGCTTTTCACAGAATCTGACTTCAAAACACTAGTTTTTCCAGTGGTATTAATACTCATTCCGTCAATGAGTCGACTACTACTCCACGACACTGATTTTTTGTGGTAGATCGTATTTGCAACCGTTGTATCTCCTCGTCCCGAACCGCTAGCCCTGGCATGCACTGCGTGCTGGCTCTGGTTCCATCTCTTCCAATTCAACGTCTCTAACCATTCCTACTCTGCTGATGAAGATATCGTGAACAAACCATGGCGTCCTTTGCCGTCTGGGCGCATTAGCGTCGAGGATTCTCGTGCCTTGCGCTGGGCGCTCCTTGTTTTCTGCTTGGGCCTTTCATCCGTTTTCAGCTTAAATCTGTTCATAACTAGTGGGGCGTTCACTGTGCTGATGATCCTCCACAACAATCTTCGCCGCGGCCACCATCCCATTTTCAGAAATTTATGCAATGTAGCGGCTTATGTGACTGCTGGAGTTGGTTGTTCATTGATTCTATGTAAGTCACATTCAGCCTCAGGGTAATAATGGTTGAACAGATTTATATTTTAGCTGGGGAATCTTCGCTTGACGGAACGAGCATAAAAGCTCTCTCTTGTAGCGCGCTTGTCGTCCTTCTGACAATTCATGCGCAGGATGTCGCCGACGTCAATGGCGACGAAATCTGCTGATTGTGGCGCCCAAGGATCCCGCATCTACATGTTTTGTGTACTTTCGCTACTTTCCTTGCCTCGTTTTAAAGCCTGGAGCCTCTATGCAGCATTTTCTTTGTCTATCGATTCTTGGGTCGGACTTCGCTATTTTCTCTTTCGCGACGAGATTCGTGACCAGTCAAACTACCGCCTGTATAACGTTCGTATCCTTTCATATTGCCTTGTCTATGACCTAATGTCTATTGTTCCCTGTAGATATGGCTCGTGGACGCTCATCTCTTGCCAGAGAATGGGCGTTCCCTGTGTTGGGATGGTAGTATTGCCTTGTTGCGTCAGGACCATGGACTCCGGTGGTCATTGGGCGTCTGTATCCAGTGAGTGGAAAGGAGCCACGTTGACTGCACAAACAACACGCACAATCATTCTGGACCTTGGTGTTTCCCACTAGTGTGTTATCATCCCTTACAGGCCCCTAAAACCTTCCTACTAGTTATAGCTTATTCACTTGTAATGCGTTCCCAAAGTTCGATAAACCTTCCTTACTCCTTACTTCTAGACATACGCAAGAGCTCATCACTCTATTGCTCTAATTCTGACTTGTTGCATCGTATGATAAACCACTTGATAATATTAATCCACTGTCGTTTCGTTCGTTTCGTTTCCGGGTCGAGTTGTCTCTGACAGGTATAAACAAAATTGAGGGTACCCCTTGAAAAACATAAACGCTCATACTGAGAGTGGGGAAGGGCGTGTTATGTCAGTAACTAACCCTAACTAACATCAACCAGTATTTGTGCGGCACGACACACCCGAGCGATCGATCGACAAAATATCATTCGCAGCACCCCGACCAGGTGTCGAGGCCATGCTGATGGACATGAGGTAATACTGCGTAATATTTAGGTCCGTATATTTTAAGCTGCTTCATTTAAAGGCTTGTGCAACGCTTTCGCTAGTGGTGGTATGTACAAAGGGAAGGCATCATTGGGTCGTAAACGAAGTCTAACGGAAGCAATGTTCATGGTTAGGATTTTGCTGCATCGGCGCCGCAACAAGTGTCTTGTGTGTGTATGTATATAATACATGTTGTCGTGTAAGAATTACACTGACAAGTAGTTCGGGTGCGGCAGTGGCTGTGCACTACCACCACCGCACCCGGCGGGTGCACACCAACGCACCCTTTTCATCAAGTGCACTAGTACTTGCAACGCCGTTATGGGCAGCTGCGCGAAACTCGGTGAAACCGCCGACTCGCAACCCTTCACATATACTCGCGCTTTTCAGGCTCAATGCCTCGATCCCTCCGCCCACCGTGCAAAATATGTCTTTGCTGACCAGTGACGACATGCCTTGAAGACTTCACTGCCACATGCCTCCTCGACCACATTTCTCAGTCTGCAGTACCCTGCGGGAACAGATAAAAGGATTTCAAGGTATGCATTTTGTGTGTGTAGCCTTTAGTCCTTACAAAACAAGTCTCTTGTTGATTTCGCAGTACGAAACGGGAGCTAAGTTCTGTAACCTTACGTACTTTCCTTGGTCGAGGCCGCGGTTTGGGCTTTTGTGCATGTTTCTCGCGTACCTTCACCTCGGGCCATAGAAGAGGCCGGCCGGTGTGTTGAATTTTCAGAAGATGGCTTGTGGGCGTATCTAACGTACTCACGGATCAGTGTGGCATCATATATGCTATATATGAGTGTGAGACGCCTGCAGGAACACCGATCATTGCTTATGTTTTCCTTCGAAGTCCAGACTGTAATGATTACGGGAACCTGGAATCGAGGGCTCACAGAAATTGATCCGGGTTTGGCGTATGAACCTTCCCAATTTCCCCTGAATCTCTGCAATTCCCTCTGGTTACCCCATTTCAATCAGTCTGCATAGGGGAGTTCAGGCCAACACTATGTACTATAGTACTCTGGTTGATATATTCGTGTAGGATTGGCAGAGATGAAATGACCCCGGACCGAGACATTTAACGGAATGGTTTACATACTTGCCGACTCCCGTGGTCTCGAACACATGAATCAGTGACCCTTTTCAAATTCAGGACGCTACGCACTGAGTACTTATGTTGTATATATGTTATTGTTCTTGCTAACTGTGATCATTCCAGTGTCTATACGTAACCCCTCCGAAATTCACTCAGTCACTGCAGCATCATATTGCTATCATTAGCCCGGTCGATACCGCTTGCGATCGTAGTGCTACGCGCCTCGGTATCCGCGCGCGGAGGTCACCGCTGTACGAGCATAAACCGGAAATTATTTTTGACAAGAATTAATAAATAGAATCCAGCCATCCTTTCAAGCTATTTAATGCTCAACAGTGAAACAGAGGCTGAAACATTGATCGAGTCATGTTCAGCTCCAGCTTCGCAGCGACCACTTTGCGCAGCGCACTGCGCCACTGCGAGACTGCTTGGCTTTTCACAGGATCTGACTTCAAAACGCTAATTTTTCCAGTGGTATTCATTCCGTCAATGGTAGATGGTATTTGCAACCGTTGTATCTCCTCGCCATGACCCGCTAGCCCTGGCATGCACTGTGTGCTGGCTCTGGTTCCATCTCTTCCAATTCAACGTTTCTAACCAATCATACTCTGCTGATGAAGAGATCGTGAATAAACCATGGCGTCCTTTACTGTCTGGGCGCATTGGCGTCGAGGATTCTCGTACCTTGCGCTGGGCACTCCTGGTTTTCTGTTTGGGCCTTTCATCCATTTTCAGCATAAATGTGCTCATAACTAGTGGCGTGTCCACCGTGCTAATGATCCTTCACGACGATCTTTATCTTGGTCACCATCCCATTTTCAGAAATTTATGCAATGTAGCGGCTCATGTGACTGCCGGGGTTGGTTGTTCGTTTTTTTAAATCCAGTTTTTTGTCCATCGAGAGTGATACTCTATGTAGGACATTACTATCTAGTCTCGGAGCCCTGTGCTCCGTACCCTCCTTCGAATTCCCAAATGCCCTGATGTAGGGCGTACCCCCATCAGTCCACCGTTCCTGCCGGCCGTGTAAGTCACATTCAAACTCTCAGGGTAATATTTTGTCTAACAAATTTATATCTTAGCTGGAGAACCTTCACTTGACGGAACGAGCATAAAAGCGTTCTCATGTAGCGCGCTCGTCATCCTTCTGACAATTCATGCGCAGGATTTCGCCGACGTCAGTGGCGATCGGAAGTCGGGCGACGAACTCTGCCGATTGTAGCGCCCGAAGCATCTCGCATCTATATGCTTTGTGTACTTCCGCTACTTTCCTTTGCTCTTACCTCGTTTTGGAGCCTGGGGCCTCTCTGCAGCATTTTCTTCGTTTCTATCGGTTTTGGGGTCTACTTTCTCTTTCGCGACGAGATTTGTGACCAATCAAACTACCGCCTGTATAACGTTCGTATATTTGATTCATATGACCTTATATATGACCTAACATTTGTTGTTCCCGTCACGGTAGATATGGCTCATGGGCGTCCATCTCTTGCCAGCTAATGGACGTTTTCCTGTATTGGCATGGTAATGCGTTCCCAAAGTTCGACAAACCTCCCGTAGTCCTTACTTCTAGACATACACAAGAGCTCATCACTCTATTCTTCTAATTCTGACTTATTGCGTCCTAATATCAACCACTTGACAATGCACTGTCGTTTCGTTCGTTTCGTTTCTGGGTCGAGTCTATGGCCTCTGATAATACGACGGGCATAAACACAAATTGAGGGTAGCCATGAACCTCAACACAGACGCTCGTACTGAGAATGGGAAACGAAGGACGTGTTGCGTCAGTTGGTGTTCGTGCTAAGTTAATGAATTCTCCCGTTCAGTTAGCGTTTCCTTTGATTGAGAGGAAGCTTAGGCACGCGGACTACTTACGCAGGTCATGTAGTGCTCGAAGAATTATTATGTGACTTTGAATCTTCGACTGAGAGGATTGAGCAAGTCGTGGTATAAGCAGAGAAGTCAATGATGAATTAACCAATACACCCCAAAAAATCTAATTTGACTCGAATACATGTTGTGTACATTAGACTTCTCGACCATTACCCAGAACAACAATATTCTGTGGTACAAGTACGAGGCGATGATAGCACGAAACGATGATGGTATACGGTAAGTGACACAAACAACAACTGAGCTCAAAAAGAATGTACAGGATTCATTATCGTAGTGTTTCGCCACGGGGGCGTCCAAGGAGAAGTGAAGGAGCCGGGGCAGGTACAGTTGCGGGGAGTTGACCTTGGTTTGGCCCCAAAATATTACCCCGGGTAGCTACCGAAAATATTGTCAATTTTGTCCGTCTCCAACTGTAGTAACTTACGCGTCGGAATTTCAATCGAGGTAAGCTCCTTGCCAGCAAGACGATATGCTAGCCGTAGTTCCTGAAGTGCAAAAATCGAGATGAGAGCATCCGCACGGAACACTTCATAAATGGGGAGATATACCTCGAATGAATGTTTGTTGAATTTGAGAGACGCTGTGATGCTCATATAGGCATCTGGAGCGTCAGGCCCCATACTGGCGCGTGCGAACGCGGTTGCTGCTGAATCATTGGTGTAAAATGGATGGACGACCTGTGTTGGCGTGTTGTCCGAAGAGAGTATCTCTGATGGAAGTGGAGTCGGAGGCATGATATTCCCTGAAAGATATGCATAAAGCCGCAATTCCTGGATTCGATAGGCGGTCATCAACATTCCTGAGTCGGTGGCTGGAGCAATGAAAAAAAATAGGCCGCGAGTGCGCGATATTATCACTACATACCTCATAGGAGAATGAACTGAAAGTGGGTTGTGCTGTAATGCTCTGGAACTGCCCTTCAATTGGTGTTTTAGTCGCCTGAAATACTTGGATGGTGGGCAGATCACTGGGGTTTGTTATGGCCTTCTCGGCCACAATGCCTGTAGAGCTGATGCTCGTAGTCGATTCTATTGGAATGGGAGAAAATATCGGTGGCAAGCCGAGTGCAAATCTAGCATTTGGGGTATTTGGTAGATCTGGGATTGGTGCTGGTGGTCGACCGGTCGCTGTGTATGCTTTGATATAGTCCTTTACGCGCATCTCCTAATGACGGTGTAGTATATTGAGTCGAAGCAATGGGTATCAATATGATGGCACACCTCAAAGCTTTGCTCTGGTTCGGGCGGCTTCTGGACCGTGGACATGAATATCTCGTAGTCTTTCATGGATGAAGGTGATAAAGTCATAGTTTAGGAGGACAAAAGCGTGCTACTGGCAGAGCAGATTAGTCGCAAGTGTCTCACTAGGTCGTGCCCTGGAACTACAAGTAATTGGTGTTAATAATTGCTCGACAGTGCTAGTGCTGGCGCACTGAATGTGGAGGTGGATGCCATGAATTTATTATGTAATCCGGTGGCTTAACCAAAGCAATCATCCAAGTCAGGTCAGAAAAGTGGCAGCTTAACCTCGCAGCAACACTAACTGTTACTGTATTAGCAGTATACGCGTATCGATAGTACCAGTCTCGTTCTTCAGATTCACAGTATATCAGGTGCAGTACTTCTTTCAAACATGTGCATGACTCAGTACTCTTGAGGCAGTGACCATGGTCGATATAGGTCATTGTTCCCACTTTTTTACGGGATGTGGACAGAGAGCCACAACTTCCACACCTCTCAAAGGATAAAATGCCCGAGCGTTGCTTTCTATTCCTGTTTGTGAATCTGCATATCATCCGAGTGGTCTCCATTACTTTCATACACCATATCTCGTCCCAATTCTCGTAATGACGTCAACGAATGATTTGACACCCGCGTTAGATATTCATCCCCCTGTCCAAACACATCGACCACTCCGAGAGCGCTGCTCTGTCCCACTCACAATTCAAACAACATTAAACTCTCTCTCTCATGGCCCAGTGACACGTCACACACCTACTACCCAGGCGGCACCCGGCAGGGAGCATCCCGAGTGGCATGATTTTATCCACTACGACGAACCGTTCGGTCATTTTTCTAGGCGCTATCACCTCCAAGAAATGATTGAATTTCTGTACGTCGCATCAGCCGACGCACATGAAGTCGACACGCTGTGTGCGGAAGCTGGCATTCCCTTTAGCCACGTCCTACGAATACCTACGATAGCCTGTCGAAGACGTTGCAGCATCAAACTCCAGAACCGAGGAAATTATGGAAGGTGTTTTGGGGACGCAGAAGTTAACACTCAAGTGCCCGAGGCAGGGGAGAAGCCGAGGTTACACAGCGCTCAGCGCCTCTCAGCTCCTTGCAGCACGGGACTACCTTTCCATAATCATGCCGTATTCAAGCCGCATCGTTCCAAAGCAGCCTCCGCGCTTCAACGTCCAGCTACTCATTGTCGCACCAGCGGATTGCACAGTTGATGTGATATCAGTGGTGGTGTGCTATCTTGCATTTTCTTCCGGGTATCATGCGGAGACCGTGATGCAGTACATTGGAGAGGAGAAGTATGACGAAGTATGGAAGGAGGCGATGTCGCAAGAGGGTCTGGATTTTGTTGAGCGCATAGCGAGGGTCATATAGGGACAGCTACCTGACAGCGTAGGGTGACGGCTAGCAGGACATTGTATTGCGTTACGTCTTGACATAGTATGCGTCTGTAGGATATTGTTGCAAGTACTAAGACATTGTCAAAGGGGCTTACACAAATTGATATGGACTTAGACTTCCTCAATGACATCCCTGATCCTGCTAGGTCGTAAGTAACAGTATTGGACAGATGGAAACACTCGTCGCTAGCTTACTAGAGTTTCCATGATCCACATAGATACTGTCCGAGATACAGAAACACGAGCCCCCGGCTTTTGGCGTAATCAAGCGGACGATAGTCTTGACTACTTACAATAGACTAGTCAAGGACACTAACATGATGTACCCGGACGCATCTGCCAAAATGTCTGCTACCTTGCAGATTTTCAGAGTCACAAAAATCTGTTCTTGGGGGATGCTAGTAGGCCACAAATGAGTTGAGTTGGGGGGGAGTTGACCCGAGGCGTCAGACTTATTAAAATTCCACTTGGCTGGTCAGATCTAGGGTATGACGATGGTATCTTCTGCAGTCTTCAGAAACATCAAGTAGGTCCTCTCTACTTCCGGCGCGTGACAGCATCGATCATAAACTCAATGATGTGATGACACCATGCTTGAGCCCGCTCGAGGAAGTCATCGTGCTCAGTCGAAACTGTCTTGTATGTCGCCCGGAACTTTGAATTGACATCTTTGCCGCGTTCTTCCACAATGGTAGACCCTCGAAGGAATTCGAGAATCTGCTCTAGGGGAGTTTGGTCTCCCAGTAAACAGGGTCACAGCATACAAGCGCCAAACCGTGACAACTTACTGCTTATGAATCCACAGCAAAGCCGACCTTGAAAAGGGGCCATTTCGGCGCAACAACAAAATACATTGGCGGCACCGTTCATTTGACGATGATAACTTGTGTCTGGGATTTCGTCTACAAGCAGTGACAAGCATGAAAACATCCAGTGGTTCGTTCAACGGCACAATGTGCAAATGGAACTGCGACACAGGACTTCTTGTAGAGGGCCATGAAAAGAATTGTGCGCGGGAAGTGGGCGACTACTGATGAAAGATCATAGTCACAGCTGGGCAAGGTCACTTGTGTAGTCCCCAAAAGATCTTTTGATTGCTAGCACAATCCCCCGGATCTGAAATGCAAAAAGCAGAGAAGTGGTCCATGGAGTCGGGATTCGGGAACAGTACCGTCGGGGACTTAGTTATCTGCACAAATTTGGCCGGTAAACTTGTAAGTAATACTACCGCAACGCCACAGACACAAGCTGCGGGCTGATGAACTTTGTTTACCAAGCTCGCCCCTTCAATTGATAGTATCTTCATTTGTCTAGGGGAAACTACTTACGTGGGGTCCGCACTAATGATGTTCCCTTTGAAATTTCAGCTGCAGCTAAACTAGAACGCCTACGAAGTTGTGTTGGTTCTCGAGCGCTTCTGTATCATTATATGTGCCGAGATTTGCCCGAAACCAGATATTTGGTTAAGCGGCCTGTGCTAAAACAACCATCTTCACCACCACCTTTTTACTCGTTGGCTCGGACAGTTTGGACATTCGGACACCCGGACACCTGGCAGGCAAGTATGTTATCATCAACTGTAGTCATCAGGCAGTGATCTATCCATGCTATAGTAGAAACCTTTTTCACGGAATTTGATCGACTTTCAGTAGTGCAAGCACTTGCCGGTATGTATAGCAAAATATTCCTCATCGCGGCGCACATCGAAATGTTTATTTCTATGTTGCAGTCCGACCACAATGTGGCTCAGCGCTGTACTAGCGGTAAGCTTGTAATCTGTTATCGCTGCAAAACAGTATTAAGCTCGTGCACAGCTCCTGGGCCCACTTCCAAATGGGCCCAAATTTCGTTTACGGTCAACTGTACACTGCTTTATCGAGAGTGGCGCCTTGAGGAGTCGATGCAACCTGCCCATTCGCGTCATCAAAATAAACAACATCCTCCCGCATGCTGAGGTATATTATTGTTGCCACTCGCATATCGCTAACCGTAATTACTCTAGTCTCTTAACGGTAACCTGAATAATATCCTTCCAAAGTATCGATTCAAATGAGGCTAGGATGATTGCAAACAGAGAGTGAAATACGAGCCTATAGGCTCCGCGTTATCCATTTCTGCCGGTCACCGCTCATGCGAAATGGAACGACGGGAACCAAGAATTCAGCCTGGCCGTCCTTTCAAACTATATAATGATGCTGGACAGCAAAAGACTCCAAATTACTGATGTCCCGCTTCACAGCGACCACTTTGCGCTGTGCACTGCGTCACTTTGAGACTGCTTGGCTTTTCACAAGATCTGACCTCAAGACAACAATTTTTCCCGTGGTAATCATTCCGGCAACAACTATTACTGCGCGATGCTGAATTTTTGGGGTAGATGATATTTACAACTGTTGTATCTCCTCGCCACAACCCGCTAGACCTATCTTGCGCTCTCTGCTGGCTCTGGTTCCATCTCTTTCAATTTAATGCATCTAACCAATCCTACTCTGCGCATGAAGACATCTTGAACAAACCATGGCGTCCTGTGCCGTCCGGGCGCATTAGCGTGAAGGATTCTCGTGCATTGCGCTGGGGACTCATGGTTATCTGCCTAGGCTTTTCATCCCTTTTCAGCTTAGATGTCGTTATAACCAGTGGGGTTTACACCGTGTTCCTGATCATGCATGACGATTTTCATCTCAGTCACCATCCAATTTTCAAGAATTTATGCAGCGCAGGAGGTTATGTGACAAATGAACTCGGTTCTTCGTTGATTCTGTGTAGGCCATTCTCCATCTGAGGGATAATATTTAGTTGACAAGATCTATAGCAAGGGAATCTTCACTCGACAGAACGAGCATAAAAGCACTTTTCTGCAGCGCACTTGTCATACTTCTGACGATCCATGCGCAGGATTTTGCCGACGTCAATGGTGATCGCAGGTCAGGACGACGAACACCGCCGATTGTAGCGCTAGAAGGATCTCGTATCTACATGCTTTGTGCACTTCCGCTATTTTCTTTTGCGCTTGCCTCATTTTGGAGTTTGGGCCCTTTTTCCACTGTTCTTTTTGTTTCTATGGGTTCTTGGGTCGGAATTCGCTACTTTCTCTTCCGCGACGAGATTTGTGACCAGTCAAACTACCGCCTGTATAACGTTCGTATTTTCTATTCATACTTTCTTGTCTGTTGCCTACCATTTATCATTCCTTACAGATATGGCTCATGGGCGTTCATCTTTTGCCAGCTAATGTGCATTTTCGTGCATTGGCATGGTAGTACCTCGTTGCGTCATGGTGGGGAAGCATTCTAGATGACTTCCCTCTCAGAGGAAACATCGGTGATAGGTCACTTGCCAATTGCATGGCATGGCTGCCACTAGTATAATATATGTGCACTCAATTTAGGCATCCGTTTTACATGCATAATAATTTTACATCTGCTTTTTTAATTGCTCGATAGTAGGCCTTAGCACTTGCGGCCATAGGACGTATCACAATTGAGCAATGCGAAAGTACAAAAAATGCCGTCGACAAAGGCGTTGCCAGATGCGTTTAAACTTTACGTCACTTGTTGTCTGCCTCGAACCCACTTAGAGCTATTTTTGCAAGCGCGTCAAGGACCTGTAACTGCATGACATTTTCCCGCCCACTTGGGGCAAGGTGCTCTCAATGTCACTGGTACAATCTTTCCATCGATCGAAACAGCTGGTGGACGACCGATAAATAAGTTACATATGTCAAGTAGTACGGGGCAGGGATTCGGAATCCGAGTCTATCACAAACATTCTGACCCCCAGCGTTGGAGGCGCCCAGGATGCACCGTATCCGATTGGCAGATCTTGAACGTGCGTTCTACATACTATTTCGTACTTAGGCTACTGATTCGTCTAAAATCTATTGTTATTACTGAATCTTTGACAATTTATAGTGTCCACACGTCTTCGTTGCACAGTTCAACTTGTACTGCGGTCTCAGTTACATACTCGTACAGCATCCCATGTATTTGAATTCTACAGATTCATTTGTGTTATCGCACGACCAGGGCAAGATGTTACTTGTCAATGTTGACATTTACCTATGCTCACGCGACTTTTATAGATCTAGGTTACTAGTAACGCCACTGCGCGCCTTTCACTCCTTACCCTTTACCACCATGGTGAACACAAGCCTCAAATACGTAGACCTCATACGCCAGCGCACTTCAAAGTGGGCGAATTGGTTTCCCGAAAAACAGGACATCAGAGTTAGTTCGACACCAATCCGAGACGTTGTCATAATGAGGATTCGTATGATCTAGGTCGGGTCGTATGGTCGTTTTAACGCCCAGACAGGCAGGTTTGATGTTGAAGGAAACGTGTACGATCCCGAGTTTCAGAAGCTGCTGGACGCTACCGATGGGAAGATGAAGCTCTCCGATCATCCGCCGGTGCTTGACGAGGAGGAGAAAGACTTTGCTGTTGGATCTATGGGCGTCAGGCCTAAGGATTTCAGTCTTGGATCAGACGTGTGAGCTTTTGACATAGTCAACCCTTGAGAACTTGCCTGATTTCTATTACGATAGCGTTGAGGGCATCGACAAAGCAGCGTATAAACAAGACTGGCAGTTTCTGCAGGACAAACGAGGCGCGATGCTCGTGATGTACAAGCCCCGTCAAGAGCATTTCCCTAAAGGAAAAGTATTTGAAGCGCTCTACAAGGTTCCAGAGCTCAAGGAAAAGTACATCGTGCCATCGGTGTACAAGTGTCGTGCTTATGCTATTTACTTGTCTAACAAAAGTGCGTCTATTCCTATTGTTTGATGTGCATCTAAGATCTAAGGAATGACAAGCTGGCGAGAAGATTTCAATGGCGCTTCTCCCGAAATCTGGCGAAGAGAACAAGACGCAGCTCGAGTGGTGGACTGATTCAAAGGTTGAAAACCTTCAAATCAAAACGGATAATGACTACGTGTTCTCGCCGCTTTTCACTTGCAAGCGCAAGATCCCCTTGATCCGTCCCCTGATGCGCGACTCGCCTACTCCAGACCCTGTGGACGAAGGCTTGTACGTCTCTTGTCTCATCTTTCGATCGCATTACTGATCAGACAAAAGTTGGATGGAGTGTTACCCACCTTGGGAGCCACTCGATGACGATGGTGAGATCGATCCAGTGTATGATGATGATCAAGAGGTGTGTACTTGAAGTTTCTCGCAACAGACATTAGAGACTGACGTTGTGTATCAAGGATGACCCCAACGTCTACATCCCGCGAAGAGACTCTGTATATGTGCCATACCCCATTTCAGACGACAGTGACGATGAGTGATGACTGGTTTGGTTCTTCTTCTTGACGTTGTTGTATGAGATGTATAATTACTTGTATAGTGGATGTTCAAGTACATGTTTGACTCTAGTGATATCTAGGTTTGTGGGTGTCGTAATCAATTCGTAATCTTGCAAGTTGCGATGTACAGCAAGCACAATTCAAATCCATCATTTTCTATATCTGACTGTGGCCGCATGGCTGTTCCAGTAGTCAGCGCTCTTTCTTTAATAGTAATCAACTACTCTACAGAGTCTATACCATATTGATGGGGAACGCAGGCCGGAAGTTCATCGATCTCATCAGACAATCCACAGCGAAGTGGGCCAACTGGGATCCACCTATACCCATACAAGTACGTGACTCGTTTCTCTTCGGTTTCATTACTGCAGTTTATAATATCTCGTGCAGGTCGGTGCATACGGCAGGCTGAATACTGAGACGGGCGAATTGGACATCGAAGGCAACATCTATGATTCGGAATTCCAGATCTTGTTGGATAGGGTGGACGGGAAACTGAGGCTAGCGGATTTCCCTCCTCAGATCGGTGCCGTGGAGGGCGACTTTATAGTGTGTACGATGGGTGTTCGGCGGAATGATCTCAAGATTGATGGAGAAATGTATGTTCTGCGTGCGATCTATGCGAGAGAGGACCTAAACTGATTGATGCTTTGATAGAAATGTCATTGGTCTCGGCCAAGCATCTATCAAAGGAGAGTGGCAGTTTCAGCATGGCAAGCGTGGTGCCCTCTTGATCATGCACAATCCGAGACAAGAATACGTTCCGCGCGGCAGGGTTTTGGAGGCGCTGTACAAGGTCCCAGAGCTCAAGGACATGCACATCGTCAACTCGATTTTCAAATGTCCCGCCTACACTCTATACCTTTCGGACAAAAGTATGTTTCCACAGTGCATAGTTTGTGTTCTCGTACTCCTGCTCATTACGGTAACCAGGTGGAGAGAAGATTTCCTTAGCACTTACTCCCAGCGGGAATGCAACTGAGCCCGAGCAGTGGTGGTCAGATACGAATGCAAGCCTGCTGCGGAAGGGGCATAACAAAGATTATATGTTCACGCCCTTGTATGGGCTCAAGCGCAAGTTGCCACTGATACGACGTCTCATGCGAGACTCTCCTATACCCGATCCCGAAGGTGATGACTTGTCAGTATCATGGGTTTTGTTCTCTTTGAACGCTCTATCTGACATGTTGTTCTTGGTAGCTGGGTAGACGTGCATATACCATGGGATCCCTTGGATGAGGATGGCGATGAAGAGTATTCAGTAGAGGTATGTCGTGACTTTTGAACTCGTTCATTTTGATGAATCTGGTTCAGGACGAAGATGATGGATGGGCGGCAAACCCGGAGACAGAAGAGGAGACCGATAGCATATGACCACCCTTATGATTTACATCTCATAATTATTTCAACGACATCTCCCCAGTCGATTGATCTTGTCCTATTAGTATCTTCTCATATGTTGTAGCACCGCCCCATGAGCCCATTTTTATCTAACTGGCACGTGCAAATGACATACTGCACGGAGTAGGAATCCACTGAGATCACTTTCCTGCGTCCTTTGTCTCCTTTCCTTCCCGTATTCTTCACTGAGCAGGTAATTATCCTCTACTCGCGAAGATGTACTCACTGTATGACTGGTGGAATCGTACTTTTAGGGGCAGCATGACCAAGCCCGGTTACACTACAGATCAGCACCCAAGGATCTTAGAGGGCAATGATTTCAAGGCGCTTGCGAAATATATGAAGTCAGATAGCTGTCGGAATGTCTTCCTTATGGTGAGTTCCCTTATCACAAGATTTGAATCATTTTGACACTGACATTATGTCCCAACTAGCTTGGGGCTGGTAAGCTACTATCGCTAGTGCCAGATTACCGTCTCCTTATGTATTATCAGGTGTGAGTACATCTGCCGGTATACCGGACTTCAGATCACCAGGTACAGGTAAGTCATACATAGCATCTGATTCTGAGATACAGATTAATGTATGGACCCTAGGATTATACGTAAGTATGTCGTGCGCAGCGCGCCACCGCAAGTGAGGAACATTAATATGATATTGCACAGGCCAACCTCGCACGGCTGAATCTTCCATTCCCGGAGGCTGTATTCGAGATAGGGTTCTTTAAGAATAATCCGATACCCTGTCCGTCCGTCCGTACTTAGTCCGAGCAAAGAAAGGAATTAACCCGTGTTTATTAGTCTATACACTAGCCAAGGAACTGTACCCAGGGCGCTTCCGACCCACGCTCACGCACAGCTTTATAACACTCCTCCATTCGCATTCCCTGTTGCATACATGTTTCACTCAGAACATAGACACGCTCGAGCGGCGCGCAGGAGTGCCCGCGCATAAGATCATCGAGGCACATGGGAGCTTCGCCACCCAGCGGTGCATTGAGTGCAAAACGCCCTTTGATGCAGAGAAGATAAAGAAGGCGGTGTTGAGCGAGGAAATAGAGATTCCGAGGTGTGAACGGAGGAGGTGCCGGGGCCTGGTGAAACCGGACATTGTCTTCTTCGGTGAAGGGGTATGTTTGAGTTTCACGAAATCATATGGCGTGGCTGATTGTTAGAGCAGCTTCCCAATCAGTTCCACGAGTCTATCCGCAATCTGCGAGAAGCGGATTTATTGATTGTATTAGGAACATCGCTGACCGTGCACCCATTTGCCTCTCTTGTGGACCTTGTGCCGAACGATTGCCCCCGGGTGCTGATTAATCTCGATGAAGTTGGTCACTTTAACAAGCCAGACGATGTGTTATTCCTCGGCAAATGCGACGATGTTGTGCGGGAGCTATGCAAAGAACTAGGATGGGAGGAAGAGCTTGATGCCGCTTGGGAGAAGACGAAGGACAGCTTGGAAGCTGGTGAGCCAGAGCCAGAGCCAGAACCGGAGGAATCAACAGAGGACGAGGTGGAGAAGATCACAAAGAATCTAGAGCAGGCGCTCAAAGTCAGTGATAAGCAGGATGAAGGACCTTCGTCGAAGAGCAAGGCCGGTGATTTGGTAGAACCGGAATCAGTCGAAGAGGACAAGACGAGTCCTGCAGAGTTCCCGACAGAGGAAAAGCTGTAGTACGTCGAAGTGACAGAGATTAAGTAACCTATTATGCAGTTTAGGTTGTATGTGGTTGTGTATCAATGTGTCAAACGTTGAATAAAGTGTATGTTGTGGGCAGAACTACTAGGGGTCGATTATGTTGTGCCGGGCACTGGCAGAATAACCGGTACTGCCGCGTGGAAAAGGTCTGAAGGGAAAATATCATTCTGCGAGCATCAGATCATGATGTCGATCGAGATGATCATCTTTGCACCTGATCAAGCATATTCTTGTTTCACGACAAGGTGACATACCAACTTTATCTGAGAAGTACGAGGAGGGTGTGACAACAAAACACCTTCGCAACGATATGCGCCGACTAAAGGAGCGAGCATTCCGAGGACATCTGGAATAATGCGTCTCATGCGAAAGTTATGCGCGAAAAAGACGGCGCCAGTAATGCCTTTCTTGACCTGGTATACCGGTTAACTGTCGCCACGGGGCGGGTTTCTTGACGTTTCAGACAAAGAAGAGGCGACTGTCCTCCTGTAGGGGAGACCAGACCAAGTCGCGAACCATGGAATTCGTCTTCGGAAGATGCTGTTTAAGATCATTCGAGTAGATGGTACCTTCAACCATCAGGCCGCATATAGCTGTGTCAATCTTTCCGTGACTGAATTCGCTCAACCTCAGCATGCACTCGAATCTTGGAGGCTGCGTCGGGACCGAGTTTAAATTGAAAAATACGCCACTAAGTGATTCGGACGTGTGCCCATCAGCTGGACGTTTGATCATGTGAAACTTGTGTTCGAGATGATGATCGGCACTGTCCAAGTGATCGCGTCGGAGTTATCACCTTTAAGAAGCAAAGCTTGTGGATGCGAGCTTGAGGAATTATTACGTTCGACGTCGTCAGTCATGACCATAGGAATTTTGCGTGCGTTCGAGAAATTGTGAAGCAAAGCTCTAGCAGATCGTCGTTCGAGATGACACTGGAAAAGCCGCTGAGCTTGAACTTAATTGGAGACTCTATCTGCTGATCACCGTTTTAACAGGCATCTTCTCCTCCATTACGAGTCTGAGATTACTAGCAGCGAACAGCTTTATCAAACAAGTGGAATCGCCTATTTGGACAGCCTGTACCATAAGATCAATTTCTGTTTTCCTGTCACTCCTGGACCCTCAATATCAATTCCCCATAAATTCAGCGTCATGGAGGCTGTCGTTCCTAACGAAATCACGACAGAACTCACACAAATCCTTGCCAATCTCGTGCTTGGTGATAACAAGATACGTTCCAAGTGCGCGATCTTTTCAATAGGCGCGACTCATACTAAGAAGCCTGCAGTGCAGAACAGGCGGTTAATGATAGACTGGCTCAGACCCCAGACCTATACCTGCTCGCATTGGCTCAGTTCTCTATTGCTGCTGATACAGAGGTGGCAAGTCGATATGTATTATGTTAATACCGTTGCCCTTACCCAATGAAGCGTAGATGCGATCGTTCTCCTTGGTCTTACTTCGCAGACTTCTCTTTCGTGCTGCACCAGGTCAGCAACCAAGAGAAGGGCGTCTAACGCTTTACGACCAGCTCCCAGCCCATGCGTTGACAACCCTTGAGCGTCTACTACTTCACTCTCTGTCTCATGAACCATTAGATGCCGTTCGCAGGAAGACAGTCGATACAGTTTGCGATCTCGCAAACAATTCCATGTCTCGAGGGCGTCCTTGGCACGCGCTACAGGCACAAACATTTACTATGACGCAGACAGGTGAAGCTGGCTTCCGGGAGTGTGCTTATAGGTTGTTTTCTGGCTGCCCCAATCTTGTAATGGATCTCCAGACAGATGCTGTTCTGACGGTTTTCCGAAAAGGTCTTCAAGACTCTCAAAGTGTCGAGGTACGTGGTCCTCCAGTTACACTAATTGGCATTGACGGATGGTCCTCAGGTTCGACTTGCTGCTCTCCGAGCCTCTGTATCATACCTTACTGCATGTGATCAACATCAATTATCACAATCGCTCTCACTACTCTATCCAATGCTAGACACATTACCTTCCCTCTCCAACATTCACCTTAAATCTTTCCTCAGTTCGCTAACGCCATTATGCTCATCTCATCCCAATCTCTTCGTGCCTCATATGAATGCCCTGCTGTCTTTCTTGCGTGGCTTGATAATGCCAAGTGTTGACTCGGGCCCGACACCCACGGTCGCTAAGCCATTCCCCGGCACATCATCAAGCTTCACGTTCCCTCCCGGCGGGTCTGGTAGTCGAATTCCTGACGACAGTGACGAAGTTACAGGAGACGAGGAGAAAGAGTTGGTCAGGAAAGCTGCATTAGAATTTATGGTAAGCCTTACCGAAGCTAAGCCTACATTGGCGAAGCGTTCGGAAGGATGGACGGCGGCTATGGTAAGAGCGTCTCTGGAGGGCATGGGGGAGTTACCAGAAGACACGTTGGATTCCTGGCTCGAAGCTGATGTAAGATACTTATTGTGCATTTCTCAAAGTATTCCACCGGCTGAAACATCTTTAGCCCTCAGAGGACGCACAGGATGAGAATTATCCCCATGTATACGAGCAATCCCTCGATAGAGTGGCCTGTGCTCTTGGAGGTAAAGCAGTGCTTCCTCCGGCATTCCAATATATTCCGTCAATGCTTGCCAATTACGACTGGAGATTGAGGCACGCCGGCCTGATGGCTATCGCAGCCATAGCCGAAGGCACAAGCAAGGTTTATATGACATGTTGGTTTATGGCATAGTCCAGGCCCACTCATTTGTGTATTAGGTGATGCAAATGGAACTTGGGAAGGTTGTTGAGTGCGTGTTCTTCAGTTTATTGCTTCGTTACCTTCGTTGATCGTGTTCCCAGCCTAGTTACTCCAATGTTCAAGGACGCACACCCACGTGTGCGGTATGCTGCGTGTCAATGCGTGTACGTTGTTTCTATCGTTGCATGATGTCCTCATTCAATTGATGATCGATGCAGTGGTCAACTCTGTACTGATTTGGAGGTAAGTTTAGTCAGTCTGCCACCAGGATCCTCGTAGACGCTTGTGCTCCAAGGAAATCATTCAAGATCGCTACCACGAGCAGCTATTTGCCGCGTTGATACCCACATTAGAAGCGCCAGAACCTCGGTGACCCTTACTTCTCTGATTCCGTCACTTGTCCTTCTCCTTAACCTCGGTTTTAGTGTGCACTCGCATGCCGCTGCTGCCCTGATCAACTTTTGTGAAGGTGTCGAACGCGACACTCTCGTTCCTTATTTGGACCCGATCGTTGAGCGTCTGCTTAAGATGCTCAATCCAGGAGCCGAGGATGGCAAAGCAGTCAAAGGCTACGTTCAAGAACAAGCTATTACAACTCTCGCTATGGTCGCTGATGCTAGCGAGGCAACGTTTGCTAAGGTATTATGGTGCAGTCTCACGTGTCCATGGTGTGTCTGACGCTCAGATATACAACAGCACTATAACTCCATAATGCCTCTTCTTTTGAACGTTCTCCGCAACGCCAACAGTTCCGACCATTACAAGCTACGCGCGAAAGCCATGGAATGTGCTGGTTTAATAGGTAAGAGATGGCTGTCATCGGCGTAAGTTTCCTTGACTGATCCTTGTCAGCAATTGCCGTTGGACGTAACGTTTTCCGCGCTGACGCAAATACGCTCATCGATCTTCTAATCAAAATTCAAAGTTAGTCCCTGACTGCCTCCAGAACAAAGCTATAACCGCTTACCGTGTACGATAGATTCTCCTGTCGACCCCTCAGACACCATGCTGCCCACCTTTTTGATCGCTACTTGGGCTAAAATTTGCCAAGCTCTTGGCACCGAATTCGAGCCGTTCCTTCCTGTAGTCATGCCCCCACTGCTGAACGCAGCCAGTGCAAAAGCTGATGTCTCGGTCTATGGTAATGTCAGTCATTCGGGTCACGGTATCCACTTACCTTGCTACACAGATAGCGAGGACGATGTCAGCGAGATGAAAGAAGGCTGGGAGACTATCTCGATGGACGGTCAGATCGTTGGAATCCGCACTTCGACTATCGACGAGAAATGCCAAGCGTTCGATACTCTCGTTGTATATTGTGCGACACTGAGCGGCCGATTCGCACCTTATCTCACCCAGAGCCTGGAGCTCTCCCTTCCCGCTTTAAAATTCTACTTCCACGACGGCGTTCGCGAAGCTGCGAGTAGGTGAGTGCTCCCCATCGTGGTTACTGTTACTGCTAATAATCATACGCACAGATTGATTCCTTTGCTTTTCTCTGCGGAAAGAACAGTGGAACACTAACATCGCAGATGGTAGCTGCTTCCTTTCTCCAGCTCATACACAGTATTCGAGCCGAAACAGACCCTTCGTTTCTTTCCTCGTTGTATAGAGCCCTTGCCGATGGGCTTCGCGTGGTTGGCATTCCAGCGCTCACGCCGGATTTACAGGCTGCCCTCATAGAAGCCACGAAGCATCAGCTTCAGACGCTCGCAGATAAACGCAAGCGACGTGCAGAGTCCCCGGAGGACGATCGCGAGGAGCTTGCGCTGTTGGAAGAGGTAGAAGAGTTTGCTCTGGAGGACATGGAGAAGCTGCTCAAGATGTTGGATGGTCAGCATCCGCTTCTTGTGGCAGTTTCGAGTGTGAGGGACTTAGGGTTCAACCAATGGGACAGTGAAGAGGAGCGGGATAGCGATTGTTAACGCATGGGATGCGTCATACTAATCCTACGCAGTGCCTCCTAACATGTTTTTCCTTCTTGTATTAATGAGATGATCATGCTCTATAATTCCGCCTTGTAATATCTGCCTGGCACGATCATGGTATTGCACACTACAGGTTACATGTACAAAAGCTTTTGTGTACCGCGATGAAGGACGTATCAGTGTATACAGGAAGTCGCACACAAGGGAAGGGTTGCCAATAGCTGAATCAACCAGATCAAGCAAATTCTGTGCGGTATGTAAAGGCGAAAGGGCGCATGCAGATCAATCTCGCGGACAGTCAGGGTAATGATGAATAATTGATGGTATGCTAGATAAGATGATAACATGCTAGAGAATAACCAGGCGTTCCAGATATATATGCGAGCTGCACCCTCGTTAATGCAAATTAACCAATAGGGTAAGGAGGCGCATACGGATAGATAAGGACAAGAAACCAGGAAAGGAAGACGTCACAGGATGCCCGAGTCTTTGAGAGCGTTCTGTAGGATAGTCTCCTTGACCGCAGCGAAGACGAGTCTGATATTCGTCGTATCAGTGGCCTGTGTTAAGCTATGACGCAGTGAGTGATGAGCGAGGCGTGATAAATCACACTTACTGTGGGTACACACTTAGACGCGCCCGGTTGGCTTGCATGAATTTCCATAGGATATATTTTGCCGCTTTGTTGATGTCTGCGCCACCCGTGTATTCTGGAAAGTACTTCTCAATAGGTACCTGCAAAGCGTCAACGGATGTCCATGCGTTCGTAACGATGGATACATACCTTTGGTAGCTTGTTCTTGAAGACATCTATCTTGTTCAAAAATAATATGATGGAAGTTCTCAGGAACCAGCGGGAGTTGATGACCGACTCAAATAGGATAAGTGATTCCTGCATGCGATTCTATTGACAAGTTTAGTGGCACCTAATAATCACGCGTGCACAGGACCCACCTGGTTCTTCTCTTCCAATAGTACTTGGTCGTATTCCGATAATGCTGTGCAGAAAATGATGCTTGTTACGGATTCAAAACAATGTATCCATTTCTTCCGTTCTGAGCGCTGGCCGCCGACGTCGAACATATGGATGCTATGAGGCCACAATCAAAAACAGAACTTTGACATGCCGGTGTACTCACGAGAGCTGTCCCATGTTAAACCGCGTTTCGGTGATGCCGGTTGTCTTCGCTCGAGCTCGCAGTACATCATTTTCTGTTGGTGTATACTCGGGAGTGCCTATGCGGAGCACTTCCGTAAAGAAACTGCAAACGAGCAGCGTGAGTATTTGTAATCCGAGTGGATATGATTGCTCACTAGCTAGCTGAGTCCATAAGATAGAATTGGCTCGAACAGTCCATCACTTTGGAGATGATAGCATCCTGCCATAATTCATGAATAGCGTGTGCAATTTCAGCGGAGAAAACAAAATCGGGAGTGTTTTCAACCCTGTATTCGACGATGCGTTCGGCAAATGTCTAGGGAAAGCAATGAATTGAGGTATGGGAGGGAGCGAGAGAACGTACCCGATTCGCAGGCGTGACACACTCTACATTCATGTTACGCATCTGTAAGACAATGGCTTGCGCGGAGTCGAGAGTATTCCGATATATTGTCGGACGGAACGTCATGAGTTCGTCCTTGGTGAAGCCATTCTGATGAATGATTTTCATCTGCTTGACTATCGTTGACTTTCCGGATTCACCGGACCCTAGGGTTGGATATGAGTAGTAAGAACAAAGAGAGGGGGGTTGAACGGATAAGTCGAAGGAAATAGACAAAGTAAATACAACACCGGAAATGTTTATCTCAATCAGAAAATAAAATGAAATAGACACAGCGCGAGGTAGAAAGGAAGATACGTACCGAGAAGAAGTATCTTACATTCCTTCCTAAACTTCCTAGAGTCCTCCTCTATCTGACGGTCGATAGCATCTGACTTGGCCTTCTCTTCCCTGTCCTGTGCTGATGATACGCAGTTGCCCATGATGAATTAGGAGAGCGTGCTAAGAGAAAGACAGTCGGTGAGAGGAACGTGATCTGGCCAGCGTGTATGGCAAACTGTTGAGATTTGATTGTGATAATGTTGAAGAACAAGTCTTCCAAAATGAAGAAGGTCGTTTCCTGGATGTGATATTAGTCCGTTCGATTGCTTTCAAGTAGGACAAGTCAAGGACAACTTGAGAACTTGGAAGGACCTTGGCTACCCGGGCGGCTTTGTTTACAGTGACCGTGATTGTCACATATCACATATAACGTGTGACGTGTGACAAGCGCCTACATCATCAATCACAAGAACCTAGCAATTTACAATTTAACTGATAGTCAACAGCCGGTGCTGCTAAGTATGGTTTCATGGTGATCATCATCCAATAAGACGGCTGTGCCGAGCGCCATGCGTGTGCATGTCGCTCAGGCTGGACGGACGACATTTGGCCAACGTTTTCAATCTCTGTTCCTGTTCTCAGCATCCCCTTGTTCCAAATCAGACTGTGGCTAAGCACTGCCAAGGTGCACCGACTGGTACGTAAAGTACTGCCACCAATCCATTATACTAGCCATTAGTCTAGATCGGTGCGTTGACTCGGAAAGGTCACGCTGACGATATAACTGCCAATTAACACTGAGTCAGGCTTAGCTACCTGACACAACGACGTGCCGTGCTTGTCAATGTCATTCTAGCTCAGGCATGGGACATCACCACCGGATCGGCTCCAACCGGACCATCTGAAACTCCATCCCATCCATGCGTACCCTTTGTTTGATCCCGACGGACATCATGAAGGTTGATTGGTGGAATGTTGGTAGCCTCAAAAATAGCTCAGTGTGCCACCATCAAGTGGGTCGCAACGTATTTATTACTCATTCTGTTTATCCATATACAGGTTCAGTACCCAGTTCCTGCCGGTTCTCACTATCCCTATCGGCACCCACAGAAGTCGGCAGTCACGATTTCAAAGTCAGCTTTGCAGTCAAGCAAGAGCCCAAGGTCAGTTGGTATTCGGCATGAGTGAGCAAGTACAGTATTTACTAGTAGATATATCTAAGTAGGAGGGTGACCAATATTAGTGCTGTGGTTGAAAAATAAGGGAGACTATGTACATTAATGTGTATGGATGCTGAGGTTGTCTACGTAAGTTCGATGATGACTCGGATGCAATAGGACCGCCGGATAGATTATTATGCTTCTTCAAACGTGTCTGGAAGAGTGCAGGAAGACGCGTGTTTGTTAACAAAACGCTGATTTTCGTTGTCAGCAATAAACTCTTTGGTTCTTGCCCCGAGTTCCCCGGCCGTCCTATCTCGCTGCACCAGTCGGCACTTAAGTGGGTATGTGCAGTTTGAAACTCCGTCACGGCACATCGGCAGGTGACATTTCTGTATGACTTCGGCACTTTCAACTATCTCACCTGCTTCGATCCTCTTCAATCATGGTCGTTCAACCTCATCATGAGTTGTATTAGAGAAAGAATGATATCTATGCTAAGAATTTAGTGTTGAAGTAGCTAGAAATACGAGTTTTGTGAAAGTGCCGACTTCTGTGGGGTGCCGATTGAGGGGATAGTACACATGTCACGTATGCATACCGTTGGCATATTCTGACAGGTGTTCGCGGCTATATTAATCTATCCCCACCTTGTACTATTAGGATGGATAGGTATGGTCCTCGACGCGACAAGGTGCTTCTGGATATATATAATAAAGTCCAAAAATTAGGCTCGCTCCGGTCTCCAGGGACCTCCAACAACAAGAACACCTGTATACCTACGCGTACACGACATTGTCTCCCAGGATTCAATCATATATGGTCCTGCAGCCAACCCGTATCATTACAAGATCAGGGCGCCACCAACAACGATCGCCATGAAGCCACGTAGCCTCTTTATTTCAGTCACAAGTGCTCCAGAAGTTGATGTTGGAGTTCGGCTTGCAGAGGTTGTAGGTAGATGAGGCATTTGCCGACCCAACGGATGACAGTGAGGACGTTTGGGTTGACGATGTATGGGAGGTTACAGGTATCGGTGCAGTACTAGTAGTAGCACTGACAGTCGTGGTTTGAGATTGGCCTGTGTGTGACAGTCAACACTCAATCAATGTATGACCGCTAAGCGCTAAGTACCTGAGAATGCGGAACTGGCCGAGGAAGCTGCGCATTGATTGAGCATGAGAAACGTTTTTTTACTCAATGCATGCAAAAGACCCACCGTCACACAAGTTGCTGTAATACTGCCAAGCAGTCCCCTGGGTTGTCGTATTGCAGCTCATATTGAAGCATGACTGAATGGCTGCTTGAAAGGGCTGGGAGGCGCAGACGCATGTGGCATTCGAGCTATGTAATGATTTTTAGACAAACTTGGCTTTGAAAATTGTTGAAACACTCACGACGAATAACAGCCAGCCGCCGTCGCTGCTGTCCCCGCACAGACTTGCGCACATTCAGGAAGGGTATAGTTCTGTGCGGCACAGAAACCGAAGGCTAGAAAAATGACGAAAACGAGTGAACGGTGCATGCTCGGCAGCGAGGTCTAGCACAAAGAGTTTTGGGCGCTAATTTCTAATAGCTCGGGTTTGAAGCGGGTAATCAATCGAATCATCAATCTCTCCGACCACGTCCCCCTTCGTATATGTACTCGCGACGCCCATATTTTAATGATAATCAACAGTCAACACTGCATGCCCTGAACCGCAAGGCAATCGGCATTTGGGGCGAAGTCGTGGCGCTGCGCAATGCGCAAGTGGAACTTTGAGCTTTGTCACAGTGACTATGTGAGCAGTGAGCACCATCCCTTACCGCTTGTTTTGATTACAATTACTGTCCTATGGAGAGTTGTACTCTATGGAGGACAAAACCGCTTTCTAGCTCCTAGGCTGGCCAGACCATATAAAAGGAAGACAGTTCGTTCCTTCTTGCTTCCGCTTTGTGGGGAAAATCGTTCCTGCTCCGAGAATACACAGGCATACACCCACGATATGTAACGATCACTCAAATTGAGGGTGCTACCAAAGGGTGAAAAAGTAATTATAATGAATGGGTTTGACTCGGAATGGTATCACTCGGGTTACCTCGGGCCCTGAAGCTGACGAGAAGAGTAACGCCAAATAATAGATAGGTAAGTAAGTAATAATCAAAGATTGTAGTCCTGGCTAACGCTTGATGTCGACCACGACTCTACTCAAGATTGTGAAACAGCCAAGCAAAGTGTCTGTGACTCGAATGAAACAACAGAAGATATCAAAGTGGGGTTACCCCGCGGTTACGACATTTTACTGGCTGGATCACATGACGAGTGCTGTTCCAATAAGGGCGCCAGCAAGGGCAACAAGCCCGCCGAATGCACTGTTGAGAGCAAGCGAAGGTGCGAGACCCGTGGCAGCACCAGTTGAGGTTGCTTTTGCGGACGAAGAACTCGTGGCGGAACTCGTGGCCGATGTCTTGCTCGATGTTCCGCTCGAGGTCGCGGTCGAAGAGTTCGCCGTAACTAGTCTCATCAGCCCCAGTACACACTTCGGAAAGAATGACATACGCGTTGCACACTCAGATTGTTGAAGCGCTTGGGCCTGGGCGACCTCGGCAGCAGTGCAGTTAGCCTGCAGACATGCGCCGGCAGCAGTCTGGAATGAAGTGGAGTAGCAAACACAAGAAAGGTCGGTGCTAACATCGAGGACGTGATATTCAGGATGCTCGAGTGCTATTTGAAACCTGGCCAACTTACTAGCTGGAGCAGCCACCTGCGGCGGCGGCTTGGGTCGAGCATGAAATGATACAGTCTGAAATTCCGCTTGGAGTTGCGGCCGCAGCAGAAGACGTTGTGGTCTCTGATTGCGCGTTGACGGCCAGAGCTGCTGCTGCAACGACGAAAAGTGACTTGAACAGCATGATCGGCGTATAGTGTGAGTTGGCGACAGGTAGGTTTCGCATTTAAAGTGTTACCGTGGGAAGGATGTCGGAGCAAGCTGGCACTTGCTGGCATGCTCATCGATCGATCGGTATGTATACGCGGATTGAGCCCTGCAGGGAGTACTTGGAGGTGCTTGGCAGCCTGGCCAGCAGATGGGTTTTTCGACAGGCCCCTTGATGCCGAGGCACATCGGACTTTTGCATACTGGTTACGAAAATCATGACATGATATTGACGTTGATATATTCATGCGGTGTACGGAGGTGCGTAAGTGTATAGGGATGAATCTTCTTTCCTTTCCTTCCTTTCTTTCTTTCTTTCTTCACTTACATAGAGTCAAATGGCCTCGCCGGACCTATTACAAAAACCACGTGGCACTCAAATGATGGAAGAATTCTCGGTACTTCACCAAATCGATGCTGCTGCAGATAGGAGGTTGTCAGATAGGCTGCTACTGACCTGCCTCTCCCACACCGGCACAGACCACATCCTTCCTACATTCCCCGATTTTGAGACATTTAATTATAATTATTGTCTTTGTCCGTACTGACAGATATATTTCTTCTGCATAGGAATATATATTTAGTTGTTACTTTGAACTTATGCTGCAGGTGCCTCGGGATGGAGCATGAAGTGCTTTATCTGTGCCAAAGGCACTCGCTCGTGCAAGCGCCATGAATAGGAGCTCGTTTTAATGAAACAAACAGTGCCACAACGCCGCAAGTGGAAAGAAGGTGAAAATCACCGCGACGACCGGAATTGATGTTCGACCACGCACTCGAAGCGCTGCGGAGCCCACTATGGTTCGGAGCGGTGTTACAATCGATTCATACACAGGAGTCGACAGCTGGTGCATCAAAAAGCGTCAGTGTCTGAATTTTAGTATTAAGAATCGGGTCGAGGTTCTTGCGGCGTGTGCTTATATCTGTTATAAATTTTTGGATCTCATTTCCGTTCCAATGGTTGTTCCATTGACGCGAACACAGGAATTTCGAGTGCCAGAAGACAAGCCGGAAATATGTATTACCGCCTGAGAACAGGTAATGCGGCAGCTTCGGCCAGCGGCTAGATTCCTCAGTATAGTATATTGTACTCACCTGCCGACGACCGTTCTTCATTGCAGTCAAATGTGAAGTTTTAGCCAGCAGCGACGTTGGTTAGCACCGAAGTAACGGAACAGCACCCGTTATTTTGCCCTGATGCGCATGCAGTAACAATATTGGTTAACCGGCGAAAATGACACAGAAACGATTCCTATAGAGTGGTGAGAGGAGTTATTATGCTAGCAGTCCAAGGGTTCTCGCCTTGAATGTTTGCGCAGCAGTATTTCCACAGGACGAAAAAAACATGTGTACATTGATCGATGTTTAAATGGTACTCACAACTAAGACGCGATATTCTCCGATACTATAGGGATTGCAATAGTATCCACTATGAACATCGGTTAGTCACTAAACCAATAATATGTGACGCCGTCAGGGTGAAGTTTCACCATAATTTCGCCCAAGACATTAGGGTTTCCTTGTGGGTTCCGCCCGTGCGGAACGGATACAAGGCCTGAGGCCTGGGGGCTTCTTGGAAGTTGTCATGTTTCACATGACATACTGTATTTCCGACGGCAGCATGGCTGGTTGAAGCCGTAATTTCATAAATATGGAGATCCTCGGCTGAGTACATACCTAGGCTGTAGGCTGTGACATTCCTCTCCAGAAATTTCTGCTACGTCGAAGTGGTCCACCTAGCTGGGCATTAATCAAAGGTAAATATTCACAATAACCTAGATGGTGGCCCAGAGCTCGTGCCAGAGCCCGCTACATTTGCTTGATTTTCGAGCCGGTCAATTTGTGGAGACGGTATGGCGACCGCGACTATAGGCTTACAGCTCTGTAGTTGGATGAAAGTTGTATACAATCGAAATGGATGTACTCAGAATAAACTGACAAGTCGAATGACCCGGAAGCTGGTAGGTATGAACGTCGAGGTTGGCACGGTTGACCAGATAGTGATAATCAACATGAAACAAGACAGTAAAGTGTGTTGAGTAAAGGATGGAGTGAACTGTGAACATGCAATTTTGATTGTGGCTTGAGTATTTCATAGCCATACGCCTGTCAAACAGTAGGAAGAACATTCAATTATATTCACTCTCCGACGCTGCTTACTAATCAAGCAAGCACGAAGACACGCCCCGCTTGGCGCTGGATACCACACAAGCTCTCTGAAGAATAATTGTAAGGCAGAACTATGAATGATTCGACTGAGAAGCTCCGCAGCATAGTCACATACGCGTTTAGACGTATACGTATGCATGTCCATAGAAGTTCATAAGAACTGCGGGGGCTCGGACAGCATGACCGCTATCACCGTGGCCGAGACTCGGTGCTCCGGAGTCACTGCGGTCCTGGTCAGGAACATTTCCTTTTGCTCGAATTTCAGTCAGCCTTGGAGTAATCCTCTTCATGCAGAAAGCACACTTTGCCACTCATATTTCCAATCCTAAGGCCTTATTAGCCCCATGGAGCCTCATGGAGCTTGCTCGGTTGGATTTCCCGACGAAGCCCTACAGTTTTTTTGCTGTCCAATGAGCGAGTCCGCGAAGGGGCGGTCTAGAATCGAGTAGACCTGGCTCTGTCTGGACCTGCCTGGATGCTCGGGCCTTGAGCCTAGGGTTCTGACTCAGTCGCTCAAGTACCACTAATACATTTTAGGTTGGTCTGGTTTTTCGAGACTTCCGGTTGGTCAAAGGTATTGGACACTGTTGCATCTCGTGTGTGCAACCAGACACGTAACCCTCGCTCTCTTTCTCCAGATTTATTACATATTCCAGATTGTCCAATCAGACATGCTGTGAGCTTTCTCTCGGTTCTCTCCCCGTGTAATTCCCATTTCTAGATATAGATGCGCTCTGTCATAGAGTCAGTCTAAAATGAAATAGTATTACAGCAAGCTTAAAAGGCCCCACATACCATAATACATACGGCGTCTCAGCCTCGACCGGTCTGAATAAAGCTTAGGGTCACCCGAGATCGACTGAGCTATCTTAAAAGAGTCACCCTCACACAGCACTGGATGTCCATTTCTCCTCCTCGAACTACGTCCATCCTTCGTAGTAAGGTCCATTTGTATTCATCGGTTCTTGGTTATCTTTCCTTCCTGCTGGTCTCGGGATGCGATCTGCCTCGTATGCTCATTATCCGCCGTCTCGCTCGGGCGACCGACCGAGTGACGGCAACGACAGCCCGCGAGCGCTTGGTGCTCATCCACCCATTGACAATCTGCGTCCGCGCAGCATCTTGCGCAAACCAAACCCTTTACTTCCTCCTTGCCCTGTAGATTACTCCCAGCAACTTCCTCGACCATCACGACCTCTTCCCTTGATGCCTCGCATGGATATGTATCCGCCGTACCAATCCCCCAGTTCACTTTCCTCAACGTACAAGGACTCTCCCCATTCACCCGCCACCCCATACAGTCGTGGTCATGTACCATGGATGCCTCGTGGATACGAGTCGAGACACCAGCAATATAATCCTTCACATCACGCCGATCACCAACAATCACCTCGCGATCATGGTGACTATCAGAAACGTACTTACCTTCCACCACATGCCTTCCAACAACAGCAAATTGGTGCTCGTGATGGCTTTGCGTCTATGCCAGACATCAGGCGCATACCCAGACCATCGTCCGCGGAAATAGAGAGGGACAGGCAGGCTCGGGCATGCGGGCTTCAACTAGATTATACGTCACATCAACATACTCTCCCTTCCTCGAATAGCCATCTACCACGAGGTAGCAGGCGCCTCGAGGAAGATCAGCTTCATCGTGAGCCGAAGACGCTAGTAGACCGTGTCAAACCTTACCCACCCCGACCGAAGCCGCACATTCTGTATCCTAGGCTCGACAAGCTCGTTCGACGTGAGAAATATCGTGCAATGGATCACATCTCTTATGACGAGGATGTAATGGAATTGTATAAAGAGGACGGAGATTTACGAGAGAAGCTCCGTGAAAAGCGCAAGCGCGGAGCTGAGAAAAGAGATCCAAAATTTCGTCTGTTGTGTTTGCGTGCAGGCTTCGCATCACACTAACATTATGACAGATGTTATGGGAGCGCCATTGCGCGACGTATTAATCCATGCATCGTCCACGATCACTATCGGCGAATACCAGCATGACGTGCCAACCCTTGTCGTTGCCTGTGTAGAGGAGCTGACAAGAACGGGTACCTTCTCTTCTTCTTTGAATTGATTTGTTATTTACCCCATCAGGTATTTACCAACAGGGGCTGTTCCGCGCATTGCCTAGCCGCGATCGGCACTTACAGTTGTTTGACATCTACGATTCCAGCGCCGATTATGGGGCTAAATTCAGCATGCACGGGCAAACCATGCCCGACATTTGCTCTATCTTATCCACATTCATCTCCGCCCTCCCTCATCCTCTCCTTGATCCTAAATTTTACGGTGGGTTTTGGCACTGGTGCGTGAAGCCCAGCGTGAAGCGCGAAGAGGTAAGGCGAAGCCAACAGGACGCGGAAGAAGAGGAGAAACGCGCTAGAGGCGAGCTGCCACTCTTACTTCCCATGTCAGCCCAACAGCATCAGAGGCAGGCTCAAGACGACCTTCACCTTGGTCACGACGGTGACATCGAACGCCATCAGATTATGGTCGCACAAATAATCCTCCGCTTCCTGCCTATAGGCCAACTCTCCCTACTGATTTACCTCTGCGGATTTTTCACCCAACTTCCCCTTTGTCCTGAGAACGGTATACAATTCGAGGATATCGCGCGGATCTTTGGGCACAAGATTTTCGGTGCGACGGCGAAGGTGTCATCACAGAAGATGATGGTTTGGTTGTTATCGAGGTGGCACAGTATCTCAGAAGGTCTCCTCACTGATGCATGCGGGATGTCGCGGCCGTCCACCCCTGTCCCCAATCAACAGGAGCTGCCCAATAGTGAAGACAAGGGTGAAAGCGCATTGGTGAAGACCCCTAGTTCGCGTCGCAGTCGTTCTTCGGACAGTGATCGTTCCTCGTACTCGTCTTCTCCCCACGATCAAGCGGAATCCAGTACCTCTCGGCATCGTAAGAAACGAAGCATAGAATCCACGCCAGAGTCAGTTGAGGAGGCACTGCCGAGATCTCGCCGGCCTTCGAGGCGGAATCGGCCAGGTCTGTCTATATGATCTTCCAATCGCATTCTTGCTCCAACAAACATGTATAGGTCGCCAGAATAGTGCGTTTGCCACGCATCGAAGGAAGACTTCTGGGCAGGAACTTTTAGACGTGTTCTCAAAGGGTGAGTGTTTAGTGGACGGACGAAATGGTATCTCATTTATTCCCAGCGTTTGCGAATGCACGGGTCAGCCCTCCATCGGATCCAAAACTTCCTGAACACATTTCGGGGGATCAGCCAGAAAGTATACTTCTTGATACTCGAGTACGCCTCGCGCGCCTGCAAAGCGATCTCCAGCGCAACAATCTGGTTGTTGTCGACGCCATTAAGGAATCATTCAAGGCCAGTGACGAAGCACGTTTACTTTCTGAGAAGATTGAACAGCTGGAAAGGACATTCGGAGAGAGAAAGTTGCACAATCAAAGTACGCTTGCCAACACAAAAGAACCGCTGCAGGTTGGCATCTTTGAGGTAGAGTGACCATGCACATCAGGATATGCAAGATGCGAGTAGATTTGGGGTAGATATCACATAATATGACGGTAGCAGGCCTTAATACACGATCCTAGGGTACTGCTAGTAATTGAACTTGGATAATGTTGCGGATGAATGTGCACATATTTGATGCTTCGCAAGTTCTATCTGCGAAATAAGTATTACAGGGTGTTGACAGGTCATAATGCGTATGCTACTGGTACAGAGAATGTAGTAAAAGTGAATGTTGCAAAACGAGTTCAAAGGGACAATTCCAGCCAGTTTTGCCACTGAACAGGCGTTCAGTCGCCTCCTGCTGCTGTCCTTGCGGTCTTCTGTTTCTTCCTTCTTTCTTTTCTCTTCGCACTCCCGTTCCTGCGTTTCCCGAAGTAAGGATTTATTATCTCCCTCAGCAACTCCTTCAGCAACCCGCCTTGATACGCATTCTCCTTCGGAAAGAATTTCTTCGGCTTCCGGAGAGTATATGCTGTCAACTCTCCCAGAGATGCAAACAGCTTTACAGGCATCCCAGTTCTCGCTGAGTCAACAAGGTCTACAAGATTGACATGCGTGTCCCAAACGCGCTATATGATCAACTCAGCCATCGTGGTTCGCCTGTAATGATTATCCACAAACCAGGCGACACTCCTCGATTGAATCTGGAACAGGAACGATTCGCAGTACACGGCACAGATTCTGCCAGTTAGAAAGATCGTTCCGTCAATTCCAAAACGCGCATTGAATTCCTGAACGAGCGCGTCTTTGAATCCCTCTCGTACTTCACGCCTCTCCGGATCTTGGGGGCCACATTTTATGACCCTGACAAGGCGATCGAAGTTCTTGCCTGAGGACTGGTTGGCGTTGAAGGAGAATGACGCGAACTGAGCGAAAAAGGCGGCGAGGGGCGTGTCGTCGACGGGAGGTGGTGTGCCAGTGCCAGTGCTAGTGGGCGTGCGCCTTGCATTGGCGCCTTCGCGCCTTCTTGACTGTATTTTTCTATCAAAAATAAGTCAAAGGAATTTGGCGAAGCTTACCTCTGTACCAGAGGACATAGTAGATGGGAGGGCTTATAGAACGCAAAAGACGGGAAAAACCCCTGTACCGTGCCACATCTCGAACAGACTCTTATGTAAGAATATCGAAGCGTCCATCACCTCGTGGCTTACGTGTATATGCCCATCGCCCACGAAGAACCCCGCGAAGAGGATCGTCCGTTAGCTGGATATGGCAACTGACCCGCGAGTGATCAAGTGACATGAAGATAGCCCAGAATTCAATAGCTATAGAAAAATAAATGCATGTGAATTGGCTCTTGGCGAGTACGAGTCACGGTCAAACTGTGGGCCCGTAGAATACCTGTTTTCCGGTACACGATAAGTGTTCTTCGCCCAGAAGCCGGATCTATTATGAACCAACAAATAACAGCCTGCTTCGTTTTGTAATTGGATGTCCATGTCATTGCTTGCATGTGTGTGATTCTCCACCTGCGAGAGTCATCAAGCTAGTATAAGTAGTATTGCGCACTGCATAGATAATGCAACATACCACGACTTGTATTTGAGGACAACAGCACGAAGACAAACGTGAACTATCGTCAGCGTTGGCACGCTCCCACGGACGGCGTACTGAAGACGCTTCCCGCGCTCACATATTACGAGTTCATATGCAATTACAGGCACGTCGGAACGGTATCAGTGTCAGAATATGTAGAAAAACTCGTGTTATAAGGGTGGCCGTAACTTGAGGATACATCTTCTCTACTGCGACTGCACGGATGCCATGAGGTAACCAGAATCTTAATCAAGAAGTGACCAGAGAAGGAGCCCTTGTTTCGAGGCACATGCCCAAGGATATCGATGGTCGACTGTGGGGCCAATGTAATTAGCTCCATAAATAAATAAATAAAACATTGAAACGTTACGAGAAACACACTGTGCCGAGTCTCGTCGTTCATGTGACTTCGAAGTAGATGACATTGTGTGCAGTGATGATGCATGACAACGAGTTACATAAGAGATATGTACGAGTGAGGAATGACGACCCTCCACAGCCCAAAGTACTTATGGGCTTGCCGATCTGCCCGCGTCGGCCTACGGAGAGACTAACGCGAGACTACCAGATTCGATGCGCTCACTCACCACAGGTACGATTCCTTTCCATATCACGCTTAGAGATCAAAACTGTGAGTATTCTGGTTTCTGGGCATACAAGCGATGTTAGTACAATTTAATACTTTGTAGCTGCTGGCACGACACGACACACAAAACGCGAGCCTCATTGGTAGATATTCAACGAGTTGAACTCAAAATAGGCATTCTTGAATGCTGATGGGTTATTGTTTACGTAGTCTGACAATGTGGAATGAGGTTGTCGATATACCCACTAGAGGAGTGGATACTCACCGACACATGTAGATGGACATCCAGACGCGCTGTAAACCGAACTGCTGCCTGCCCAGTCTCCGCCTGGTAAGTAACGTTTATCAGCTTAAGTTCAAGTTCAAAGACAATGACCACACACAAAATGTAAGGTTGATGATGATGTTGTGTTCTCCAAAATGAGTGGAGAAATTGCAATCAGTATTGGGAAAGTACGCGGCGGGTGTTCCCTTTGAAATTGTGTTCGATCAGGGATTCAAAGTCTGTGGGAATAGCATACCCATTTGCTAGTATTGATGCTTGATCCGGGAGAGCTGACGTCGCTTGGAACAGAGCCACTCGTCCTCTCCCAAAAGAAAATCTTGATGTAACTTGAGCTCCTTTCTATCGCATACCTGGCCATGGTTCTCTGTTATTCTGACAGGACTAATGACTAATATGGAATGCATACCAGCCACCCCCGTTGCTGTTAAACTGCGGGCCATAGCTCTTGTTGTCGTTGATATTGACCCCACACCCCGAGTTGCCGTTATCATATGCGTCGCAGTCTGTACCATCGACAGTGCTAAATTCAATTTGCATCAGGCATCACCAAATACCTGGAGACTCAATAAACAACCTGACCCTGTCATTGAGCGAGAAGAGGGCATTGTGCAACCTAAAAACAAATTTTAGTACCATAGTTTTCACCCTTCGAACATGGTCTTACCAGAGCTTGTGTGTAGACTGCATTTGTTGGGAGTCTGATCATTGACACCTTCTACAATGTCCACTTCGCCCTGTGACCCTGAGTTATAACAGAAACAAGCATCAATCTCTGAACATACTTCATTCGGCCAGTTTGCCCCCACTTCCTGTGATGAATATTAAATTAAAGAAATTATACTGTGAATGGGACGAACCCTGTTGAATCAATAGCATCGTGGTACACTCGTCAGACGTCAAAAAACCGAGACAACGAGTTATACTAACCCTGGCCCGTAGTCAGCTTCAAGTCAACCGACCATAACAAATTGAACGCACAAATAGCCGGCCATGTTCCACAACCCTGTGGCATATGCGCAATGTCGAAACTGAATAAGGTTAGTAAAATTGTTCGCACTCGTGCCACAATTCCGCATGGACGTACATTGCCACATGAGTTTCGTATTGGGAATTTGACTGGATTCGAAAAGATTTTCTTCCCGGGTCGGAGGAGGACAATTTCGTAGTATAGTCCGCTCGGAGCGTGAGTTTATTATTAGCCACTGAAACAAGTCCATCTGCTTTGGCAGTACTCTCGTCGACATAGGTCCTGGGATGGTGGCGTGAATCAGCCTTCGGATACTACGATTCAAAGGATGTCTTACACTCTGCCGTTGGTGGGGTCCGAGATGGCTTGGAAATTGAACGCGTCAAGGAAGCTCTGGCCTGTGAGCTGGCTCGACCTTTGGTACGTCGCACCCAACGTCATTGTTACAGCGGGGGCCAAGATGACGAAGAAATGAAAGTTAATACGCATGATGACAAAATAATAAAGGAAGAATCTTCAACTGGTGACTGAACGATTTCTGGGCCAGGTTTTAACTGCCTTTATAGCAATGAAGGCCCATGACCGTTTTGATCATGTCTCCCAATGTTCTTACCTGCAAACAAATCAATATACTTGACAGTGCATGGTCAACATGGCGATGATATGGAATGGTCAGAGGCATGTGCTCCATACCAACGCCACTCAGCCAGGATGCAGCTGGTGCTTTTCCGGAACGATATACCCATAAAGCTCAACATGGATAATAATCGCCAGCCCGGGCGATGAATAAAGGATACGCTGAAGTCAAAGTTTGACGAGCCTCAGACCCGGGCAGCTTCGTAAAGTTGGAACGCCCGTATAACAGGACGTGTACCTCCGATTTGTGTAATTCCTGTCCTCTGAAAATAAATCAGCTCGGACTATCGCACCACCATGGAGCATCAAAGCCTCGTCAGAAAAATAACTTACACTGTTGCACGTTAACCCCAAGTCGTTTTACGAGTTCCTACAAAAATCCAAGAAAATAGGAACGGAGCGTACAAATTTGTGTTAGTACCACTGAAGTCGCGCTAGTGGCCGATAACAGCGGATGGTGATGAGTATAACATACTTTAAGCTCCGAGAATGCACATGGGCTGTCCCGGTCTTGCCTCGTGCTCTCCCTCTGACAACAGGTGACTGGGGAATAGTACTGCCAGTTCTACCGAAGAACAATTTTGAAGGAGCACTCTTTAGAAATGCACATGACGGTTTGTCGTTCCACTTCTGCCATGTTTGACGGTATCGTCGAAATTCCCCGAAGTAGGTACTCCTCTATCTTGATCAAGTGACCATGTATCGTATTGCATGTGAATTTTCAGTTCGATAACCACTGAGTGGGTTGGAAGCAAAGCAGAAGATATACTGTGTCTGCCAGGAATGTCATTGTTTGTGCTACATACAAAGGTTTGTATTGCATAAGCGTGTGAATTTGCTGTCTCTTTACTCAACTTCAGCATCAATTGATTCCGTTCCAGTAATAGTATGACAGCGCAAAAGAGGGACTTACAGTCCTTAAAACCTAATGCCCTGATCAAGATACCACAACGAAACTCCAAACAGAATCTTGATTACATGTTCCTATGTGTTCATAATTATTTGGAGTGTGGGTATCACCGCCAGATGACACTCGTGTACGCTCTGGAACACAATCGTAGCTATGCTAGTTCCTTCCTCGGAGTTTGTCACCAGCTTGGTGAATGCTAAAGATGAGGCGTGTTCCCACCACATACCTCATACATCTACACGAATGTGATAAGCTGAAGAACGCACAATAAATCTGAACTCCCACAGAATGTGAATCCTGTGGAAACGTGAGCTCGAATGCAGATGAGTCACACATAACGGCATACCAAGACCTTCGGAGACAGAAAGCCAAGGTTGGGGTGAGGAACAGCAGCAAAGCTAACACATACACGGAGAGAGATCGTCACAATCACACCACAAGTTCGCTCCCCAAAGTAAAGTATGTGGGTCTTGATTGACACCACCGTGAAACAATCTCCGATGGTCTATCCTGAAGATAGTGATTGCAGTTCACGGAAGTGTTTTACAACAATCCAGGCTGCAAGACCCAGTGTGCGGGGACCTCCCATATGTAGTGGCGAGTATTCAAATCACGGTCATCAGATGTTGCTCGCCTTCATCAATCTTGTAAGCGCATTGACGCGTGCCGAAGAGGACAGCACGTCTAGTGTTCATTGCATGACCTCAATGCATTCAAATCTGGTATGAAAGCTTACCCGCTGAAACAGAGCTACTTCCTATTGCGGCCATCAAGCGATAGTGACAACAAAAAAGATTACAGTAAGCATCTTTTTGGACCGCTCGTACATGGCATATAACCGAGTGATCATGATGGCTTGCATAATATTCCAGTCAATTTGGTGTAATTGAGATACCGCAGCTGAGTAGCTTACCGACCAGCAAGGGATTTACAACGAAGGACACCCACAATGATGCGAAATTTGCAATATTACTTGACAAATCCCATTAATTATTGATGGGACGCATAGGACTGAGCGTTTGAAGAACCTCACAACTGTTTCGGTCAACGAATTGGAATAAGCAAAGTGCTCGAGAATCTCACTCACCCCTACAGTTAGTTTGAAAGCATCAGGGCAGAATATTCACCAAGTCTGTCATCAAGACTCTGGGAGACCTACTGCATACCACCAGTCAGAAGAAACGAATGCATGTATTATGCCACAAGGAGACATCATACACAGCTTGTTGTTGCTGGTCGTGAAAGATGGTTAAGTTATCAGCCAAGTTCAGCTCAATGCCGATTTGCTAGTCATGTAAACATACAGGGTATATTACTCCAATGTAGCGCACCTAGAGTATTGTCAGGACAGATTGTCGAATTCGCTTATAACATGAGCTATGTACGCTCATGTAGAGCATCCATCAGCGATCTGCGTTGCCTCTGCCCGGGTTAACTGTGTTTTTTCTAACATGAAGCTGCTTACCCGGCCCAATTTAAACCACATAACAAAAACCATTCCAATGAAAAAACTGCTCCGATATTGGGATCAACCCACTCTTGGCCGAATATCAGTGCTGGAGAATATTATAGTGTAATCAACGGTTCGTGCTCACCCCAGTCGTATACCACAGCAGTGCATGATGCAACTGCGAAACCACAGTCAAATATAGAGCGGGACACATCACAGGTATCATCCCATTTGCTCTCCATGAACCTACAAAATAGTTGAAGACGTGATCCATTGACCCCGAACTAACGTCACTTGAAACCAGGGGCATACTGCAAGTGTATCGTCGGTGAGTGGCAAACTTGGCGGACGTATAACTTTGAGTAGAGCTATAAGGCAAGAAATGCCACTGTATCAGCAATTACCAAAGTAGTCACATGGTAGACGTCGACTGTGACTTCAATACTCCGAGTTCAGCCGTCGGTCAGCACCAGTCCACGGTTGCAGGACTCTATCTACGGATTTTCCTTCTGCTGTAGTTCACCCAGCCCGTCGCCTTTAACAGTTGACCAAGGGACGTAGCATCATGCTCCGAATCTGGCCAACAAGTTACAGCCACAGCAAAATGGATTCGAGGACCGGGGTCAGCAGCCGTTGGCTCAACTTGTTCTTGCCATTCATTATCGCCGAATTTGAGTGCACCATGTGTGGCGAGAGGGATGTCGTCTGGATCTCTCTCGCAAATGGTTCGAAATCCAATATTTGGCAGTGGTCACTGTCACTGGTGTCGAGCAAATTGGGTCGGAAACTTATGTTTGGGTGTGTTTATACTGCTTACGACAGCTGGTGCTTCTCCCCCTCGCTCAACATTTTCAACTTATCATGATCATTGACTAATGACTCTACTAAGCCTTACCCATTCTTGGTGTCCTGTACTTTCGAGTGAATGACACGAACAAATACTAGCGCAAAGTGGCAACAAGGCGCGCGGGGCCGCTGCGAATGCCGAACAGTGACTTGATGCAATCCCGTTATCTGGCCGAAGATTGGGTATATGACATGTGTGCTGTGTGCATGTAAGGTATACTCTCCTATATCCCTTGATGCGGTACACCTGTCTCCCACATTTACGTCTAGAAGCTGGCTTTGCACATGAGGTGTTTGTGAATTGTGGATTCATCATGATACGTGATGTCCTAATTGATCTACCGATGATGAGGCGCAAAGAGTATCCTTTCCTGTGATCCGGGAAATAACATGAGGCATTCAAGCGCTCTGTAATATAAAGCCCCCCACTTGGCTATATTCTGGACGAGCACGACGTGTGGTACTTGTTACCACGAGATGTCATCGTCCCCTAGGGTGTGTTACAGTTATTCGCAGACCTCTAGTTGTCGATTCGGCTCCAAGTGCAAGTTTGCGCATGACGAAGAGTCCGAAGCCACCAATGATGTAGGTTAATATAGCCGCCTTCAATCTCACTGACAGGCTAAGACATCGTGCATCTAGAGAAAGAGGCGCAAAACCACGCATGAGCACTCCCAAACAAATAGACAGGCACCTCTAGACGATTTTTTTGCAACATACCCCAAGTTCGAATACAACTCGTCTGCCTCAGCTTCATCGGAGTTTTACCGGATGTGCGACGAGTTTGACTGGGATAAGGGAAACAAAAAGAGAGAACAAGCCTACCTTGATTTCAAGGACGCCCTTGTTCAGCAGTTCAACGACATATACGGCACGGATGTGAACGATCTCACTTCATGGCGCACTTTGTGTCAGATCGTCCACGTTTCACCGATTCCTAATAGTCTTGAATCATGCCGCGAGGTAGAAGCTCAACTTGTCCCCGTCTGCGTTGTACTGACAAGTGTGGTCACGTTTTAGGCGGTCAAAGCCACTCATGTCAATATTGTTGACTTGGTCGACACAGAAACGACCGGGGAGCCAGTGACGGTATTTGTTTCGGAGGTGGACCTGAGCCAGTATACCATATCGACGGGAAAGTTCTTTCCAAGAGACAATGCATATGCTGGTGGTCTCTTGAGGTATCTGCTCCGCCGTATCATAAACCCTAGACAAGAACGCGTGTCTAGGTCTGGTCGGAAGACGCAGAGGAGGCGTAGACGTCATTAAAAACTACTTCCGATTCTTATGCTATTCTTGCACATGTAGGTGTCGTTGTAAAGCTTCTAGTTGAGTTCGTTTTGTGGTGCATGAGCACATTCAAGTTATCGGATGAATTCTCGGACATTAGCGATGGCAACGACTTTAGAGGTTTCATGTGTGAGCTACAGCCGTGTGGTCACGGGAGGTTTTCCAGTAGCAGAATGTTGCGGGACGATGCCGGGGTTGTACTGGGCAATGCTCGGCTCTAGAAACACACGACCAGCAGTTGCTGTATATTTCTTCTTCCTTCCCTCTTCACGCACTCATTTGGAGTCATTCCTGCGTCGGCTGAAATACGATTAAGCAATTCCAGCAGGGTTTCCCAGGTCGACATGGGGATCATACTAAACACGCTGCACAAGTAGCCCAATTGCACAACAACAGTGAAAATCTTGATGACGATTGTACACAGGCATAGCGAAACTCCAGCGTCTAATCTGGAACAGTAACAATTCGCAGCCCACAACACATTCTACCAGGCTTGGTAGTGAGATCGTTCCGATCAGCTTAGAAGCATGTCGCGGTCGACCGGAGGCTGATTGCGCAGGTGCTTTGTACGACGTCCAGAGGATCTTGCATCGAGATATATTACAGCCTACCTCTGCACCGGAGAATGAAGTGTATGGGATTAAAACTGGGAGCTAAGTACCCGCCAATAAAGTGATTTCACTAAGAACAGGCTCCTACATATTAAAAACGATAGTACAGCTTCGAAGAAAGTGCTCCTAGTAGATACCTAGGATCAATTTACCGTTCATCACACAAAACTAGGCCGCCGGTGACGACATTACTCCCATTTCTGAGTTCGCGGACAATTAATGTCGGCTTCCGTCCATCGTCCCGGTCGAGCGGCGAAATACCGTATCACGTTGATATAACAGTGTTCTAAGCGCACGAAATCCCACAGTGTCGGACTTATTCAAACTCTTTATCAACGATCTAGCTCTTTACTTGTAGGCGAGACCACGATGGCACCGTTGACGATCCTTGTTGCTTCATACACTGACTCGATCTACACGCTGTCCTTTGATCCAACACCATTGACAGGATCTCCGACACTTGAGCTCCTCGCTCGAACGCCCGTTGGGCACCATCCGTCATGGATCGCATCTCATCCGTCCGATAAATCCCTCATATATACAGGGCTCGAACAGGCAGATGGAGAGGTCGTCGCGATCAAGTATGGAAGGGATGAAACCGTCGAGGGAGGAGACGTGGTGGCCAGGGCCAAGAGTGGTGGTGCAGACCCTTGCACCCTTCTTGTCACGGAAGATGAGCTTATCATTGGAAATGTAAGTCTCCACGATGCCGACTCCTCCTGTTCTAAGCGATGAATATGTTCCCTTTCTTGCACTCGCATCTGCGCCCAGTACTCCTCGGGCACAATCGCGACCCTTCCGATATCAACATCTGTCCCTTACATACTCTCACCAAACCCATGGACGCTTTCTATGCCCTTTGAGCATCATGTAGGACGAAACAAAGCTCGTCAATCATCATCCCACCCCCATCAGATCATCTTCAATCCACTGAACCAAACGGAGAAAGAGCTCCTGGTCCCAGATTTGGGTGCAGATAAGGTCTGGAGACTCACCAAACAAAGCGACGGCAAGTGGACAATTTGTGGTTATATCGACTTCGAAGCAGGGGGTGGCCCACGACATGTCGCAGCTCGAGGTGTGTCATTCACTTCGATTCCTGAAGTCTTATTGATTGTTACAACAGGAACCACCCTTTACACGCTGCTGGAGCTCACCTCAAAGCTTGCTGTACACACATTCCCTCCGCTTCCAGCGCCTCCAATTCCTCTTACATCTCTGTTCACTCTTTCTGCGTTACCGATACCGGATACCATGATCGCAGCAGAGATTCTACTACCCGAACCAAACGCATCCTTCCCTGAAACATTCATCTACACGTCGAACAGAAATGACCCTCATGCAGAGGGTGATACTATTGCAATATTCTCTCTTGCCGCCGGAGAGGGCCAGCCAGAGCTTGTGAACGAAGTGCGTACGGGGCTAAACCATGTCCGGGCTATGGCGTTTGGAGGTGACGAAGATAAGTATCTGGTTGTGGGTGGTGCAGAAGGTGGTAGAGTGAAGGTATTTGAAAGGATTGATGGTGGCAAGGGACTTGAAGAAATCGCGAAGCTCGGTGCAGGCGTTGTAGGATGTCCCACTGGCTTCTTGTGGTATTGAGAAGTATCGTGAAGTCACGATGTGAACTGGTGGACATAAGTCTGCTCGCCAGCTGGGGTGTAAGGTGATATTTATGGTGTCTGCCACGTCAGGCACAGGATGTCAGTTGTGCAGTATATGCTTGCTATGTAGTGTCCGATTGAACGGGCTTTGGGTATATTGCTCGTGAAGGAAACCGATATGATGGTGATTTATCCAGTCATGATTACAACAAAAAAAGATATGAACTAGGTACTCACTGCGGTGCCCTCTATTCCTCCAGACTCGACGATGATTTCATTATTCCATGCCTGCCTCTAGGCGACCAGTTGTCTCACCCTTCTTCAGGCTCGTGAGGAACTGGACGGGTGAATGCTGCTAGTCCAGTCGGACCTGGTGTTTTCAGATATTCCAAAGAGCAACAAGGACCCAATGCGATGTATGGACTGACAAGTGTCGCCTAAGAATCTATTGAGTCTATTGTGCTGCTCAATCCAATTACGTGTATCTGTCATTCGGAATCGTTTGCAAGGTAAGTCAGGCAAGGCGAAGAAGACGTCACTGAAAAATGACACACCAGCGGGCAGCGCAAGCCAGGGCACGGTGGTCAGCCAGGCAATGTCTCTGAATTTTGACCACAGACTTCGTGTGGATATGTGACCTATATGACCCTGACCATTGTTATCCTGGGCTGGGAAGCCTTCACGACATGAAGGTAGAGTGTCTGGACTCTGGACGTGCGTGATGGGCAATGGCACCCACAGGACTGCAAAATTAGGCCACGAGAACAGGACGATGATTACGAAATAGCAGCTTGAAGAGCAACATAGTTTTGTGATCGGGTACTGTGTTTTTTATAACTATAGAGATTTATGCGTAGCTGCCAGTTTGACTTTGGACATAGTTAGTCCGAGCGAACCGAATGCATGGACACCGGGTTGGGGGCTGGTGCGGCCGAGCGCCGTTATGATGATTTATAACAATCATGATTGCAACAGAACCATAGCAGATATAACTGGATACCGAAGAATCCTTCAACCAATAACGCCCTCTTCTCTCAACCGGATGATACTTTCGACGTTCAGCCCTAATTCTCCCAAGATTTCTTCTGTATGTGCACCCAGATCAGGTCCTGCCCATCTGGTCTTCGTATCACAGCCTTCGAGCAGAGGAAAAACTCTCGGCATCTTCACTTTCCATCCCTCTCCTTCCTTACCGACCTCTACGTCTTCCACTGCTCCTCTGGCCTTTACTTGTTCACCTTCCACAATCTCTTTCACGCCGACGACACGTCCCACAGGGATGCCAGCGCCCTCGAGAATAGTCAGAACTTCCTCAACCTGCCGCTGACTGGTCCACGCTGAAATAGCTTCTTCGATTTCACCTTGCCGTGCGACGCGATGTTGATTGTGAGCGTACGATGCTCCTATGAGGTCTTCGCGGCCAATGGCATGCATCAGCCGTGCGTAGAGGGTATCTCCATTTGCACCGATGATTATGTATGTTGGCGAGGAGGGTGTTGATGGTAATGGGAGGCAGGGGTAGGCGTTAGTTGGAACTATACCAGTCACCGACGAACCTGATGGTCCGCGGACCTGTGAATATGAAAATGAGACATGATTCAAACAGACGCGCGGTGAGCCCCCACCTTGCCTTTACGGTCATACTCTGGAATTATGCCTTCCATCAGGTTCAACATGCTGCAATTTTTCCAGTAGAGGTCGTTGCAAGTGATGGATTTTTACCTCTCCATAATGCTCACATCGACCGTCTCACCACATTGCTCCCCTCGTGAAGCCTTTTTTTGCTTCGACAACAATGCCAGCACCTGGAAAATGTCAAGACATATGCACCTCACACCACTAGCCTCTCACAGTGCCAAACGCTGCGTGTAAACCAGCGACGGAATCACCAAGACTGATGTTAGGTCTTGTCGGAGGACCCGAAAGCAGTCCGGTATTTGGGTCTGGCTGTCCATTTATAAAGCGAAATCCCGACTCAGCTTCACACACGGACGCATATCCTGGTCGTGAAGCCCATGGACCTGTTTGACCATATCCGCTGACACGGGTGAAGATCAGGGAGGGATTCTCTTTCTGTAATTCCTGTGGCCCAAGACCCCACTTTTCCAGGGCTAAAGATACCCTTGAGTTTAGTACAGATATATAAACTACACTGACGCAACTCACTTCCAGGCTTGAAGTTTTCGACTACGACGTCGCTTCTCACAGCCAGCTGCTTCACGATTCTGTAATAGGATATGAAGTCGAGATGACAGAACCTTGATCTTCAACGTACTCTCTTCCTTCCTGTTTCCTCAGGTCAATAGCAATGCTCTTCTTGTTTCTCGCAAGGCTTCGGAACCAAGGGCTCGTTCCGTCAATATCAAGCTCGCGCCATACTCGTAGTGGGTCTCCGGTTGAAGGCGGCTCAACTTTGATTATCTCTGCACCAAAATGTCTATCTACAGTCCTGCATGATATCAAGCCACTCTTTCGAGGACTTACCCCAGCAATTGGCCACAGAAAGGGCCGGCAATGAGTTGTCCGAGCTCAAGAACCCGGATCCCTGACAGCGGGAGATCGCCTGAGGGGGCGGGTGGTGCGTCTGCAGCAACGGTAGACATTCTACGCGCCGAACTAGCCCGCAATGCTGTCATTAGGAAACGCGCAAGGTAATGGAAGTCTGTAACTCACTCGTGGCTGACAATGTTATAGGAAATCACACGTCTACTGGAACTCCTGGTAACCTTGAGCGTGGTGCTTGACCAGCTAGGTAGTATCAGAGCCATAATTATTGTCAAGTCTTTAATTCGAGCACGAATTTTTGCGTTCTGCAAAGTTCAAACGTGTGCGTGAACAACTGTTAGCTCGTAGTGCGTGAAATCAGGACGTTGGTTATCGTAAGTACCTTCTCGAAGCGGGCCGCCGGCCTCCGCTGCGTGCTGTCGTTTATGTAAGCACACGAGACGACCCGAACGACTCCGAGCTGTCTTTGCCCTTGAAGCTTGTCATTCCTCCGAGTCTGCTTGTCTGAGAAAGAATATTTGGTCTTCCCAATAGGCTTTTCGAGTTCGGCCATAAAATCAGAAAAAGCCAGCCTTTGGAAGCAAAATTCTAGGGGGCAGCTCGGAGTCAAATGTTCTATAACGGTCGTCGATGTAAGTTAGCTTGACTCCATGACATCATGCTATGCAATACGCGAAAGCCAACAAACAATTGTTGGTCGTATAGTTGTGTTCAGTGGCCTTGGGGCAACTGTCATTTACATTTACCAGCAGGAAGGTGAATGCTACGGTTGACTCAAGCCTCGAGGTTACAGGCGAAGTTCAGTTCCCATTTAATACAAGAGCAGCACATTTACATTAATATTCAAGTTCGGCGGTCACACATGACAGACACACTGACTTGCCACGGACGTTCAAAACTATCCGCTGCGTTGAATATATTCGTGTACCAAAAGGTTGGCCTTCTTCTGCTAATGATTAATCAAGTATGTGATGCACGTTTTATGTGTTTGAGAGATGACAAACATCGATGCTGACATTTACATCAAGAGATGGGTGCATATAGGTATGAGATCTGGATGCTCCCGGGCCTGGCTAGTTTCTCGGCGAGCTCTGCACGTTCTTCAGGAAGAAATACGCCGCGAGGGTAAGTTTTCTTCCGGATTGAAAATTAAGCCGCACGGCTCTTTCGATCTGTATCCGCGATGGATTCTTCATAATATTGACTATCAAATATTGTCGGCAGCAGGTCAATGCAAAGTTGGTAGTTGGCCCTCGGGGGTGTAAGAAGAAGGTCTATAGGCATTAGCGGGCTTGGCCGCGGATACATCATGTGCATAGACCATAAAATATTTTAATGAACCGGTAAGAAACTATGAAACATGAGACTAAGTAAACCCACGGCGAACGGTCAATAAGAGCAAGGAGCGGGCGACGACAACAGACCTAACACGACATAAGAAAGCATGGGACGGCTGGTGGTAGTACAACACAAGGAATCACCAAAATTACAACGCAAAGAGGTGCGGAAGCCTAGATACTACCCCTCTTCAACCCGAAATGTATCTCACAAATATGACGCCACAGTGAGTCGCGCCGCATGGCACGAACTGTGGGGTTCTTGCACTTGTAGTAGTCGCAACCCTCCCAGTGGCATTTAATCCGCGCTATCTTTGGTCCAGTAAAATGGATGACTGCACAGTGCAACTTTAACGCCTTCAGTGTCCCCGTAAATCCGCAGTGTATGATGGCGTCGTCGTTTAGCCATCGGCAGGACAGGAGGGGAGACGAGGGAAGGCTATGAAGCAGGAATGAATCGGGCTGATTGTCCGGTAGCTGGTTTGAGAGGTAGCCTATTTGTTCACCATGACTTGCCTGGGGTTGCATTACAAATGCAAATCGTGAAGATTCCGCTGCTAATGGTGGAGGTATCATAGGTGTGAACGGCAAGCTTAGATGTCCTGGCTGAGGGACGGCACGAGTCTGCCATGGAGGTGGGAAGGTGTTGTACGGCGAGAAACCGGAGGTGGACATATTATTGTCAAAGATGGAAGGCGAAGGTGTATGATTAGCCACGGTGTACTGCAACGGAGTGGTGGATCGCAAAGAGTGACCATTTTGATACGCCCTGTGTATGAGTAATTATGAACAAACAGCTACTTATACATGGTAGCAAGGAGCATACATTTGGGATATTGATGGAGATGGGTAGCCGCTTCTCATTGCAGGAGAAGAAGAGTACCCGATACTGGCACCTCCTAATACCGGATTGTGGTACTGGGTGTCGTGAAGGGTTAGTGTATTATTCCAGGAGCCATGATTCAGAACAGGTGGAAGCATATTGGTGGTGGTAGAGTAGGAGTAGACAAATTGTGGTGGTGGTATGGCCAATGCCTGGGAAACGGATGTGGAAACGGATTGTGTTGAGTAGTGACCCTGTGTGAAGTTCGGGTGGTTGTGATCGGTGCTGCTCAATGAATCGCCTGACGTCCATGGGCCAACGGAGGGTTGAGTGTGATGGCTGGTCACAGTGTTATATGTCTGTAATGAAGAGAATGGGCAGACTAACTTGGGGCTTAACGTCTCGTGATCTACTGTGTTTGAACGCAACCTTGAGTTTTCTAACTTTGAAGTGGTCAGCTGTTTTTAAAAAATAGTGTGACGGAGAAGGACAGCCTACCATGTCATTGGTGCTGAGGATGCTGCCGGGTGGGTTTATGAAGGCGCAATGAGAGTCGCCATCGAGGACGTCCTGATTGGCCGCAAGTTGATCTGGCATGGGTGTATTGAATGATAGGGCGATGAGAGTAGGCGATGGTTGCATGGTATATAACCTACTGGCTCCAGCGGAGATTCATCCAGGGGATGGGGAGATGATGTGTGCTCTGCAGTCATTAAATAATCATCCTTGAAAGGTGGGGAATGGGGAAGGTTCGAATAAGTACGAAAAATGGCCACCCCGTGGCAAGCCAAGTGGCATGGCATTGGCTACATGGTGACAAAATGTACGCCGATAAGTCCCAAAACAAGTTCCCCACAATTTGCGACCTACTCATATCTCTCCAATATATCGGCGCTGTAGCCAAGCATGGGCATGAGTACATGAAATATGGAATTGCTGTGATGTTATTCCAATGGACTCAACTAGAGAAGGCGTCTATAACAAGTTAGTGTGACCAGGTATTGAAATGATTATGCACTGTACCGTACTTCAGTTAGTATTTTTGAAATATAGGCAAGGATAAATGCCAGCACGGGTGTATGTCATATTTGATGTATTACAGATGTCGTTACAAGGCTCGGAGAAGACGTCCACAATAGGCAGGTGCGGCCAGCTGTAAGTGCTTCGAATATCTTAAGCACATATAATTTCCTGCAAAGGGGAGCATGCAAGCGATTGCTCTAGTTCGAGAGAATCTGGGGGTCTATAATAGATAAGTGTAAACAAACTTGGAACGTCCAACCAAGTTGTTACTACTCATTGAACCCAAGCAAAACTTACTTGCACACTTTTATGGTAGTACAGTGCCTGTACTATGGCCCTTTGTGGTAAGCTGAACTAGTCTTGCAGCAGTCTGGTCCTGAACCTAGGTTTAATCCCGAACTGTTGCGACCGCAACGAATTTTGAATCTGAACTAAGACTAGCTGTACTGAGTAAGTTGCTCAGAAAGCTGCCCTGATATCAGTCTAACGGGAGTACAATGGATGCCGCACCAACACCGATACCGGATTCAGTAAGCTGTACTATCTTGAAGGCCAACCATGGTGCATGATGCATGATGACGATGGTCCGAATATTTGGTGGAAGGGATGGTATTCAAGTTCATCTCCGTGTTTGTGCTTCTTACGGCCAACTTGCGGTTAATAAATCTCCAACTACCCTCTCAGCTGGGTTGTCAGTGATAGATTAAGTTTACGAGTTTGTCTCCGCAGTGCCATTCCTCGCATCAATAGATCTGAGACTGGCTCCACCCAAAATACTGTGTCCATAAAAGGCATATTGAAGTCCGCAGCTGGAGTCAGGTGAAGTCGGGGATGTTCAGTGATTTGATATGAATATTGAGTCACTGATCGGTGATCTACAGCGTGAGTTCATTGATTTTCAACTATAACGCATCGAGTTATATATATTTTGTATATCATGATCAGCGGCCAATATTGCCAGTGGCAGCTTCTGGCGCTGCAAAGTTCATGTGAGACGGTCTTTCAAGTTAGCTAATAGCTATAGTAAATTGATACATCCAGACTTAACTTACTCGAGTATCATAGTCTCGAGGACGGGATCACGTATCGCTCGCTCTCAGTACCATGCATCGGGTGCCCTCGGGGAAGAGTACCTCGGACTTCGACTTTTCGCCCCGTTCGCCCCATTCGCGTCATCAAATACATGCATAAAAATGACTGCGCTCGCACAAAGCCCATTGACGCCCAATTTCATTTCATTCGTTGGGTCATAGAAAAAGGCAAGATGTCGTCCTTGAGTAAGTCTATATCGCAGATGAAGCGAGTAAGGTCGAGAAGTGATATCTGTGCAAGTTCGTGGGGCAAAACTACTTGGCTTTAGGTTTGCCGGTTATAACTGGCAAAACCGGCAATACTTGGCAAAACTCTAGGCGCTTAGCTGGGTTACGTAGACTAAGTATGTGTACGACATTCCTAATGATATTGCCTCGTTCCAGCCGTCACCCTCACCATTGTAATCAACCACCTCAACCTCATCTAGAACAGTCTGGGGTATTATTCCTTGTTCGATCCGATCCAACTTGTCAAAATCAAAAGCATTTTCCTCGAGCACTTCAACTTCGTTGATGCCCTGAATTTCTTCGGTCATTTAGGACCGCCCACAACCAGTTTTGCCAACAATACTAGCCATTACCACGACAGCAGGATAGGACAGTCCGAGTCGGCGGATGATGTAAGACAGCGGGTGCAGACAAACTTTGGGCGGCTGACGCATGGTGGCTGGAAATTCCTGAAAGACGCCGACACAGACCTGCACACAGGCTTGCATGTGGAGTCTGCGTCAAGTCCATATGATAGACTGTCCAATTCCTGGATGTCCTCGGCACAACAATGAGCAAGCGTAGGAAACAAAACAATATCTGCCAGCCCAGGTTAGTGAATTAGTTAATTAGGTGCGGTGGCACGGACAGGAACGGAGCGATCCAATGAAGGGTACGAGGCGAAAAGTCGAGTACTGAGGGAGTCGGAGTAGAGTCTAGCCAAGCGAGTATGGTGCTGTGCCTGTGCCTGAGCTGGACCGCCTAGCAGGTATGTAACACGCTTCATGTGCCACCATTAATATTTCCGTCTATCGCTTGATGTGTTCCAAATTACGTTGACGAGCCCTCAAAAGGTCAGTTTTATCTAAGGGCCTATCTGTCTTCCAGATTCATTGAAATTGCCCCAGCGCCCAATTACCTTATCCCACCCTCATCATTCTATTTACTGCCCCATAAGCCACCGAATAATGAAAAGGATTGGATAGCTTCTGATGGATTCCACACGATTGCCCTATCCCGGATTTTAGAGAAGCTGTTGAAGTGGCCTAAACCTGCCAAACTCTATTACAAGACTCTTTCTCGAGAACTATCACGATGCTGCGAGCAAACACCACCTGCCACTGCCTCTTCCGTCCAAGCCCCTTGGAGCCACCACCACCATTTCAAGTCAGCAATGGACTTAGCACATCTGTTGGTAGGAAAAGTTTTAGTGAGCGCCACCTTGATCGACAAAACCCCAAACCTTTATGGTGTTAATTTTCGTCTGAGCTGTTCTGGTTTGGACAACCAGGTATAACCAGACTCTTTCCGAACGTTCGGTTCAAAACTACCATGATGTCAGTTCTCGACTGATTCAACACTATGCGAATTCAACGGCTTCGGCAACATCCTGCGCAAAATCTTTATAGGTTTGAGACGTCAAGATTTCATACCTGTGTTGATGTGGTAAAGAACGGCTGATAAATGCAGATCAATCTGGATCCGTTGCGAGGGCTTAACAACAGGTCTTCCCACCAGCCCATACGGTTTGTATTCTACATGCCGTTTGAAACCACATTTGGATGGTACTGATTAATGCAGTAGCTTAGACAAGTTCTTTGGAATGATCCGGGAAATTTTCAGTATCAGTGCGTTATATTTACTGGCATTCTTCGTGATGTGCCTGTGGTAACTTTGTTACTTTGTTCAAGCACAGACTCTGTGCAGGGTTCTTTTGGTCCGACGGTGATTGCTCAAGCTTCAAAGAACAGCGTCTTATGGCCTCCCTTGTGAAGCGAATATGACAATCATTTTTGGTTTTCTAATGGCTTCTAACAGGCGGTGATTTGAAATCACCTCTTTCGCACCGGTCACTAACTTATCACCGATCCACCGGGTGAATCCTGCAATTCACCAGCTTGATCAGTCATTTTGACCTCCTAGTTTATAACTGGTGTTGTTATTACCGTAGGGTATAATGGTGAAGATTACAGGTGCAGGGCACCCAGCACCTACGACCACGAGGGTCACTGCCATCGATTGAGGTTCACAGTTCCGTAGTCGTTATTGAACACTGACTTATACCGTCACGTCAGGGCATTGGTTTACTTGTATTTGACAGAAAATATGTGGTTCTGGGATACCCACTGAGACCTAGACTCAGGTAGTGTGCCATTCAAATACCGAATTAATAGAGATTGAAGTATCCCCGAGGCCCGAGCGATACTCAGGCTCAGAACTCACCCAGGGTATTCTCTGTCATATGCTTATCTGACAAGTCTCAGTCACCCCATCCCATGTACTCGTCTGACCTCACTGAGTTTAGCTCAATCAGTGAGATGTCAATGTCAAGATGGCTATCGACGACACTCTCGTACGTACTCATCCCTGCAATCACTCTTCGTTACATGCCTCATATACGTTCTCCTTTGATTCTCCGTCTCAATCAGCGTATTAATACCTCTCCCTGTCGAATATCATTCTGTAGTCTTCACACCCAATCTCAAGTCTTCGTTCTCGTTCCTCGTTCCTAGTGGACACGCCAGCACTGCTCTCTAGAACGAAGGAAGATCGTGTCTCTGCTACTGAACAACACGTGCGCCTGCTACTACCTACAACCAAGACCTCTCGGGAACTGCCGAGCCCCCTGGCACCTCTGTCTTTGTCACCGGCTTGCCTCTGCTTTGCTCTACGCCCGACTCGACTACACCTGCTAAGGTGTACCACTACACTAGTCCGAGCCTCTCCGATTCTTGGGAGTCAACGTACTAATCTCTGTGGTTTGCTAGATAGCAATGCTAGTGGAATAATCAGTACAGATTTTCTTATATCCGTCATATCGAGCTCTGCGGTGTCTGGCAAAAACAGCATTTTGATTCTTAGGACACGTTACTCCGCACACATAAGTTTATATGACTATTGCGTACTTCCCCTCCAGCGCAATACATAGTCCTAGGAACCCTGCCCCCACCTCCTTGTCAAAGAAATCAGACCCCAACATCTCAATCCCGATCCTCGCACTTTGATTCCCTCCTAGGCTTGTCGACCTGTTGGAGTGGTGCAGGCGGGTATTTGGATAACTTAGTTGGCAGTACGGGTAGAGTCTTTGGGCGTTGTCGTCGTAGGTAGCATTCAGGCCACACCAGCTTCTGTCTGCCAGACTCGGAGGCAGACATATTGCCGGCCGCGCCAGTCCACTGTATATGGGCATACATCTCTCCGCGGTCCCTACTTGACACCGCTTTCAATCACCACAGACCCATGCCCACAAGTGGCACTACCGACTCACCGTCAATCCTGTTGCGCCACATCTGTACAGCCATCTTGTGGCTTCCGCGGTTGCTGCATCCCACCTCGACAGACTGGACTAGGCCGCTCCAAGCCAGACCGCCACTACACGTGCAGAGATTGGCAGAGACAGATTCAGTCCATCATATCCCTGAGCGCTGTGCAGTGTGGTCCCCCAGGCCCTACTGATTGATACTGATAACATCGATCCAGACTCGGTGAGGAGCGTGCTCGGGTGAAGTTATTCGAGGCGAAGTAAGCCATCTCGGACCGCTGAGTTTCATCTCATTGCAAATATTAGGCACATCGTATGTGGCATAGACGGGTTTTTATTTTTATTTTTTATTTTTAATTCCAATTTCTGTCCATTGGGGTAAAATACCCTATGTCGGACAGTACTAACTAGTCTAAAGGGCCCCTGCCCTATCTACATCTCTGAATTCGCGAATGCCCCGATGTGAGGCCTTGCCCCCATCGGTCCGCCGTTCCTGCCGGCCGTTTTAGACGCGCAATTCAGTCGAAGGTGAGTTGACTGCTCTCTCCGTTACGTGTTGTTGTTCGTTCTGTCGTGGGTTTTTGTGTTCTGAAGCACGTACTCGGCTGTCCCGGGGGACAGACTTGTATATGAAGCTATGAAAGAAGTGCGTTAGTGATGCGGGTTGGTGGTGTTGATGAGTAGGACGGGTGGCGTTGGAGGTGGTAATGTGTCTGTCTTCGGGGTGAGGGAGTCTCCGTCTTCTTCTTTTCTGTATCTCTTTTCTCCTCGTGACGTTCATACATTCCTCTTTGAATTTCCTCTGCCGGGTGTCCTAATTCCAATCCCATCTCTCGTCTTATCTTCTTATGGCTTGCCGTGGGCCGAGCCTGCGTCTTCATGTGGAGGCGAGTTTAAAATATTGAATATATGAATAAATGTTGAGTCGGGTCGTGGGTCGTGTTGTGATAGTCGTGCGGGGTCATCTATTTTGATATTATACTTGTTCTTGTTCTGCTTGGCTAGTGTCATCAGCGGTCGGGTTGAGAGGGGAGATTCACGTCACCAAATGTGGGTTTCAGTCTTCCGGTATTGTTCACATAGACGGGTTTGTTTTGACGAGGTCGTGTTCGAAATTTAGTGGTAATTCGTAATTCGAAGGTAGTAGAAGGTCCGTCCAAAGTGCATGAAGGATTTGTTTCGAATGTTAGTTCATTCAGCTATGCTTTCATGATCAAACGAGACTAGTGTTCGAAGATCGCTTCAACGATATAGACAACTACTATCTCCGCGGACGTGCCGCGGACATTAAAAATACGCCAAACTAGTAAAGTCTTAAGTCAATTCTCTCCACTCAGGCTGGATACTGAAGGATTTCGTACCATGGCATGCTTCCATCTGTCTAGAAGTTGACAAGTGCTGATGTCAACAGCTAGTGCATAGCTCACTTCATTGACTGCTACTTGTGTTGGACCCTATAACGAGGGACGGGCGTTGATCCTGTAGTTTGTGCCAGACACTTTTACTTCTGCACGTTCTTCAGTGGAAGGAAATGCCATGCAAGCTTAGGTCCTTCAGGGCTTGAAACCGGGGTGCGTTGATCTCTTTCGATTTTTTTTAGTGATGGCTACATGAGTTATTGCAGCAAGTTCTTGAGTCACTCGATTGTTCCTAGTGCGCCAGGAGAAGAATTACACGCATCGGAAAGCCTGGCTAGCCATGTATGAGTAGAACGATGATGTCCGACGGCATGGATCAGGAGCGGTGACATACGTATGTCGTCTACCTTGAAGAGTACATTCCACAGGATAAGTTACATTTGGTGAGTCACGGTTGGGGAAATGAGATGCACCATGTCTAATCGAGGCAACTTGCAAAAGTCTTGGGGATGTGATGTGATTTTTTTTCGCGGTGATCTCCGCATTCCATTGCAAGGCGGATCTGCGGAGATTCGGATATCAGGATTACACTGCCTGCGCTAGCCTAAGATGCGGTCCTTCTGTGGCCAATCACCGTTTTCTGATGCGGAGCCTATGGCCTGAAAATAACTATGGATTGTTGGCTGGTTGTCACGATCCCACAGTATTGTGCACAGTCCATATCTATTTGAAAATCAAGAAATGTTGGCATTATATTAACACACAAGCGATTTTATGTGTGCAACGTGTCATAACGTGGGATGGCAATGTCCCTCGCTCGGTTTTCAATACAAACTAAATTTTCCTGTGTTCTAAAACCGACAGATCCAACATTGAAGAGATCATTAGGCGGGCGTGAACGAGAGTCGTCAAGAAGCTATGCAAAAAAAAAACAGAAACAAAGTGGAGTTTTGGTGAATCAGAAGAAACGTGAGACTCAGTGAACCCATGCTCAAACACACTCGTCGCATCTAAAACGACCGGCGGGAACGGCAAACCTGTGGGGGTACGCCTCATACCAGGGCATTCGCGAGCTCTGAGGTCCAGCGGGGTCCCTAGACTGGATAGCATTGTCCTGCACAAGGTAGTACACTGTGAATGGACGAAAACGGAAGTAAGAAAAAAGTGAACCCATGGTGAACGATCGATGAGAGCAAGGAGGGGGTGACGACAACAAGCCTAACATAACATAAGAAAACACGGGGTGACCAGTGGTGGTGTAACACAAGGAATTACCAGAATTGCAATACAAAGAGATGCAGAAGCCTAGACACTACCCCTCTTCAACCTCAAATGTTTTTCGTAAGTATGGCGCCAAGCGCTATCGCGTCGCATGACGCGAACCGTCGGGTCATTGCGATTGTAGTAATCGCATCCCTCCCATTGGCATTTCTGCGCAATTTTTGGGCCAGTAAAATGGATGGCTTTACAGTGGGACTTTAATTCCTCCAATGTTCCAACGAATTCGCATTGTGTAACGGCATCGTCATTTATCCATCGGCAGGACAGAAGAGGAAATGAGGGATAGCTATGAAGTGGGAATGAATATGACTGATTGACCAATGACTGGTTTGAGGGGTAGCCTATTTGTTCGCCATGACCTGTATGAGGCTGCCATTGATATGGTAAGGCGTTGTATGGCGAGAAATCGGAGGTGGACACATTATGGTCAAAGATGGAAGGCAAAGGTATATGATTAGCCGCTGTATAGTGCGAGGAAGTGGGGGACCACAAATAGCGGCCATCCGGATACGCCCTACGTATGAGTGATTATGAGCAAACAGCTACTTATACATGGTGACGAAGAACATACATTTGGGATGTTGATGGTGACGAGTAGTCGCTTCCCGTTACAGGAGAAGAGGAGTACCCGATGTTGGTAGCACCTTCTAATGCCGGATTGTGGTGGTGGGTGCTGTTTGGTGTATTATTCCACTGGAAGCCATAATTTTGAACAGATGGAAGCGTGGTGGTGGTGGTAGAGTAAGAGTAGGTAATTTGTGGTGGCATGGCCGCTAGTTGATCTGGGCTGGGTATACTGAATGATAGGGCGATGAGAGCAGGCAATAGTTGCGTGTTATATAACCTACCGGTTCCAGGGAAAATTCATCGGGGGGATGGGGGGAAATGATATGCATTCCGCGGTCATTAAATGACCATCTTTAAGGTTCAGGTAAGAAAAAAAATGCTGCAACATAGTAAACCAAGTGGCGTTGCTTATATAGTGATAAAATGTATACCGATCAGTCCCAAACAAATTCCCCGCAATTTGCAATCTATGACTCGACTAGAGAAGGCGTCTATAACAGGTTAGTGTGACCAGGCATCAAAATGACTGGCAATCATTATACCGTATTACTACCTTTGCAATACAAGCAAGGATGAATGCCGGCACGGGTGCATGCCATACTTGATGTAAGATGCATTCGAGGCTCGGAGAAGGCGTCTACAACAGGCAGGTGTGGCCAGCCGTAAGTGCTCCGGATATCGCGAGCAATCGCCTGCAAAGGGGAGCATGCAAGCGATTGCTGTAGTTCGAGACAACCCGGGGTCCATAATAGATAAGTGCAAGCAAACTCGAAAATCCCTGAAATGAACACGTTGATATATGACTTGATGGTGATTGAGGTGGTAGTTCCTCCAAAAGCTAAAGAGATGAATGCCGCTTCCTGAATCATAGCTTTACTGAATCAGAAGAAAAGATTACGGATAACCTCATTCTGGTCATTGCGGCAGGCTCCTTCCCACAGTGAAGCCTCTGTGAAAATCGATCGTTCCGACGGAGATCGATTAAAATCAACTGGATGGACGCCGAAGAACGCAGCTGACGACTGGGCACACCTTGTTCGTTGTGCTTAAGCTTGCGAGGAATTGTTAGCATTATTGTGTTCCATAGATATACGACTCGCAGCGACACTGGTTCGAGTCGATGAAACATGCAGTTAGGTGTTTTAACACTGACTTGTTGCTAAGGTTACTCATCAGGCCCCGTGCCCCGCCTTCGGAGCGTAGGTACTTCACAAAATTTTGATTGGATTCTATCTGGCGGCGCCACATATTAGGATTACTAGGTTAGGGACGTGGTGCAGGGAAGGTTGGCAATGGCGGCAGGAAGCTGATCTTTAAGTAGCACAGGATTGTTGGAGGCGTTGTCTGATGTAACTCACCCAGCCAATCACTGCTTGCGAACAATTTTCAGGGACTACTGGAATTATGGGTCAGGAATTAATGAAAAACATGCACGAACGTCCACAACGTAACTCACCTAAACTTAGTAGTGTTCTGGAAACCCATCTCCATCACATCCTGAAATCTATGCAGCATCTCACAGCACCCGCATTGGTTCTCAAACCCTGTTTGACAGCGGAGAAAAAATAAAGCGCAGCAAAATCAAAACCAAGGTCCTTGAGATGCAGGAAGACGCAGAAAGAAGGTTCTGGAAGGATGATACAGCAGGTGCATAGAAGGTCTTGGGCTGAGTCACGGTTGCAGCAACTTTGTAGGAGGCCACCGGAAGTTCCATATCGAAAAAAAAAACAGAATTTGTCAGGGGATATATGCTGTAGCTATGCCCGTGCCGTAGTAATACCTATTTGGGGGAGGAGCATACTTGCAGTGCGTGGAGCAATTTAGTGAAAGGAACTGTGGTGCTAGAGAGCGGGCGAAGCGTCCGTCCATCTGGCTGCTACAAGGCCACTATTGATACAGGTAGAATGTCGCTAAAGTGTAGTCAAAACCACCAGATATATACAAGGTGCCAGTCGTACCTAGTGTGTCATGGATGGCGTGCAAAAGTCCAGAACTACCATGTCAAACGCGCTCCGCACGCAATGTCCATTTTTCTGCAGTGTCTGAGACCGAGTGAGCATGTCCGGTTGTGAGGAGAGGGGACAGCCAAGAAACGAGACCAGGCCAAAACACGTTATTGAGAATGAGATCTCATTGTCTACAGCGTGCTTCCACCGGGCTAGTGCGAGCTTCAGCCTGAGTGTCGGGAATGAGGGCAGGAAGCGAACATCTTTCGAGACTCATGCATCATGTATGAAAGGCACGCATATACGAAATAACAACAACAGACGAATATTCACCAGCATTTGGTATGTGCTGCATACTGGGTTTCTCAGAGTCGGCAGCTCGACGTGGTTGGCCAGGCTCAGGTCACGTGACCGACTGGTCATTGCGGTTGAGGTTGATGTTGATGTTTAATGTTTAATGTTAACGTCGTTGACCATTGGATGACTTTCTGCAGCGTTTAGAACGTCGTTCCGAATCTAAATCTATCTTCCAAAGTCTTCATGCCGACGTCAAACGTTATTGTTTTGCAAGTTCGCATCCCAAAAATGCCCAGTTCTAAAGTGATATATATCTAGAAGGGGGGTAGGTCTGTGGCACTTATTAGTGATTACGCCCAATTGATTCGAGTCAGGCTTTTTCCGAGCGTTACAAGGCCCCCCTTTTAGATTCAAATGGTGTTCAAGACATGTTAAACACCTCTTAAACGAACCTCAAATTCTGTGACTGAGTATGTTGTAACCGTCGCTTACATGCATTTTGACACCTTAACACTATGCATTAGAATCTAGATGTAACTGGTTTGCGGTCCGGAAAGTATTTCTAGGACAGACCGCTCCCTCACTCTCTGGTGGCCTTACGTTATTGGTCTTCGCGGTTTTATTCATCGATGAATGGACTGATTACAAGTTAGTTGATTCAGAACGTCAGCCGTGACCTCCAGCACACCGCGAGTCCACATGAGAGCCCATATGCGTGCCAGACTTCCTCCCCTATGGAGTGAATCATTATAAGTACGCTGGATATCATGCAGGAGCGTGACATGCGCAATCTTTTCCCCCAGCAGTGCGCTTGTAGCAACTCGGCACGCTATTGTCGGTCCCCAGCTGGATATCCACTGAGGGTGGGTTCAGGACTTTTCCAGTGTTTCACAAACTCAAGACATCGCCTTTGCTCAGTATTGATATCATACTAGTATTTAGGTCACAAGCACAAAGTCACGGTCGACTTTATTGCTTGTCCCGTGCCCATATTGATATTCCTTGCCACTCAGACTGATCCCACGGTCCATTCAGATTCGTTGATGGATCATCTATGAATAATCCGAACTTTGTGGCCAGCGAGAGCAAAATTGCCTCACTCTTTGAATACACGCTCGATCACCGTTTCCGAATCGCTGGTAACAGTGTTTCAAGTCAGCCGCATACTAGTACGCAGAACTTTGCGTGACAGTGTTGCATAACGTCCGTGGTAAACATCTCTCCCGGCGATCAGTATTTTCAATTCTGCTACGTTATCGGATTTGAAACCGGCGTATCGATTTGACACGCAGTGGTACCAGACAATCAATGAGGTGTCAGGGCTGGATTATATCAATGCGTCCGCAGTGATTCCTCCTGTATTGGCGTTATGAAATATCTCTCAAAATGACATGTTGACATTTGGTCAGCCATAATTATCCGCGGGCCAAATCCTCAGTTGAGCAGCCACAAATTACAATCCATGTAGGAATAATTTGGTCTGAACGAGTGATCATCACCAGGATATGTAATCGAAGTTTAGTTCCGAATGCATCCGCCTTCTTCTCGTGTTTTACACTTGTTGAACTATGGGGATATTTATTCCAAACTTGATAGCCTAAGCCCATTGGTAACAAGGATCGCAGAAAATGTTCGTGAGATCATCAATATAGCGCGCACCCAAAATACATCAGAATATCCCAGCAAGACTCTCCTCGTCGACTGCCATGTTTTTCAATATATCTCTAGCTTCTCTCGCAGGTCTTGATATAGTGGAGCGTTCGTTTGCGGCACTTTCTTTGACTTTCAAAGCTACACTGCGTAAGAGCCCTAGTTTAGCGAACAGCGTGGCTGCTGGCTCCAAGTAGTCGTCCGAATCGGGAGATAGGACAGCAAGGATGGCATGCGATGCTAGGGCTGATGGAGGTGTTCCAGAGATCAAGTATGCACTGGCGATGACGGTCAATAGTGAACCTAAATGTAAGTGTTTTTCACTTACTTTACAATCGGCTTCAGTGATTGCGGATTTGCTGACAATGAGGCTATCAACGTGGCTGTTGCCTGAACGTAGTGATCTAAGAGATTCGTTAGCCCAAGGACGAGACCAATCCCAATCCTCAATAAAACTCACCCTCGTGTATTTCCCGGAATGCGTCGTTGACAAGTTCAATGCAGGATTCCCTAGCCTTATCACCAATGCCACCGTGCACAGAAGAACTCTTCACGACGTTCGACAATGCAAGGACGAAGCTAGCAGCAATCTCCTCCTCGCTGGATCTCGCACCAGCAATAAGCTCCGTAACAACAGGATCAACCCTTGGCTGGCTGTGCATGAGGATACCCAAAGCATCTGCTGCACGAGTTCGTACGACGGCAGAGGACGTGTCGCTGATTGCCTTGACAAACGTGCGCTGAAGCTGAGGGAAAAACGGTTTAACGTGACCGGGAATTTTCTCGAGCATGGAGGCCAGTGCACTGAGGATGGCGGTCTTCACACCAGGAGGATATGTGGTTGCTTGTGTTGCAACACGAATGAGGGGCCCAGTGAATGGTACCACGAAAGGTTTGATAGCCGACTCCTCCGTCCGTTCCACCAAGTCTCCGATAGCGTATGCTGCATTTTCACGTTGTTCGTTGCTGCCATTCGTGAGACCAGCAATAATGATGGGGACGGCGGGTGCGACTCCCTTTTGCAGACTGAAACCAGGAACATATCGGCCAGGTGCACCAGTGCTCTCGATCGTCCGGCGCAGGGGGACTACGAGGGACTCCAGCTCATCCTTTGGCACTGACTTGACGAATACATCAAATGCCTGCCAAGCCGCAGTGTGGACTGAAACCTCTTGGTCATCGAAGAGTGAAACAAGCTGTCGGACCCAGTCAACACGGTATAACGACGAATCTAGGTCAGATTCCTCGCAGAACACTGCAAAGAGATTGCAGGAGCTAATCCGCCGTTTTGGCGCATCACTCTTGGCCCTGAAGCAGAAAATAATCAGTAAACGTGCAAGCTTACAGAGCGAAGGCAACTGACCATCCAAGAAGGAGTAACATCAAGGTGTTCAAACCCTCCGGGTCTTCTATTGAGGCTAAAAGTGCACGCACAGCCTCGTCAATAGCGTTCCGTAGTTCATCGTCTTGGTCTTCTTCCAAAACCTTCACTAATGCTCCAAGGATGACAATGAGGCGTTTGCTCAAGGCATGACCAGCAACGGTGACAAGAGACGCCAAAGCTCTGGCATTGAAAACCGTCATAGGCGCGGCAATCAAGGTTGGGATGAGAACAGGGAATACAGTAGACGCCCGGACCTTTAATTGGGTAAGCATATCCTCGTTCACAAAGGAAAAAGACAATGCATACCGACATGACCTCCCTCAAGGCTTGAAGTGCGGTGTCTGAACTTGCACCTGGCTGGCGTAAAGCCTCTAACAAAGTGGGGATCGTCTGGTCAATCGCTTTTGCGCCGAGATGTTCTTGAAGTACATCAAACGCCTTCGCGGCCGCCGAACGTACACTAGCGTCGTCATCCACCAGGGAGGCACGGACCATGTTAATGATTTCGTTTTCGTGGCCATCACGTTGTGCATCGGATGTGCTCTCCCTAAATGCCGTGAGACGCTGCAAAAGAAGAGAAAGAAGCGTCCTTACATTACGTCGCACAGCATAAGGCAGACACCTTCACGGGTACGAATGTCAGGAGAATGCGACTTGGCATGAAGAATTGAGAAAATTTCGCCCAGAACCTTCTCGCCAGACTTGCGGCTTAGCTCCGCAGCGGTACGAGTGGCAGTCTTGAAGAAAGGGATGAACAAATAGATATTTGATTACACCGGATAAACTTACCTCTTGCTGTTCGAACTCCTCGCTAGAGTACAGTTTCACCAACTGACTGACAAGCTCCGGGAGAATTTCGCGTACTGTATCGTCATCATCAATTGCGACCACTAAACACATCCGCGTGACTCACCAGTGCGGGGTGTGTTGTGCACGAGTGCCTTCCAGATGTGAATAGAAGACTGACGAACAACGTTGACTGCATCTTGCCTTGCAAGATACAATGCCGATAGAATACGGTTACGACGGTCCTCTCCAAGAACATCTGTGAGCGCCCGGCGAGAAGATTCTACGACTGCAACTTCAGCCACTTCCTCTTCCTCTTCAACTTCAGCCTTTCCACTAATGCCTGATACCTTGAATAAGAGTTCTCCAACAAGAGTGATCGATGATTGCTGACGATCGGTGGTAAGGTCCTGTAAAATTATCCTGCAGAAAAGTACTCACCCTAATGCGCCAGCCGGCATCGAACATGCCCTGTTCAAGTTCAGGCAGGAGCAAGTCGATCGCCTTGGTGGAGTAATTGGTAACAATCATCCGCCCTGCTCGCATAGCAGCTTCCCGAACGTATTCTTCCGTGTCAGACAGTCCGCTCAAGATGGGGGATATGATTTTCGGTAAATGTGGTTGGAATCGAGCGCCAAAGGTAGCCGGTAGATACACGAGGAGAGACATGAAACCTTCCCTAACGGTACTCCGAGGGGACTGCGCGTTGGCGATGATGTCAGGGAGAAGGCCTTCAAGCCGTTCCATGCCGAGTCCGGACAGCACTTCACTGAGACCCTGAGCCGCTCCTTGTCGATCAACACCTGAGGTGTCGGTCTTAAGTGTTCTCAAAAGTCCGGGAACAACGTCGGGAAGTGGCCTTCTCCAAGACGTTCAACAAGCGTCCCGAGCGCTTTGGCAGCAGTCGCGCGTGCTTCCGGCACAGGATCAACCAGAACTAGATGCACCAACGGCAAGAGCGAAGACAAGTACGGCACGAAATCTTTAGAGTCCGTCAAAGATGCAAGATTGCCAACAATTTGGGCGGCTCTCTTCTTGCCCTCCGTCCCTCGTTCCCGTAATCCACGCTCGATAATGGGTATGACCTGCGAGCCATAAGCTATGAGAATAGCAATTTGAAGCAGCAGCTCACCAGCGCCAGAGAAGAGTGATCGATGTAGTGCATGAATGATGTTTTTAGGAGGGCTGATAAAGCGTTTGTCGTCTTCGCAGGATCCACAAGCGCCTTCAGTAGCGTCGGAACAAGAGCCTGTATCTCGGGGTTGTTGATGACTTCTCCAAACTGTTTTAGACTCTTGTTGGCCGCGGTTTTGACTTGAGCATGGGTATCCGTCAGAACGCCAGTAAGGCGCGGAATGACGATGGGCAGTGAGAGTGATAGTTGTCGGGGCGAACAGTAGGCCATCATGCCCATCAATTCAATGGAACCCTTTTTGGATCTCCACTGTTTCTCATCCAAACCAGACAATAAGGAAGGGAGAATGAGCTTGACACCATATCCAGACATATTACCCATGATTACCCTTGCTGCATCTTGAGCAGCCTCGCGTACGTCTGCTGTCGTATCGCCGAATGCAGTCAGGAGAATGGGGAGGATAAATGTGATGTAGGGCTCGAATAGTCGACCAAGTGTATTCGACAAAGTTTCGAATGCAAACATTGCACCTTGACGCGTTTCGAAACGCTTTTTGTCCTCGGTAGCTGTCCGAAGGCGGTTGATGACATCGTATTCTTTCATGGCACCTACTCCCAAACCCTTAATGGTACCTGCAAGACCATAGGCAGCTCCCCGTCGACTGGCATATTTCGGTCCATCGAAGAGTTCCTCGAACAAGTGATCAACGAGCTTGCGAACGCCCGGGCCCATGAGCTTCACTAAAGGGACAAGACAGTCAGAAACAGCTATTTGGACTTGTTCTGCCGGAGTCTTAAGAGCTTCGACCAGTCGGTCGACAATGCTGGGAATGCGTGTGTCTGAGGCATCGAGATGCCTGGCGACGCGCCCGAACAGAATGACAACGGCTTCCTTGATTTGATCTCCAGTTTCGTTCGCAGGACTCGGGCCACTTAGATGTTCTTCAAAAGTCGAGAGTAGTCCCGCAAGCCGTTTTGAGCCATGAATGTCGATCACGGCAGTTCCAGCCCGAAGCATGCCGCGGCGCACATCCGGTGACCTGTCACCTAATGCTTCGTCCTTAATCAAAAATACGAAGAATGGTTCAATCTGGTCCTCTGTGAATGACTGAGCCGAGTGCTCAAATGCAAGGGCCACCGCCACCCGGGTAGTCCATGGATCGGAGCGATCGAGGCTAGAAGCGATAACCATGCCCTGGGCACCAAATGAGGACCACAACCAGAAAGTTTAATATGAATATGACACTAACATATTCGTCGAACTCGGGTGCAAGAATTTTAGCCTTAGAACTGGTTAGAGCCGAGCACGTAAAGAAGGATGAGGAGTTATACCTTCTCCCGGTAGAATTCTTGTAGAGCAACTATGGTCAGTGCGCTCTTTCGAGGCCAATAGATCACAGCCTCCGCAATGGCCGATGCCGTGCTGGTTCGAACGTACGCGTTGTTGTGCTCTAACAAACACGTTAGGATTTGAGGTATATAAACATGAACTGCATACCCAGATAGTTCATGAGCTTATCAAGGAAATCTTCTGGCACATCCAAGCCGTTATCCTCCCACACGTGATTGGCGAGACGAGCGTTCTGCTCGTCATCATCATGACAGGCTATCCAAAGTTGCGGAGACCAATCAAGATCAGTTAAATCGAATGGCTGTGAAAATGATGAGTAGAAGTAGCACAAACTGCAAGCGAACTGACCTGGATAGCTTGTAGACAAGCATTCCTAACGTAGACCTCTTGCAATAGTGTGCCATCAATGAGCACACCGACCTCAGCGCGGGTTGCATTCGACTGCACAGCCTCTCCGAGGTCAATGAGAACAGATGATGCTTCCTTGCTAAGTCGCGGTTGATGCCTTATGACGTGGAGGACGTGCTCCATGGTTGCTTTTCGAGGAAATGCCGCATCCGAAACTGCAAGAACATTAGAGATGCATCAACTCCTATACCAAAGACAAACATTCGCTGCAATGAAACCTGATGATGTCAAGCACGAGAGTTACTTGCTCGAGTGCTTCATCGCCATCATCTTGGCCGGCGTCTACACCACCTTTCAGCAGCACCTGTGCAAGGAGTGGAAATGCATAGGAAAAGGTTGCAGCATCAAACGGAGTTTGTTCCGATAGCGATCGCAGACGATAAAGAACGCGTAGCACAAGAGCTGGAGAATTGTCAATATACAACTTGTTTTTCGGATGACAGACAAAAACTCACAGCTAAGTTGCTCAGCCTGCAGTTCTTCGGGCACCGATGCTATCCCAAGGCTTCGCAATGTCGCCACACCAACCCACTTGTGAAATGTGTCTAAACGTGCTGAGCAGCACTTGGCGAGGTCCTAGTACGGAAGACATAAGTGCAAACCGCACGAAGGAAACCCACAGAGACATACCAAATAGGCTTCAAAAGCTTGCGACCCGACAAGCCTCGACCCCTGACGCATAGCTCCCTCCAACAAGAGCGATAAAATGAAGGAAACATACATGCGCAACTCGGGGACATTGATAGACGCTAAACTCTGAATATACGACAGCCCTCGTTGCAGATTGAGTTTGATAGCGGTGACTCGCTGCCGCACAACTGCTTCCTTGTCCAGCTGTGCTTGTACGAGTGCTTGAGCTTGTTTCGAAAGCGTAGTTGTCGCACCGCCCTTCTTGTTCGCAAGCGATTTACGAAGCTCGGCCTCCCAGCGGGCAATGTCAGCGTCTTTCCCCTTCTTGGGACCTTCCTCGGCCTTCTGAGAGGAGAGAACTACACAGCAAGAGTACAATGAATGTGGCGTGGTTCTTATGATTCATTTACTCACCATCTACGTACGTCATGCCTTCTGGCGTTTCCCAGATACCAAACTCAGCCTCGGACAGTGCATTGATTGTCGAAGGGTCGATGTCGGCACGTAACTGTTCCACGATCTTCGGTAATACGCTTTCGGAACATACAAACGCCAATGTGCTAATTGCTTGATAGCTCGCGTCCGCAAAGCCAAACTTAAGATCAACAAGTCATGACTGTTAGCGCGTTTAGGGAATATGGAAATACAAAAATACCTTCAAATCGATGGTGGATGCTGTCAAAATGCTCGACATCGCCTGGTCAACACGGCGAGAGATTAAATCGTGCGGGTCCACACCAGCCTTCTGGCACAACTCGATCCATAGCATGCGGGATGGAGGACCTAATACAAAACGTTCAGCGGCAGTCGATAGAACAAGGGACGAGGAAGCTCACAAACGACAGAGTGATGTGCTAGAACAATGAGGTCTACTAGTTGATCGTCTCTCTCCTCCGCACCTGCTTCTTCCTTATTACCGCAGCACAGTAGCAATGCTGCATACCTTCGCCGATTGTCTGGAGCAGATTTTTCCGTTTCTTCTTTCACTGGCGCGCTCTTGACAACAGCCGACTTCTCTTTGATCAACGAGGCTGTCAGCGTTTCACGCAGGATTGGAATGACAAGCTGTGGGAGTAACTGAACAGCTGCTTCGATAGTCCGAATCGCTACCCTGCGAACTTCAGATGACTGCGAGTGAATGGAGAGATGAACAATGACGGAGCCGATTTGCAACCTATGAATGATGTCAAAATGAAAGAAGTAATGGAAGACAATTATACTAGCCGTAATTGCTCGCTTTTAGCCAGCTCGTTCTTCAAGCGGAAAAGAGATAGGTTCGCGGCACGTAGAAGCCATAGCTCGTCTTCTACGTCAGTCAATTTTTGATATATTTTGTCCGAGATGATGAATGATGGCTTGGCTTGTGTGCCAGTCAGAATTTCGATAGATACGTTGCGAGCTATGATATCGCCTTGAAGAAATGAGTACAAAACGCAACCTCGACCGAAGAGAATGAACGTACCAAACTTTCCCGTGTTTGTCAGGGGACCCATGAGCAGAGCAAGGGCAACATACCCCTCCAACGGGCCAACCGCTGCAGTTAGAGGATTTGCAGTCACAACCTTCAGGTTAGTTTCAAGAGCACTTGTGATACCCGTTGAAAAGGCCAAAACGGCGTCGGTGTCGACCGTGTCGACGTTCCAGAGCGCCGACCCAGTGATAGACACAAAAGCTCTCCTGATGACGGGTTTCGTGTTGGTCATCTCCTTCGCAATCACAGTCGTCGCGTCTGCAGGTACTTCCATATTTGCCTTGAGGATGAAAGTGAGATGTGCCGCCATGATCGATGCCAGCACCCCAACGGCCGCATCATTCGTTTCCTTCACGAGCAGCTGAGGTACATTCTGGACGACCATGGCCGAAACCTCAGCGCTTGGTGGCATCGTGGCGAGCATTGCATAAAGCGTAAGTCGATGCTCTGGGCCTGTAGTTTTACCAGTCTTGGGCAATGTCAAAACATCCGTGAGGGCTGCACCGACGCTAGTAGAGTCGATGTCTTTGGAGATCAGGACCTTAAAAAGCCCTATGGAATTTGTGCGCACAACAGGGTTGTTAGACTTAGCGGAATTGAGGGAGGCGGTGAGGAGTTTTTTGAATGTGGCAGAGTCGAGGTTATGAGAGTACGCAAGTAAAAAATCTGCGATTACTGCAAGCAGTTAGTGAGAAAGTGACGATACTGATGTACATACGTACCACTTAGTGAATATTCTGGTGATCGTAAGAGTGCCTTCTCCATAGCTGGTAATACAGTTGCAGTTAGATCGCTAGAGGTTACACAAGTCCCTATGAAATCATGAAGCGCGCTCTACCATGACGCATGTTGAGACCTGATATCAGGTAACAGTATATAGACACCTTACAGAGGAGTGCGATGGAACAGGATTTTTGGACATTACAACGCAAGTCGTATAAAGATTGAGGATGTCATTCTGGTATCACATTCAGCGGATACCACACTAGAAGAGTACGCTTCTATTACCTTGATCGCAGAAGGAATTTGGGTGAGCGATTCCTCCTTCACATTTTTCAGACGAAGTGTCACATCCACAGCAGTGCTCAGCAACGAAATCTGTACGAGAGGAGTTTGGCTAGATTTTGCTTGCGCTACGAGTGTCGCCATGAGAGTGGGAAGCTCTTCCGGTGTAGACCGAAGGGCTCTGCGTGTACGGACAAATGCACTTTTCTGCATAGTTGGTTTTGTTCGCGTAGAGCGGTTAAGCTGCATATCGAGAAGCGTCGCAAAGATTTCGACGAGCACTTTCCACGGAGGGGAAGAAGTAAAGCCAGGAGAAGATCGTAGACACGTCGCATAAAGCCCGCATGCCCAGCTCAAGAGAACGAATATATCTGCAGGTGCGTATGTGCTGATACGCCAATATCAGCCACCATCTAAAGGTGAGAGATGAGAACCGGACCTTGGTGAACCACGCTTAACTATGTGGGATACTTCATTCGCAAGCCATCCTAGCACTTGCTCCGTGACTCCCAACTTTTGGCCAGCATCAGCTGTCTCATCCTTCTCAATCAACGTCATTCCCACTTCCTCGACAGCATCGCGAGAAGGACCATCAACGTATCGGGGGTATGTTTGTGTCAGGAGTTTAAAAACATCCATAATCTGCCTTAGGCTCAATCCTTGAAATCAATCTGAAATTACAATGTCGTTCGACTACTGTGAACTGCAACACATGCCTCCGTTGGTCGCAAGCCATAAAAGTTCCTCCTGTAAGAATTGCAGGCGTATTCTGGTACTGCTGGTCAAAAGTCTTCCCTGAGCGATTTGCATAGCTTTTGCCCAGTCCTCCTGTACGAGATCTCTGGTCCATGATTGTCCGCTCGAATCCTCACCATCCATCTCGTGTGACGGGTTTGTGGAGACTAACCACGACTCGATATCGGTTTTGCCTGAGGACTCCGATCGGCCTAGTCTCTTGAGCTTTGTAAATGGCGCTTTGTGAGGCAGGATGAAATCACAGGTCAGTATGTAATGATGCTAACGATATTCTCGTACTTGTCTCTGCGAGATCAAGAAACTTGGAAGTTTGGAGTCACGTGAAGATAAATCCAAATGAAAAATCTTGCGAAATGGAAAAACATTAAGTACATTAAGTAATTAATTCGCACACTAACCCAATTTGATCTTCGATCGAAGCACGGAAGCTAGGAGAAAAATGCGCTTATAACAAGAGCCTCAATCAAGACATGGCGTAAGTCTCTTGATTTCTCACCACATCCACTCGTCGCTCCTTTACCTTTGCATCCAGGCAGGATTATATCACGCTTCGCGACTTGTCAAGTGGTCAGTCAAATCATTGACTACTAGACCTAATACAGCATATAGTCAAACCGTATGTGCTTATACGACATTCGGGAGCATGCTGGCAGTCAACTCACTTTTAATAAACAGATAATTCCACTCCGTTGACTGTTTCTATCCCCACTCGTTGTCAACTTGTGTCCGAAAATTGTCCGTTGTACAACTTACCACTTTACATCCAGTGAGTCATTCATACTGAATAATACCTTACGAGTAGTGAACCACAGGTCAATCATAGATTGAAGCACTATTTATGTCTTTCAACAATGACGCAAGTCCCACCGATACTGCCATCTCTCCCACTGAGACCGAGACGGGCCTTGACTTCGGTCCTCCGACAGATGGGCATGTTGTAGCCATAGCCGTGACCGTTGGCGTTGTCGGTGTATTCCTTTTTGTACTCATCACATGGCTTCTCCTGCGCCTGCGTCGCGGACCAGCTGATGAGGTTGATGCGGCTCCCTCCCCCCGCATGCGGCGCATCTTCACATCAGATAATACTCGACCCTCGACCGAGTCCAAGTTCAGTTTCAGTAAGTTTCCCGCTGCTCAAAAGAAAAATATCATCCTTATGGTCTTTGTTTCAGTGCGGAAACCGATGCGAGTGGCTCACCAGCAAGATGATGGTTCTTGGGACTTTTCGGACCCAGACCCGACACAATTATATGTACCCCCCGCTCCGAAGTGTCAGCTCTCCCCGCTGTGCGCACCACCACGCTCCAATCGCTCTAGTATATACAAGGGCGAACTGTCCCCAACTGACATGGATCTTGAGGCTCCTCCACCTGCTTACTGCGTAGATGGAACTATGTGGTCGATGTGTACCCCTCCAACAGAGCAGTCCGCCCCAAGCCATTGCCTACTAGTTTTGCTCGGTTATTCTTACCTTCACCTTACCGTTGTTCCCATTTTTGTCACCTTTGATACTTTAATTTTTCTGTATTTCGAACTGTCTTTCGTTAGGTGCACTCGTTTGTGACTTGTTATGACTAATTCGCCATACAGAGAACCTGGTAGCACAGCTCAACATGGCACACGACTAAGATCGTCGATATGTATAACCACACTTGTACTTGTACTGCATACAACTTGTGGTTAATATATCAAAGATCTGTGTTCTTCTAAATAGCGTTATCAAATGGTCAGAAAGTGAGGGAAAGCACATTACACGGCCAACAAACTCCAACACATGGCGGATTTCTTCGTCGAACGAATATCAACGGACTTCACATAATGCATCAAATTTCAATTTCAAGTTCCGTTCATATACTGCATAGACTTCAGGTAAGTAACAAGTACTGCTGCCGTTCTCTCTTTGATCTCAAAGGGGCGGGATCAGACTCGCCGCAATTCTGCATGATCAGGAAAATAAAGAAACTGTGAGGTATGATGCGTGATTAGGTACAGCGGTGAGTTATACAAGAACATGCAGAGAAACCCTGACAAAACAGCGAATACGCAGGAGGAATCAAACACAATACAGAAGTCAACCGATGATATCCTCGTCATCAGAAATGGCAGAGTTTCGAGCGGGAGAGCTGTGGGCCCTTTTCTTCATTGCGGTAGGCGATCCAGAGACTAGATATCAAAAATGAGATGGAGCATTCAGTGGAACACAGAGCACGAACCAGTAAATGTTCGCTGACGTTTTGAAGAAGGACCGGAAATCTGGGACTCTAGAGTAGTTTTTGCGTCAACATGGTCCTTTGTTCTGGGAATCTTGAGATGAACGGCCGCCCTGATGTCGCGAGACAAATCTGGATCCGCCGCCATGCTGGAGTTATGGAGATGAGTACTGCTGGACTTGAGAGCCTGATGCACATGTCAGTTACATGGAGGGAATCTGTTCCTTCGGTAGGCTATCGAGTACTTACATGTACAAGGGTGTCCAACGCCTTGGCAACCTCCGAATTCAACGGGCTGTCCTTTGCAGTTGTTCCCTGAGCACAAGCCATATGTTCGACATATGTGACGAGGTCTGTTATCGCATCCTGATCCCGCTGCTCTAGCTGAATCTGTTGTAGCTTCGACCTGAAGATCCGTCTATATTAGCGGACGTAATGGGAGTGGTATCCTTGGGAATCTCTATGCCATCCCACCACTGCCATGTTTCGCTCGTCGCAAATTTGCCACCAAGTCGAATATGAAAGTTCGGTTTCATCATTGAAACGAGAACATCTTCGAGTTGCTTTCTGAGGCCAGCGACGACGGAATCCGCCAAGATTACGGTTCTGTACCCCCTTGCTTTGCGTAATTCAAGAAATACTGCCTTGACCAAGGGTTCGATATCACGCTTCGAGTTCTTCAGTGTTTTGTTCCGCCAGTCCCATTTCGTGACGCGCATGGCATAGGCACCACTGCCCCGGATACAGTGTAAGCCCCCTTTTGAAACATTCTTCACTGATGCAACGAGCTGCTTGAACGCTTGTTTCTCATCTCCTGGAAGTTTGTCAAAAGCATTATCGATCTGCATAATGTCTTTTGGACGGTCCTGTTGAATCTCCTTCTCGCTGATTGTTGACATCGTGTTGTGAAGGTGGAAGATTAGAGTGTTTCGATGCTCCCATAAGAAATGACATAGCTTCCACGGCAATCGTTAGCGAGCAGCTTGTGATACATGCACTTATCATACCTGCAAATCTGCGTCTGGTGCATAGATCCTTACTACATGGTTTACCACATTGTACACCATAACTTCACTATTATCGTCCATATCGTGACTCTTGGCGCGAACAAAAGGGTAATAGTCGAGAAGGGGCTCAAACCACCTGCAGATCTGGTGTTAGTTAGCATGGTACTGAACATAGAGACTGGTGATAGATAGAGAACCACATACTTCAATGAAACCTTCCTTCACAGCATTGAGCGATGACCATGCATAATCCAGCAACCAAGCAGACAACAGGGGAATAGGTATATTGCCTGTAATATCCTGAGGTGACAACCACACGGCAATACGAGCTGTTATTCTGTCATATCGTCGCATGATGTCATCGGCCTCGATAGTGTCGCTGCTCCCTTCCAACCATTTTGCTCGCAAGAATTTTACGATATTGAAGCGGTAGTCATTCAAAGCATCCAAGTATGCGCCAGTCTTCTCACCTATGTCAGTGTGAATGTGCGCAAATGCATCCTTAGCATGATTGCTGATATTATAAAACACATCATTGAAAACTGCAATGTCTGATGCGCCCTGTGAGTTAGTGATCTGAGTTTTCCACAGGGCAATTTGTTTCTGAGCTTCAGCGCCCTCAGGACCATCAGCAGTAGCCTGTTCCAGGGTGGTGTCCACAGTCTTATAATCGGGAAAATCATCATTGGACGCCAATTTTTTCATGGTCTCAGCCTGCGACACAATAAATCGAAGGTAAAGCTTTATAACACGATGAACAGTGGTATTAGCACCAAACAATAAAGAAACCCACCCCCATCACCGTACCAATAGATTTCTCCAGCCAAACGACAGAAAACTCCCGCCGCTCACGAAAGTGACGACCAAGGGGGAGAAGCACGAGCGCTAGGACTAAAACGAGCTTTTCATAACTGAGGACCTTTACCATGCGTGAATTGCGGCCCAGACATCTGCGTTCTTGTGCAAGTTTTGCTTTAGCACTCTCGTAAGATGGGTCATTTGATGATGATATGTGCGCCTGGAGAATTTCTTCGAGTATGGCACTCAAAGCCGACTCTTCGGACATCCCGGTTGTGCGTGAAACAACTGGGATTTGTATAACAGAAGTTGTACCTAGATGGGATTGTTTGGCAAAAGCTTCTGATCCAAACAACCCTTTCGAAATCGCAAATTTTGAGGAGTAAACGAAAGCCAGCCGAAACAGCTACACCTCATGACCACTTCCTGTCCTCGTAACCGGTAGTGCCATATTTTTTGCTGACCGTCCGTTGTGATATTTTGTATGCCATGGATTCAGACTCGGATTCAGGCTTGGACTTTGAGGGAACTAGTGCGCTTCCCCGCGTGAACCGATTCAAGGTGCTTCAAACTTTGTCGAGCTCGTTTCTCTGATTGACCGTGCATCTATTAGCACCAATCTTACAAGAAAAGTCCTCAAGGAGGTCCATCTACCATCTGCTCTTGACCTTACGAAGTTCGATCATGACATCTCGGTGAGTTCGAGGTTGGTTCAATCGGTTCACCTGGATTGCTCAAACAGGTCCAGGACAACGAATCCCACTTTTACCTAGCTCTTCAACAATGGCGCCAACTCAATCTTTCCCCAGCGTTTGTTCAGTTCGCGAACAAGGTTGACTCACTCTCAATATCTATGCCCATACTCTTGCATAACTGGAAGGAGATTATTGCCTTATGGAATGGTGCTTTGGATGCATCAGACAATGAAGCTTTAATAGCTCTACTCGAGTACGGCCCTCATCTTAATAAATGATTTAATATTCTCTAACCGCACAACTTCTTAGCCTCCTGAATAAGCTGGCTCACGATCTACGAACCACTCTTGCTCCGTCATACGTGGATTTGCTAGAGGTCCTCTTGCGACTTCTGCCACGACCTATATCAGCACCTTCCCTTACAGCTCTCCTGGCAACACTGTCAGGACTATTCAGGTATCTTCTCGTACCGTCAATCAATCTCGATCTTTTGGACCAGACATGGTCTTCTTTTCGCGCGGTACTTCCAACCTGCAATTCTGATGTTCAGCGCGCCGCAGCCGAGGTGTGGGGTTCCGTTCTCCGGCGGCTGAAGAGCGTTGCGAGGGAGAGAGCTGTGATTTTGATGGCACAGAATTTGGAAGGCGTCGAGGATGCCAGCGCGTGGATGATGATCTTCGCGTGCAAAGTGCGTGCGCTGCTTGCTTTTAGTTGCTAATTCTAATGAGCCTGCAGTCTGTTTCCCAAACCTTGCACACCAGTGCAGGATCATCCATGGCCTCTCTCATCGACTGTCACCTGACAAGTGATCACCCCGAGTTGACGTATACTCTCCTGCGGCGTGTACTAACCGCCTTGATTCACCACTGTAATGGCCCGGAACACTTTTCGATTGTTGCCAGCTTGATCGTTGATCGCTTCTGTGCTGTGTCGCAGGCTGACGACACAAACCACCAGCATCTTCAACGTGCCATGCAAATCACGTCTGTCATCTGTGCAGTTCGTCAAGGATCGCGACTGTCCTGTATGTCGTCATTGTTTCTCAGTCTTGCGCATCCGTTGAACTTTGCACCCGTAGCAAACCATCTAACACAGCTGGCCTCGAGACTGGCGTCACTACCGCTTGATGTGCCTCTGCATTCCGAGATCTTGAATTTTGCATCTTCACTCCTCACTGCTGGCGACATGTCGATGTCCACAGGGCCAGGACGTGCATTTGTCGCTCGGGCTCTTGGTGTTCCTTCATTCGGCTTGATGCTCTGTGGTGTCCTCGCGGAGCTAGGATGGGGCGGTTGGAAGCTTGTCGGGCTACCCGCCCTTCTCAAGGCAACCTCTGGCCTCCTCCAGGCGGAGCCCACCCTCACGTTACGTCTTCTCGCGTCTCTGCAACATTCTGGGAAGCTGGGTGAGGTCGATATCGTCTGGAGACGAAGCGTTGATAGCTGGATACAAATCTACTTATCTAACTGGGAAATCAGTGACGAGTCGGTGGATGACTTGTACGACATCATGAGTCTCTCCATATTCGTCGACTCATTGGCGCCCTTGTTGGTCCCCATCATTGAACGCGCACTGAACACGACGACACCCGAGGCGAATTGGCAAGCATCACATGCCAATGCGGCCTGGGTGATCGGAACATGCATGCAAGCTTTGTCTCGATGCAAGTCAGCTTCCTGGGAAACGCAAGTGGATCTGTCCGCCTGGATGATGGAGATCGTAGAGCATTGGTCGTGGTCTGACAAAGTATTGATAGGTCTAGTCGCACTTCTCGAAACATGGTAATTCCATGACCTTATTCTGGTTTATTCTTGCTGACACGAGATAGCCCTTCTTCATCTCAGTCTCTTCTAATCACTCAAATATATTCCCGTCTGCAATCACGGTTACTCTACCCTTCTCGGCCATTGCGTTCAAATGTGTTGGGGTTATTGACATCGAAGATGGTTAAATCTTCTCCCGCGGAACACGAGGCACTGAAGCGCTGTCTGCAGGGCGACGAAGTGTCCCTTGACATGCATGGCGTGCGCGAGCGCGTTCTTCGAATAGGCAGATTATACCAGGTCGTGAGAGATGATGATTCACTTTCCGTTGATATCTGCGTCCGGTGGCTCGTTTGTATGTATACTATTCCATTTACGCAGCACTTCGCTGATGTCATATTAGCTCAACTGAAGGTCAACTTACGACCGATATGGTCCCCAGCGTCACAAGCTCTCTCTTCTTTAGCCCAGAAGTTTGGTGATGTCGTCTGGAATATCGTATTCTCGGAGCTACAACAACCCGAGGGAGCCAATCAAATTCCTGAGTGGCTGACTGCTACCAAGGATGATCAAAATGACATGGATCCTTGGGAAGACGAGCGATCTTGGAGAGACCCCACCGCACATCGTGTTCGGGGTGCCGCTGTAAGTTGGCTAGATAAATATCACCACCGCAAAATTATCATTTCAGTAAGTCTTCTAGCTAGCGCTTTAGCTAGCCTCCTATTAACGATGGGGCATAGGAACAAAAATCGTCTGATCGGTTTGATCCTGTCACGTTCGAAGCTCAGATCCTCCTTACTCTCGGACAATGCACATCTCTGGCGGAAAAACATAACCGCGAGTTAGTGACGTACTTCATCTCAATCGCAGGCCCGGATGCTCCATCACGATTACCGAAATATAAGCTTCAGGCGTGGTTGACGCTGTTCAGCAAGTTCAGCAATCCAAAGGCTTTGCACTCCACAGGTACTCTTCGAGAACTGTACCGCTCCCTCCTATCCTATCCAGATCGGGCACTGCAAACGGTGTCTTTATCCTGTTTGCTCGCGTATAAGTCGCCCCACCTCCAGCATCACGAGTCGAAGTTGGGTCTACTACTCGACGAAACTAAATGGAGAGACGAGTTGACGTCTTTGCATATGTCATCGGTAGAGATCAAGGACCGGCCCCAAGTAGTGGATATCATCGTTCGTCTGCTGTATGGCCTTATGTTGGAAAAGAAGGGTCGCTCTAGAGGCAGTGATCGCCGAGCTGCCGTGCTGACAGCACTGGCAGGATGCACAGACGAGGAACTCCATCTTCTAGTGGATCTGATGTTGAACCCAATGCGATCGGACAGCCATGCTCACCAGGACAACCTCTTCTCTCCGCGCCCTATTTCCCCAGACATCTCGTTGAAGCAACAGTCTGGTTACCTGACTTTGTTGGGCGACGTGCTGAAGAACCTTGGGTCGAGATTAACCGCATATTGGCCGGCTCTACTCGGGACCACACTTGATATAGTTGCTAATGCTCAGAATCATTTGTCGAATGTGACGGCAGTCGATGCGGATGAGCAGGTGGATGATGAAGCGGACGAAGAGGAGAGCGAGTCCGGAGAGGTATTGAATTCCAGAGTTTTACGTTCTTTGAGGCAACAAGGTCTCAAGCGGCTTGCCGATTTCTTTCGCTGCCCCGTCGAATTCGACTTCACGTCCTATCTCTCTGCATCATTTCCCGCTATTGTGGCTCCACGTCTGGAGTTATTGGATCAAGAAAATACTCAAGCCCCATCCGCGCTCCTGGAATTGTTCTATGTTTGGACTAGTCAGCCAGACTATTCGATCCATCTCGTACAACACGACTCCCGTGTACTGCCAAAAGTTCTCGACTGCCTTGTGGCGGTTAATGTCAAGCCAGCAGTGATCAACAGAGTCTTCGATATCGTGGAGCGCCTGCTGTCGTATTCTGCGGACGACAGTAAACTTTTGGATCTTCTAATTCAGCCACATATATCGCAGTTGCTCAAGAACCTTACAACTTTGGTCGAGCGCACGAAGGCCGATGCAGTGCTTTCGAGTCCAATCACTCAACGCCAAATCAGTATACTTTCGGAGGTCGCTCGTTACGCTGAAGATTCTACGCAGGCCTTGACTCTTCTCGGCCTTCTCTCCCCTTTGCTGCGCAAATCCAGCAGAATCATATCTGAGAAAATCAAAGTCAAACTTCTCAGCACCCTCGGCCATATATTCCCTCTCCTGACCGAGCTGTCAAATTCCTCCTCTGTCGAATTCTCGAAGACATATGAGCTTCTTTCGCAGCTCTTTATGTCGCTTCGCTTCACCGCCTCTCGACTCGCCCTCACCTCAGCTTTTAATCAGCTCTCAGTGATTAATCCGAGTATTCAAGAACTTGCAAGTCTGCTTGAATCACTCAATGCCTGCTCGTCAAAGCGAATTGATGAACCCGACTTTAATCGTCGGTTAACCGCATTCATGCTGCTCAATGAGCAGAAGTACGCTGCGTTATCATGCCGTGAATGGCTCCCTGTCCTTTCGAATGCCCTTTATTTTGTGCAGGACGCCGACGAGTTAGCCATCCGCAATAACGCCGCTTTCACAATCAGGCGTTTCATCGACCTTACATGCGATCCATCAAATTCAGAATTCGAAGTGCTTCTCATGCGAACTACCCTTCCGGCATTGAAAAACGCCTTGAAATCCAAGCACGAGCTTGTCCGTGCAGAGTCGCTTGGTGTTATCTCGTACGCAGTGTCAAAATGTGACAGGGTCTCCTCCCTGCAGGAGATGCGTCCACTCCTTGCTGGTGGTGACAAGGAAGCTAGTTTCTTCAGCAATATCCATCACATACAAATTCATCGTCGCACAAGAGCTTTGAGACGCCTTGCCGAGTACTGTGACGAGGGGATCATGCGCAGTAGAACCCTAGTTGAAGTCTTCCTTCCGCTCGTTGAACATTATATTGTACCAACAGCCTCACTTGATCATCTCCTCGTCTCAGAAGCGATCAATTCGGCTGGACGCATTGCGAAACACCTTGGGTGGAGTGCATACTCGTCCCTCGTGCACAAGTACATCCGGGCATCAAAAGACAAGAGTGAAGGCGTCCGGGTTTATGTTCGTGCTTTGGTTGCGATCCTTGAAAACTTCCACTTTTCTGTCGAAGAAGTAGTTCAACAAGTTGATACATCCGCAGATGACACTGCAAACAGCGATCACGAGGGGTTGGTAGAGGATTCGTTGCCCATTCCCTCAGCTGATAAACAGGATACCAAAAAAATTGCCGATGCTGTTCATACCCGCCTTCTGCCTTCGCTTTTGGCTTACCTCTCTAATCGCGACGAGACAGAGGACTCCCTTCGTATTCCGATATCGATGGGCATTGCTAAGGTTGCCTTGCATTTACCCTCTGCCTCCCGAGATCTGCAAGTAGGCAGGCTCCTAACAACCCTCAGTCAGATATTGCGTAGCAAGTCACAAGATACTCGCGACCTCGTGCGAGATACGATCTGCAGGATAGCTGTCGCACTGGGCTCCCCATATCTGGCTGTCTTGTTGCGGGAGCTCCGCGCAGCACTCTTGCGTGGACCACAACTACACATTCTAGCATTTGTATTCCACGCAGTGCTTACCCATGTCACATCTGCGCAGGGTAGCAATGACCCTGCCATTCAAGATCTGGACGACTGTGTCTCCGATATTGCACATGTCTCCGCTGAAGTGATTTTTGGAGAGTCAGGAAAGGATGTGCAACACGAAGACTTCCGGACGAAAATGCGTGAAGTACGCAGTAGCTCTTCCAAGGGACTCGATTGCTTCGGGTTGGCAGCTCGATACGTTTCTCCCAAACGCACCAGTGCGCTCCTCCTGCCGCTGCGCTCTATCGTTGCAGAGACGGGTTCTTTGAAAATCCTGCAGCAGGTTGACGAAGTTCTCAGACGTATTGCCAGTGGACTCAATAGCAATGCAAGGCTTACGCCTGCTGAATGTTTGGTTCTGTGCCACACCCTGATCAGTCAAAATGCCAAATTCTTGCAGGAAGCCCCAAAGCCCAAAGCGAGCAAGACTATCAAAAAACCTGATGCTATCGTCCAGCGACAACGCCAAATCGTTACGGACACTGACCATTATACGAATAATTCTTTCCGGTGAGTCTCGTATCACGTATTCGCCGTATCTTTTTCACTCATCGGTCTTCGCAGTTTTGTCGTCTTCGGTTTGGAGCTCTTCAATACTGCATTCCGACGCTCTCGATTTGACTTTCAGGACAAGCAGATCATCAATCGTTTGGATCCGCTTGTAAAGCTCATCGGAAATGCTCTTTATTCATCCTCGGAACCAGTCCTTATTGCTTCTTTCAAGGCATCGGCCAGCATCCTCCAATGTCCACTCAAGTCAGTTTCATCGTCTGCACCAGTCATTGCCCGTCAAATACTCGCTATCGTCCGTTCTACTGGTAGTGTGGAGTCCGAAGTTGCTCAAGCTGGTCTCAAGGCTCTGGCAACTATACTACGAGAGTGCGAAGGCGCCCAGGTCAAAGAGAAAGATCTACTCTTCCTGATCGAATTTGTTTCACCCTACCTCGAGGACCCCGACAGGCAGAGCACCGTCTTTGCGTTACTGAGAGCTATTGTGGCACGACGACTGATTGTGCCTGAGCTTTACGACGTTATGGCTGATGTATCCGCTATCTTGGTCACGTCACAAGCAACACAGACTCGCGAGTCTGCTCGGTCCCTTCTCCTTCAATTTCTCCTCGACTATCCTCAAGGCTCTGGGAGACTGCAAACCACCCTCGGTTTCTTTGCCCGCAATCTTTCGTATGAACATGCGTCAGGACGTTCAAGTGTCCTCGAACTCTTGGGCGCTCTTGTAAACAAGTTCGACTCTGCATTGCTAGCAAAACACGCGGAGATGATCTTCGTTGCCCTTGTACTTTGTCTTGCCAACGACGAGGATAAGTCTTGCAGAGAATCTTCTGCATCAGTCCTCCAAAGCTTGATCAAAAGGTTGGGAGAGGAGGAGAGAAAGGTTTTCGTTGGTCATCTGCATGCATGGACCAGTCAACAAGGACAGGCAAAACTTAGGGCAGTTGCGGTGCAGGTATATGGGCTCATCATTGACGCTTTACAACGGGAAGCTTCCCCCCATGCTGCTGCCCTGTTTGCCGATGTTCAGCAGATCTTGGACGACAGCATCCAGTCGTTGACCCTGTTGGATGACGATGGAGAAGACATGGACGTTGACGTGGAATGGCAACCGCCATACCAGGCATTAGTTACTGTCTCGAAACTCCTGCAGACCTTACCTGAGCATACGCTTGATGCGGTGAAAAGCATCCAGGACAAACTCGTCCCTTACCTTCTTTTTCCGCACGCTTGGGTACGCTCAGCAGCTTGTCGGTTGTTGGGCGTGTTCTTCGCATTTTACGGCCCCACTCCCACCCTCGAGAGTCCATATCTTACCCTCCAGTTGATGAAAGATATTGCAGGAAAACTATGCACACAGTTGAAGAGCTCCAATCTCGATGCACCTCTTGGTCTACAGATTGTGAAGAACCTTTTTTTCGTCGGAAAATTGTTTTGCACTGTCCCCTCTTCCTCTCCCTTCGGGATTAATACCAACGACACAGCTGAGACGGACTCAGATGGTGGTGAGAGCGATGGCTCCGCTGAACAACCAAAACCTACGCAAATGAGCCGAGGAAAATTCTCTCAGGATCCTCTACCTTGGCTCTTCTCCAAACTGTCGTATCAGACTCGCTCAGCCCACATCGCACGGCGGAATCGCGGTAATACTTCTGTGAGTTCGGTTAAAGCCATTTATTTAACTTTCCCTGACTTTCTGTTTCAGAATCAAACAACCTGGTCGTTGGCTCCCTTGTCGATTCTGCGCTTCTTTGCTGCTATGGCGTCTCACATGGAGGGCACTCAACTGGAGCGGTTCTTGCCACACATCCTTACACCTGTCTATCGGATAACAGAGGACGATACAATCCGGGATGCCGGAATGGGTATGCACATCGCTTATCAAGTTGCTCATATATTCATTGCATTGCAGAGGAGTTGAAAGTTACGGCCACGGAACTTCTCGACTTGCTTCAAAACAAAGTTGGCACGACGATTTTTGCCAATACGTACAACCGCATCAGGCAGGGAGCATCCAGCATCCAGCAAGAAAGACGAGTGGCGCGGGCCACGAAGGTGGGTTGGGTTCTATTCATCTTGCACTTGGTGCTCATGACTTCGAGCAGGCCACTACCAACCCAGAAGCTGCTGCCAAACGCAAATTAGCTCGAAATGTGGGCAAGAAGGAAAGCCGGAAGAGAAAGAACCGTGCCTTTGCGTAAGTGTTACAAAGAGCTGTTTATTCACAGACTAAATCGGACGTCAATTTACAGCGACAGTAGAGGGAGGCTAAAGAGACGAAAAGAGGGAGAGTAGCATCGACGCCATTCATCCGAGTCATCAATAATATATCATAGATTCCTTACATTTGTTGCTTATACACTCAATTGAGTTACTTGTTATTTCTTTCTACCTGTTCTTGGAAGCGAGGAGCCACAATTTACTTGATTGATGTCGGTAATATGGAAGGAGATCACCCTGGACATTGCTCAGACATGAAAGCGAGTTCTCCTGCGAGGTACCTAGTACTGTCATGCCGTTCCTAAAAGCACAGGTAGTCCGACATGCTCCACCCATCGCGTGCGCCATATTCTGTGCTCGCATATTATGATTATTGAGTTTCATGTACCCGATTGTCGATAGCTATTTCCGAATCCCTGAGTTCCTAGTAAACTCGATTTATATGTTCAGGTTCCTCCAAGTCACGGGAGAACGCGTACCATCCCACGAAGTGGAAACCGACCAGATCAGAAGCAGTGTTTAACCAGCGTATCCGGTAGTGGAGTTGCACATCCGTGAAGGGCGATTGTTGCTAATAGCAGTGGGTGATCCTGAGGCGCATGCATATAGGATTTGGCGGTGGTGTGCCTTCGCACTCTGGTTATTTGAATAGTAAGTCCTTGGTGTCGATGCTGGTAGGTGATCAGCTGTAGCAAGCTACAAGGCATCCCGATGTTTATACCTGGGTCGTGCGTAAAAAGCATTACCCAAAACATAAACATATGATATGGTAGTAGCCTCAGCAGTCTCTGTACAGGATGGTAGAGAAGAGAGTGTGACACAGCTGCACGTGGGCAGAACAACAGTTGTACACCAAATTTACGTACTACGGCGTTGGCGCCAATCTGCTTGCCCTCTGACCACTATCGCTACCCGAGTTGACAACGTACAACCATGGTGAGAGCAGAGCGAAAATATATCGACCTCATGAGGCAAACTACCTCAGGCCTCTTTGGTAACTGGGATCCAGAGAACCCAATCAAAGTCAGTGATATCGCGTTGACGTAGAATGGGCACGCTGATTGAATGACGCAGGTCGGATCGTATGGCCGTTTCGATCTTGATACAACACGATTCACTGTCCTCGGCAACATCTATGATCAAGAATTCCAAGTCCTACTCGATGCTGTCGATGGGAGGTTCAGGATGTCAGACTATCCGCCAGAGTTGGATCCAGTAGAACAGGATATGATCATCACCTCCGCGGGTGCCAGGAAGCAGCCCTTTGATCCAGGGGCAGATGCGTGAGTGTAATTGAGAGGATCTTGTTGGATCATTGTCCTGACTGTCTGCTAGCAAGAAAGAAAACTTCAAGAAAGCTTCATTCAAGATGAGTTTCAGGCACCTCCCTAACAAGCGAAGTGCCGTGCTCGTCGTGCACAAGCCCCGTCTGTATCACGTTCCATGTAATAAAGTCCTCGAAGTGCTATACAGAATACCAGAACTCAATGGTCTATTCATCATTCCATCGGTCTACAAGTGCCGCGCATGGTCTATCTATCTGTCAAGTAAAGGCATGTGCTTTCTGTTCCAATCCATGACTCGTGCTCATGTCCATGATCAAGTTGAAGAGATTGTCTCTGTGGCACTTCTTCCGTCGAAGGTTGGCTTCGACCTTGAATGGTGGTCCAACTCGGACTCGGACTTCCTCCGCCAGGGCACCGACAAGGATGGTTTCGTTTCACCACTCTTCACTGCAAAACAAAAGCTCCCGTTGATCCGACGTTATATGCGTGGTCTGCCCGTACCGGACCCTGAGCCGGGCGATAATTTGTATGTTGCCCCTGTAGCATCTGACAGGTTGATCACGCTTGCTGATTCGCAACATAGCTGGATAGATGGATGTCCAGGTTGGGAGCCCGTTGATGAGGATGGTTATGATGATCCTATATGGGAAGAGGTAATTGTCAATTTCTCCCCAGTTTCGGAAAGCCTCGCTCATTGTTATTCCTGCAGGATTACGAGCCGCCTGTAGCGAGAGTGTGGCGACGCATCATGTGTAAATCTACAGCGCGGTGGTGAATACTTTTACCACCTTATCTTCTTTGTGATTCTTTGTGTATTGTAGTATGTGGTACGGACAGGTACTACGAATTATGTAGGCAGACCAACTTGAACACTGCAGGACAAGTACGGGCCAAGCTGAAAGTGACATAATGATTCGGATGTGACGCCAGAGTCGCCTGTAGCGGTGGCTTGTTATAAGCCGCGACATGTACGCGGGGACAGATTTTATACCTTCATAGGATGCGGACAAGCTATTACTTCATAGATGAAAGCAGCCCTTCAAAATCTAGAATTATCATACCAACAGAATCAGATGCAAGTGTTAGTCACCTCCTATTTACGAAGAACTATAATTACAGCAGTTCGCAAAAAGGTACGCGCGATTTGAATGAATTAATAACTCTCACGAATTCGTCGACATCCACGACTTTGTGGACGCTCCCATCTCTTCTCCCCCACTCGAGTCGTTCCTCAGTCGAGTTACCCTCCCACGACTCACTCTGCTAAAACTATGCTAATCCATGTAAGGATCGTATATCCTTTACGCACCGACCGCGCTTCAAAGCGAAGGCGCTCGAGCACGTGACTCACGGATGCGAAAAGCGCTACTCCTCGCATCGGATTATCTTACCTTGTGCTCAGATTCCACGATTCCCTTACTTTGACCGTTCACCATGTGCTCCTTATTCTCATTCTGGCCTAGTCGGCTACCCGAAAACGTATATATACAGCCCATGTACACTGATACCTTTAGAGAAGTCCAGAGAAAATGCAGCTTCGTAGCAGCAGAATTTCATGCGCTGATTCCCCGCTCCAAAGCACACCCCAACGAAAGTCTCAGTCTCACAAACGACTTGTCTTGTCATTTTCATGCTATCTAACCATACGTCTTATTCCGTCGTCGTCTCGTTCACTTTCCCCTTCGAACTCATAGTCAGCCTTACATCCAAGACACCAAAGTTTCCAACGTCACTGGCGCCTATGGTGCTAGTATCACGTTCAATCACTCCATTTGTGCTTGTGTGGTTATCAAACAGCTGAGCAGAGCACTCCAGGGTCTTGTATTTATGATCAGTTTACGTAGACTATTTTGAAGTGGTCGTATTGGGATGGGGTCAGGAGAGGAAGGGAATGTGTACAGCTTGTATAGTTTATCGGTGACAGCAACGAAATAATGTATAAATGGTTAGGAATATTGGTATCATGAATGATACTTAAAGTCGAGAATCAGGATGTGGCTGTGCAAACTGCAACCAAGTTGGAGCTGAAGCGCTGAAGTGCGGCTGATGCCGTCAAATTGAACGTTGCATCAACTGCGCTGTCATAGATTTATAGTGCAGTGCCACGTCTTGTGTTGGCTCGATTCATCACAGTTGTACTGCCCTCAAACTGCCCTTATCCCGTTTTTGGCATTCTTCTGGCGTTATAGCCCGATGGGCTACACAATTTCACTGATGGAACTCCTTGGACGATGCAAATGTAACAAGAAGATCTTGAGAATGGTGTCAACGCGAACAAATTGCAGAAATAACACAGTTCTTCGGTCTTTTGCGGTGTTCAAAGGTTTCGCCTGTGGTTTGTGACCTAAAAAAAATCTAGTGCGTTGCCATTGATGGCACTGGATTAGCTACTCTTTTGCACTCAACCTCATACGACCATACTTCGGTCAATAAAGAATCAAGATGGGAACGTGTATCATCCTTATAATGCCAATTTTGGTGGTAGAGTCAAGCGCTGGACGGCGGGTATTTAGAACGAACACCATTGTCATATACCCACAAAGTTTTCCGCTCCTTTGCACCCATCCCCGAATCATAGTATGACTTTAGTCTCAGATGATCCCAGCTGGTGGCCGTTTATCAATTCGAGTCGCATAGCTAGCTATTTCGCAGGTTCGTGGAGGGCTATTCGGATGATATCTCAATCTAATATTGGTTACTGTCTTGTAGTTGCCGCCTCTGCCGGAGTGATGTACGATTGGGGTGAGTAAGGTGGTATCAATGAACGACTGGCATTCAACTCACGGCATTTGCAGCACTAACACTCGGACAAGAGGTAAGTTGATGACGTTACCGGAGCCGCCAGCGCGCTAAGAATGGTTTTATAGGTCGAACTGCTCTGGGTGAGCAGAATCCCACCAAAGAACATGAAAATACAGTTAATTCGTTGCAGAGGCAACGTTGGTCCCTGATGACTGTTCTGTATCTCGGTGTACGTAGCAAGTATGATTGGTAAGTTGTGCTGACTTGAGAATATCTAGTTGCGCTATCTTGGAATATTATATGCTGTGTACGTTTGGAAGGCTAAGCAATGGGCGCTCTGCTAATCGGTATCTTATATAGCCTCAACATCCTTTGTACCATGTCTCCTCGCATGCACTATTTCTTTCTTCTAACAAGTGGTATACAGTCAATGTTTTAACAATCCCGATGACTGATACAGTGAGTATTCTGCACTGATTCTTGTCATTGTTGTCCAATCACTGCACTCCCATGTAGGGGTGAGTGACATTCTTGACTAGCTTGTCGGTTCAATGTAATAACTGCCGCAGCTGTGAGTTTGTTTGGAGCGTATGATTCTTTGAGGTTGGTCGCTCACCTCTGAATTTTTCAGGCCGTATTATGTACCTCGCAATGAGCTGGGTAGACGTCGTCGTATTGGTAATAATGGGCGGTGAGCTAGGCAGCTATGATACCTCAATTATACTGAAACATCGTGCAAGTCGTCATGATTTCTCGGTTACATGCCATGTATCAGCAATCTAGACGTTTATTGGTTTTTCTTATTATCATCTTCTTGGCAGTCAACATCGCGAATGGAATGATCTTCGCGATAGCGATGAAGGGTATTTTGGAGGGTAAGTCATAATTATAGTACTTATGCGTGCCAGGCTCATCGGGAAATACAAGAGGAGCTCATTCTCTCCGGCACCTATCAGTGCACTGATAGCTTGGAGGGAGATACCCTAATTCTTTTTGCCACGAGGTGGACGCTGGCCACTATATGGGAGATCCTCGCACTGTGTCTCGTAATTTGGATTGCTGTCAAACACTTCCATGAACGGCAACGAGCTTGGATAACTGTCGGGGACTCTGTCACGGAATTGATGAAAATTCACGTGTTTTATTTTGCGAGGTGAGCTCGTAATGTGAACGAGGTCCTCATTTTATACTGAATCTTCGCATCTCCTAGCATTGTCACTATTTCTTGCTTTAAGCTTATTTGTCTATCTCCCACAATTGCTGTGGTATGTTGATCTGTGACTGACCTCTGCGTGTGATCACGCCTCATCATTTTATAGGACACATATTCTCTGGGAGCCCAGATGTATCTTGGTGTTCTTTCGATTGTCTCGCTCGTCCAAAAGTTCGTGCTGGGACCACGCCTCATTCTTAACGTTCGAGAACATCATGCTAAGCTTGCGGCTGACTCCGATGCGGGGATTAGCATGACTTCAATTGTCTTTCAAGATCGCATACACTTGTCAACTTACAGTGGTGTGTAGCACGGCAGAGGCTGTCATAAACACTTGCTGTGTATTGTGTAGGAAGCGGCTGAACTGTATGCTTCTTAGATAAATTACTACGTTCAGTACTATGTAGCAATTGATATCAAGCACTTTCAAGCGTCCAGTATGAGTATAATGCTATGAGTGGAAACATCCAAAGTGCCAGTAAGTAGGTATCCGTCGCAAGCAAGCCATTTCAGTATCGTCCTACGCAAAGCTGTAAACATTATGCAGCTGAGATCCTTGCGCCGGATTAGCCTGAGAAAAAAGTACAATAAGCCAGTAGAACAAAAAGACGCATACGTACGTGAACTTACAGGGTATACGACTTCATCTCGTGAAAGCCGAATTTGGTGTTGGGGTAGGTATCCTTCGAGCATAATTTGGGTATAAGGTAGAGAGCTGACTACCTCCTCTGCAAGCAGGCGTCCCGGCCGTAAAACACTCGGTTCTGTTACCAAAGCACCGCGCAGTCCACGACCTGCCTTCTGCTCCTGTCGAGCCCATCGGATACTTGCGGGATTGAAATCTAAGATAAAAGCTGCAGAACGGGAATGCTCATCGGAAATGCAAGTCCGGCTGTCGCTGCAGTCTACGTTTGTGGAAAAAGCTATCCTGTAGCCTTCTACGTCCTGCAAGGGCTCTACGTCACCTTCTGTACGGAAAACCTCGTTGATCAAGAAAACACGCGATGTTTTTGGACCCCATTCTCTCCAGAGCATCGTGCGGTCAGATATGTCGTTGCCACGGGCGATGGAAAGTAATCTTGCAACGTCAATGGCGATGTCCAATCGAGCCTTCTCGACACCCATGGTAAGGGGTATTGATAGAGCCATGATTCCGCTGTTCAGAGGAAATACTTCTCGAGGGCGCTGATTGAACTGGAGCACCTGCTCCTGCAACGCTCTCGGTAGCATCATACGACTTGGAGATATAGATACCTGGTCCTCGATACGTGGTAAACGCAATGACAAGCGGAGTCTAACGCAACCAGACGAAGAGAGGTGGTTTGGAAAAGTGACGTCGTAAAGGCGAAGTATTAGCCCAGACGGGTTCGAAACTCTATGAATGACGGCAAGTGTACGAGAATTTAGAAGACTAAAATCGTCGACTTTGTCGGGATGAATTCCCGCCTTATGTACGCCAATTCTCGGTTAGTTTAATTTACTTTTCAAGTTAGAAAACATGTGCATACCAATTTAAATAGTGCATTGGTTTTCCAGTTGCAAAGTAAGAGTGTGTTGGCTTGCGCTTCCGGCCAGCTTGAAGGCCGATCCGTTGTGAGCAGTGCGCACCAAGGACCAAGTATTCTTAGACCATGAGCATGAAGCGGAGCAGATAAATATCCTATGGGACTGATGCCGGCGAGGAGAACACAAGTAGGACTAGCAGCTGTTGGATGCGGAGACATTCCTCTTAATGAGAGGAAGCAGAGATATGACAATCCTGTTCTAAAAATGGTTCGTCAATGCCATTAATTGCGGGCATTAACGTGAGAGGACAACCACTGACCCAAGGTGCATCCGTAGGAGAACAAGAAGGTCCTGCAGTACATCAGCGGCATGGAATCGAGTAATCCCGTCTATTTGGCCATGGTATGTTGAATGTTCAACCGTGGCCCCATAGACAACAGTAGATGCTACTTGTCTGGATACATGCAAAGCTATATTTTGAGAGTAGCTAGTGAAGTGGCTCTCATTCAAAGTTGAACGACAGGACGAAGTGATTGGACGCATCGTCCTCCACCTGTTTTCCCTGCACCTGAGGGAAGCCAGTGCCTGCGAAAAGGACACCGTCGGTGATGCGGACGCAGCATTGTACTCCAGACCCTCTTGGTTGAGCTCATGCAGGTATGGGGCGCGAACAAGTCCACAAATAGTTTGAGTTGTTTACACGTCTGTGGGAGGGTTAGTCCAACGCGTACACAAGGGGAGACGTGAGGGCAGCTACCTTGGAGACACTCTCCATGTCACTCATAGGTGTCAGATCGAGAAGATATGCAAGCACATCGTCAGGGAGGCGAAGAAAGCGGGATGTATCAGGCATTGGAGAAAATTGTTCGACGTCCAACGGAGTCATTGGAGAATCTATCGCATAAAATACGTCGGGTCGAAACTCCGACCATATCTGTTCGTATGCGTCCTGTCCACATCAGTACAACTTGGTAGCAGAACTATCGTATCTGTGCAATCGGCACTCCGAGGAGTCGCTTTTGTGCAGAATGTGACGAACGATGACTACAAGTAACAAACTTCAAATTGCAACGAAATTGTCAGGTTCCTCTTGAGTAATGATCAGTGAATCGTTTCGCGACGGGGGATCCGCGTGAGGATTTGATGTTTGTGGCCGCTCGGTCCAGCAGTGCATTCTAGTGCATTGCGATATGATAGACAGGAACTACTGAACTTGAACTTCGCGAGTTAATTGGGATTTCAGAATAAAATCGGGACGTCACAAGTCAAATGAGGTGGAGAGGCTTATTGACGTCTGTCCACAGCAGGAAATATTATTGATCCCGGGTAAGCTGCGTGCCTTACTGCCTAAATCGGAGAACCAAGCCAACATGATCGTGTATTCTGGTTTCAAACGTGTCATCAAGCCCGTTTAGCTCAGTGGTAGAGCGCGCCACTCGTAATGGTGAGGTCGGTTGTTCAATCCAGCCAGTGGGCAGGTGTGTTTTATTCCTTTTTCTTGCCTGCGTGACGCATTCAGCACTCCAGATCTTGACCTCGCAACTCCAGTCTGTCGCACTTGTCCGCTAATATTGTACCGCAGCAACGCGTACACATCCAACATCCCGCTAGCAAGAAGACGTAAACCAAACATGGACAGTCAAACAACGGACTTCATGATACTTACCACCACATTCAAATCGGGCAAAGTATGTGCCAGCTGCAGCGGACGATTTTCTTCATATTCTACACAAGTTCGAGGCACGAGAACGAACTTCGAATGAGGTCGGCCGTCTAGTGGCAGGCCGCGCCCGCCTACGTGGCTTATTGCTTTCATACTCGCAACTTCTCTACTGCTCGACTTCTTTTTGGTTCGTCGCACCTGCCCACCACTCCCCTTTACAGCATGCGTCTTGGTGAAAAGGTCATAATTCTAGATTTTTATTATTATCGTTATTGATCAATTCACAGGATCAGTCATTTTTGTAAGGCTGGCAATGAGTTCGATGGGGATTGATGGATCATGAGTGAGTGGGAGTTGATTCACTAAATATACGGAAAGTAAGGACACGCTCTTATATCTAAGCGAGTAGCTCATCAAAGCAGTACCAAGGGAATTCCATTATCAGCGGAGCAGCACTCCTTACGCTTGCTGAATACTTAAACTCGACGCATCACTTCCCACCGCATAATCATCTTCCAATACCAGCACAGACTAGCACTCACATACTCATAGTCTAGGATCGTTTCCCCAATTACAGGTAATTGATGTCTCTCGATCTATGGCGATGCCTGTGGCTAGTGACAGCTGTTACATAAAATGCCCTAGGACGCCTTACACAACATTACATGTAATTTCGAACACAGCCCACTGGACCCACCCCAACAAAATTGACACTCCGTTCTATGGGCACGACAACGATATCTGACATGAGGAGCGTTCGGAGTTTGAAATACGGTGTGCAGTTGTGGGCCAGAACTCCGCACTAGAATCTGGAACTGAGATGGTTGATTAAAGGTTAGCGACGTTAAAGAGACCACTGGGGAAGGAGCCTGATTTTAGACTTTAATTAGTACCCTTGCGGTCGCAATTCGAAGAATTTCGAACTTCCAGTGGAGTCGTGGACTTGGCACGAGCGCGGAGCGCTGGCGTTATTATCGTTGCAGCTCATGTCATTCAAAGTCAGCAGCCGACTAGAAGATGCAATATCACAGCAATCACACAGGTGCCCATGTGATAAATCATCAGGCGAGATATTTGAAACGGAGCTACGACCTCCTTGTCACCCACCTATATAAACCTGGGGTAAACACATTCACGGGCTCTACTCAGACTCATCTGATGCCAACAACCATCTCACCCAGTCGAGTCACTACAAATCACTACTGTTGACCACTCTCTGGGCAAAAATGAACTTCAAATCACTTGCCCTATTCCTCACTGCCGCTGCAGTCCCCCAGGCCGTAGTCGCGGGTCCGCTTGCCTATGGTATTTGTCAGACAGGTAAGGTCCAATCACATAATTTGAATGTGCACCGCTGACTCGACTTCAACAGGATGCAACGGCCTGGCTGTTGCTTGCTATGCTGCTGCTGGATTCACATTCGGGGTCGCACTCCCTGCAGCACCTCCTGCATTGGTTGCATGTAATGTGGGCCTTGGGGGGTGTATGGCGGCTTGTGCCGCGGTCGCGCTTGCACCCACTCCCTGAGTGAGTGCAATCGTGAATGTGGCGACGAGAACCCACGGGTTCTCGTCTTGCGTGGTGAGAACGGCATTTTTGTTGTAGCATGATAACGTGACGCAAGTTCAGCGGTGCATAGAACCAGAAATACAACCATGGGCTCTTACATATCTCGTTTCCTTTGTCTTCCCATTTCTCACAGTCAGTTATCGAGGGTCTATGTCTTGCCGTTTCCATTTTGCGCTAGCCATGGACTCGCTATATCTAGACTATGATTCTTGTTCTCATAGCATCGGTATCTTGTGATTGGTATTCAAACCTTAGCGGAAAATTAAATGAACATGCGGTTATTTGGCAAAGGCTTTGGATCCAAACAAACGCCCATGCTTTCCATCGTGGATTGTTTTCAATGGCATCAATCTAGTGGTTCTAATGGGTCATTCAAAAATTCCTATGGCTCATCGAACCACGCACCGAACTGTTTCACTTTCAAAACGGAGTTCGCTTGCATGGAGCGCTGTCACAATCGACATGCCGCGGCTAATGCCATTCAAAGTCAGAAATGAAACGTCGTTTATGGGATACATCACCACGTGTATCACCTCGCTTGTGGACCCCGCTAACACGAAGTGGGGTCACTAATAGTACTTGCGACATAATGGTTTGGAGCGGAGCTACGACCTCATGTCACCTACGCATATAGTTGGGTAAACACAGCAAGTTCACCAGGCTCTCTGGTACCAACCGCCATCTCATCCAGTTAACCAGCCACACGGTGTTCCACAGAACATGAGTAATCCTGGTATGGGGCTGCCTATTAGATGTTAAACCCATGATCAATAACCCTTCAGATATACCAGAAGGGTCACCTCACGACGCTCCCGCTGCTCCAGGCCAGAGAGGGCCTTTATTCAGCCCTATGGGGAGCGCGCACGGCACTGCACCTCCAACTCCAAGTATCATCAACTCAAGCATCATGCAGTCCCCTGCTCCGAATGGGACACCTTCAGTCCCTCCGGCTTCGAATCCTGCGAGCCAGCCACAACCCAATCCATCGGATCTACCACCTAATTACATGTCTCCAGACTTCATTCAATCTATGTCAGCATCGGAGGACTTAGACCCATCTATGTTTCGGACAGATTTTGAGCGAGCTTTCCGTGAATGGTTCGATGATCCTCCAGGCCAAAGAGGGCCTTCATCCAACCCTACGGGGAGCGCACTCGGCACTGTACCCCCGACTCCAAATACCACCAACGCAAGCATCAGGCAGTCCCCTGCTCTGAATGGAATACATTCAGTCCCTCTGGCTTCGAATGAGCCCATGTTTCGGGCAGATTTTGAGCGAGACTTCCGTGAATGGTTCGATCCGACGGGTGTGGATTTCAGGTGAACGGTGGATGGAAGATATGATTTTTTTCGGGCTATGTGTTTGTCTGATTCCTCTTGCTTTCCGAACATTTTTACCTCGATTCATACGTGTACATGTTTCACTTTACCCTGACCCTTTGTTTTCTCCCTCTTTGCGCGGAATAAGGATGTCTTAGTTATTGCAAAAGCAGCGACATATTGTCTCCTCCCAGTTTAGATGGCTTATTTTTGTCGTCAACTTGTTGCGATCGTTCCACTTGCTGTTTGTTGCCTCGCTCGGTCACCTTATCTCATCTTGCTGCATGTATAACTAATCTGATCATGATCTACTTCTCGCTCATCCGTGTTCTATATGCCCCAACATGTCTCATAGCACTTAAGCACGCTACAATGAAGGTAAGTCGCGGACTCAAAGTGGGCTGGAGCGAAGGACATGAAGGTACCCTGCATAGGAACAGCAATGATGTCATGTACGAGCCCAAATGACATCTCGAACACAACCGAAGGTACGACACAAGAACAGACTCCAACCCCGACAAAATGCATCAGGGGTCGCAAATGCAGCAGGATGGGCATCCCATCAGTCCTCGGAGGTCATGGTTCCAGAAGCCGAGTCCTGATAGCCCACATCTATCATTCAAACAAGGACCAGGTGAAATAATGTAGCACTGCCTCACACACCGTCACACGGACCGTCGACACCTTAATAGGATCGATTGGACATAAGCGCACTGAATTCTATCGCATGATCTCGGAGGGTCGTGAAAGAAAGCCCTTCTGACCCCCTTCCATGGCAAGCGAGTACGCATGCTCCTATCTTCTTCTGACGGTTAGCCACCGTCAGCCTCAATAGATCATCTTCGAGTGCTTTTCCCCAGCTGATTATACCAGTGGTGATGTAGACAACATCTCAAGATGCTCTTACTGAAGATTGGTTGCTTTTACGTCAGCTCAAGAAGCTTGCAGAGACACGGGATTATTTCTCGAATCGTGAAAGAGTAGGGATACATACCAGCCAAATTCTTCTCCCAGTGCTAATGTTTGTTTAGAGGGACGTTCACGTGTGCCTTTGCAGCCGGTGACTATATATACGATCTTCACGTATGAGAGACGTTGAAGGCAATAATGACAGGAACGCTGCTGTATGAAATCATCGGTCTGTCTATGACTGGAACAGAGGTCAGTTTTACCGCCATAGCATCACAATAAATCACACCCCGAAATTGTTGCCGCATTTACGATTCAGCTCTTGAGGGAAAGTAAGACTGTTTGGCCCATGGTTCACTGAAGCTCGCGAGAAACGTCTATTCCCAGCGTAGCAGCAGCAACTGCAGTCATCTGTCTGTCGCACGGTGCTAAGCATCCGCTCCTTGACTGCAACTTACCATGTCGATCCAGCATGGTTACTCACCATGCAGAACTCAGTCGTGTCCAATGGAGGAGAGGAGCCACTGAAGGAGAAATCTACATTGAAGTCAACGAGATGGACAGTCCTCCTATCACAGGATGTCATTGCAACGAGGGTGGAAAGCTTCGGGGAAGCATTAAAAAATGAAGTCACATGTAATGACTGTAAAAAATCGTCCTTTCGATTAAAATAGTTGGATTAACGATCATATATCTGCCTTGCGGAGCCTTGTAGTGATGCTGCACGGAAAGGGAAGTGGGTGACTAAAAAAAGTCTTATTAGTTGGGACAGAGGAACGGGAACGAACGCACGTTGCGACACCACTGAACCATTGTGGTTCGAACTCAATCGCCTCCCCATCTGGACCAATTTGCTTCGAAAATTTAAACATAGCAAGTAGACCAGACATTGCTATCCATATAGACGCGTCGGCAAAATGTCGACCAACGCAAATCCTGCAGTATCACAAAGTTATCCGATGTCATATGAAAAGAAGAGATATTATAACAAACCTTCTTCCAAATCCAAAGGCCATATCGACGGTGTCGTCATTGAGGTCGCCATCGGCGTTCAGGAAGCGTTCGGGAGAGAATTGTGAAGGATTTGGGTACTTCTGTTCATTTTGTGACATCGCCCTACAAAGCAGTTAGCCTCCGGGTGATCCCTTGGACATGCGGACTCACCACACATTCGGCACGATAATGGTACCTGTTTACGAGGCTAGCAATGAAATTCATTAGAAAACATGAAATTTCGTGCCTTTGGGTATGTAGTACCCCTCATACACATCGCTATCCACCGACGCATGGCTTACTGCTACACAATTCCGTAAGAAATGGGCGGGCGCCTGAAGACTGTACACGTACATAGGGGCAAAATCGGATGCCAACGAAGAGTTTCCCGAAGGATAGCATCGATATATCGCAGGGACGATCTATCTTCGAAAGTCGGCAACCTTGACGTGCCAACGACGGCATCAATAAGAGCGTGGGCTTTCACCTGAACTTCCGGGAAGAGCACCATGGCAAGGATGAATACTTGCAATACCGAATCTGTCTAAGTGAAAGTTAGAGCAGTGCAAGATAGATCTTGAAAACTGGATACCGTTTCGGAAGCAGCTGCTCAAGTAGTTCTCGTTAATATTGTCTCGACACACCGTATCCGACTGGCACTCACTTCCAAACGCCGTAGCTGCACATTCCTTGATGACTGTCATCTCACCAGAAGTATCTTTTCCGTCGATCCGTCTGAGGGCGTTTGAAACCATGCACGATTGGGCTGTCCCTTCAGCCTTTTGGGACATGTCAGGTGCGAATATGCGAGAACTCGATGGCATACCATTCTTTTGAGCACATGTTGGAAAGGATTGTTCATCCACTCTTGAACACGTTCTCGTGACTGGATAGCCTTCCTCTTGATCGACATGCCAGGGAACCATGCTGGTAGTCGAAGAACTGTATAAATAGCATCCAGTTGATCCCGTAAAATACGATTGAAGACTCACGACTCGGAAATGCGATGAACACAGCAGCCACCTCAGGTCTGAGTTCTTGCACGGCCAACTCGAGAGACTTCCCGATGAGCTCCACCAATGGGTCATCGTGCTTTGTATCATAGTCGTATGAAGCCGACATTATGACGGAAGACGAAAATCTGGCAGAGAATCCAGGCGTTAATGATACACCGCACCGACCGGTGGGAGAAGACTTACACGCGAATATGGTTTAGGAACTCTTCTGGATTATCAAGCATGTTATGGATAAGCTGTTGAGCTTTCCGCTGCTGCATTGGACGGTAACTTAGAGCTGCCCTCGCCCTGAATGCTTCATGGAATATCCTTCTTTGGCGACGCCAACGAGCTCCGTATTGCATCAGTATGGTGTTGAAACCGAACCCGAGACTGTTAAAGATGCTGTGTCAAGGACTGCACTGGCTGATTAATTAAATGTAGCGCCTACAGAACATTCGTTGGAAGCTCCGGCCTGTCAGAGTAGTTGTATGACCGCCTCTCCAAAAGCTCGATCGCCACTTTCTCCGAGTTGACCACAACAATGTGTTGGCCAAAAAGGTGCGAGTACACAATATCGCCTGCCAGGAGACCATTTAGCAAAATTCGGCGTAGTGATATTTAAGTTTTCGTGACATCGCACTCACCGTATTGTTTACCCCATTCCGTATAAGCCAACCATGGGGCATTGATGTCAATCCCCCGGATATTGCCAATGATTGGCATAGGCCGCGGTCCCGGTGGCAGCGGAAGCACTTTTCTCCTCTCCATGCTATAACAGACAGCACCAACGAGAGTGGCACAGATCAAGGCGCCAATGTAGCTGTCTCTCCAACCCGACGACATGATGGGGATGAAAGAATTGTGTTTGGGGCATGTCCATTTATATGCATATGCTGAGCAATTTTTTTTTACACATTTCAATTAGTGTATTAGTCTTCGCGTCCAGACCCCAGGGCTGGTCCCATTAATACCTGTGGTGCGTAGTTCGCCGCAAATATTATAACGAGCTCGGAAGCAACGCGCCTGGTGTGCCAGTATACAAAGTTGGTTCCACATGTCCGCGAGTTACACACGTACAACTTCCGGTGAGTACTTACTAGGAGAGAACAAGATGTCTTGACGACCGGTACGATATCTTTGAATGTGCAGATCTAGGTGTTTACAGACATGCCGAGGATAATTTGAAGCTTCAAAGTGCTGCTTAACTTGAACTTGAAAATGTCGTTGTCGATGTCGGCTTCACCTTACGGCCGTCCTCTCGTAAATTACTTCGACGGACCCTGAACCTTTCCTGACTTGGCTACCACCGCGTCGGCTAATGTTAACGTCAAGTGGCTACGTGCCTAAACCTCACCATGTAGTACTTGACAGGCATAGCAGTTTCATTGCTAGATGTCCTCCTTAACCTGATACAATTTCACTCCGCAATTTTTTATTTAATTTTGTCCCTCGTCGATCATCCAGCATCGGAGACACCAAAATTTCCCAATCGGTTCGGAAACAGTTGATTAGGGTTCCTCGGCGAGCGTGTTTCTAATAGGGTCCGGATGTGCTAAAGGCCGCCGGATCTGGGATCTGAAGCTTTCTATCCCCTAGCATTTCATTTCGTTTGTTTCTAATAATAATTCTTCATGCACAATGTACATGTTCAACGCAGTAAGACCATGATATCCTCTGTCTCGAGTTTCAGTGAATTGAAACCGTTCGGTGACCTTGATACCCATACAAGTTACGAGATATACCGATGACACTAATATAAATTCAATGCGACGACAAAGCAGTCAAGCAAAGTGTTTCATAACAAAAACCAGTCATCACTCCAATCCGATCTGCAGATTCATCCCATAGTAAAAGTCGAAGAATCACCCGTGAACGTTTGAATGTCGATATACTGCCCAAGAGCGACTTTGAATCATCGTAGTATGTGTCCCGCTGCAGGTGTTCTATCCTCGATGGTCCTGTGTAAAACAAACTCACCATCGGATATCAACCATGCTCATGTCAAGTACCTAAAATGACGTTAGTCAATGAATATGCATATCTTACATTTGAGACGTGCCTTGCTCGTCCGATTCCATCGGTACGTCGTCTAAGGATGCAAATCCGTCCTCACTACCACCCACTCCGTTCATCTGCCTGTCCACGGTGAGGAATGTCCACTCTAGTCTCAGATTATTCTGGTGGTATTCATAATAATCGGGTCAGAACGAAAGTACAAGGAAAGCATTCGTGATGGAGTGATAGACCTGCCCGTGAGTTACATAACAGAACAACCATGGACCCTTACGTGTCTTTTATCTGTCCTTTTCTCACACTCGGTTGCACGTAATCGAGGGTCTGACGTTTATATTTCGCCGTTTCCATTTCGCGCTAACCACGGACTCGCTGTGTCCATGATTCTTTTTTTTTTCTCCCGCCACATCGGTATCCTGTGATTCGTACTCCAACCCTGGCGGAAAATTACAAATGAACATGCGGCGGGTGCAAGTTGGGGAAGTCTTTGAATGCTTCCCGTCTTGGATCATTTCCAATGGCATCAATTCTCCCAACAAGCGGTTTCAACAGCTCATCGAACTACGCACCGAGAAATTTGCTATTGGTTGATCTTTAAAACGGATTTCGGTAGGAGACCGGACAGCTCGACGACTTGCACAGAGCGCTGTTGCAATCGACGTGCCGCAGCTAATGCCATTCAAAGTCAGAAATGAAGCGACGAGCAAGAAGACGCTGTTTATGGGATATACTATCACGTGTATCACCTTGCTTGCAGTGGCCCTTGATAACACGAAGCGTTGCTTATAATTTCACGCCGCACATACACTGCGAGGCGACATACATAATCATGTTTTAGAGCGGAGCTACGATCTCATGTTATCCACACATATAGCTGGGTAAACGCACCAAGTCTACCAGGCTCTTCTGGTACCAACCACCACATTCAGTCAAGCCACCACCAAGCTACCGTCAATCTGTCAAGATGAACTTCAAATCCCTTGCTCTGCTCCTCACTGCCGCTGCAGTCCCTCAGGTTGTAGTCGCGGGACCGCTCGCCTACGCCATTTGTCAGACAGGCAAGTTCCAATCACACCATTGAGCACCGTCGGCTAGACCTGTTGAGCAGGATGCAATGGCTTGGCCGTTGCTTGTTACGCCGGCGCTGGATTCACATTCGGGGTCGCACTCCCTGCAGCACCTCCTGCGTTGCTTGCATGTAATGCGGGCCTGGGAGGGTGTATGGCGGCTTGTGCCGCAGTCGCGCTTGCACCCACTATATGAGTGGGTCCCATCGTGAATGCGGCGACAAGAACACAGGCCCTCCCCTCAAGTGTGATGGGAACGGCTTTTTTTTTTTTTTGTAACAGCTGTGTATTGTATGATTTCTCATCTTGTGCATCGGTCTTGTGTCGGTCATGTTCTGTGGCTCGTACGTAGTCTGTGACTGCGTTTCATCATCCGTCTGTATTATCAGTATACATCTTACGACTTCCTCCTATGCACTCGTAGCTATTGTTTTTTCTTCTTGGTTTTAGTCATAGCGTTTCGTTTCGTTTGTCTCTGAAAATAATTCTTCATGCACAACGTTCGATGCAGTGAGACTAAAGTTACCGGGGTGCAGTTCTGAACTGCCCGAACTGGTTCCAAACCGTGAACCGCACCATCGGTGCAGTGCGGTTACGGTTAGGTTCGACTGACGCACGCTGGGAGAGGTTCGTGGTTCGGGCACTGAGCGTTTTGTATGAACCATAGGGAACCTGTTCGAACCGTAACCGCACCATATGTACTAGTAAATAATCACCTTGAGAAAGAGGAATCTTGGTGTCTGTTTTGGTCGTGCAGCCGGCAAAAATTCAACAAAAATACAAAGTACTATTCAACTGCATGCAGCCAGTGTGATACACTTCAAAATGCCTCTGCAACTCGATGCTCCAGCACTCAATCCTGATAGATCCCTAAAAAATGCCGAAGAGATGGAATGGGTTCACTCTCCTACTAGTGAACCTGCATCATTGACTCTCAAAATACCAGCGAGGAATAGTAAACCATCCTCACCAACCCCATTCAAGGCTCCTCTGTGCCTTGCGAGCGTGCATTTTCGGATGCTGGGCTGACAGATACCAAACGCCGTGCACGTTTACTTCCAGCAAACTTTGGTGACATTCAAATTGTAAAGAATAAGTACAAGAAGGAGCGGAGGCATCACGAAGCTGAGATGGAAGCCAAGGACGCTGCGCGGAGACAACGTTGGCTCGACGACGCTGTCGACGAAGTGCAGTTGGGTGCGAAATAGCTCTAATACCTATTTTTTTCAATTTTGGTAGTAGAAAAAGTTCGAACCGGTTCGCACCTGAACAGCACCATATAGGACCGGTTCTTGACCGAACCGTTGGCTAATGTTCGTGTTCGATGGCCTTGAGATATCATGAACAGGTTCGGGTTCGGGTTCGGGTTGTCATACCTCGAACCAGTCTTGAACCGCACCCCGGCAACTTTAAGTGAGACCATGATGTCGTCGATCTCGAGTCTCAGTGAATCGAAACCGTTCGGTGACACTAAATTATAAACTGAATACGATGACATGGTAGTAAAACAAAAAGCGTCCCATAACAAAAACAAGTCAAAGCCAGTCACCACTCCGATCGGATCTGCAGATTCATCCCACAGTAAAAGGTGAAGAACTACCCGTGAACGCCGATATACTGCCCAACAGCAACTTTGAATCGCCGTAGTATGTTATTCGGTATGTCCCCACTGGCGTCCCGTCCTCGATGGTCCTGTGCAAGTGATCAGCCAACCGCACAGTTTCGCACTTTTAAAAACTCACCATCGGATATCAACTGTACTTGTGCCAAGCACCTAAAATGACGTCAGGAGATGGATATGCATATCTTGCATTTGAAAACATACCTTGCTCGTCCGATTCCACTGGTACGTCGTCGAAGGATGCGAATCTGTCCTTACTACCACCCACTCGCCGTCTATTTGTCTGTCCACAGTGAGGAATGTCCCCTCTAGTCTCAGATTATTCTGGTGATATTTATAGTCAAGACAGAACGAAATAGAGGGAAGGAGATGGGGTTGAAAGACATACCCGTGGGTTAGCACCAACAAATCGCACAGCTACAGTGTCTCCCGCGTGATATATGCCACTCTCGACATCAGCGAGGACGTCTCCAAAGTGCTTGAAAATAGGAGGATTGTCAACGAGCACTGAGGTCTGCGAGTCATGAGTCACTCATTGAAGGACACGTCGATGTTAGACCCGCCTGTAATGAGATTGCCTTGCTCGTCTGTTCCGGAGGAGCTGCATTGGATGACGGGATCCCAGTAGCATTCGTCGCGAGGTACGGAACGAGCTCGCTGTACTTGTTGATATACGCCTCAAGCGTGGCTGGCAACACAACCCGTCAAAACATAATTTCCTGCAAGAAGCTCGAAGGGCAAACTCACCAGGTCCAAATATCGTACTAGCACCTTCGTATCGCTGCACACTATACTCCTCGCGCGTCGTGACGTAGTGTCCGTATGTGTTCGCAGGACCCGCAATCACCACGTACGCCCTATCGTCCAGGACGCCCTCCGCAATCAGCCTCGCCCTCAGCGCATCCCTGCACAAGAAACACATCTATCAATGACCAAAGATCAAAAACCCAAGCACAGAATGTACCCACCTCATCCTCCTCCCCGCCATAGTCGTCAATTCCCCTGGCATCACAAGAATCACGAATTGCCCCACCCTCAACATCTGCACGTCCACTATCCCAGGCGACCAATCGTACGGCTTATGGTTGTATCCCGAGTTCAGTAATATGGGCTTGGGGTAGTGACATGCGATTTGTTCTTCTGAAGGGGCTGGAGTGATAAATCTTTTGACGACTTCCCAGAAGGGGTTTTGGGAGGAGGTGTTATCTCCTTGGATGAAGTCGAAGGCGCCGGGGCCATCACTGAAGGATGTGTTATGTAATGGGAAGTGGTCAAGCGACATGGGCTTACGTGGTTCCGCCCGCGAAAGAGTAACCTAGTGGGAGTCGGCTTAGGAGGGAGCGATAACGGAGGAAGATGAAACACTCACCAAGAGCAGCGGGGCATGTTCTCGCAAGCGTCCCATTTGGCAACGTAAACGTATAAGTCGTCCTTCAACTATATTAATCTCACCGCTAACTCAACGATGAAACGCAGCTTACATATCAAGATATACATGCACGCTTTTCACACTCCCGCTCACAGCGGTCATATTGCTGTCTTCCATCACAGTCCGTGTTGCTTCAAATTGTGCCTGCCCGATTAGCCTGTTGGATTCAAAATCCGATGTGCGGAAGCCGGGACCCCTTAATATGCGGAGAGGAAATAAGTTATCATTGTGTGTTTTGGTGCAAGTCATGAAAGGTGATCCCAAGACTGCTCCGTGTTTGCTGTTCGTTTCAACAACAGGAACGCGGTGCAGCATACGACATGGGTCACAAACCACAAAAGAAATGATGCAATAGAAAGTGAATGAACAGCGCAGCGTATTGCAACTATAACAGAGATGCCAAAAGTAATGGTGGAAGAACAGCAAGTACGCTGTCTCTTGCTGTGACCAGGGGGGAACCTGGCGGGCAAGAGACAACATACTCGCTGGCTCGACCGGGACGATCGAGTTATCGAAATCGAACGTGAAGAATGCAAAGAACGAACAACCAAGTGAAGAGAAAGGACGAAAGGAAAAACTCACCGTCCGTGACAGTCCTCAGTCCGATTACCACATGTCGAGTGCTCAAACTCACAGGGTTGACCATCCCATGGTTTTCCGGGTGATTCGCAGTAAGCGCCCAGGCTATTAGAGGCGAGTAGGGGGAAAGGGATTATATGTGGATATGTGCATGCGGTAGAATATATGCATGGGTGCAGACCGGGAGGTGGATTATATGTGTCGTAGAAGGGGAAATGTGTATATATATGCGCATTGTCGAGGAGGATGCAAATGAAGTCAATACATCAACATTCTTGACACTGCAACAGAAGGCTCACGTATTCGGGGTGGTGTCGCCCACATTGGCTTCAAGTGCCTTATTTCAACATGAAGGAAGGAAGGAGGCATGGTAACTCACATTGAACGAACCCTGCAACAAAGGAGTTGTTACCAGGCATCGAGGAAGGTTCGATGTATGCTACTGAAGCATTAGATATGCCAAATGTGGGTGAGCAGAAACTCACATTCGTACATCCACGCTGCCATGCCCTTGTTATCACCGCTCACCAGGGTATTGTTCTACCGCCTTGAGTTTTTTTGAAAATCAAGCACGTAGAAACGTTCACGTACCTCATACAAACTCGTCCCATGCACCGGGAAAAAGCTCAGCAATCCCATCGCATCTCCATTCCCATTCTCGAAGCCCAAAACCGTCACCGTCGTGTCCTGATTTTCCTCATACATCGCTCTTTCCCACTCCGGATTCGCCAAATACGCACTCGGGCTCCGATTCCGATTCGCATTGAGCAGCGTCGTGTTTCCGAGCTTTATATTACCCGGAACGAGTGAGTTGTGTGCGTCTGCGATGGCTTTGAGGGTACCGGAGACGATGGCAGCTGCAGTTTCATTCACGTATCCGAGGGAAGTGACTTGTGGGAGGAGGTTCTCGAGATAACCGCCAACGCCGCTGTGGGCATGAGTTCCAACGAGAGCAGTGTTGGCGGGTGTGTAGAGGTCTCCATAGAGCGATTGAAGGGAGGAGAGAATGGTTCGTCGGATGCCGGTGTCGCCCATGCAAATGTCTGGTGGAGTTGAATTGGAGGGTATAAATTGGATATAAATGACGTACCAGAGTTAATGAAGAGAACACGTTCAGATGGGTTGGAACCGTCGGCGACGATAAACGCGCGGCTGCGCTGGCGCATGTGGAGGCCAGTGTCGGTTTGTGGCAGGAATGCATAGCCCTGACGCGCTACTTAGGTGGTAGATGCGATTAGAGATGAAGTAGGACGTACCATCATATTTGTCTCGACAACTGGGCTGTTGGAGGTATCATAAGAGGCACCCGAAGAACAGCAAGAGGGCAGCGAACGTACCCAGTAACATCCCCAATGCCTGTAGCACAGATTCTCAGTATCGCACTAGCTCTCTAAGACTGTGCTCACCAAGCCCGATCAGATATTCCCCACTGCTGCTACTACCACCCTGGGCCTCGATAGTTGGCGAACTAGCAGCAAAGAACGTAGCTAGATACATGACGAATAAACGCATGGTGTCATGAATCCAATTGAATGGAAAGGCGGAGTCTGCGAGTGCTGTGGAGAATGATGGGAGATACATCTTTGCTTTGGCTCATGCGAGGTCTTTATGACTGAGTTTTGCACCTAACGGGCTGCAGGTGAACGTGTGCTTAAAGTCGGTTGATACGAAGAATGAGAATAACGTACTGTATTTGGGATTGGAACGGGACTTGTGATTATTACTGGATGAAAAGGATTCAAAAGGATGATTGGGAACGGAGAGGATGACGTTAGGGAGGATGGGAACCGTGTGGGAGTAAGTTCACGGAGCCGTGCGAGCCTCGAGGTATGTAATTCATTGACCCCTATCTGGTGCCACTAACACAGAGTGTACATAGGTGTTGAGTCAGTCAAGGCAAAAGTAGTAAAATGCGCCCGATGATCTGATGCCATCTGGCACACGACAATCCAACGGTCTGTATTTTCACGTAAATCTCTCCTCAACTTGACCATTCCGTTGATGTACCTAGACTGATCAACCTATCAACCAAGTGTTTTGCATTAAGCAACCAAGAACGTTCTAATTGCAGCGAGATACATGAAACTTGTTCTCTAGTACACGGCATCCTCAACCGAACAACGCACGATTCGCTGTATCGATAAGCTCGTTGTTCTCGCCACCCCTTGATACGAACGGTTCGAAACCCAATGCCCGACGTCCTTGGCTAGTGGTGATATCCTGTGCCGTAGCTCGTCCTATGAAAGTAGATTCGCCGGAGCCTCCCGGGAAGTCCCTACCAACATTGAGCAGTCAGCGTCACGAGAATCGCCCGAGACGAAAGACATACGGAGCGGGAAGACCGTGAACGAAATTAGCTCGTTGGTCCCGAATGTATGATGCGCTAAGCAATGCAGAACTTGAGTTGAACTTAGACTATTAGCTACAAAAGACTCACTTTTTCACGGAAAGCGGGACTGCAGGAATATAGAAAACCGACGAATCATTTTGACCACCGTGCAGTTTTTCAACAGAATGTACAGTGTCGCAGTGCCCTGACAGCGCGAACACAATCAAGAAATGTAAAGAGTATATAAGAAACCACATACAGTAAACCTGATCACCAGGTTGAATCTCTGGAATGCTCGTCATGGTCTCGCCGAGTCTCAAATGCGGGTGCGTTTCTTCGTTAAGCTCCTGCCCCTTGCCTGGTACACTTCCTGGAAAAGAGCTACCTTCCAAGTCTAGCTCCCACTCCCCACCATCAGGGTTAGGTCGGAAGAAAGGACGAAGTATGATGTACGCCGTCGCTAGGGAGAGCATGGGAAGTACGCGAAGTGTACCCTCACCGACGCCAGTTGTGGAGAGTGAGGTCCAGCCTTGCCAACAACGGAGCACAGAACATTGACCTCTTCAAGCTTTGTGAGCGTACATATAAAGGAGAACGTAGAACACATACGGTGCATTATATAGATCTTGCTTTGCATCCATGCGCCAGGACACATCAAATGGGTCATGTAACTTCCAACCAGCTCCGCCTGCTAAGATTCGGCGAAAGACCCTACGGTACGCAGGGTCCTCCCAGCGCTCGACACTACCCCCATCGATATGAGGACCAAGTGTGAACGATTTGTCGCCAGGAGTACGAATGCGCAAGCGGTCGAAGTAGCTAATAGGTGTACTAAAGCAAACGTGCTTGTTTGATGGGTCGTGCCAAAGCTGAAGGAGCTCTTGTTGAGTACGGAGAATGGCTGGATGAGTACGCGCCGCAATTTGAGGTTTGGTATTGTAGAGCTCGTATGCTTGAATATCGTTCGCTGGGAAGCCTACGACACGACATCGAGTCATCGAAAGAAGCGTGAGGGAAAGTACGGACCTTTGACAGGGTTTGCGGCGATATATTGCTTCAGTGACGCTTTCCACTGCAGCGCTTCCTATATGTACCACACTAGTCAATAAACCCGACTGGTATCAGTGATAAAGTGAACAGACCTCCTTTGGAACTGCGCCAGTGACTACAACAACACCAGATTTCTTGACATCATCCTTCTGGGTGTTGGACAAGCCGCGTTCAATATCGGTAAACGACACACGAGGAATAACCTATTTTCTTGACAGTGTTGGTCATGTGAAAAGCACTTGAATAGGTGCGTATACTTGTCCTCCCAAATTAACAATCTCCTTCGTCCGCTCTTCCAAAGCAGCTAGAACCTGCTTCCAAGCCAGCAAGATGCCCGCATGGGTTGCACCCATATCGGCGAGCACATCCTTCTTCAGCTGAGCGAACCGAGCTGGAAGTACAGCGACTTCGGTACTAGGTCCGAGTGTCGTGAACACGTCTGCGATCGTGCCTTCTTGTTTGGCTGCACGCTTCGTCTGTGCAGCTGCTGTCATCATTGTGCGGCTGCGTCCGAGTCCGGGAAAGTAACCGAGTGCTGAGGACATATCGTGCGGGCGCGTGAAAGATGGAGATCATGTTGATAGCAGGGATGCTAGCTAGGATGCAAGGACTGATTGTTAAGTTGCATACCTGGGAGCATTCAAGCTCCGATGTTTGAGTTACGGGGCCCGAGGATCTCCGAGGTGATTATTCAGGGGCTATATACACATTCGGACAGCAAACATAGCATCCTGGTAGCTAGAGTGACCAATCCGTCTATGAGGCAAGCCGTCGCCTGGTAGCAAACATTACTTGAATGCGTCTTGCAGACAAGTCGAATTCAAAATCCACTGATCAATTCAACAGTGCATGAGATAGGCTGTCAGTACCTCGTGAGCTAAGAATTGGGTATGAAATTGACTCACCTGACCGTCTTATCATCCAATCAACATGATCTAAGCTGTACCGAATCCGATGCATCAGAACTTGCTGCATTGAGCCTCCGAGCAGTGAGTCCAGACAACGAATTTTTGTGGGACAGCAAACTATTTGCCTCCATCGACGAGTATTCAAACCGAGTCGCTCAAGGGCCAGCATTCTATTGCGTATGCAACAAAACCAGTACCCACATGTACATTGCCGACCCATGCTACATCGAGCTTGTCACCTAGTCCACCCCCGCCAATTCCTCCACGGATCCAGTAATTCATCTGTAGAACTTCGGTGGCATAACGTCTACCCACCACTGCGGCTCTCTGCCCGTGAACTTGATGAGTTCATCAACCTGTTTCTGAGTAGGACGCCAATGATAACTGTCCGGCTGGTCGCTGAAAATGTACAACACGCAAACAGCATCGTTGTCCATGCATTCCGCTGGAATTATCTGTCCGGGAGAAAAAGAATTGCTAGAGCAGTTGACAACTGAATGGACGTGGAAGTTTTTTTTAAAGCTGTAGCTAGGGTTTGCATGGGCATTGGTCCTAGCCATCGTTTCGGGAAAGTCTGGATGTAGGTTGGCGAGGAAGGAACGAGCCGTTTCATAAAGCCACTCCCCAGACACGTAGTTAACGGTGGCATTGCGGGGGTGGAAAGATTATATTGATACGGTTTCATTTAGATCGTCTGGTACGTCCAGAATCGCGCTGTTGGTCTTCCTTGGCTTCACCAAGCTGAGCAAGAGCAATTGAGAGGAATGTCAACAAATAACACCTGGACGCACCTGCATACTAGACATCGCTCCATCGAGGCTTTGGAATGATTGTTGAAGCATTGTTCAAGTAACGGGGGGGACGTTCGGAGTTGTGCAGCTTCAAATTCCATCGACTTCTATCTGACAAAACTAACTCCGACTTCAGCGTCAGTCGTGAGGTCAAACGGTTGCCCATCCGGCCATCGATAAATCCGACCTCTCGGTGGCCTGCATTTTCACGTGCTCAACGTTCCGTTGCTTGCCAACTTGGAACAGTCAAACTTTCAAGAATTGAGTACTCGTATCCAGCAGTACTAGTCAATGTTTTTTCGCAGCAAGATCATACATACAACTTCATCAGGATATCTGCCAGGATATATCAAACCATGGGTCGTGTGACCTCTAGCCCACGTTACCTCTTCGTGAGTGAGTGATCTCGGGCTGTAAGCTGACGCCGTCCGATTTTCCCAAGTTCAACTTCAAGGCAAGACCCAGTGAAAAGCGGACATTCAAGAACAGAGCTTGGAGGAGACGTCGACACAATTTCAGCCAGTCGTAGGTTGATCTGGTGGTATGTATCATCACTATACGCTCTGCTCATGCTTGATCTCTACATTGAGCTTCGCCCATTCTCGGCCCAACTAATAGTCTCTAAGTCCAATCACCTTCCAAGTCCATCGTCCTGCACCGCCCAAAGTACCAGTGTAACATGGTCGCTAACCTCGGAAAGCCCTCACCGCAGACGCTATGACCGAGCCATGCGTTCAAAAGACTGTCACCGTGGGTGTCTGGGAATGCCTCCATGGAATCAATAGTCTCTATACCTGGACCACCGAGATCGGAGAGACTAAGTGAGTCTTACACCAAATTTTTCACCAAAGCTCTCGCCCCGATTATCACGAACCAGGCATTGCATGACAGATATTTGGTCAACTCATAACCATTCTCGAATGTCATGCACTATCTGCTTCGTGAATAAGAATTAGTGCATACTCATGAGGATGGATGGTCCAGCTGTAGAGCGACGGGGCCTACCCCAGAGCCTCTTGGTGTCCACATACACATCTCCATCTATGGCTTTGTCCCAGTGATATTATGACAAGCCTACTTGCAGCTTGGTCCTTGGGCCATTCGGCATGGGGGTACTGCTTCACCAACGTCATCTGGGCCGTTCAACAGTGACTCAAACTTCAACGTCGATGGTTCCCTCCATCACTGACAAAGCATGCAGTCGTTCATCGGGCGCCTGCTTTCATTGGTATACAGTAAGTGTACAGTAAGAAGGGATTCCAAGTAAGTACATATCCAAGATAAGTCATATCAAAGCATTTATCATGATTTTCATAACACCCGGTACCACTTATCAGTCGGCTAACCCGCAGGCCCAAACCTTATCCCACATGTAAAAAAACTGCCAAAAGTTTGCCCGATCTTGTGTAACCTCGAATGAAACACCATTTGATGGAGTACTCTTCTCTCCAGGACGGGTCACAGGAAACGGCGGTGTCACCCACGGGAAGGATGCAGGGTCCTGCCTGAACAGGGAAGCAGACACCGTGAGCCGCTCTACATGCAAGTCCAGTCCCACTGTGTCATCGATATACGTGAGTATGTCGTAGGGGGCATCCAGGTGCGGGTAGACTACTGAAAATGTTTCGAGGCTCTTCATGCAAGCCCACGGAATGTCGCGCATCCACGCACGCAGCGGGTGTTCCGGGGATACTAATCCCATGCTGAAGTCGCGAAAAATGTCACCCTCCGTCCCAATATTGGCCAGGTAGGTGAGATGGGGGATTGATGCGAGGAAAACAGATCCTTTTCGAACGTGCTTGAAGATATCCCAGTTGATGCAGTGGCCCATTATCGTCAGACTTTGGGTTTTCCCAGGGAAAAGGGCATGTCTGCGGTCGGCATCGAGATCTGCGCAGGAGGTCCTCACATCTTCCACGATCTGAACAACAAGCTTTAAATTGTACCAGTCAATCGCAAGTGCTGGTGCAGCGAGCAACACCGGAACCAGCAAGTTCAGGTACAGCTTGCTCTCAGAATCTCGGCAGCGTTGTTCTACCAAGTCATTATGACTAATCCACATCCTCTGTACGGCGGAGGTATAGTCGAAGAAAAGATCGCTTTTTTCAATAGCGTACACTTCCTGGATAAGCAGAGTGGTTGCGAACATTCTCATGCTGTCACATCGGTGGAGCGAGATGGTGTGCAGGAATTCGGGGAGGATCGTGCGTCTCACAAGTCGAGAGACAAGACATAGGGAGAGAGCGGTTGCATAGGGATTTTTATCAGCATATTTCTCTCTTTGGGAAAACGTCGGTCTGGCCGCATATTTGAGGATCAGGAGGGCAATCTCAAGAGGAAGGTCACTAAATCGAAAGCTGATAGCAGGCTCCATGACAGGGGAGTAAGATGCTAAGCTGGTTGGAAGGAGCCATACCTTAAATACTCGCCTCGTGAATTGTGGCATCACATCCACAGCAATAGACGCACATTGTGTGCGGGACCACAAGTTGTGACCCGGTGGCCCAGAGCAGACTTATTGTTTCTTCTAGGTTTCACAATGTGTTATTGTCCTGTGGAAATTACTATTTCTTAGTCGTCACAGATTATCATAGCAATGATGCGGATGTGGCACGAACCATAGAGCCCACCTTCCTACCAGATTCGACGGTGCACACACAAACTCATTCATGTTTCGTCATGGTGCAACTCTCACAATGCATGGTTTCCAGGAAAATGTCACTGCACTCGAGCAACAGGTGACAAGGATGCCCACTAAAGTATGAAATCAAACCTATTTCTAAGTCGATTAAGCACTTGCCGTATTTCTCAAACTGATCCCATAGCACCCTGTCTGTGACTCGGAGCCACATATTTACCGGGTAGATGCAATCGCCAACTTCGATTAGTGAGCATCCATGCGCAGGTGAGTCAATGCATAAGCTGCGCCTCTATCTTGAGGTTGTTCGACTATGGGTGCTTAATCGATGTTGCGTTGAGGTGTAGAAGGATTTAAAGACTGAATCAAAAGTGATGATACATAGAAGATGATGCCACAGGATTTTTACCGTGACTTGAGCACATGACACTGAAGTAGAGAACAACATGAGAGAGAGGTGTATACAAAAGCATGATGACTACACCGCGTATATCGAGGTAATTTGTACAAAACTTGGGATTCTATATTCCGGTGTACGTCACGTGCATTGGGATGTAGAATCCATGATCAATAACTGGCAAAACTAAAGCAGACGACAGCAATACAACACAAAAGAGCTATACACCAATATGAATGAAACCAATTCTTTGCTCGAGCCCCGTTTTCTTCTCGGAGCATGTAGCACGCTCAAGTGTCTGGGTCACCTTTGTGAAGTCCATGACAACGCTATCATCCAATTGCTTGAACGTGCTCTCGTAGAAAGCTTCAACGACGTGTTTTGCGACAGCGTTGTCGATCTTCCAGTGTGCCAACGACACCCTCGAACTCTGAAAATTGCAGGTGACTTCGGCGGGTGTCCCCCTCGTCGCCAATGACGATATTTCATACAGACAAGAACGCAAAAATTCGGCGTACGAATTGTATTTCTCCGTGATATCGAGCTGCGTTAGAGTGTATCTCTCTTCACGAAATGAGATTGTGAGGTTGCGTTCGGTCCTGCTTACCGTGGCGAGCTAGGTGCACCAAGCTGTTCTGTTTTTGAAAGCTCCAAATACACCTACTCATGTGGCTTTGTCACAAGAAAAATTGAAATAGCGGTACGGTCGGCCGTCGCAGCCACCGAGGTTCCAGAGAAGTTCAAGCTTGCCTCCAGTGCCTCCTCGAATCGACATTAATGGATACATCGCCCGGAAGAAGGTTGAAATTTATTTGCGCCGACGACTGTAGATTGAGCGTGAGGATCACAAAACAGATACGAAGTGATATAGTAGTGACTCACCTAAACCTTCAAGTCTGAATACTGGCCTTCTAAGCTACCAGGCATGATGGTGCGGGCGGTGAAGCAACACAAGGATCGAAGATGCGCTGAGTGGTGGGTAAAAATATCTGGGAAGATGTACGAGTGGCCGCCCAGTAGATGGGTGTGTCCTTCAAATGTTGGAGGAGGGCAGAGTAGCACGCATTTCCGGCGGTTTATGTCCACAGAGCAGTGCTGAGTCAGCACTGCACGGTGGACATGCGGCCCATGCTCTGATCCCCTTTTTTGCTTTCAATTCAAAACGCATCTACAAATCAATACAACAATAAAAACTACTGGAAATACGACGGCTAAATCACTCTTCCTGATGGTGTCCTAGCGGCAGCGGTGACGGCAACCATGCGTTAGTCATTCTCATTCTAGCTGGGAAAATCACTTGAGGCAACTATCAATCGAAACGACATCACGGTCTATCCGCAAGCTCATCCTCGCCTGTCTAAAACACCTCTGCGAATGCAGCAGTACTACAGATAACAGCTCTGCATCGTCGATTCGTCCAAGTCCAACTGCTCACAAATTTCAAAACCACTGTATTCCTTGCCACCACCTTCTCATTTTTGCTTTCATCACATCTTCACACTTGGAAATAGTGTCAGTGGATACGACTACATGCTGCAAATCATTGACGACCTCTGGCAAACTCAACTCCGAGATTACGGACTAAGGCGACGGAGATCTTGGAAGTATACAACGAAGAGTTATGTTTGCGGAGGAATTGGGATACATTTCACGCAGAGGGCAAGAATATGTATAATCAGCTCAGTGCTTGACAACAGCATGTTTTCGAACAGATCTACCATGTAATTCAGAGTTACGAGAGCAGGTTTTTCTTTGTAAAGGGTCGACCAGGACGAGGATAGTCTTTTTTGGTGAAAACATTATCCTCCGCATTGCGAGCACACGGAGACATCGTGCCCTTGGCAGCAGCTGTGCCCTCTGTGCAACCGCATATGACCGTGGACTCACAGCTCACGACATATTTGGAACTATTATCTGCGATGGCCGGTGAATTGCAAACAGTTTCCTTTGAGACTAGCTTATGCGACTACTTTCAATAGCTGCCAAGGCCTCACGCTCTCGCACAGTTCTGGATCTCCCAACGGATCCTTCGCTCATAGTCAGCTGTATGCTACATCTTCGCGTGTTCAAAAGCCGTCGAGATAGACTGCTTATTTCAAGAAGCAAACGAGGAGAAACATACAGCAAGTATTGTGCAGAAATATCTGCTTTTGTAGCGAAAGTTCTTCATGATACGAACAAAGAGCAACGACCGAAGGTCACCGCTTGTTTTATATAATGGTACGTTGAACTCTGAATTAGATTATCATTAACAGGATGTTGGCATAGTAGTTTATCATGCAGGCCCTGGCTAGCGACTGATATGTACACTGCAAAGACTTACAATTGATCATATGAACCATGTTGTCGAGCTGAACACATCTTATAAGTATCAACCACTCTTGCACCGATAGAACACACATCTTATAAGTATCAAACCACTCTCTTGGCACCGATAGAACACACCTCCCATCGACCATTCTAGCCGAATACTGTGGCTCAGGTCACATTCGTACTCGAGCACAATTGCTTCATCGCGAAAACCGTCATTATCACATTTATCGTAAATGGCCCCAGATTCCATTCTCACAATTGAAGCATAGTTTGGCGCAGATGTTTAACGACGAGACTTCTTCGGAAAAATTAACCACAATAAGTACCACGACACAACTCGGAATAAATCAAAACAAAAACCGCTCCCTACAGACTACCCGCCGATTGTAAATCTCGAGTATCTCCCGTACTATACGCTAATACTAGTTGCCACATGGACTTGCTCTTGGAAAGCAATTGAAGTCGTACCGGTTGCTGTATCGGAGTTGGCCACCACTGCCAGCTCAGCGTAATATTCTCGCACTCCAAGGATGAGGCGTGGTCCCAGCACGAACATCTGCACGGATATAAACATCTGAACGAAACCAGCAAAAATCTGGGAGTCCACGTAAGATATGTCCTGTAGAAATGATGAATCATGACCGCATGCAGAGATCGATGACAGATCGGCGTACCGTGTAAAACGTCAGAAACAAATAACTGAGTTCAAAACAAGAAACTGCGAGGAAGCTTGAACGTGCAGAACTTTAGCAAAACAGAGAGCCACATTCACATTATGAGCTCACCTCGCAAAGTAACTCACGTGAGTTTGCATTAACACCGCGAAACAGTCCCCCATAATACCTCCTGTTGAGTGTTGTCGCAATTCACGGAAGTGCTTCACAGCAATCCAGACTGCGAGACACAGTGCAAGAACCTCCCATAGAGTCCCAATTATCCAAGTCGTGGAATCCAAAAGTTGGACATCTCCCACATAGTCAAGCATGCACTGATAGGTGCCGAAGAGAACGAATTCCTCTGATGTTTGTCGATGAGCCTGGCGCACTTGAACATTGCATACATAAGTAAGCTTACCCCCTGTGACCTGCATCGTTATTATTGCCATAATCACTGCGTCGGCGATTCTGATAGACGAAAAGATGACAACCAGACATATCAGCACCTTTCTAGATCGCTGATACATGGCATATAATCGAGTGATCATGATGACTTGCATGATTATGTTTCAGTCAAGTCAATATCATGGAGGTGTATAGCTCACCGCCCAGTAATACATTCACTACCTCACCCATCCAAGTAAGTGTGTCGTTTATGATAAGGCCTGACAAATTGAGCAACATTAGTTATCAGCTCGGAAGATCGCAAGCTCGAAACTCACAACTGTGGGAGTCGTTATGTTGAATCAACGAGTTGTTTGAGAATCTCACTCACCCCTACATGATTAGTTTTTGGCGGGAATGGAAAGCATCAGTGCGAAACACTCACTGCATCCGTCGTCGAAACAGTTGGTACAGTGACTGTGTGCCGCCCGTCACAAAAAAAGAAGAAACAGAATCTATGCGATGAAACATACTCAACATGTTCATGCTGATTGTGAGAGACGGGTAATGAGCGCAATATCAATAGTTAAAACTTCCAAACGTACACAGCAAATCCTATTCCAGCATAGCGCAGCTAGGATATTTTGAAGTTAGCAAAACTTGTACTTGCCAAGCGTACACAAGGTACATACACTGAGATAGAGAAAGGTCATAAGGGACCAGCGTTGCCTCTACCGCGAATAAGTTGTACTTTCATGTCGTTCCTTTGATATGGGAGTCCGCTCACCCAGATCAGTTCAATCTATAACACAATGCTAAGCGAGTTGGTTGCCCCAGTAATGGATTGACCTACCTCTTGTCCGAACGTAAGTGCTAGAAACATCATAAGGATCGCAGTGACTCTTTTGTGCTTAGTCTTACTCACCCCAATCGTACATTATCCCGACAAGGGTGGCAACTACGAGATGGCAGCAAAGATCAGTCACTATTATCATGCGGCTGGCTCTCCACGAACCTATAAAATAGCTGGAAATAAGATTCCCATCGATGATTGGCCACCAACCGGGATCGTTCGAGACCAGGGTCATACTATTGGAGAATGTGAGTGAGCGAGTGGGAGAACTTGGTGGACGTGTGGCGATCGCATTCGTGCTTGATATATGACCATCCAGCGCTTATATCACCAGAATGAGATTTGAAAGATGATATATGGTCGGTATTTCAGAATGGCTTCTGAAATACGTATCCAGGGATATCGATGGGATCAAAGTCTGTTGGTGGAATTGAAATCTAGCAGTGACTCGCGCGGAGTGTTTTGAACGGCACAAAAGAAGTGTGATCTCCGAGGTATTTTTTTTTGCTACAGCACAGGGATTCTACCTTACCCCATTATCAATGACACCATGTAGTTCACAGGTTTGAACAGAGCCCAAGTTTCCCTGGTAACAGACATTCAGGTCAGCAAAGTTTTTTTAAACTTGTCTGAAATCCGCTCTACTTACGAGCAAAAATCCATAACCTTTCTTCCAATTCATGTACACACTGATTAGTGTAAATGCGATCAAAAGTACATGCGTTGTATGTCATGAAACACAATCGACAGGTGTAGCGACGAGGGCAGTCGTACAAAGAAAGTGGGAAGTTGTCCAAATAAGGGAAAGACGCGGTTGTACAAAAGAGGGCGTAGTGGTACAAAAACGACCAGGTGATGCGGGCAGGAACGGAGGCAATATGAACGATGACAAATGGGCGGTGATCGGTACATGCTTGATTGCGAATTTCATGAATATGCGATGACTCCAGTTTGGTAATTCATAAGTAACGACGGGATGGGGTTGATGCACTGGTGAATAGATAGATCAAGGTCGTCGACAAGCTTGAGGAGCGAACGGCCAGTTGGGTGAGGGAGAATTGAAGAGAAATTCGCCATTCGTCGAAGAAGAAAAAACTCCTCCATCCGTACAACAACCCGACCCAAGGACGCAGAGACAGATGTTGATGAGATTAAGAAACCGAAAAATAGAGATAATGAACTGCGCGTTTCGTGGGACGAGTGAGAGTGACAGTGGTCACCTAAAGAGGAGAACGAAGGAGTGTGCCCTAGCCAAAACGGACCTTCAAGGACAGAGCCGTAGATATATCGACATGACATGACCAGTTGTGACCATTTTGAGAGTCAAGGGCATTCGGCATGGGACATGGATATGAACGCTAGGATCCAGAGCGTGCAACTCTGAATGAGCAGTTCATGCTACTATGCGGTTTTGAGCGGCTGAGAGGACAGGAGGGCAAGTGGCCTAAGCTTCAGGTCATTAGTCTTAGCGTGGTAGCATAGTGATCTATGTGAAAAAGAAGGAGGAACAACATACTGCGCACTAGCCTTCTACTACTACCTGCCTTCAAGCACGGGGCAGTTGAAACTTGAGAATCGCCATTTCACCGCAGTCAGGGAAGTCAATCAACGCGTTTTGGCTTAGAGCTTACAATTCCATGTGTGAAAATGTATGACGCTGCGAATCGCTATCTCGTAGATGTAAGGACAGAGTCACAGCACCAGCGCTAACTTGCATAGCAGACCCATCCGGCAAGTTCCGGTGACGGTGGCAGTAACCGCAAAGGGACAGGACGCGCGACTGTAACGCGTTTGCTCAGTACTGCTCTGGTTTACAACTCCCTATAGCCTGAGAATATTTGTGTATGCAAATCGCCTATCGACTTGCGAACGTCCCTCTCTTACATCAATCTTGCACAGAACCCAGTACATGAGTCCCGGCCGTGCAAATCTAAGCTAATTCATGTTGCTGAGAGCAGCTGATCACATATACACAACTCAAACACCAAAGCTATTTAGACAGGTATGATGATCTTGGCTCCCCCATCAGCTCTCTTTAAATCCACCGACCATCCCTTCGTCTCATCCACAGTCGCCTTCAAATCCTCAATCCTAAGATTCAGCAACTCAACCGCATCCAAACCCATAGGCAACCGCTTTGGTATCTTTCCTCCCTGTACGACCTCATACAGAGTCCGCGTGAACTTGTCCGCGTCTCCTTCCAAAACCACACCCTCAAACATCTGACGCAATTTGGAACTCGCAAAGGACTCATCAGCGTATGCTGGATGCTGCGGTAATACCACTGCCCCATTCGCTCCGTTTGTCTGGAATGCTCCGGGTTCGATGATGCAGATCTGTTTTCTTGCCGTGAGTGCAACTTCATTGGTGAAGAGAACAACGTACATTTATGTTCCAGGAAGCCGACAGCTCTTTCGCGAGACCATCTGAGAACCCCTCCAGCGCTGTACATCAAATCAACCATCAGCTCTTCCTACTTTACACGCATCAAGATTCTTACCATGTTTGCTGCAAACCCAGGTCAGCATCATCCCAGCCGACATCGGATTCAAACCCCACTCACGTCGCAGCATAATAACTCAACCCAGGGAGCGCACTGAACCCAGCAACCGAACTGTTTTGAAGAATCATCCCCCCCTTGCCCGGTTCATTCACCTCCCTAAAAAACTTCACCGCAGCACGACTAACGTATGTCGCCCCCCAAAAGTTTGTCTCGAAAAGCTCACGCGCTTTATCATCGGGCGTGCCTTCGATTTCCGTGATAATTCCGTATCCCGCATTGTTGAACACTACGTCTAGCCGTCCGAACGCCGAACGCGTGCGCGCAAATGCTTCGTCGATGTCTTCTTGCTTCGTGACATCGACTTTGAGCACGAGGAGCTTGTCTGCTGAGTATCGGGCTGCGAGATCGGATAGGACTTGCGGTTTACGGAGGGTTGCTACTACGATGTCACCTTGGTTGAGTGCGTACTCTGTCATGGATCTTCCGAATCCTGAGGACGTCCCCGTTACTGTACACGGTGGTTAGTATTAGCCAAATTGCTAGTGAGTAGAGGAAACACTTACTGAGCCAGACTTTGGGAGGTGACATTGTAGCTTGTTGACGAAATAATGGTTCCTCTGCCCTGTGGCTTTTATGCCATCCTATGGTCCACCAGGAATACCGGTCGGAAACATCTGTAAGATCGGTCAATGCGTCAGAGAGCTGACAGATCCACAGTTCGTATGCACCAGTCACTTCGGCATCCTTGTTATGAATCATTCTCCCAACACTCGTTATCTCTGCTTCATTGAGTTTCAAAGAGCTGACAGATCAACAGTTCATCTTCGGCACTTTTAAAGAACTCCATATAGTCAATACTTGGTACTCGTCATCTACTCGACTCATTACTGTACTCCGCAAGTCTCGGAATATACATGACTAACGCTCTTCGGCTCCGATTCCTGGTCAAGATTAGCTGACCACCTCGAAGTGAGTCACACATGGACGTAATACTGGCTTCAACTCCAGGATGAACTTCGACATTCACCATCAACAAGAAAATGCAATGTTGGAGATACTGTATAGATATCATACTTGCGTAGGCTGCGCTCGAGTCACGGACGAAGCTGTCTTCAATGATAGTTCTGTAACTAGGTGAGTGGATCACAGACTAGGAAAAAGGAGACGCAATGGTTAAATCATTTGATGCAGGAGCGGAGCACGTTGGTGCAGAGGTGCTCGATTAGCAGCTCGGTACATTGGCAACAAGGAGAGACTAGTGGGTTGGAGGCCGCAATTGTCCACAGCTTGACACGAGCTTGCGGACTAGCTGTCAATAGTCGAGAGCTTCTCACCTCAAATAGTAGGGAACTACGTCAACGTCGAAAATAGATGGTACAAAGACAAGTCATAGTATGAATATTTGTTGTACATAGGTAGGAGGTATTAGGTTGGGCTTGAGCAGTCTAGCAACGGCAACAACCTCTACATCTAACGAAAACGTGCCGAGGCAGAATTGTTATACACATGCGCCATCGTTCGTCCAGTCACCGGAAGTGCCTAAGGATCATCCCAAATAGCGTCAGCGTCACCAGCAGCGTCACCAGAAACCTTCACTTACCGTCCGGAATATCATTTTCCGACCACCAATTTGCAGTCCAGAGGTCCCCGCTATTATACATTAGGTTCTAATCCACGAGTGCAAATCAACTTGCACACGCACCCATAAGTGACTTCGTCGCCTCCAACATACTAAGTGGAGTGATTAGACTCCCAGAATTGTGCAATATGTAATTGAACTTACAGCAACACCGGTTTGCCATGCTGCCACACCAGTGCAGGAAGCAGTCCCAGATGTTGTTGTGGGAGAAGGACTTGACGTTGTGCTGGTGCTCGTTGTGGCAGTAGTCGGCGCAGTCGTGGTCATGGTCGTAGTCGTAGTCGTCGGCGGAGGGGCAGACACAACGCCTAGCAGTGAATCCTTGACAGAAATGTCGTATCTACCATTTGCTGAAGTTTAAGTTCAGTCATAAGCGCATACAGGCAGTATAGCCACTTTACCGTACGCCTGAGACGCGTCCCACAGCATGACGCCTCCGAAAGATGAATATTGGGCCATTGTTTGCTGGATGATTGGGGTAAACGTCGATGGACTGACATATCCGGATCCGGCTGCACTCGTTGATGCTGGGGCACCAATGTAGACTTTGACATTTGAATTGGGGGATACTGTCTCTGCCCAGTTGTCCCTGCGCTTTGGTCAGGCCAATAAAACTTCGGCCAATCGAACGAGGTTACATACCATGTACTAAAGTCCCAATCCTACGCCGGCTCGCATTGTTAGCCAATTATAACAATCGGTCTTTGGGCTGCTCACATTCGTGTCGTTGTAATTCGTCAATTCGCAATAGTTGTTATCTAGAAGCGTGTGAGACATAGAGACTCAAGCTAAAAATATCACCCACAAAACTGGACATATACAGCGTCAAATCCAAACTGATCCAGAGTAGTACCAATGTAGGCATCGGGGTAAGGACATTGAGGTGCTAGTAAATCTCACAGTATCAGTAACGGTCGTCGTGTGATGCATCGGAAACCGAACCCGCAGTGATGTAGTACCTTTAAGGGCTGTTAGAAAGCAAATAAAAAGCCTGTGGAACAACATACGGCTTACTGCCACCGTCCATCAAGGTACGAAGGGCAGACAAGAAAGATACAAATCCAGTCTGAGAGCCACCTTCGATGTCCATATCAATGCTGGATTTGGAGTCAGATCGCACATTTCTTAAGGGGTTGATGCATTATTACCCATCCAAAACAGCGGACCCGAAAGGACGCATGCTGCTCGAACCTCCCAGGAAAAGATCCCAGATTGTCTGGGCATATGCCGTTGCTTCGGTGTCATTTGTAAAGCCGATAGAACCTGTTGCTCCTCCCAATGACATCGTTACGATTTTTCCGGCAGCTTGACAAAACTCGATACTTGATGCGAGGAATGAGCAATTGAGGAGGTTCGTCCCTGGAAAAACAGGATCATCGGCTGTGTTGCAAGTCTGCAGCCGGGTTAGACAGGTATGGACAATCAGAAATGAGAACTTGCGTTTCCAAGGTCGATGGACGGGAGATTGCCTGTTGAGTAGAACTCGTCTAGAAAGGCTACCGGGAAGGTGTCGATCACGGTATCCTGCGATTAAGACGTGAGGTAAATTTTCCAGTATAATATGGGAATAAGCTAACATTGCAATAGTAAGAGATCGGCTGCTGCCAATTTGCAGTATCGGTTGGATTCACAGCTCCATACGAGTTCTGACCCCAGTACCTGCAAACCGTAGGTCGTCGGAAACGGATATGTATCTTGTGTTCGTGATCCACTCACACAGCCAGCTAGTCAAAGTTGTCAATCATGCATCAAGAAAGAGGAAGGCTAACTGACATTCTGGTTCGATGACATGTCGAACGCTGCAGTAGTGCGGGTAACGAAATGGAGAAACAGCACACATGTCAGGGGGGATTTGGAAAACATCGCAATGATTCCTGTTGCAGTAGAACAGTGACAGGACGGGGGTCAATGGCCGACAACATATTATTGCGCAGCACCACTTTCTCTTTATGCAACACGGAATGCAGATGAGAATACGGAAAGGGTCACGCTTCATGGTAGTTCGACTGTAATGATTGTACCCGCCATATCAGCGATGAACAACTCAGCTGAACCATTCGGGGTAGCTGAGTCGTGCTCATACAGAGTGATTCGCATGGCAATTGGATGGATATGGAGTTCTGGTTAACCATCCATGTGATACGACCAGACGAGACCACGAACAACTGGAGCCATGTTGTAGCCAAGTGAGTGTCCAATAGGGGCCACCTGCTAAATTTTCGTTACCTCTGCGATATCCAAGAATATACCATGTAGCACTTGATGCGCCCTTGCTTCGACTATGGTACTGGAGGAGTGGCTTCCACGGTGCTTAGATAAGGGATTTATTTTCCAGTGAATTCCCCTAAGAATATACGAGGTGATGGCGACGTACCTCGGGGAATCCATAGGCCCTGTTCGTCACGTCGTAACTTAGTAGATTGGGACCGTCAACTGGTCGTCAGAGCCAGGTATATCAACCCTAGTAATTTCCGTATCGGCAAACCAGAAACCACTACAAGTTGAACATTTGAGGTACATGATATGCCCACGAAATTCTTCCGATGCGTATCGAGATCCGATGAATACTCCAATAGGTCCCATAATGGAAGCATATGTAGAGGTGTTGGGGGAACACCTAGTCAGCATCAAAATAAATTTCTCGGACTGCTCAATTGGGCTGAGCGCCGAGTACTTGATGAAGTCGATGTATATCGGGAAGCCGAATCAAAAAACCACCAGGAACTACCTCTAAAGGCCAGCGTGGTCGTGCTGGTCGAGCGCGATTCACAGCGCATGAGCTGGGTGAAGCTCTTAGCACCTGGATCTACTTAGGTCTGTTCCAAAAATTCCCGGTAACAGGAGCCTGGTCATGGCTGAAGATCTCAAACTGATAGATCGACTTATCCCTGTCCCACTGTCCCACCCATCGGATGAGCCTGAGAGTCTGGAGGACATCTCTGGAATGGCCGGTTTGGGTCACAGCAGGCCAATCGTGAGTATGAAAGTCACTGTGTGCATCACGCCTGTTCGCTGCAACTTACTTCCATGGATGTCGGGAGCCTGTTAAAAGCACATGATGTCTCACCGCAGCCCGCACAATCAAGAACGATGCCAATTACCGATGGACACAGAAAGAAGCTGACAAGATCTGGAAAGGTGCTGGGTTGATGGCCAAATCTCTGAGTCAAGTAAGTACCTGTTTGTCTCGCCAAACAACAACTTACTCATCATTCTGTTCCCGCTACCTCAGTTGGGTGGATGGATGTATATTTGTAGACCGTTCAAATCGAAAAAGCGTGGTTTTGCATGCCGGAAATATAAAGCGACATCTTCCCATGTCTTCCAACTGGAACGACCGCGTGGGCTTGATTACAGTGTGTTGGCATACGAAACTACAGTATGAGTTTTTGAAAAACTCAGTTTCACAGCTCGCTGGTATTACTGGGACTTTTGGCATCCAGATTAGGCAAAGTGATGTGATCGGATCCGTACGTTTGACCGTATTTGGATGCAAAAGTCCCGGCGGCGTGGCTGAGTTTTTCAAAAACTTATGCTGCAGTTTCATACACACCACAGTCCTTCTTCGTCACGGTCATCGTGTCGTCTATATATGCTTGAGGGCCTAAATATATCTACCGCGCGAGATGACTCTTCTGCAGATTCGCTACTCTCTATGTCCTTCTTGAATTCGGGCCCTTGTCACTTTGGTCGATGGCGACGTTCAGTTCTCTACCGAATTTCTATTCGACCTTCGCCGGGTCACGACTCCTTACCGACCACAGTCGCTTTGGGTCGTGACCGATTCGCTTCTCGTCACAATACTCTGGTCAGTCATCCTGAAGTATGGTTGCTGTTGTGCGAGTGGGTGCTGACGAAAGTTATGGTTCGTTGTTTTTTTTGGTCGGTTGATTCTCATGTTTTTAGAATGTAACGGCGTGGCTGATAGTAAATCGTCAGTCAAGCTTCCAGAGCAAGTTGTTTGTCGGCGGATCTTGTCATTGCTGAGGATATGTCAGTGGCTCATTAGCAAATATCTGTTCATTGCTTTATCGGACGAGGATGCTTCAGTGACTGACGAAGGAAATCTTCGTGGCATCCAAAAATACTTGCTTCGATCAAAGGAACAGATATAATCCCTACGACTGACCAAAGAAGACTAAAAGCATGCGATGGTAGTATATCAAGATCGTCATCGTGATACGTTCCCCAAATTTAGTCGCTCCCTCGCCCTCGATTACTATGACCCTAGTCTCCAATCACCCCAGATGGGGTTCGTTGATCAACTAAACAAGTCATATCCAGCTACTTTGTAGGCTCATAAATAGCCAGTCTGTATCTAACTTCGGCTGCGATTTCGCAGTTGCCGCGGCTAATGTATGATTGGGGTGAACAAGTTAGTATTTTTGAGTGAACCGTACATCTTAAAGTAGGTTGACTGTTTATGCAGTGGCTGATGACTCGAAAAATGGCAGCCGCCTGCAACCAGCTAGACGACTCGGTCAGCAAATTCGAACTTTGCTTAAGGAACTCGGGTGGCACAAAGACCTGTCATCCATGCTGAATGCTACAATGTGATTAAGGCGTAGATTCCCATGAATGAGGTGGACTAACTTGATTTGTTTGAGTGTTTCGCTTCGGTTCTCACATTGCTCTTCACAGCCGGAGTACCTTATGCAACTTCAAATTCTATCGGCTCCTATATCTAACAAAACTAACTCCGACCTCAGCGTCAGTCACGGTTGCCCATCCAGCCCTCGATGGATCCGACCTCTCTCGGCGGTGGCCTGCCTTTTCACGTGGAGTCAACTACTCAACTTGGAACAGCCAAACTTTCAAGAATTAAGTACTCACATCTGATGCAATAAACCATAGCTCGTGCGGCCTCCAATCCATGTTGCTTATTCGCGAGTGAGCGATCTCAGGTTGCAAGGCCGAGCATGCTGACGCTGTCCAAGTCTAACTTCGAGGTAAGACCCAGTCAAGAGCGGAACTTCAAGCACAAAACTGGGACTCGGAGACGACACAAATTCACCAGTCGCAGGTTGATCTGGTGGTATCATCACTGTAGGATTTCCAATGCACAGTGACGTCGGTTCGACCATTTAAGAAGGCCACGATCCTGAATGGGTAATTCCTACTGTAAGTTTTGGGCAGGAGATAGGCACGGCGAGACACTCGTGGCGTCAAAATAGTAGCCAGTGACTCGGACAGCAAGGAAGAACTGCAACAGAACTTACTCGTTTGGAGATCTTCGGTAAAGCGGATCGTCTCTATGAAATTTCGACGCGAACTTGACACTAGTGAGTTCTCATGGAGCCACGTCTAGAGATATCGAGTTGCTGTGGAGCATCATGTTGCTCCGTTGGACGCATAGCAGATGCATATTTTGAACCATGGCGGTGTTGGCAGAACCCGAGAGCTTTCTCAAGCGAGTGAAGGCAGTTGAACTTGTCTGGCAAAACTGGCTGTGCTTGGCCCACGGCAAAACCGCCCGAAGGGAGGGTGGCGGCAGAGCGCGGCAGAACTTCAGGCTATCCGTCTTGCGGGGATGTAGTTTAGATCTGACAGCACAAATCGAATTCAATAGAACAAGAAAACTGATGTTTCTAATAAGTAAGACGGTGCATGCTGGACATCACCGTTGCTACCGAGACTGCACAGGATCTTGAAGCATACTTTCGCGTGAGCACCTCCGCTCTCGACCGAGCCTCGTGATAGATGACCTTCTCGCTGGTCAAGAGGGCATCTCGCCTGACAACGTTGCTGCTGAATTTGCGGCTCTCAAGGAATTGAAGAGGACCAAAGAAGATGAGGGCTTTGATGAAGTTGAAGTGCTCGAGGGAAATACTTTTGATTTTGGCGACTTGGATCGGGTCGAACAAGGAATGATTCCGCAGGTTATTCTAGATAAGGTTAAGGTGGTTAATTACAATAGTGAAGATGACGAATGGGATGAGGCAACATTAATATCATCGTTAGGAATGTCATACAGTCTATATGACCTAGAGTTCTGCCACCACGGCAAAACAACCAATTTCACCAGTTCTTCCGGTTATAACTAGAAGAACGGCAAGTAGTTCTGCACCATACACTAGTTTTGGGGCTGACACCCCTTTACTGCCTGTATATAAAAGCAAAGCGATAACTTTCAATTCAATAACAAAGAACATCATCCTGAAGCACAGCAATGAAGCTCATCTCACTCACCGCTATGATCATATCTGCCGCAGTACTGGTGGCTGCTGGCGGTCCATGCTACACGCCTGGTGAATACCTTCAGCATACTTGTATTTTGATCTCAGACTGCGTACTTACGGGCGCCTGCAGGATATTGGGAGTGCGGAAATCTCAAGGATTATAATGGGGGCAATGCGTTTTTGTTTTACTGTTCGCCACCTGGTTATATCTCAAACATTCAAGATTGCAGCTGTGTGAATTGCTGTTCCAGTCGTTGGTGGGCACACCAGTTGCACATAAGAGAGCCATGTTAATGATGAGTTACAGCTGTCTCTGGAGAGTGGTACCCGCCATAGTAGGAGTGAGTTCTGTAGAAAATAAATCACATACTGTCTGTAATTTTTAATTTTTTTGCGCGGAAATCATATCAGGTGCTGTTCCGATGCTATCATCATGTCTCCCGGCGGGCCGGTCCGACTACTTTGAACATCACCAAAACTTCAAAACCTAGATATGCCCTGATTAGGCTGATGCTGTCCTGGGTGACGCCGTTGCGATGTTGATTGGCAGGCAGTGCCAGGCACGCGATCGTGATGACGTAGCTGGCGAAGTAGCACACTGTAGTATACCATCATTATATGTACCTACTATCCACATTATAATGCGCTGTTGTTATGTCTGTACTGTGAGATTCCCTTCTCAATCTGAACACTGTGTGATATTCCCTACCAATGCCATTCAAATTTTCCTGGTAGGCCTTCCATGCAGTGCTGACCAAAATGAAAGGTTTAAAAACTTCTTGATCATCTCAAGCATTGTTTGGATACTCCTGCCAGTATGATATTGTCTGATATTCACTGAACTACACAGGAAAATCATAATGCTCCATACCCCTCTTGTGTGAGAATGTCGTCATCAAGCTCCTCTCCCTCATCAGCCCTAATTTGATCTTCTTTGTCCTCCAAGCTGTCATCCTCAGTGTCCTCGTCCTCTGAGCCATCCTCCAAGTTATCATTCTTGTCCTCCAAGTCATCATTGTCATCCTCAGTGGTTTCGTCATTGTTGTCCTCATCAAATTGCAAGTCTTCATCATCATCAACCTCAACCACAATACCATCTTTTTGCAAGAATTCATCCCAGTCTCATGTGATCTGATGACCAACACCACCTCCATGGAATCGCATGAACATGTCGTGATCAATGAAACTATTACTTTAAATCAGTCTATAGCAATACAATTTAGAATGAAAATACATACTGATTAATGTAGAAATATAAAAAATCTTGATCATGATCTTCTGCTGGACACACAAATGAAGGGGCAAGTCTGGTGTCAGTGCACCCATATTCAAATGCTGGAATCAAATGAACAGCACAGATCACTTGATCTGGGTCAACAAACCCAAAGCTATCTGGCTTGTTGCACCTGAAAAAACCAATGAGATGGAGCTGTTTTGCTGACCAACTGGCTTTGAAAGGCATGTCTTGGCCAAACCAGCGCACAAACACTACATCCATGCATGTTGGTGTTCATGCATTACTACCAGCGCCCAGACCATAATACCAAACATTTACATGGAAAATCTTGACCACTTGAGCATACCAGTATGGGTGTTGATCATTGTCATTCTTGTGTGATAATACCATAATGTCTGCATGAGTCTGTGGATTAATTGAGTCTTGTTCTCTGAAGGTCATAAGTGGTGTAGTTGATCTGTAAGATGCTGTGTTCGAAAAGCTGGTTGTTTGCAAAAACAATCTGGCTCCTGTCATTGTTGGAGAAATCCTGCTCATCCCCTGAATAGTCAATGCCACGAATTCGACCCAACAAATGGTCTTTGAGGCGTGGTATGAAGTTCTGAGCATTGGGTTAGTACAATGATTTCAAGAACATCATATGAACTTACCTTGATTGCTGGATCTCCTATGAGCTCACTGAGCCATGCTGTCATATCATAAGAGCTTCTTGCATATTTTGAGATATGGTAATGCAAGGCAGGAGATGTGTGCTCGCATGGTGCCTGTTGCAATGGAGGTTGCACTATTTCCTCTTGTCATTTGTTGATTTTAGTGATAATTTGCTCTTGAGCTTCAAGGTGAGTCATAGTGGCAACCATTGTCTGGTTTTTGGGTGTTCTAGGGTACCAGTGCTTGGCCTGTTTGTGCTCCAGTTCTCCCTAATGATTAAATGAACAACATTGAAAATATATACTTACTGGCTGTGTACTGTAGTTGTCTGTGGTACCAGTGCATCGAATTGTATCTGCATAATCTCTGAGTGCATGAAACTTATAAGTCGAAAGGTTGAGAGACTTGAATTTCAGGCCAGCTCTCCTCTCTCCATTTGTAGGTACCTGCGGCTGTTTAGCAGCTAGTTGTGACTCTTGCTGTCCTCATGCTGCATATTTGTGAGGGAGCTCAGTAGTATAGTAGTGACTGCATGTGGTCCTGGCGAATTTTTGGACAGAATTACCAAGTATATGTAATGGTAGCTGTATCAAAAAATTTGAGTGTGTTGTCCATATGCATATGTAGTTTCACATACCCATGCCACACAGCCAGGTCAAATAACATGTTGAGCACGATGTCATTATGTTCCTTTGGCAAGAGGCCCTCGAATACAGGTATCACGCACTAGAGAGCAAAGATGTCAAACTGTGAGGAAAATTGTAAGGCTGAACAAATTACCTGTAAAAGATCCTCAGAGTCACAGGCAGTGAGTTTCTTCATGGCAGATGCATTGGTGTGAAACCAATGGATTGTCCCTCTCCTGAATGTTGACACTGCTCAGTACCTAAAATGATGGTTTAGACCTAATATGAAACATAAAAATCAAAAATCTTACCGCTCATTGAGTTTCTGAGTTGCAGTCCCACCAACAGTGTGAAGTATTTGCATGAGATGGGTGAATAAAGCCTTCCAAGATCCTATCTCAAACTCATGAAGTTGGTCAACCACCCATAGCTTGAACATATTGAAGCTGTGCCTCTCAAATTGCTTGGAAAAAGCATTCTAAACCTAATCATCAGTTACTTGCGTGATAATGTACATAGGGTACTCACATGAATCAGAACATACGATTCATCATCAAGGATTGCTTTGACATGCGCACCATCAACCAGGACTCCAAGCTGGAAAATTAATGCCCAGGCTTCTTCAACATGCTGTTGCTGTGTTACATTGTCAATGCGCTCACATGTAACCCAACACCTCATATTGAGCTTCAACCTCATCTTGCAAACATCTGTCTTTTTCACCAGACAGTGAGGACATGGGCACTGCCCAAGGAATTTGATAGTTGCCAGTAGGATCCTAGATAATATGTCAGTGTCTCGTGCTTCATACTTAATATCAGACATGTACTTACTTTTCAGGATAATCAGTGGAATAAGAGAAAAAACAGGGAAATACTCACCACATGATCCCATCAGAGCACTGGATTACTAATCCATGCTCATATGCTTCCATAAACTTTCCATCCAGGATTAAGTTCCATATAGCATGCATCAACTCCTGTTTCAGATGGGTATGCACTGTGGCTGTTGTTGCCTCACCAAATATATCAATATAAACCTCCTGGATATCCTTAGGAAGCTGAAAAATAGTGAGTAAGCAAAATGATGGGACATGTAGGTATATGTACCATAGGAATATATGCCAAATGATGGCACACTTGAGCAGTTGGCTTCCCTTGTGTGTACTTGGACTGGTTACCAAAATACACATAAAATGGCTAAAGAGATGCATCTCCAAAGTTAGCCAGGTGTGTTGCATCTGACCAAACCATGACTGAGGCAACAACATGCTCAAGTTTGTCTCCAGGCTCATGTGGGAGGGAGTTGATTTCTGTGTAAACTTCAAGCATGGCAGGGGAGGAATAAGACTTGGAAAAAACTTTGATATTGCGATTATCGGGGGTCTTCCAATATTGTTGGAATGGTGTCATGTTGAAGGTTTTTGAGACCTCATTTTCAAACACATGTGTGATCAGATCAGTAAGGCAGTGGTGATGAACACCTGGAATTTTGAGCTCTGGTGCATCATTTTCTGATTTTAACATCTCTCTTTCTTTTGGTAAGCGTATCTTGACAGTTGATTGGCACTATCCATACTCTTCTCAAAAAGGGTTGGCTTTATTCTTGAGGTATTCATCCAACCACCTAAGCTTGTGTGTGTGATTCAAGCTGCCAAGGTCTTCCAGTCTGAAAAAAGGGTCCTTGAGGAATTGCACAAGATGATCCCACTCATCATTGGACTTCTCATTCATTCCAGTATACTGCCATGCCATCAAAATACCTGCTGAAGGGTTTGTAAATGCTTCAAAAAGCTGATCAGAGGTAATCTCAGGTGAAGGAAGTCCTGGATGAACACCTGAGTTAATGCACTCCCCATCTAATGTGGGAGCATCAGTGGCACCCTCCAGGGTTAAGTTGGCTTTGGGGGCTAGAGTTGGACACATGGGATATCTGCGATAAAGACCCATAGTGTCAGGTTCAGTTGTTAAGAACCATGTTGCTCAAAAGAGAGAGAGACTGACTCAGAGGGGCTTGGCCTCAGCTCATATGCTGTGCCCCTTACCTGAGTATGTGCCCTTCATTTCATATGAGGTCCAATGATGGTCCAACAAAGTCCAGAGGACTTCCAGAGGCTGGCTACTCTGGTGGAGAGTGCAGGAGGACTTCTGGAGGAGCATGGGAAATGTCTGGAGGAGTGCAGGAGAGTTCTGGAGGAATGCAGGAAGTGCTCAGGAGAGTTCCCACTGCAAGGTAATACTTCTACAGGAAACAGGATGGAAGGATAGGAGGTCTGAAGGTCTGGAGGACAGGAGGACAGGAGGACAGGAGGACAGGAGGACAGGAGGACAGGAGGACAGGAGGACAGGAGGACAGGAGGACAGGAGGACAGGAGGACAGGAGGACAGGAGGACAGGAGGACAGGAGGACAGGAGGACAGGAGGACAGGAGGACAGGATGTCTGAAGGATAGGAGGATAGGATGTCTGAGGGTTAGGAGGACAGAATGTCTGAAGGTACGGAGGGTGGAATGTCCGAAGGACAGGATGCCCGGAGGTATGAGGGATGGGAGGTCCGGAGGTCTGGAAGGAATAGGGGCTACATTGGACTTTGTCCGATATAGAAGCAAACAGAGGTAGACTACCCTAATGTAGAGTCGGAGAGACAGGGATTGGACCTAAGTCCGGAAAGAGGGTAAGTGCTGGAAAGGCAGAGCTCCAGCCTAGGGAATCAATCCCTAGGCCTGATGGGTAGGACAGACTTAGGTAGACCAAAGTCTGAGAGAGGATTGGGCAAGTCTAAGTTGATATTCAAACTGAGGAACTACAGGAGTATCTACAAGGGTTATATACTGGACAACATCTGAGGGGATCAGTAAGCAAAGGAGCAAAGCTATGTACAAGCATGTGGAAACACATTAGTAAGTAAGATGGAACATAACTAAATGAACTCGGAGATGAAGACTTGTACAAGGATCAATAAGCAAGACAGAAGAAGAGGTAACCGAAAGCCGGAAAGGTGGAGATGCCTAAATGGGGATAGGCGCAGGATATCGGACAGAGGGTGGGAATAGGTCCAGCATTAATATCCGGAGATCTGGGGATCTGGAAGACAAGGTGGATACAGGACCAGAATATGAGAAGGTGGATATAGTCCAGAATCTGAGACAAGGTGAAGTCTGGATGTCTTGCTGGATGGAGTGTGCATAGGGTGGATGGGACAGGGGGGTATGGATCAGGCTAACAGTGGAGATCCGATGGTCCGGAGCTCAGGGGTAAATCTGGAACGGAGTTGATCCTGCTGAGGTGTGGAGCACACAGCAGAAGGGGATCTGGGAATGAGTTGGATATGAAGTGGGGTCTGGACATAGGCTCAGAAGGCGTGGGAATATGATGGAACGTGGGTCCAGATTGTGGGATATGACATCAGTCTGGAAAGGGACAAGTTGTCATATGCCATTCTGGACTCTCAACTCTAAATCCGCTTCTCTGGATATCTGGATCTGAGATTTGGATCTCAAATGATCTGATCTATCTTTATCTCCCTTCCGGAATCCAAACCCTATATCAGCGCCCAACTCCATTTAGACTGCCCCTGTCTCCAGACTCCGGTTAACCATGTTTCCCTTTTGATTATTGATCCGTTACATACATTCCATTTCTGGTGTTCATTATTTGTGATCCATCCCACTTACTAATAGACTCTGCATATGCTTCATACATAGCCTTTATGTTTGCTGACTGATTCCTATATGATACCTACAGTATATAAACCTCCTGTAACTCTCAGAAATACTCCAGTTCAAATATCATCTTAGTTCCTGCTCATTCCTGTGTCCTCCGGACTCGAGATAAGTCTCTTGTCATATTCCGAGTCTTAGGATTGCATCCTGGACTACATTTCCGACTCTACCTCAGGGTAGTCCATCCTCTGTTAGTTTCTAGTCCAGACTTCATCCAGATTAGTCTTATCCGCTTGCCCAGGTAACATCCGGACGTCCATTGGATTTATCTCACATCTCAGATCTGGACATCCGTTATCCACCCCAGTCAAATCCTGGAAAACTCCAGACAACTGTTCTAGCCCCCAGAAATTAAGGGCACATACTCGGGAAAGGGGCACAGCGTATGAGCTGAGGCCAAGCCCTTGTGATCCGACCCCCTCGAGCACATGACCTTAACACAAGTGCAGGGCAAGGATCTTCTGGCTCAGAAGAAGGGGCTGGAGATGGAGATGGTGCTTGAACATCTTGAGATTGATCTTCATGCAGAACACGCCCTTGTTGCTGCCTGTTAGTGGGAGGCATGTGTGCAAGGTAGGTGGCTGATCCAGGGAGGTAGTCGATGAAGTGCTGAGGCATGCATACTGCACATCCAGAGCACTTTAAAGTGACTGGGGGAGGTGGTGAGGGTGAGCATAGGATATTCAACAGTCCTGCAAGATTTTTGGGCTTGTAATATTGAGTCAAGGACATATGATATATTTTTAAAATTACCTGCTCAAACACATCACCATCGACTTCAAATTCCATTTGGACATCATGGTTGAGGTCAGCTCCTATACCTTGTTCAATAATTTCTTCCTGCTCAATGCATGTCCACTTTGACTTCTTCCCAGCTTTATTTGACTTGTGGTGTTTCTTGTCAAAAGTGGTGTCTTAATAACTGAGGGTCTTATATAAATGCATGTAAAATGTAATGACACCACAATTACACTAGGATAAGACTTCTTGCCAGTCCTTGATTAACACGGTCTATGACTTTTCTTCTTTTGTGGTAGATAACGTGTGAGTTCTTGGGAGGCTTGCTAAACCAATCTATGTGATTAACTTAGCTAGAGCTTTTGTGTTATATCCCAACTTATAAACTTGTCTAGGATAAACTGTCTAGACACTGGAATGTGGTTCCTTGTTAAGATAATCCTCTGTAGAGACTACAGTCTCAAATATGAATATGTTGACCAAAGACTGGTTGGTCAAATAGGCACAAAGTGGTGAGAAACTGGTCTCACAAATGATTAGATTGACCAAAGCTTGTGTTGGTCAATTTCAGTAAACTAGGTGAGAAGCTGGTCTGACAAACTGTTTGAGAAGCTGGTCTCAAATAAACTAAGTTTCTATCATAAGAAACTTATGTAATCTCAAGGGAATGTCTTTTCCCTGCACTTGGTACTTCAAAGGGGCTTTCTTTGTAATCAACAATCTTCACAGTGAGTAGCTCAAACTGAGATTCAAATGATTGCAAGTGGGAGATCCTATTTTTTGGGGGAGAATGGGCCCTCCTTATATACATTTTGTGTGGGAATATTATGTAAGTAAACAAGCGGAGCAATGACATCAGAAGTGGAGCAGAACATTCCAGAACAAATGACATCATCATGACATCATAACTTTCAACAGAATACTTGCAGGAGTATCTGTGGAGCCATATGACATCATTATGACATCATACCCTGTAGGTACAATTTTGTGAAGTATCTGATGGGTCAGAGCATCCCAATAGAAAAATAAATCAAGGAAATACTAGAGAAAACAACTCAGAAATAATAATACAATAACAAGACACAAAACACAGGCTTTTTAGATAGGTTTTTGTTAGGCTTTGAACTTTTCTCTATGGTTTTCTCTAGCCAAAGTGAATAAGCCAAAGGCAAGGCAATACCTTAACCTTCTTGCTTCACAATATCAACTAGGTCATTATGTGATTCCCATCTCACAAATGACTTTTCTTCAAGATATAATAAATTCATGAATCACAGAGGGGAAACTGAACTATATGACCAAGGTTTGAAACCAAGGTATGGGTTGACTAGCCTGATGCCTAAGCTAACAGACTTTGTCTTTTAGGGGGGCTACCTAGTCGTCATGTCCATGCATGATTCCCAAATCATGCAGGACAGTGGAACTCATAAAACTGAGGGCATTGTTTTGTGAGCATCATGAGGAGTGTGCAGATAGTTGTTTCTGGGTAGGAAAGGGTTTACCACAGCCCAGACAAGCCAAGTCTGGCATTGAGAGTGATTTCAAGAGTTAGACATTGAACCATACTTTATATCACTCACTTGCACTACAAATATCAATCATTTGAACCACAGTGAATCACAGAAGATGGTCAACTCAGATTCATACAATGATTCTAAGTACATGTGAGGCATATCATGATACAAATATAGACAAGGTAGCTACATAGATAAGTCAGGGTATCAACAAACAAGAAACTTAGTCCACTCACATCTACCAGAAGTTCTCCCAGATTCCCTGTGCTCCAGATCCTCAAGCTTCTGCACATTACCACACTGGTAGAATCATCTTCTCCTGCACTAGAAAGGTGTTAGATGTTGATAGAGAGTAGTAGCCATTGGCCTGGGATATAATGATATATGTGATCATGATCATACAACACCAGTGAATTCATGTGCAGGATCTGATTCAAGCTCCAAAAACATCAAACAATAACAATGGACTTCGGAGATTTTGATGATGATGATCTGATATTGGTCTCACTCTCTCCAATACCCACAGCTATCACTGTCAACATTTGATCAAGTATTATATGATGCCTCAGAAATGACATGCAGTGTTAAGCAGTGCATCTGAGGGCAGTATTAGCAACACTGACTCTTCCATTTCTGGAACTTCTTTGCATTCAACATCTCCAACTCCAACTACTACTATCAAAAGTAAGTTGCAAAAGGAGTCTGATAAGGGCAAAAAGCCTGAGAAGAAGCTCACAAAGTAAGTTGCAAGCCTAGACTGATTGAATCATTGCCACTGATAGTGCATATATTCACAGAAAATCCAATAAGAGCAATTCTGATCAGAGGTACATATGTCATTTTTCATTTGTGATTGGTTATATGCAAGAGAACTGATCTTAATTCACACAATAGGGACCAATGTCTGCATGTTGCATGTTGGATTCCGTGTGCAATCAACATGTATGTTGTCCTCAAGGACACTTTCAGAATCAGTATGCTCCTTGAGCAAGAAGATGCTGCAAAGGACAGAACTTTGATCGAGGATGATGCCACCAAGAAGGAGTGCCAGGAAACCCTTCAACATGTGTAAGTCTGGTGTTCACTTTCTCACTCATCATAGATAACACTCCCACAGGAAAAAAGATGTACAAGAGCATTCCTGGAGGACCTACAATTGGATCCTCATGAGTGCACCCTACCTCTGCACCCTCATTGAGGGTAACATGAAGAAACATTGAAAGGAGTTAGGGCACATATTATCGGAGGTGCACAAACTAATACAAGTAGTACAGTATACATAATTATCAGCACTGACTCCATGAGAAGATGCAGGACGTCATTGGGCAGATTTGCTCTGAAGATGCAAGTAAACTGAAGCCTTATATAGGGTGTTATGTGGCCCTAGATGCAGAAAATGAGCTGCTGAAACCTGCCATCTATTCTGATAATCGGAAGTTGCATGCTAAGATGGGCATGAACCACCCCCAACTCACTGCAATGCTTTGCCCCATTAGACACCTTGCAGCCTACCATGAGAATCCCCAAAAGTATGTGTTTATTTTTAAAGCATCATCTGTCTCACCAGTATTGGCTAGAGTACAAGAACAGCTGCAAAATGGTCAGGTCAAGATGCATGCAGCTGTGTGGCCCACATTCACATATGAGGGCAACTTACCTGGACAAGATTTCGATCCACTCAACATGCAGGATGGCCTTTTCAAAGGTTATCGTATGAGACAGGTATGTGACTCACTTTTTTTTAGGTTAACATTCTCTAGACTCTATAATAGGTGTTCTGTCACATATTCAAGGGCTCTTCCTCTGCGCTTGTCAAGGACGGAGAGGCCATTACCACTTGCTCTGGGAATGCGACGCTCCACAACATGCTGAAGGTGGAAGCTGAACATGTGGCCTATACATTTGTCCAAGTACATGTTTTGATATGTCTCTGTAAACATCTCTGATGACTTAATTTGTAGTGCTGTTTCAGTATTTCATCTCGTGACAAATGGCAGTCCACTGATGGTGCATACAACTACAATGACGCCTACTACAGGATAATCTGAGCTATCTGAGAGCCTTTTGACAAGACATGGGCAGATTCATTGCTTGAGTGGTGGAATGTGTATGTACTATTTGGTCTAATCCTTTGTGCATTGCTGACTTTTCACAAAGGTCTGTATTTGGTGACAAGGAGGGCATACCTGCCTTTGACCTCAGTGATGATGACAATGAGGAAGAGGATGATTTGATTAGCATGCAGAAACAATTCACAAGTTGTGCTGCAGCAGCGCAACTCAAGGTTCGTTTTTTGTCATTTGTAATATTATGCTAATGTCTATTTCAGTCTGTATCTGTAGACATACAGCCTCCCAAAGCTAGCACTCCACCTTCTGATCCTGACAAGTCTGGGAAATCTCTGATCAGCACAACTTCAACTCCTGCCACCTCACCACCTCCTGTCGACAACCCAGCACCTGTCCCCACAAAGGCCATACCTAAGCCTCATCCTATCAAACCAACTTCACACCAGCAGGCACTGACTCCAACTATGGATGCTGGATTGTTACCTAGTGCACCTGCATTGGCTCCTGTCCCTTCTGGTTCAGGTACTGGCACTCGAACGTCCAAGAAGTGTGGCAGGGCCAATGTAGTGGAATCTGATTGTGAGAGCTCACTAATGGAATCAGAGGAATTGGATGTGCCTGCCCCATCAAAGCATATGAAAAGAAGCAAGGGCACCACCACCACCAGCAAGAGGAAACACAGGGGCAGGAAGTGAACTGGTATGTTACTCCATGTTCCTTAGGTATATTTGACTGATCATATGGTATAATGGTTTGATTTTTAGCATTGCTCGTCACATTCCTGTTGTCATGTTTTCTCTCACTAGCATCACATCACAGCTTTGGACAGACTTCGCATTTTTCGATATCATTGCACAACTACTGGACTCTCACAATTGCACTCTCTATTTCCTTGTTGCCATCATGCATACATGTATTTGTGGCTTGTGTTTCCTTTGCACTCAGTTTATGTGTCTATGCCTGCACGTCTATGTCTGGATGCTTGTACTGTATTATAATGATGACATGAGCTTACACAACATGAAAAGTCTAATAAAGTATCATAAGGTGCCAGCAGGTGCTAAGGTCTTCCATTCAATACATCAAATGATCAATCATATGACAAAAAATCATCATCCTGATCAATCATTGCTCAAAAATGAGTTCCTATATAAGCTTATATCTCAGTGCTCTGAATCTGCTGGTACCTTCCAGGCCTGTTGTATCTCTAGTACATGCTGTGTGGTGATGTGACCTTATCTTCCCATATCTAGGTTTTGGACTTTTGCTGATGAACTCACAAGTGTCATATTCTCAGTTCTGTTGATGCTCGATTGAATTGGTTTATACCATGCCTGTCATGAAGTTGTATCATTACAGATGTACTACCAAGCCCAACAGATGAGCTCATGGATGCGTGGTGGACAGGTGGGCCTCACCTCTGGATAGAGGACAATGTTGCACATGATCATCATGATGGTTATACTTAAAGTCAGTCCTATCTCCCCCACTCGCTCTCACATCTTCTCACTTGCTTTAAGTTATCTCCCCATGTTTGCCCTCATTTTTGGACCTTGTTTCTCCTTTCATCACTCAGATACTCACAATCAGGCCTCTCTCCCATTATTTCAATTGCATCATTCTCCAGTCCCTTTATGGTTCAGTCTCTCTTATTTGATTTTGCTTCTTTTACTCATCTCGACACCAACCATCATCAATCTCCTTCTTCAACTTCCCAACTGTTGTCATTGCTGCTTATTGCCACTGGCCTGGGATACTTCCAAATGTTAACCATCAACTCCAGACACTGTCTGTTGACATAACACTAATGCTTACACAACTCTCTGGCCTATCTTCTGTTACCTCCTCTGGCAGGCATAACAATGGAGCATGCAAGTGCAGAGTATTATAAGAAGGTACATTCATTCATTTTATGCCTTGCCATCTGGGCATGTTTAATCTGATGATCTTGATCTGTATCTGTACATCTTATTGTACATCTAATCATCACACTCACGGATCCTTGCACCCATACATCCAGCCATCTCATACAACACCCACAAAGGCCAATCAAATATTTGCAACCTGGTCCACCACTCTCCTCCAATCAGGTGACTTCATCTGTGTCCACAACTACCATATCCTCTTAGTCCCATGCACACTCATGAATGTGATACATTCTGGTGCTGTGAGTTGCAGGGGTAGAGAGAGTGGTGGCTATGTGTAAGTGTTTTTTGGATGACAATGGCAAGAGTACTGATATACTACATCACAGGATTATTGGTCTTTTCATCCATATGCCTTTCCAGTTCAGAGGTGTTGAAGCATTTACTGTGTGCATCCCTCTCCTCCCCTCTCTCTAGAATGCTCACAGACAATACCAAAGAGCATGGCAATGTAGAGCTCATTGTGTCTCCAAAATAGTTTGCACAACTGCCATTGGGCATAGTAGCAAGCGAATGCATTCAAATTGGTATGTAATGATGCCCAAGTAGTGGTGGAAGATTGGTCTTGGAGACACCTCAGGGGGAGGTGGTGTGTTTGTACTACCAGCATAATTCCTGGGAAGTGTCACAGACTCACAGGACTGCTGCAGAGAATTACATTCAAGATTGTCTTATCATCCAATACCCAGATCCACCCACATGATATTTTCCCATTTCCCAGTGTTTTGACAGTTTTACTTTGAAGCTGGACACACTTGAGGGGTGGTCTGTACCAGCTGAGTCTACTTCACTGGTGTCTAGGGGTATACAGGAGGGACCATTTGTGGCATTTGTAGTTGTTGATGACATAGTGTGTTTCAATGCAACAAAGTAATTGTCACTGCTCACAGGCATTTCATTTGTCATAACGATCTAGAGTATATCAAGTGGGACTTGCCAACATTTCGAAGTCAAAGAGGGTGCCCTGCACAGGTGAGTCAGTATATGATGTGCCTCTATCTTGAGGTTGTTTGACTATGGGTGCTTAATCAATGTTGCATTGAGGCACAGGAAGTTTTGAAGACTGGGTCAAAAGTGACGGTACCAAGTTGACTCACTCACATAGAAGACGATGCTGCAGGATGTTCATTGTGAGTTGAGTATAATGACACTAACTTTTAAGCACAAAAAAGCTAGGAAAGTGAATGTGTGATTCCCTGATGCTAATAGTACAGGAACAACTATCTTCCTTCATCTATAAAGGGCTGAAGGGGAAACTAACAGCACTAGTACAAGACAACTTTGTGTCAAATGATAGCAGTTCAAGTGAGTTCCCACTCTTCCCCATCATCCATATAGATGAGCTCCTCCATGTCCAAGCCCTGATTGTCCTTACACAAGGTAGGCCCTACACTGAATTTGCTCAACAGGTCACTAAACTTCAACCCCAACTTAGGAGCACTTGAAACTATTGCTTGACCACTGGTGGTGAAAACATTAATGGACAGATTGATGGTGGTCAACATGATAATGATCTTGTCAGAGCCAATCATGATGGTCCCTGCAGTGCCCCCGTTGCTGAGACTAACACAGAAGCGAGTGCATTTGGTGTGTGAAACATAGACCGCGTGTGCCACATTAGACAATTTGGGATAGTACCAGTACTCATGAGGAGAGACTTTGGAGTGAATGAAGAAACTTTGGTAGGGCTGCTATCAGCCAAATATGGAACATCACACAAGGAATTGACTCACGAGTTCCCACTAATGTGGTCCACAAAATGGTCAGGTGGCATGATGATGTTCAACCTGCAACCCATAAGGTCACTCATTGTCATGAAAAATACCTTGTCAAAGAATTGGGTTGCAACCCCAGGCATGATGAGGGAGCTGCAGGGGTCAACCTGTCCCAATTCATAGGTGTAGAACTGGGCATTGACATGCCAAATACTGTTCACGAACTTAACAATGGTGGAAGTGGACACAGCGCGCCACCACTCATCAGCAACTGCACAGCTAGCGAAGGTAATCACAAACCAATAGCCCATGCCATTGTCGCTCTGGATGGCAATTTAGTATGACATTGCAAACATTCAAAGAATGAACTTTGGACATACCTGTTTTACATATGCATGGAAAACCATGATTGTACATTAAGAGATGATTCATTGGTTGTGTTTGGGCTGAAATGAGTTGCTTTAACACTGTTATATAGGGAGAGCAAGTTATTTGATGTCAAGAACTTGCACGTACTTGCGGTGTTGTGTGAGCTGGTCTGCACTGGGCAAGGGCTTGATTGGATCATCACTCTGCAGGTAATGAATACTAATTGTGGGCAGAAGATTAGGCATGCAGTCATGTAATACCAAGACTCACAGATATACATTGGTCTGCCTTTAGAAAAATTTAGCCTGGGCCTGCAGTGGTTGTGTGCCCAACCCTTGACCCTTACCACTCACAGGGCTAAGCTGGACTGATAACCACTGTTGCTCTCCAAGGCTGGGCCATGTGGGCCAGAGCCCTGGCCCTCCTAGTACTAGCCCTACTCAATAATGATTTTATTTCACGAAAGTTCTTGCCAAAGCTTCTGAGAGAAAATGCAAATGAAATGAACAAGGCTTCAACACGTTCGGGAATCGGCACGCACATAGCGGCGCTTGAAAGCAGCTAAGCGAGGGCACAGGGGTTTCAAACTTAACTAAAGTCAGTCCTATCTCCCCCACTCGCTCTCACATCTTCTCACTTGCTTTAAGTTATCTCCCCATGTTCACCCTCATTTTTCCGCATGATGGTCTCCCGTTTCCTAGCATTGTAACCGTTTCACTCTGAAGCTGGACATACTTTAGGGGTGGTCCAGCGTAGTGAAGGACCATTTGTGGTATTTGTGGTTGTTGATGACATAGTGCATACCACAACTTTCAATGTGACAAAGTAATTGTCACTGCTCACAGGCGTTTCATTTGGCATAACGATCTAGAATATATTGAGCGGGACTCGCCAACGTTTCGAAAGGTTTCGAAGTCCCGTTGGACCAATTTGATAGCCGTGAGATAGCCTACCCAACGGCTATACTTATTATTCTATTCTGCCAGTATCTCCCCCCAACGTGTCTGAAGTCAATTTGACACTGCACACATTGGCTTCAAGCTTCCTGCTTTCCTCCTCACTAATTCCAGCTCACAATCATATCCAATTATGTCTAACAATTTCGACAGTCTGGGGGGCCTGTTATGTTCGTAGAATATGAAATTGGTCCGGTCCGCTTGCTGCGAGGCTTCGTTATGAAGTTGAGCAGATCAATAAGTGGCTGGGTCAGATGCATCTCTGCAGAATTGAGGTCAGCAGCTTTCTTTCATCGAGCTTGTAGTTTTAGGACAGACATCTACAGTATTAAAGAAATTGGAGATATTCGTGTAAATGTGTTCACGTTTGGTGCCAACACTAGTGCTCCCGCCGATCAAGATGGAATCCATCTGTTGGATGCGTGGACAATTATTGGTCCTATCATCAATGATGAAGGCAAATCTGCGCATTCCCATTGTTGATCATGTACATGACTTCTCTTCGTCTTCGTATTTTTGCTCATTTATCTATCTATGTACAACTTACAACCCCTTCCTGATGGTGCTCGCACCTTTCCAATTGACATCATAGCAGGTAAAATTTCGCGCAGTACCTTCTCAGTCAAGCAGGAAAATGGATTTGATATGGATGTCTCACATGGGTGACTGGTGACCTGGAATCCACGGTATTCGTGGATCGGATTGGAGAGGACTGCTATGGAAATCGGCAGAACTTTGCACTCATAACAGCGACCACAACTTGAAGCTTCGACGACACCACATTGATCTCCTCTTCCTGCCACATGTTCTCGAAGACGTTGAGACCTGTCTTCATCGTGCATTCCTTTCCCCTTTCGATGTCCGTGTCGATGAATTCAACGACACAATTATGGATAAATTGCCGGGCGATTTTCGTAAGTATCGCAAACAGACGATGATTACATATTCCACTTACGAGACAACATAGAATCTTATTTTAGTTACTCCATTGAATGCACCAGAATACACCCCCGTCTACCTTGTAATGTTAACCCATCCTAGAGTATCTTCTCGTCGCTTGGATCTCAAATAGAACTGCATTTGTGCCATTCAACGAAGGCTCTCGGTAGAACAGGGATCAGTCAAAAACATGCGCGTGGTTACACTGCGTAGCGCAAGAGCAGCAAACAGGATATCTCCACAACTACGATGGAAAGCCGGGAGTAAGCCCACCGCACTTGAATAGGGCTATGTCCAACATAGGGTCTCCGACTCCAAAGAACAATAAATTTGATCTCAAAAGATATCTCCATGATCCCCTTCTCGCTGGCGTGGAAGTTGTTGCCCTCTTCCAGACCTGATAATAATATTCCCGACACTGTTTTGAAGATATCAGAACTTCAAGATAACGACTTCAGTCGTAGTGCAGACGGCAGTGCCTCGTGTTCAAACCAATGGCACAATTTTGGGTTCCATGCTTACCCACGAAGCACCACCGGTCACATATAACTCCAAGGCAACAGACTGGTAATACAAATAGAAGTCTATTGGGTGCAGATATCGGAGAGGTATACAGTCCCAAAGTCTGAAACATGGAAATTTGTTTTCTTGGCAGCAGGCTACACGTAACCACAGCTGGATGCTACACGCGAAGTCGTCAAATTAACACGTTAATCCGCAAGCTGGGGGTACGCATAAAATTGATCATATGCTAATATGTATGAACACTATGCGCTGGCCTAAGGGCATATCCTTGCCGCAAGCCAACGACTGGACCGCTCGGTGCAGCGCTCGGGCAGCTCGTAGTTCGTTTGGAATTCATCTTGCCATCCCCGCACAAGTTTTTGTAGAATGCCTCGACTAAGCGTTGCACAGTACTATCGTTGACCTTCCATAATGACCCGACAATACTCTTAATTCCAGCGAATTGCAGGCCAGCCGCTAGGTGTATCACTTCGTCGGGCGTTCCAGGGACACCGACTGCCGTTTCACAGGCAGAAAGAAATGCAAATCGATGCCGAGAGATCCATTTGGGTGATATGGAAGAGTGAAAGCGGGTGGCCGCGCATAAGAAAGGCCGAATTGAAGGGTTCGTCAAATTTTTGTGTCCCGTAACACGCGAAATGGAGCCAAGTATTATCTCGCAACGCGCACTGTGCTCTCGATTTCGTGGCATCAACGCTCGTTATCCTGGTGAAGGAAACAGTTGTAGGATGGGGCAAAAAACTCGCATCAATTCCAGCTCAGGTTCCACACTATCCAAAGTGAATGAAGCACCAGCTGGGCGATTCTCAGGCTGGCCAATGGCAGCGAAGAACACTGACAGCAACTTGTCATGACTTCTGCGCCCACATCAGCGCGGCAAGCGATGGGGTGTATGAGGAGATATATGGGACTCTCCAATTGGCCTGTATTCACCAGGCGGCAGCGTGCAATGGCAAACTTGACACCAACGAGTTCTCATGGAGCATTATGTTGCTCCGTCGGACGCATAGTAGACGCATGTTTTAGCCCGTAGTGTTATTGACAGAACTCACGCCAAGGGAGGGTGGCGGCAGGATGTGGCAGAACTTCAGGGTATCCGAGACTCGAGTCTTGCGGAGATGTAATTTAGATCTGATAATACAGTTCGAATTCAATAGAACAAGAAAATCGATGTCCCTGAGTAAGACGGTGCATGCTTGCATGACTGATCAATGACAATTTCGACATTGCTGCCGAGACTGCCAAGGATCATGAAGCATACTTCGCGTGGGCACCTTCGTTCTAGACCGAGCCTCGTGATGCAGATGACCTTCTTGTTGGTCAAGAGAATATCTTGCCTGACAACGTTGCTGCTGAATTTGCGGCTCTCAAGGAATTGAAGAGGACCAAAGAAGATGAGAGCTTCGACGAAGTTGAAGTGCTCGAGGGAAATGCTTTTGATTTTGGTGAGTTGGAACAAGGAATGACTCGGCAGGCTATTCTATATGAGGTTAAGGTGGTTAATTGCAATGGTGAGGAGAGGATGACGGATGGAGTGAGGCAACATTGATGTCGTCATTAGAAATGTCATACAGTCCTGCATGGCCTAGAGTTCTGCCACCCGGCAAAACAACCATGTTTGCCAGTTTTGCCGGTCATAACCAGAAGAACTGACCCTTGGCAAGTAGCTCTTCCCTCTACACTAGTTTCGGGACTGACCCCCCTTTACTGCCTGTGCATAAAAGTGAAGGGATAGCCTTCAGTTCGATAACAAAGAACACCATCCAGCCCTATCCTGAAGTGTAACAACGAGGTTCATCTCACTCGCTACTATTATTATGTCTGCCGCAGTGTTGGCGGGCATTGTTACAGCACAAGATCCTACCGGCGGTTCATGCAACCAGCCTGGTGAATACTTTCATCATACCTGTGTTTTGATTTCAGACTGCGTACTTACGGGTGCTTGCAGGACAGTATGAGTGCGGACGATCTGCAAGTTATAACGGGAACAATGCGTATTTGTATTTCTGTTTGTCGGACAACTTTGTCACGGAAGTTAAAAATTGCAACTGTCCGCAGTGCTGTTACGTCGTCGGTGGAGGTTTAGGTCCCAATGGATCCAAAAGTTGCACATAATTAGAGGAGAAGGGGAGCCCGCGTCTTTCTTGCCGTATCATAGTGATAAGTTACGATTGTCTCCGTAGGGTGTATAGAAATATCTTGTTGAGGCTCAATGATGCTGCCAGCAGATTACAATTTGTTTGCTTTTGTTTGTATCACGCGTGACGTTCACTTGTAAATCGCAGCAGTGTCCTTCACCTGCCCCTTCGAGGATGTCCTACTATTCACGATCACCTCCGCCTCTTCAACACCCAGTTCCGACTCATCCAGCTTTCATACCAGAACCGCCTTCAACGCCAGCTTCACCTCAAGGCTACCAACGCTTCGCTAGTTCGCCACCACAAAACCAACAATATGCCGCACGAACTCAATACCATCCTCCTCCATTTCAACCAATCCCGAATCCTCAACCCCAACACATTCCAGACTTTGCAGCATGGGGCATGAACGACACTACCGCTCAGTTCGGAATGCACTTAGGTCAAACAGCTGTTGCTGCAGGCCAAGACTATGTCCAAAAGAATGTACGTGTCCTCGATTTATTTATACTCTGCTTTCTCACCATGAACAGTTTGCCGGCATGATACAAGTCACCATGCTAAAACACCACTTCAACGTTTCAAACTCCTATGTCATGCACAAACTCCAGCTTATCATATTCCCCTGGCGACATAAACCCTGGACACGAAAAGTCCGTCGCACAGAGGCTGGTCTTACAGAGTGGCAACCTCCTCGCGACGATATCAATAGTCCCGATCTGTACATACCCCGTGCGTCTTTTTCCCTCTCAACTCACCCCTTCTTATTCCTCGCGCAGTCATGGCACTCGTCACCTACATCCTCGTAGCAGCGTTTCAAACTGGCCTTCAAGAACGATTCCACCCCCAAATCCTCGGTGCAAGTGCAACACGTGCTCTCCTCGTCGTTCTACTCGACTTTCTATTCGTTCAGTGTGGCTGCTACCTTCTCAATGTCCAAGGCACGGGTCAGGTGGTGGATTTGATTGCTTATGGTGGGTACAAGTTTGTTGGGTGAGTTCGCTCCTTATATCCTTTCACTTCATTGCTAACTCGAGCCAGCGTCATCCTCACACTCTTCGCGGGTCTCCTCAATCTAAACCCGACGATATATGCCCTCGTATTCCTCTATGCATTCGCTGCAAACGCGTTGTTTATAGTATGTCCCTTCTATATACCAAACACCTTACCCACTCACATTCGTGTAGCTTCGGTCCCTCCGCTCAGTGGTCCTTCCCGACTCACCCGCCAACGTGGGCACAGTTAATCCCGCATCAAGAAAACGCCGCATCTCATTTTTGTTCCTGGAAGCTGTTTTGCAGGTCGTCTATATGGGTATTTTGGTGAGGGTGTGAGTACCTGGCGTACTTTCGAATCGTCGCACGAGGGTAATATAAACTGCCATGCATGCTTTTTTCGTGAGCGTTGATCGTGATGATATTAATTAACCGCATGTAATAATATAGCTCCTTGATAACATTCCCCTTGCATCCAGCGCTTGATACGCCAATATAATGGTGGGTTGGATGACGGGAAGATGGCATGATTCTCGGTCCAAATGATTTTTCGATACCAGTTCCCGCTAGCCAGGCAGTGTCATGCATGTGCTCCTCGAAGTTTATATCTCTGGCAACAAGTCATCAAAATCCGAGCTAATTTTCGTGGTTCTACATCGTGGTGTATAATTAATTAATCGTTGTTTCTGGTCTGCTTCCTCTCAGCTTTTTTTCCAGTCTTCTGTCAAGAAACTCAACAGTATCATGAAAAAGCAGTAGCCCGGGATGCTCGGCCTCATCGCAAAGTATCTCACTGAGATATGTGCTGCTATGTAGCGCAGCGACGGTCGGCAGTGGTCGGTTTTCTTCAAGAGCTCAACTTGAGTATCTTGCGCCCCAAAGGACACACTAACACAAAACAAGGCGCCTGTCACTGCCCAAAACAAGTCAGATATCAATGAAATGTCTTCTGTTCTCTACAATATCGACGTCAGGACCTCAGAGCCAAGAAAGGTAGCACTGACCGCGTCTTGAGATGCCCTTCAGTGTTGTGAACACGTCCGAGATCATGCCTTCTTCTTTTGCTATGTGTTTCGCCTGTGCGACTGCTGTGATCATTGCAGGAGTGAGTCCGAGAAAGTAACGAAGCGCCGAGAGAATATTGTGCGTGAACGTTCATGCTCCGGTTCGAGCCCTCATGCAAAAGGCTATAGCATCCTGGTAACAGCACCGTTTTGCAGCTGACAAAACCTCCAGATCAAGTTGAAAGAGTACGAGATGCTGTCAGTAACTTTATGAAGAATTGGGTACGAGATTGATTCACCTCACTGTCTTATCATCCAATTATCATCTGCCAGAACTGTGCTGTACGCCACCGCACCAGATTTGATGCCTTGCTATATGTGTTCGAAGCGAATTTCCAGCTGGAATGCAAGAACCAGGATCGATCACGATATGAGGTCAAGTGTGGCTCTGGGGCAAAGACACCGTCTCGTGGCTAACGTTGTCGTAAACTACCCCATCAAAGGGTCATCTAGGGTTGGCATGAGCTGATCAGATGGCATGCGCACTCAGTTGTGCGCAAACTATTTCCTTCCTTGTAAATACAATAGGAGGGTCCTAAACAGTATTGGAAGGTCGATCAGATGTTTGTCTTCCAGGCCCAGAAAAGTTCAGAGCAGTAGTACTATCATACGAAGGAGACAGCTGACTTCAGCCACAGCCTCACAGGTGCGAATGATGCGACCCGTCTAGCAACTTGGACGGGGCAATTGCGGCTCAATCGCTGTTGATAGTTTAAGCTATACTGGTCGAGGTGCCGAGATAGTAATAGATGGTATCATGGTATCATGATATATCAATCAAACGTTCAGGGAGAAAAATGACACGGAGGACAAAAACACTACAAGTTAATAATTTTACAATGTGACTGCATGCAGCAAATAAGCGTGGGACTAATGTTGGACTCTGACTCTCTGAGATCTGAGAGGTTCCCGTGTTCTTTCTCTCATCAGTATGACAGTATTCTGTGACCGTGAGCCTGTGAGAGGTACTTTGAGATGTGCTGTGCAGGCGAGTGCTCTGATATTCTTGGACTATCATGATCCTAATTAAAGTACTTATACTTCTTGTAAAGGGCGAGCAGCAACTGTTGATATGTCGATAAGCACCTCGTTACAACTTCATGAAAGGATATCACTATTGAAATTCATTGTCTTCTTTGCAGTCCTTTGTCCTCGAGCTTGTTACAATCATTCACTGTGCAATCCGTTGTCCTCGTTTCTAACCCCATGACATATCTATACGGCAGTCTTCCGATTCAGGCTAGTCACTCTGCTCTTTCTTATCATAAGAAGTTCTCTGCATCGCAACTTGTGGGTCCACAGGTAGCACAGGACCACAGCTTTGTGACGGGAGTGCCAATGGTTCCTTCCGACAGTCGCTGGAAATTTCCTTCTTTTGTTATTAGTCTGTGGTTCCGACTATCTTAACTGACGCCGAAAATTTGTATAAAAGGCCCATCGATCTATTAGTACTTGTGTACACGATACATACCCTCCTGGGATTCGAATTTTTAACCGTGATCATTGTTGTCTTGAAATGATAACCTCATCTTCCAGCGTCGACCTTACAGCGTCTGCAGACAATGGCGTCGGGCTCTCCGACTCCACTTTGTCACAGCACCGCCGGAGGATGCTTGACCTCATCAATCGCCTACATATGACAGGGTTAGTCCCCCCCCTCCCCTTTTTTCATGTTCTTGGGCTCATTGAGTCAATGTAAATTCTAGTGTACAGACGGACATGGACCTGCCCATAATCGCAGTCATTGGTTCGCAGAGTGCGGGCAAATCGTCTCTTATAGAATCTATTTCTGGGATCACACTCCCTCGCTCGGCTGGAACGTGCACGAGGTTAGCTCATGCCCGTTTTATTTTTGGAAACGCCGCGTCTGATCCTGTTGAAGATGTCCAACCGAATGTAAACTTTCACACTCGGAAGATGCCTGGAAGTGTCTCGTCAAACTCCATATCACCACCGGCCCATCGGGCCAACCCTGTGATGTGGTCAACATTCCATTTGGATCACCTATCACCGATAAGGCGGATGTGGAAGATCGGATCAGGCGGGCTCAAAGAGCAATCCTGAACCCCAGCATCAACGCCCAGAAATTCTTACATGAGCTAGAAGATCAAACTGCTGACCAAGCTGAGTTATCTTTCTCCAAGAATTGCGTCTCGTTGGAGATAAGTGGCAAGGATGTGGCGGATCTTTCATTCGTGGACCTTCCTGGACTCATCGCGAGCGTCGGGAGTGCAGGAAAGGCCGGGGATATTGATCTCGTCAAGGGTTTGGTGACGTCCTACATTGAGAAGCCCAGTTGTGTTATCCTTCTTACGGTTACTTGTGAAAGTAAGTGGATTTCGCGTTTCAGTTACTTTTCTTTACAACTCCTATTTTCCTAGCCGACTTTGAGAACCAAGGAGCACATCACTTGACGAAGCAATACGATCCTGAAGGCAAGCGCACTGTCGGTGTGTCTGTGCATTTATGAAACCTTCGAAAACAATGATTAACTTCCATGTCGCAGGCGTGCTCACAAAGCCGGACCGCATTCCTGCTGGTGAAGAGAGCACTTGGCTAAGGTTCATCCGGAACGAGCAGGAGCCGCTCGTGAACAACTGGTACTGCGTCAAGCAGCCTGGGTCTCAGACGCTCAAAAACGGGATCTCCTGGGCCGAAGCAAGGAAGCAGGAAAATGACTTCTTTGCTTTGACACAGCCCTGGTCGACCGTAGAGCCGCAGTACCAGAAGTTCATGCGGACAAGCAACCTGACGGAGCGGCTGAGCGCGATTCTGTCCGAGCTTATCGCGAAAAGGTCGGAATTCTTATCTTGGCGCCTTGCAATGCTGATATGCACGTAATAGGCTTCCGGATATCCACAAGGAATTGTACAATATTTTGCGCAAGACTCAAGACGAAATAAGAAAGCTTCCCAAGGCCCCGTCTACCGATCCCGTGGGTGAGGTTTGGAATGTAGTCGGTCAATTTTCGAGCCAGTTATCTCGACGACTCGAGGGGACGCCTGATAAAGACGGTATATTGCAGACTATTCGACCACACCAGCAGGCATTCAAACGTGCTGTAAGAGCAACAGCCCCAAGGTTTATTCCATGGGGAAAGAACGACGTTCGTGAACTGCCGGCGATTGATTTCCTGGCGAACGAGGAGGACGAACCACAGGAGCCTCAAGTGGGCCCTCCCGTGGATACTCCAAGATTGCCCACACCACAGTTGGATAAAATTTACATCGAGGATGTTCTCAATCACGCCCAGAGGTCCTCGAGGTTCATTCTTGTGTTGTAACAAAAACTGACTAGATCCTAGGGCTCGTACTCGCGAACTTCCCGACAACTACCCCTTCATTGTGCAACAGGACATATATAAAGGAGTTTACCGAGAAATGGGAGACGCCCTCGCTAATACTTTTCGACAAAGTGTACGACATTCTGAAGAAAGACCTGAGCGATCTAGTCCACGAGCATTTTGGGAAAATGGGAAGGGGCGGCGCACTTCACAGCGTGCTGTATGTGCATCCCGCACTATTCGACATCTTTACGCTGATGCCATCGTTCCCCCAGGATGATAGTCAACGAGCACCTTGACAGCGCCGCAAAGCAAGCAAAGGAAAAAATCTCTTGGCTTTTGGAACTCGAGAAGGCACCGACAACTTTGAACGTGCACTATTACTCTGACTACAAAACCAAATTCCTCGGATATTACAAGGGTTGCAGAGATCACGGAGAGCTGACAAAAAAGCTGCAGAACTATCGTGCGCCTACTACAATTCACCCAAACCCAATCCATGGGCAAGCGTTCCAGCAAGCCGTCCACAAGGCTCTCGCTGGACTGACCGAGGCTGGTTTTTCCGTGGAGGCCAGTGATCTTCCACAGCTTCTGCCCGTGGATTCCATGGAGCCTGCCCTTCTGATTATGGCAGGAGTAAGGGCGTACTTCCAGGGTATGTTTTTGCACGGAGACGTGGATTTAAAACTGAAGGAGCTCCTTTGTAGTTGCCTACAAGCGCTTTGCTGACATGATTCCGTTGGCCATCGACTATGAAATAGTCCGCGGTCTGCATAAGGGCATGGAGCAGGCGCTTCTTGATGGGTTGAGCTTGACAGGGCCCGATGCATACGTGCGGTGTCAGCTGATGGTCCAGGAGCATAGTGCCTGTGGCCTCGAAGCGTACAGAGCTGCAGAAGAAATTGGACAGGCTTCATGCCGCTAGTTTAGAATTACGCAAGCTCTTTGTATAGGATTTCGCATGCCAGTAGTGTATCTAGATCGTACCTAGATAATCATGAATGTTTGAATGCTTCTCATGTAACAAATGTGCGCTTACACAACGCGGTGGTCTGTGCGTGGGAAATGTACTAGCCAAGGAAGTGTGTGACTTTTCAGTATGAGAGTGACGGTGACCCGAAATCGAATCTGTGGTCCGGCTGTCTACCATACGCTAATCAAGGCCTAGGTCCACTTCGCACAGGATACTCAGATAATGGCCCCCTCGCCGTCGACGGCGTCGGTACCCCTTTCAACGTCGTCCACAACATCCACCATGGCCTTATCAACGGCGCCTGCTACGACTGCGAGCTACTCAACCGGTGATCATATCTACAAGGGTAAACATACAAACAGATCATGGCAACAGCTCCCCCCAGAGCTCATCAGGTACCTCTGCGCCACTGCATGGCAATTCCAGCTATTTCTAATTAAACACGCTTGCATAACAGACATATTGCGTCTTTGTACCTCAAGGATGTCGCTACGCACCTATACTGTCCGTTCACTTGGGAAGTTAGGGAGGTTTGGCCCTCAAGAATGGTCTACGCAGCTTTATGTCAGGCCATAGAACTCGAGAAGTTGATGAATGTCACCCCTTCTTGGTGTACTGCTCGTGTGTTTACCTACTTTATCTTATCACTGTGACGCGCTAATTCACTGTGCTAGTCAAATCCCATCTATTTTGGAATCATGCATGCGCACTCCTGGATCCTCATGACATACTTCACCAATATGCAATCGTACGCCCTCAAGCCCCCGCAGATGGGGCTGCAGGGGCTGCAACTATCGCGCCACAGCCTTACCGTTTACCCCCTCACACCCACTTTCGCACTATGACCTACCATTCCTGCATCATCTGCCGCGTCAATTCACCTTGTTCGTCCGTTGGCCTCGGAGCCGCAAAGCGAACACATGTTGTCCCAAGGTTGGGCGTGATATCCGTGTGTCGCGAGCATCGCAAAACCGCATTTTGTGGTGTATGCCTACGTGAGGCTCCCGCCGCCGAGTGTGATCCCCAGTTTGATATCAGAGTAACATGCGTCTCAGCGGTTATAATCAACTGTACAGCCATGGAAATTTTAATCTGGCCTTGGGCGGCTATAACCCATATGCAACTACCCTCAATCCTGCTTTGATGGTATTGTGTTCTGAAAACGAAGATGACGAAACCTGGCCTGGCGTTGATGCAACGTGTAGGTCATGTCGTTCGGAAGGTCTTTGGAACCGCATCAAATCAAGTGCTCGTGACCGCGAGGCGATTGGTGGTCCACGTTTTGTTCAATCCTCGTCATCGTCACGCTCCTCACCCGTAAGCCCGCGACAACTCGCATTAGCACGTGTTCCACCCTGGAAATACGCATCGGCAGGATTGGGAGACGCGTCAAACAGTCGATGCGTTCATCGAGCTGGGCGAAGGCTCAATTACAGAGGTCCTAAACGTTGCCCGCGAAAAGCTGTGGCTACGATCATACACGAAAATGCCGGAGTTGATGGAGCAAGCTGTTGCTGCTACTCGTTGGGCTAGCGAAGGCATGGGGACAGATTTCTCGCAAAATTCTTATCATCATCGTGAACCGGAGAGTGTAGCAGCGCCGCAGCAAGATCATACACGCACTACAGAAGGAGGGGACTCGTATAGCCCCGTCAACAGCCTGTCTCCACGTCGTTCGCGCTCACCGTCTCCGCGGTCAGCGTACTCCTCGGATTATGAGGGCTCGGAGGATGAAGACGATCCTGACTTGCTTTCTATGACTGAAGATGCTGGTGGTGTGCGCGACCTGGCCATTGCTGATTGGGCACGGACACGAATTCTTGATGGACACTGGTGTAGTCCTGCCGACCAGTGGTATGGTTACGCTCGACCGACTGGTGGAGGTGTCAGGGATCCTGGCGAGGAACCTGACTACGAGTCGGAAACTGACGACGATGAGCCTCTTGAGAGTGGACAGTCTCGCCGCCGCATCAGAGTTCCCGCTACACATCCTTGTCCGTGGACACTCTCGAGGCCATCGTCCCCATCATCTCTTCCCTCACCCACCGACGACTCGCATCCACGCCTCTCGACTGTTCGTTCTCAAGCCCCACCGTCGTTCGGACTTTGTGAGCAGGCCTTCCGTGCCTTTTCAAAACAGTTGCGCCAGATCCTATTGCCTGGGATGAACAATATTGTCCGCCGGCTCGTTATTGAGTCTGCAAATGGGATAGGAGGCGCTTGGATAGACCCTGCTGTGCGCGCATCGAAGATGAACCTTGAAGATGTGCTTGCTGAGTTGCGCACGCCTGGAGTATGGTTTGATGGCGTTGACTGGGCGGCCGGCGGCTTGGACATCGGCGGTAAGCGCGAGGACGATTCCTTGAGTAGCACCAGTGCGTCGACGAGAAGCGATGGATCACATACGACGAGCCCTGTTCTTTCTACGACAACGCTACACACCACGCCGTCGCCTCCACCGTCACATCCTGAGGAGAAAGAGCATGAGCCTGCAACGATAACGCCAACAGTAAGGCCGAAACCGCCACAAGTCGTTATCCCCATTCCCGTGTCACCGGTGTTAGAATCACCCAAGCTTTTACACCCTATCCCTTATGTACCGGTTACGCTGGCCCATATGGCACAGTACAGTCTCGAAGCGTTCAAACAGGTGAGTTTCATTCTGTGCCGCAATGCTACCTCGTCCGAACCAACTACATTAGGTATGGCGCGAGGCATGTGCACCACTGTATCACTGCCGATGCTCTGTCTGCGAACGTGCTATGATCAAGGCAAATGTTGCCGCCGGTAACCCTGTCACTGCTCAGGTGCGGCCTGCGCCCAAAAATGAACCCCAAGCCCGGGTACCACAGCCTCAACCACAACAACCGCCAGAATATGAGAACCTTAGTGAAATAGTTCTAGAAGAGGTACGTGTTCCAAGAACCAAGGTGGTGAAGGAGGAAGAGGAGGAGGAGCTAGAAGAAGAAGAAGAGCTGTATGAGGACGAGGAAGAAGAGAGTGAAGAGGAGCAGTATGAGCTCACGAACACACATTCCCAGACGCACACTGTCACACCCCGGAAACGCTCTTCTGGGGACCTCGAGGCAGAGAACGCTGCTACTGGTGATCCCATCGAGGTCCCTCGTACCTCGACTCCGCCAAAGCGTCCCCGGACAGACTCGGATCGTCCTGTTGATGACCGAGCGCGGCGCGAGAGTCTGTCGCGCCAATCCCTACGCCTCGCCAACGAAAACGCTCGTCAGAAGAGCTGGACGTGGGCAATGACTCTCCGTCCCGGGGTGACTCCCTACAAAAGCGACTGCGCGTTGAGGAGTCCTCGCCAGGCTCCCACTCAGCGCCTCGCACACTCAGCGTCTCACCTCCTGTGGTGGATTGCGCAGATGGGTATAGCAGGAAGGGCTTTGTTGACGCTGGGGATGGGGATTTTAGCTGTCTGCGAACGGGTCTAGTCAATGGTGGCGAGCTGGACGGGTTGTACGTGTTCGAGGAGCCGTAAGTTAATTTAAAAAGTGGAATTGTGTTCAGCATTAGCATGCTTTCAACTCTTGTATTTTGCATTCTGTACAACTATACCATATCTCCTTGGTTTTTTCTACGGCGACGACGACCACAACTAACACTGTTTACATAACTGAATCGTTGGGGATTTGGTGATAAGGGCTAACAGCAAAACAAAAATCCATCGTGCCCGCTGGCTGGATTGAACAACCGACCTCATCATTACGAGTGACGCGCTCTACCACTGAGCTAAGCGGGCAACGGGGAAGGTAGGCTGTCAATCCTACAAAATACCAATGATGCCTTGGACCTCATATTCATTATCATCGACCCCATCATTCTTCCCCAACCATGGCAGAGACGAGCCCAAAAATCAAGATTGTGCGTGCACGAGCTATAACTCGGAGCCTCCCACGATAACATGAAACTCTCCCAGATGGCGGGTGCCGCGCCAGACTTATCTGCGGCTACATTCCAAATTTTCGACGAGTCGCATACGATTGGAAATGCTCTGCGGTGGATGATCATGAAAAAGTATGTTCTGTTTTTTTTTTGTTTGATGAACGTTGAATTGATTGATGATGGTATTGGAAGCCCGAAGGTGGAGTTTTGCGGATATAGGTTAGTGAATGGTATCGGCTTGTTGTCTGCAGCCGCAGTGCGATTTGCTTTATTCTCTTGGGGTGCTAGTCGATACCCTCTGAACCTGGTTATCGCGGAGAGACACTGAGATGTGCTAGCGTGGCATCACTTGCTTCATATATGATGGATGTGTTTCGATTTACTGATCTGCTGACGCTTACAGCGTACCCCATCCTTCCGAAAACCTCATTCAGCTGCGAATACAGATGTATGGTATGCAATATTCGTTTGTCCCCACTTTTCCTCCTGAGGAGCCTGATCCGACTTTTTTCAGATGGGCTCTCGTCCTTGAATGCGCTCCTTGAAGCACTGACAAATCTTGATGCTGTATGTGAGGCCGTTGAAAACAAGTATCACGCAAGTCTTGCTACGAATGACTATGAGCGGTGGGAGGAGAGGAGCTAGGCAGTGCTGGTGTCCGCAACAAACGACTTGCTACTTTCATAACGAGTGCACTGCAGTTTGTTCGTTATGCAGTGTGCACGCGATAATGTGGACTACTCCCTTCTGGAGTTTGGCGCAATATCACATATGCATCTTCTGATGTCTAACAGAATAAGCGTCCTGCACGTAACAATTTGTCTTGCGAACAAGTGAGTATCATTGATCAGCTGGGTTGGCGATACTTCCTGTGGTAGCGATGGCAGTGTCGGGTTCATTGCGTGTGCTATTCGAAGTGGTTACCGACTGCGGGGTTAAACCCAGTGCCCACACTGCACAGCCGAATAACGTTAGTGCATGACCCTATAGCATGCTTTATAAATCCAAATGGTTGTGGTTCTTTGCATACGTATTGCGTGTTTCCCTTCAAGCCGCCAGTGAATATACCGCTGGTAATCATGATCCTGACGGACAAGCTTGCAGAGCCTGAGATTGATGCACCTCCTCCTGCTTATGACACATTATCAATCCACAGGGGCGCTCCATCGATACCTGCCATCGCCACTGCTTTCGCTCACGACAATGAGGCAGCTCCCACTGGCAGGACTAGTGTTGTTGTAACGGACGTGCATGAATATGAGCCTCCTTCTCGGGGTCGGCTGTGGGCACGCACGTTGCCCAGGAGCAGGAGCAACATTGACTTCACAATACAAGTTACACAACCTCAAAACGATGCAGTGATGTCAGCACCGGCCGCAGTGGACGTGGACAAATCTCTCCCAGAACGCCCACAGCTTGATTCCCGCAAAACCGTTCCCGCAGAATCTGCGTCCTCCTCCTGCCAGAAGCGCAAGCACGCCAAGGCATGTAAAACAAAATCTGGCCCAAGCTCATGGCTTTTTCTCCTCCCATTCACATCCTCCAAAGTTACGAAACATGTCCGTCAGTCCGTGCTCATGCTTATTCACGATCTCGTCGTTCCTCCGTCAACCAACTCTGTCAACCTGAATCCTAAATCTCCGCAAGTGTCCCTCCCAGATCCACACGAAATCCTAGCCTCCTGCGCCCAATCCTGCTCTGCGAAGAACCTGTCACTGTCTACGCTTCTTCAAGAGCCAACTGTAGCAGGTCACACTGCCATCTATTGGGCTATCGTCCACTATCGCCCCTCGCTCCTCGATGCATTGCTCAGGCACTCCTCCCCTTTAACGCCTGTAACGCAAAGTGAAATGAGGAAGGCATGTTTGGTGGCAAGTAATCAGGAATTGTTCCAAAACCTTAGACTCAGTGCGGGGTTGTGCGCAAGTGGGTTACGGAGTGGTGAGTCTTGAGTTGAGAAACTGGATTGGAGCTGATGCTTTTGACTCATTAGCCGCTGATAGACTGCTTCTTGGTCAGCGCCCACCAGATGACGTGCGTATTGAAGAGGGCCCTAATGGTGCCTTTGCTGCAACGCTGGATATCGCGATGTGGCAGAAACGTATACGTGCGGTTGGAAGCGTGAGCGTGGAATTCATTGCCTCTGGTGAATATCCTGTGCTCCTTTAACCCTCATTCCTGCCTTGATTCTTCATTAGTTTCTTTACCGTTAAGAAAATCCAGCTAACGTTCTTTGCATTTCAGGTCGTATATTCGCACTAACCTTCTTCACCACCGATCGTCCCCAACCCAACACCAAGTGCACCAAAGCCACAAGAGCGGTAGGAACATTGCACGTCTCACTCTCCCTCCTCGAGCACAGCCTACCAACCTACGTGGATGCAGCAGTAATCATCGATCGACCTCCTCCCCTTCCTTCTCCAGGGCCTTCTCCACGTTCACCAAGAAAGGAAAATTCCTACTTGCCAAAAGAGCACATCTACAGGGCCAGTTTCTCAGGCGGAGAGAAAAGCTATGACATTGAGAGCGGAGTGGGGTTTGGGGGTTATGAGGCAGGGAAGTGGGACTTCAACTATGATGGACAAGCGCGTGCGCGCTCGCCTTCTCCTCCTTCCTCGCCTAGCTCTGCTGGCTCTCCTTGCCATGCAACGTTCTCGGGTGCACATACACCTACACAGAAACATGGACAGAAACAGATGTTACTTCCACCTCCCTCACACCCCCACCGCAGGCTAATGCAGACTTGTTCGTCTCCCTCGCTCAAGCAATTGTCCTCGTCCCGTTCCTCGCATACGTTAACATCTGTGTTGGATGGCAAGGCCACAGCTTTCACGCCCAAGAAGCAGCTCGTGAAGTTGAGGAATGCCTCATTAGGATTGTGTGCCAGTGGGCATGCTCCGGTGGTGCTCCGTTTTAGTGCAGGCGAGTCTATGCTTGCTTGTCGTACGAGGAATGGAGGTGAGGTTCTTTCAATACTGTTTAATTTTTCTGCAATGAAGCGAGAAGCTTCTGTTGAATGAATCATCATAAATTCTGGCTGTCTATCCATCATACATATAGCAAACTGACCAATGACGTCTCTCGCCGCAGATCCACACGCCCTACCTCATCCTACCGCCAAACCTGATACCTGGTCCGAACATGGCACGTGCTATGTCTCTGCAATCGTAGTGCCACTCGGCGAACAAGATGGGGGCGGGTTGATGTTTGAGTGAGTTTTCCACATGTCCTCTCATAATATCCAACGACAGATCGGGGAATCGAAGTAATAGACGCTAACGTCCGTTTGCAGCACATCCCCGCATATCGCGCCTGATGGTAGTTTACGAGCGCGGCTAGAGACGAGGTTGGTGAAAACTGAGGAAGGAGGGAAGGAGTGTATTATTTGTTAGTTTGATGCAGGGCGATGGTCATTCTTTGGTATTGTAGTCTGGTGGATCTTGTATAGGATTGTACTCAGAGTCTCAGACATATGAGACTGTGGGATGGGCGGACAGTATGCTGCTACTAATCTACTAATCACATATTTCTTTCACCTCAGAGTTCGTCTCGATTCCAGTACTTCATATGTTAGACAGGTGTGTCTCGTAGATTTCGTAACCTGGTCCACTCAACGTAAGTGAATAATGTATAATGGATGAACGAGCAAGCTTTCAACCACGACTTGGACTCAAACTAATAGGTACCGGAAAAAGTTATCGACTTTGATGAGACGCCCATGGTGAGGAACTGTAAGTGGCATGAAAAGAGGTCATTGCATCGAGGAATCCGGTTGTATTCGTGAACCATCACCAATAATAGATATTGCAAGGGATCGATATTCTCGGAGAGTTGCCATGAGCAATACATCAGAATCAGATAGATAATCATCGTCAAGGTCACCATCATTGCCAAGCTCATTGGGGTCATCGTCATTGTTCTCCGGCACAGCTGCGAGCCTCATGAGTTGGGCTTGCCCTGCGAGATGTGCTCGAAGTTCAGCCTGTGTTCAGGTCCGGGCTGAGCCCGCGAACAAGAATTGAGCAGCTCTCCGACTTAGTAGAGGGAGTCACGTTCCGTGACCCGAATGAGATGATTTTTGGGCGTTTCAGCTGCACAGCCTATGCTGTGTACATATAAGCTGTGAAGCGAACACGTACCAGGAAGCAAAGAACTGAACTGACTTGACCAAAACAACCATTATTCCCTGTCGTCCGTCCATCACTGCTGATAGACCCCCTCGTAAGTGCTGATTTTGAAATTTGACAGATGAAAGCTGAGACAGCGCTGCACTTAGTAGTTGACTATGTCTTCATCCGTTGCTGGGGCGCAGGATACATCAGAGATAACACTCCGCCAGGAATTCAAAGGACACACTGATTGGATCTCGGGCGTCATACACCTGCCCAACGGACAGCAGATCATCACTTGTTCATATGACAGCTCACTCCGAGTGTGGAACTTGGAGAATGGGGCACAAATTGGAGAAGACTGGAGAGATGGAGAAAGTAAAGTGCACAGTATAGCATTGTCTCCAGATGGGAAGAAAGTGGTTAGCGGGAGTGATGATCATGCAGTGAGGTTGTGGGACATCGACACCGGCAAGGTTATGGCTAAATGGACGGGGCACAGACAAGCGGTGATATCTGTCTGCTGGAGTAGAGATGGTCGGAGAGTGTTAAGCGGATCTGATGATGGGACTGCAAGGCAATGGGACGTGGAAAGTGGGGGAGCTACACTTCGAGCATCGATCGTGACCAGTGCGCACCAAACAGTGTGGGCAGTCGTCTATTCACCAGACATGACCATGTTTGCAACTGGTGGACGTGATGGGCCCTTCACTGGAACACACTCAGTCGAAATCTGGAATGCAAAGACTGGCAAGCTTGTCACTATTCTTGAAGGACACACGGACTCTGTTCGCTGCCTGGCTTGGACCAAGGACGGAAAAATGCTCATCTCCGGGTCATTCGATTGCTCAATTAGGACATGGGATACAACCAAGTGGAAGCAAATTGCGATACTGGAAGAGCACACCGAAGGTGTCTTTGCCATTGCAGTATCTCCAAATGACCGCATCCTCGCAAGCGCATCGTGCGACAAGACAGCGCAATTGTGGAACCTCGAGAACAGCCAACCCATCAGATCCCCCCTCCAGCACGCAGAGGAAGTGTACTGTGTATCCTTTTCCATGGATGGAAAGCTATTAGTCACTGGCTGCTGGGACAAAAACGTGTACTTACGGGATGTTGCTGTGATTGAAGCTGGCCTCAACGACCTTTTGTCAGATTCGAAGGTGAGTTGACAGGCATGTTTCATTGTATTACATTCTCACAACTGAACGCGCCCTGCCAGGTTAACAAGTCGGCACTCAGTGTACGTGACACTCTCATTCAAAGATCTGATTGTGCTCGACTAATATACTCTAGGCTGATGATACTGGCATAGCCACGACTTCAATACCCTCAGACCCAGATGCAATGATAAGAGAAGAAGCTATTCAACGAGCGGTTTGGATTGAACTCGAATATGCCCCGCTACGTCTACTCAATACCTCCACGGGTCTTCTGTGCGATCGGGCGGCACAACTAAACGCCTTCAAAACGAGTGCAAAGTACAAAGAGCTTTTGTCATTCATAACAAAGCATTCAGAACTCCAAATGGAGCGCATCAAGGAAGTGGTAGCGATGTACTTTCGCTGCGTCCTGCTATCACACAGATGGGAAGAGAAGGAGGCGCTGCTGCACGACATCCAGGACAAAGTTGTGTACGAGTTGAGTGGACTTGGTGGTATCAAGAAACTGCAGTCATTCTGTGAAATCGCTCGTGACGCTGGGTATTGCTGGGCATGGATGGATACATGCTGCATCGACAAGAAGAGTAACACTGAGCTTCAAGAATCGGTCAACTCCATGTTCGTATGGTACCGCCACTCAGCGCTTACTATCGTCTACCTATGCGATGTCCCCCCTTCATCCCAGTCTGGTGCACTGGCGAACAGTGTTTGGAACGAGCGAGGATGGACATTTCAAGAATTTGTCGCTCCGAAAGTTGTTATCTTTTATCAGAAGGATTGGTCATTATATCTCGACGATCGCACTCCCAATCACAAAGAGTCCCCCACAATCATGAAGGAGTTGGAGGGTGCGACGGGCATAGATGCACGGGCCCTGATCTCCTTCCGTCCGGGGATGATCGACTCCCGGCGGAGGCTTCAATGGGCATCATCACGTGTTACTACATTGCAAGAAGATATCGCGTACTCATTGTTTGGTATCTTCGGTGTCCACCTACCTGTAATCTATGGCGAGAAGAAGCAGAACGCGCTCGGGCGGCTCCTACAGGAGATCGTGGCTCGGTCGGGCGACATCACCGTCCTCGACTGGATTGGACAACCTTCCGAGTTCAATAGCTGTCTTCCAGCCTTTATTACCTCTTACGCCACTCTTCCATGCACCCTTCCATCTTTGTCCGAAGACCAGATTCAGACAGCTATGTCTTCGCTGCGAAAAAATCCTCTGGCTGTGGAATTGGCTTCGAATCTTTACGACCGGCTTGATAACACGAGCGCTGCTCGTTTCGCGAACTGCAGACTGCATTTGCCTTGCGTAGCGTTCTGTGTTACAGAAGTCAGTCTGAGCTACAGTGCATCCCAGGAGACTCGGTATGAAGTCAAGGCAGACGGGCTTTATGACCTGCTGATCACCACCAAAGAGCCGATTGAGTTCTCGCGGACAAGGCCCCTTCATCAAACGTTTGTGCTTGTCTATCCCTGGGATCGGTCTCTCCTCGAGCCACCAGACTTTGCAAATCTACTAGACGATATGGAGAGCGGGGAAGGTTATTGGACGCCACCTTCCTCCCCGTCAGACGAGTCACCTAGCCGTTCTCTTGCAAAACAGGAGGTGGATGATTTAGAATCGCGAGCATTGCGGTTAGTTATTCGCCTTGGGCAGCCTTTTGGCGCATTTTTGCTAGCGCGGCAGCGCGGCGGAGAATACAAGAGGGTTGCATCGGATCGTGATATCATTGCACAGGTCAAAGATGTGGCTTCTGTTCGATACCCGATGGACGTCAGGACGGTAGAAATACTGTAGATGCATGTTCTCCCCGAAGATTAGAGATCTGAGCGGCTTTCATTGGTACTTCGTATGTGATACTACTAGATACGACATGCATGTGTTGGACTATGGTTTCCTTCCAGAGCAGACCATGGGGATCTATCTGCACCACTTCTCTATCCGATACTACTAGACTGATGTCCCATCATCCTCATTACATCTGCCTGCATGGGTGCTCGGGTTCAATTTGTGCTCCACCTCCCTATGTGCCTTCCTTTGTCCTCTGAAATTCTGTGCCATGCGGCAGTACAGAGCACCCGGAACGAGCCGCAACCTCACGCGCACACCTAGGAGATTATGCTAGCCCTATCCTTCGACAGTGGACCCTCGCAGCCTCGACACAGAATAAAAAAAATCTCTTTGCTGAAAATGCTCCGTGGCATGCGGATGACAGCTACGGACCTCCTGCTGTATACCATCTCAGACAAACCTAGCATGGCCACTTGGAGGGATGGATTTTTCCGAAGTAATGCACCCGCACAGTTTCAGCTTGGAGGATCACATTTCTTCCTGCCAGTAAAGATACGAGAGCCTTGAGTTGAAATAACTTCGGATTTTTGGTGTCTTTCGAGACGAAATCAAGGTGCGCGAAGGCTTCGAGTACTTGCTGGAACTGTATGGTTGAAAGCGTGTTTGTAAAGTCCGTTGGAAGGTTGTCGAGAGCATTCAAAGCAGATATGGACATGGGCAATACGGAATCAACGTTAAAGCTCATGATTTGGGCCGGTCATAACATAGAGCTGTAGCAATATCCGTATGATATGATGGACGACGACACGGCGTCGGCACAAAAGGCACCTGCAATTTTCAAACTCCGTGCTTCGCCTGCCAAATTTCTCCGAGATCGACCAGTCTGACTACGTCAAGATTTCCCACTCTCAAAAGGACGTACGTCAGACTGGTCACGAGTCTAGTCGACAATCGTACTTCAATCCAAGCCAATCCTGATGGGGTCCGAGGCTCAATTTGGGTATAGGGAAAAACTGTGAAAGATGCAGCTTGAACGTGTTCATCAGGTGCAGGGCTGTATGAACGAAATAGATAAATGAAAGGGCCTGTGCATCCTCCGCCCACACTAGAGGCACGGGATTTGCGCATAGTCGATTGGCCCGCGTTTCAATATTAATACTTCGAAGATCGCACTGTACCGCACGTCGCCGAAATTGGCCGAAACCAAGAACGGTTCTCGGAGCCGATCTTTTGCGGGGTTCAAACATTCCATGCGAGTCGCTGCTTTGCAATTTCACCGGCACTAACAGCTGCCATCAATATCCCTAATGCATGAAATATAAAGAGGCGCAGCACGAGTTCAGGCTCTCTGGGGAACGTAATGTGAAAATTCGGGAAGAACTGGAGTGCCACGGTGTACACGGTGTAACTGCAATATCGATAGATCGACTTCAGATTGCTGAAACACTTCATTCCTCAAATATCACTTCGGCGCTGAATATTGAATTGTGGTATATCAAGCATGAATGTGATCGTTATACGTCCACCGAGTTCCCCCGCTCACTCACTCCCATCCTCTGACAGTATGACTGTTGTCTCGAATGATCCAAGTTGGTGGCCAATCATCAATGGGAATCTTATTTCCAGCTATTTTATAGGTTTGTGGAGAGTCAACCGCGTGATAACGGTGATTATTCGATTCGCCTTGACTTCAATTTCGCAGTTGCCACCTTTGTCGGGCTAATGTACGATTGGGGTGAGCAAGCTTAAGTATGAAAAGACCACTGATATCCTGATGGTATTCTTAGCGCTTACGTTCGGACAAGAGGTAGGTCGATCCATTTCTTGGGCAGCCAACTCTCTTAGAATTGTGTTATAAGTTGAACTGATCTGGGTGAGCGGACTCCTACATCAAATGACCGACGTGAAAATATTGAACTTGTTCATGGCAGAGGCAACGCTGGTCTCTAATGACCTTTCTCTATCTCAGTGTATGTACCTCACGTTTCCATATTCACGCCTAGCAAGTCCAAGATTTGCTGACTTCAGAATATCCTAGGTGCGCTATGCTGGAATAGGATATACTGTGTACGTTTGGATGTTGAAGCCATTGGTGTTGCGTTCATTACCCATCTCTCACAATCAGGATGGACGTGTTGAGTATGTCTCCTCGCATAGAATCTGTTTCTTTCTTGTGACGAGCGGCATACAGTCAGTATTCCAACGATTTCGATGACAGATACAGTGAGTATTCTATACTGATGCATTCCATTCCCGTCCGGACACTGAACTACCATGTAGGGGTGGGTGAGATTCTCGAACAATTCGTTGATTCAACGTAACGCCTCCCACAGTTGTGAGTTTATTTCACACTTATGATCTTCCGAAGCTGATAACTAATGTTGCTGAATTTGTCAGGCCTTATCGTGTACAACGCACTTGATTGGATGAGTGAGGTTGTAAATGTAATACTGGGCGGTGAGCTATACGCCTCTCCGTGATATTGACTTGACTGAAATATCATGCAAGTCATTATGATAACTCGGTTACATGCCATGTATCAGCAATCCAGAAAGGTGCTGATATTTCTCGTCGTCATCTTTCTGGCCATCAGAATCGCCAATATAGTTATGGTTGCAATACAGATGATGCAGATGTCAGGGAGTGAGCCTTAATAATCTGTTGTTCAAGTATATCAGGGTCATTGAAAAATACCAGAGGTACTCGTTCTCTCTAGCACCTATCAGTGCACCATTGGCTACGCGAGAAATTCTGTATTTCTGTGTTTCATGACTTGGATACTTGCCACTGTATGGGAGGTCCTTGCACTGTGTTTCGCGGTGTGGATTGCTGTTAAACACTTCCGTGAACTGCGACGACACTCAACAAGAGGTATTATCGGGGACTGTTTCACGGTGTTAATGCAAACTCACGTTAGCTACTTTGCAAGGTGAGCTTATCATATAAATGCGGTTCTCTTGTTCCGCTAAAGTTTTGCACGTGCTAGTTTTTTGGCTATCTCTTGCCACCAAATCGATGTATTCTCTCCAATGTTCTCAGCGGTATGCCGATCTGTCACCGACCTCTACATGTGACCATGATTCATAATTTCTATAGGACATGTCTTACCTGGATGCTCAGATTTATCTTGGTCTCGCTCAGGTATTCCAGTTCGTGCAGTTGTTTGTGCTGGGACCATGCCTCATCCTCGGTGTTCGAGAATATCACGCTGAGCTCGTGGCCAACTCTGATATAGCAACCGCTATGACTTCAATTGCTTTTCAGGAGCGCATCCACGTGTCAACTAGCAGTAGTGTGTAGTTCAGGAGAGAATCGATATGATTGATTTACGACGGGCAGCCGGGGCAGGTAGCGCGCAGGGAGCGGGAGAATTTGCTTGTATCCATTCCAGGTTTTGTCATGGTACTTATTTATGTAAGTTGCGAAGTAGATACAGGTCATACAAGAGCTTTTGACGAACTCTGAGCAGAGATCTGTCCTCGACGCTGAGATTCATGTACTCGATCTCAGTAGTGTTGTCAAGATCGTAGTGGCTGGTAGAAGTTTGTTCGCTCCTGATGTCATCGCTGAAAGATGCCTGTTTCCAGTGTGAATATTGGGAATTTAGATAAAACAGACCAACTTTAGAACTTGTATAACGTTTGCACGATGGCCCTACTTCAAGTTAGAATTGAGCGGTCGTCGAGCAAGTCACTCAACGAAGTTGTCCTGTCAAAAAGTTTGCGGGTCCTTATTTATTCAAACCTTATCTCAATCATTAGTCATTACCTTGTACGCTAATCCAAGACTTTCCTTACTCAGGTGGTGACCTTGGATCGACGTCACGGTTGAGTTCGTTCTTACACTCAGGCTCGTTCTCATACATGGACTTGTAGTACGCTAGTCCAACATCAAGTTGTTGTATAAATTATCGTGATGCTCTCGTGATGTAGTCATTTTGCTTTCGCAAATACCTCTCTTTCACCTTGCTCCATACTTCAGTGTCATTTACTCAGGTAACGATGAAAATCCTGTGCCATCATCTTCTGTCACAGTGAGCGTGAGAGTCGACCCAGTCTGCTGCACCTCAATGCAACCTCAATTAAGCACCCGGTGTCCAACAACTTCAAGATAGAGGCGCGGCTTATACACTGGCTCACCCAGCGAAGTTTGCGGTTTCATCAATGCCTTGAGTGCATCTGGCATTAGGATCTGCTTGGTGACAAATGTAGTTCGCACAGACGGAGTGCTATGAGGTTGATTTAGGAAATACGGCAGGTGCTCAATCGACTTGGAAATAGATTTTATCTCACACTTTACCGATCATCCTCAGTGTTACCTGTTCCTCCAGTGCAGTGAAAAATTTCCGGAAACAACTCATCTCAGTGATAAACCGTGCACCATAAGAGCTGTGCCATGACGAAACCTGAACGAGTTCATCTGCATGCCATCGAGTATGGTCGGAAGGTGGATTCTATTGTTCGTGCCGCATCCACATCATTGCTATGATAATCTGTGGCAACTAGCAAATAGTAAGTTCCACAGGAGAAGAGTACATTGTGCAACCTAGAAGGAATAATAAGTCTGCTCTGGGCCACCGGGTCACAACTTGTGGCCCCACACACAATGCGCATCTATTGTTGTGGATGTGATGCCACAATTCACGATGCGAGTATTAAAGGCAGGGCTCCTAATCAGCTTAGCATCTTACTCCCCCATCATGGAGCCTGCTATCCGCTCTCGATTTAGCGACCTCCCTCTCGAGATTGCTCTCAACATTCTCAATTACGCAGTCGAACCGACGTTTTCCCAAGAAGAGAAATATGACGATCAAAATCCCTATGCAACTGCCCTCTCCCTGTGTCTCGTCTCTCGACTTGTGAGACGCATCACCCCGCCCAAATTGCTGCACACCATCTCGCTCCGCCGAAGTGACAGCGTGAGGATGTTCGCAAATGCTCTGCTTATGCAGAAAGCGTACGCAGAGGAAAAAAGTGATCTTTTCTTTGACTATACCTCCGTCGTACAGAAAATGTGGATCGGAGCGTCTGCAGAATCTGAAATATTCGTCTATGATCTCGCTCCAGAAATCAGCGTGCTAGTTCCGGTGTTACTGGCTGCACCGGCACTTGCGATTGACTGTTACTATTTAAAGCTTGTTGTTCAGAGCGTAGAAGATGCATCGAGCTCCCGCGCAGATCCCAATGTTGACCACGGACCCTCTCCTTTTCCAGGGAAAACCCAAAGTCTAACGATAATGGGTCATACCACCTCCCATATGATCTTCCAGAACATTCGAAAGGGATCCATTTTCCTTGCATCAATCCCCCATCTCATCTACCTGATCGATCTGCCCATGGACTCGGACATTTTTCGTGACATCAGCAGGGGCTTAAAGCTCACATCATTCCTGCTGCGTCCGTGGCTGTGCGACATTCCGTGGACTTGTATGAAGAGCCTGGAAACTTTTTCAGTTGTCTACCCGCATCTGGCTGAGCCCTACAAGATACGTTCATATATCGATCACACAAGAGGAGTAGACTTGCACGTGGAGCGGCTCACGGTATCTGCCCCCCTGTACAAGCAGGACCCTGAGTCCTTCCCGTGGATGGAACCGCCGTTTCCTGTGACCCATCCTGGACAGAAGAGGATTCATTCGGATGGTATTTCCGTCGAGGTCACGAACTGTCGCGAACACTTTTGGCGGTTTCATTATACGTGGGATAAATTGTGGGCCTGCGGAATAACTGACGGAGCTGGGGGGCAGCGGGTGTTATGAAGATGATGATAGATGCTTTGATGACTTTTCTTGGATGTAGACCTGTTTACAATCGGTGCTTCTTACTGTACACTTACTATGGACTTCTCATACCCAATGCATGCGATGGGGACTGTATGATTCACGAGCCATGGTGTAAGCCTGGCGCTTACTACGTGACAGCGTACTCCACGCTGATTGGACAGATACATGCCGACTTATATATGTAACTCGACGCATACATAATCTTTCTTACCGTACCGTCAATCATACGCTCTTCCACGTCACTGTTTGTCTGTTAGTGTTGCCGTCGACGTGATGGCTTTCCACATAGGCCGCATGGCTTTTCAAGTGAATGAGTGATAGACCGTTGGCGAACAAAGCAAACAATTGAAGAGGGTTGTATAAATTTTGCGCTGAAACACAACGGATTTTATTTAAAGATATAATTTTTCCTGCTGAGACCATAGCCCATGCACGAGACTCATTTCACAAGGTAGCGGGAATTTTGCCAAGGATGCATTCATGATGCACGCCAAGAATGCAACTCGAGTAGTATGGCCTAGCTTGGTTTCTTCGCAGGCCAGTGGTGAGCTTCCGGAACGTTTTTTTTAAAAAAAAGACCCCACGTCAGACATAGCTCTACTCGAGTACGGGGAGCTTACTCGCCACTTTCTATCGTCTGGAACGTTTTGATAACCAGTTGTGAGGCCTTAAGCTGTATCAACCAATGCAGGGTCAGATATGAGCTCTGGCTTGATTCTGAAGGTAACAGCACGAACTTTCGTCTCCTAAATTTGCGCTTTGAAGTCATCCAAGAGGCCTCTTGGTATCATTGACAATGACCCTCGTGATTGTCTTGGACACCAAGAATCTGAAACACTCTTACAGTCTCTCAACGCGTACATACGCGTTTCGTTTTCAACAAATCTACAAATTGTTATATCAAGTTACATCGGTGACATTACATCATAGATGTATCATCAGCCGAACGTTCTCGATAGCCAAGGAACGATCGCAGAGACTCACCTAACTCCTACATCTTCACCTTCGTGCTCGCCGAACTATGTTGAATCATACACAGGATCTAAATCCGCCTGGTTCGTCTTGAGGAACCTACATTTGGAAGGATCAATGTGCTATACCCACCTCGACAGGAAATGAGATGGGATTACACACCAGATATCCTACCCCCAAGTTGAATTGTAGTCCGCTGAGACACGACCCTGTACTCTGCGGAGCCAAAAATCACCTTCATAGGGAGCGGTGCCTTGAATCTGGTCTGTGATGGGTAGAGTTCCTTTAGCCTGGTTTTACCTATGTTTTCCCAAGCATTGTTGTTAAACTTGACAGTACCCGGAAAAAGCAAGTTTTCGATTCGAGTCATGGATAGAATACGTACGGTATAAAAGTGGTCTTCGTATGCACCGTAGAGGTAGAATGTAAGCTTCGATATTAATCTATGTCATTGAGGTCTTGTACGACGGATGCATTGCGGTAAAAGAATCGAGTTGGGCTGAAAACTGCGGTGGATTCGATTACGGCTGATAAGCAGAAGGATAGGTCTAGTGTCAGACTCTTCCCGGCCGCATAAATCCAATTAATGGCCTGTCCAATGATAATCTCAATAGTTGCAGAGTTGACGAAGGGACAATTGTACAATTGCACGGCAACACCCGGGACATGTACATGAGCAACTGGAACTAGCCGAAACCTTCACGACTAAAGCTCTGCCCATGTTCAAGTACCCTATCCTTACTGTACGAGATAGCGATTATGGTTAATGCAATATCTATGCTATGTTTGCGCACCGTAATCATTATCTCGTACGCCAATCCAAGACTTTCCTTAGACTAACTGCGAAACTCCGAGATCGCAATTCCATGGAGACATGAGTGATGTGAAACTATTGTCACAGTCATTTTCTCTGTGAATTTTCTATCTCTAATCCAAAATGCGTGTTGGTTAATTGACCCTTTTTAAAGTGGTGGAATGATGTTTAAATTAGCTCGGACTTGGATGCGTGGAGGGGAGTGTATTATAAGGTGCGTCGTCCTTCTCCTTCATAGATTAGTGTGCTGATATGGACGTCCTCTGAACCAAGGGTACCTAGCTATTGCAAATGTAGTACCTCTGCGCCTATGTATCTCGCTCAAAACCAGTATATACTTACAGCAGGAATCGCTCGGATAGGATCGTGACATTCTTAATTGGTTGAACCGACGTTGCTACGGGAAATCGTACAGTGACGATGCACCGTGACACTACCAGATCAATTTGCGACTTGTGAAGTTGTGTCATCGCCTCCCAGTTCTGTCCGCTCTTGATTGGGTCTTCCCTTGAAGTTGGATTTGGACAACATGCTTAAACTTGCAGATCGCTCGCTCGCGAATAGGCAAGATGAGCTGGAGGTTCTACCATGGTTTGATGCGTCCTGACAGAGTGGTCTCGTTGCGAAGAAAAAAAGTTGACTAGTACTGCTGGATGCGAGTACTCAATTCTTGAAAATGTAACCGTTCTAAGGTGGCAAGCAACGGAACGTTGAGCAGAGATTTACGCGAAAATGAAGGCGTCGGATCCATCGAGATATTACTGACAGATAGGAGCCAACTGGATCTTCGTTAACTTTCAATTATCTTGAACAAATTCCACAGCCTCGATGAGTGCGATGTCTAGCATGCAGGTGCGTCCAGGTGTTGTTGGCTGATATTCCTCTTTCTCACCAGCTGAGACCAAACAAAACCAACAGTGCGATCCTGGAACTACCCTTTGAAACCAAACCGTATCAACACAACCCTTCCACCCCCGCAACATAATGCTCAGGTGCTACGGTTACTACATATCTGAGGAGTAGCTTTATATGAGACAGCTCGCTCCTTCCTCACCAAGTTACATCCCGATCTTCCCGAAATCAAGGCCATGGCCAATGCGAGAGCAAATCCTAACTACAGCTTCAGAAAGACCTTCCACATTCACTCGCTGTTGCAATGGCTTATGCAATCCTACCTCCCGGATAGATAGTTCTAGAGGAACGTATAGTTGATGATGCTGTTCTCGTGTTGGACATCTTCGATGACTGGCAGACAGTATCTCGGCGCCCTACTCAGACACAGGTTGATGAACTGACTAAGTTCATGAGCAGAGAGCCACAGTGGTAAGTAGATGCTGTGCCAGCAAGGTTCTACAGATGAATTAGGTCGATGTACTGGTTCCGTCGTAGTCGTTCCCACTGTCAGTCACGAGGGCGCAGCAGTTAAGCGCCTAGTGTTGCGCAGCCATCTGCGTAGCCCGCAGCCTCTAGATCTATATAATTTTGATTCTCCTCAACGCGTCGAGTCACAGCGCCAAGATGGTCTTGCTCGACAAATACCTCGATGAAGCCGACGACGAAGTTGACTTGCCTCCCTCTTACGACACCATCGCTTCTGTTTCAACCGTTGTATTAGATGAGAAACCTCGTCTCTCACCGGAACCACCTACCCGTCCCACAGCATCTTCATCGTCCTCAACGTGGTTCTCCCTACTTCCAAATGCTCGCACCAAACAAGCACGCCAAACTGTCATCTCCCTCATTCGCGATCTCGTTGCCACATCCACCACTGATAACTCTGCTGCTACCCCAATCCTAGCCTCATGCGCATCTGCCCTATCTCCCTCATCCTTCTCCGCCATCCTCCAACAACCCACCTTCGAAGGACACACTCCCATCTACTGGGCCATTCTCAACCGCCACGCTCATATCCTCCCTGATATGCTCCAATACGCAGGTCCGCTCAACAATGCCTGCGTTACAGACATCCGTCTTGCCTGTCTTGCGAGTGGCGATCAGCTATTGTTTGGGAAGCTTCGCAGGGGAGAGTTGCCGTTTATACCTGTACTCAGAGCGGGTGAGCACGCTCTTTTGCCTTCTGTGTTGTTGGCTTGACGCACAAGATCTAGACGCCCTCGTTCTAGGCTCCACATCCGCAGATGACATCGACGTCCGCGAGGTCGATGGTGAAGCTGCCTTTAGCGCATCTATCAAAATCCGTCTCTGGCAAAAACGAATGCGCGTCGCTGGTGTGGTAGGTGTAGAGTTTATTGCACGAGGTGAGTGTCCTCTCATTTCCTTCCTCATCGCACTCATATTTTTTGTAGGACGTATATGGTCGCTCACTTTCTTCTCCTCTCCCTCCCCCTCTCCCTCCTCCAGCTCTCTTTCTACTCGTAGTGCGGGGAGTGGACCCTGGCAAGTCGCACTCGGTCTCATGGAGCACAGCCCGCCTACATTCATAGATGGAAGACTTGTCATCGACGTCTTTCGTCCTCTTCCATCCTCGATACCAGACTTACCCTCCGAATCATCTTCACCTGCCCACTCAAGATACCCATCCCTTCCCTCAACACCAGTGCCTACCTCACCTACGCAAGCAAAACCGCCCGTGATGATACGACTTCAATCTAAAAATCGACTTGCCCGTCGTACGTCGGATGGGTCTGTGTTTAGTATGTTGGAGCTTGGGCGGGATGGTCCTAGGTGGGTCTCATTCTTGTGAGATGTGTTGTATTGCCTGATGTGTTTTTGTCTCTTCCGTGCATTCTCTCATTTTCACCGTTCATCTCTCCCCTGCACCATTAATTTACTCTACGACATCTACGCCCAGCTCACAAAAACCCTGCAGACCTCCACAACCAGCTGCGTGGTCCGAGGAAGGCACGCAGTATACGAATGCGTTGATTGGTGTGTTGAGCGATGATCTTGGATGGGAGTGAGTGTTTTTTTTTGGTTTGGTTGGCTTTTCTGTATCGCCCTTTTCTGCTGCCTTGCCGTTTCGTTTATTCCTCGCCCGTCATCTATTTCGTCACTCCTCATGCCCTTATCTACACCGTTTTCCATATACGCTACCGCTCCGTCATCTGTCGTCTGCCCGTCCCCACCAACAAACGCTAACAACCCCCTCCCTACAGCAACACACCCTACCTCGCACCCGACGGTACCCTCCACGCACGATTAGATGCAAGACTTGAGAAAGCGGAGGGTGGGAGCTGTATTATTTGTTAGCGGTTGTATACGAGGTGTGTTGGTGCTGGTTTATGAAGATCACGTCGGGTTTTCTAGGATCGTTTGTGAGGGAAGTTCCTCCTCTAATATGCAATGCGCATCCCATCCAAATTATCTACGATGCGTAGAGTCCTGATTGATACCACTGTGGAGCTGGCTGGCACTAGTTGGCTGTGTGTTCCGCATATACCTGCGTCCCGAGTGCGTTTGATGTAGTTGAGTAGATCTATCTATCTCTGTTATTTCAAACGCGTGAGGGATGCGATAGTTGAACAGGGAGCGCATTTCATCGTTTTCTCTGTCACAACGTAGAGTCGGTATCTGCGATGGGATGCATCGAGTCTTTTTAAGCTATTATTTAGGCCGTCGTTAATGTGTATAAAATATCCTTCTCGTATCTCCGAGTTTGAGATTTCAAAGTTGAGCATATGCTGGGGAAAGATGTTGTTTTGATTCGAGTCAATACATAATACACAGTGCGGTGTAGGGAGTGGTGGACATATGTATCGTACAGGACTGTACGAAACCTATGACACCATTTCCTACATCGATATCGAGCAAGTGGGATGTACATCGAACGTGAACGCGAGTACTCAAAGCTTCAATATCTGATCAATCTGTCAGCGTGAAATTCCTCAACTTGCTCTGCCCTTCTCACCTCTTCGTCACATATGCTCCAGTATTACCTCCCTCGTGCGTTTGAGAAATCGGTGCAGCTCCACTCAAGGGAACAACTCAGACTGATCAAACGGACGAGGGAGTGCGAGGGTGTTGGTTCGCTCGAAGCTGGGTTTGTTGATTCTATTCTGTGAGTGAAGAGTATTGGAGGAGTTATCTAGGACGTACTTGACTTGAGTCAGTTTTCTCTGATATACCGTAGATAGCGTCCTTTCAATAACACCGTGTCTGTCGTTCGTAGCCCGACTCGGACTCTGAGGGCGCCTTCGACTGAAGTATCCGAAGACGCACCCGGAGTTTTTGGGTGGATAGTTGAGGTGATGCCACTAGGGAGTAGTGCTCTGTGTGCGGTGTGGTTGAAAAGTGGGCTATCATAATTAGGACAAGGTAGGGGATGATGACGACATGCATCACGTCTTGGGCAAATCCTCATTAACCGTTCTCGATGCCTTGAACGATGTCGAAAAAGTACGAATGCGTGTGTTAAGGAGTGAGTGAGAAAAATTCGCATGGCAGCGCGTAGTTTTATAGTATTAGTATGGGGGATGTGACTCACTTGCGACTCACCATGGGGTGTTGCTGACCAGGACTTCGTTGCTTACACGTGGTTGGTGAGGATCCCTGATTCTATGGTAGTTGGCTTCTTGGTTTGTTCCTCCACGGCATCTCCTTTCCTACTTCTTACTGTTTCTCCGTTTAGTTTTACGCGCCTTTTTATCACAATCCAAGAACAACTGTCAGTAAAGTTATTACACGGTAACGCCTACCTTGCAGCCGATAACACCCTCCAAGTGTACGAATGTCTGGATGCAAGGTTGGAGGGAGGAAACAGTGAGATTACATAAGTGTTAGTGAGGTTCAAGTTCACATCATGATGAGTACGTCCGACTCGGAGCGTATGTTTGTTAACTTGGTTGGTTGGTTGCTGACATGAATCTTAATGTTGGCGAGGAGGGTACCAGGTCTAGGTTGCTGCTTCGCTTCTTCCGTTACATAATACTTCTTGCAAACTTCTTGGGTTCGTTTCGCCCGTTTCCTTGCAGGTGATCACTTCGAACTGTCAGTGCCACCTGGCCGCCATGATGGACATGTTGTGGCACGTTATCACACGAGCTTACCTCGGCTTACCATATCTACTTTTTGGACTTCTGGTGATATGGGTACCGCTCATCTTTGCCTGCAAACCCCGTCGTCGCATCACCACCGCAGACCATCTAGCGCTTGCCGTCAGAAACAACCTGTTCCCACAAGATCCACAGACTTGCAAGGATTATGGGTTTGAACGTGCATTCACAGTGGAGAACAGGTCCAAACTTCTTGGCTTGTATATCGGTATGTACATGTAGAGTCGACTGAGTCGATTGAGTCCCCGAAACTATCATCACACTGCCCCTAATGCGTTTATCATTTTCAGGGTTGATGAACCCAGGACGCATAGGAATTCCCCCAAAGACCATCAATGACTGGCGGGTCAGGGGCGTGCTTGTAGAAGAGATAAAAGCAGCATACTACAAGATTCCCGCCGAACTCAGAGGCGGTTACTTCCCTTGGTTCTTGCAGAATCAGCACATTCTTAATCCATCTGCTGCTGAGACGCAGTCAAATGTCGAAGGGGATGCCATGGTTCTGCGCGCATGGCGCTTTACCGGAGGCGCAGAAACAGACTCGCCTGCAGACATACGAGCCCGCATAACTAGCATGCCTCAGGACAGGCAATCATGTTATTTGTTCTACGTGATGCTGTTGAGTAAAGTGCATCCTGCACCGTTCGATGGCCTCTGGATTCCCTTCGGTTTCTGCTCATGCGCTTGCAAAGAGGAGGAAATGTATCTGGGCGGACGTTATCAGGTCCTCATTACCAAATGCACATTCGACGAATTCTGTGATGCCTTCCGCTCTGCACGTATTCTTGATCTCTTCCGCAAGAATGGAATCAACGTGGATCTTCGCTACCTTGCGGACGTCTTGCAACACCACCGTATACGCAAGTCTGTCTGGGTCCTCAAGCAGTTTGTCATCCAGACTAATAAACAAAATCCGGAGAGTAGAATGGAGAATTTTATTGCGTTCGACTATGGATTCATGAATTGTAGAAAAGATGCTGAGATCCAGGCGCTGAAGAAAGTTTATAGGTCGTTTTTTGAGCGCCACGATGCGAATCCTCTAGCGCTGCACGATGCTGCGATACGCGGAAACATATTTGGGTATCTGGGGAGTTTGATGAAGCTGAACAGGAAGCACAAGGGTCTTATGAAGAATCCGTATCCGCTCCCTGGCCTGTACTTAAGTGAGATCACAGGCAAATGACTTGGTTTCATGTTATTGTCGTCATCTTCGAACTCCCACGCAGTGTTCCTCTTGACCCCTTAGGCTCTCAGACTCCGTTGCTAGTACTGTCCCATTTCCTCCATGACAGATGTACCTCATAGGCTCGTATTCACCTCGCTTTTCACGCTCATAGGTGAAATGGTTGTCTCGATAAAATGTACAATATTGCCGCACCGCTAGATGTGGAATCTATACTGCCACTATCTAGCACCTCCTCCGATTCGATGGTCGGTTAAGTTGCACAAAGTCACTTTGGCCACTTCGTTTTGTCCAGCGTTGTCTGGTCTGTGAGTCAGACTGATTATGGTTCAGAGACGATTTCGCACCTGAGTAACACCCGAATTGTCACTCATCGAACGTCTACTTGTCGTATCAAAGGCAGCCCAGAACGACCAAAATGAGCTACCAAAGGATCTCGACACCATTATGCATAAAAGTACCTGTCATACATAAATACAGCAGTGGTCGAGGGTAAGCATGAGCCATACATAACCATGGCATCTCTCACCAGCCATGATTATGTATAAATATGACACCAGCCTGTATATTGTACTTGTATCTGAAACCAAACCGGTTTCCATCCGTCACTCCGGCTCCGCTACAGTTCCTGCGTGCATGCAGTATTCTACTGCAATCTTATATCCACTACCCGTGGATATTGGACGACCCCCATTCGAAATGATCGAGGGACACGGGCAGCAACTTGTATGGAGAAGGCTCAATGATAATTCGTTGTATACAATGTTGACTGAGTGATGTGAACATCTGAGGTCTCTATTCGACAGCTGGGAAGAGCAGTCTATTGGAGGTAGTTGCATATGCTGGCGCCGGAACTACTGGTAGTAGATGTGGTGTTCCACTGACTTGCATTGCATGCAATGAATACATAAAGATGACACATATTCTAAGTGTTGAGCTATTACATTCACAAGGACACAAAGATCTAGAACTCGACGCACGCAGGGTAGCCACTTTATCTCGAAATGTGCCCTGAAATCGTTGGAAGTTCGATTTCCATCGTTGGAAGCCTATCGGGTTGCTTCCTGGCGTTGAGTCTAGTAGTCGTACCATGAGTTAATGTGGATGATCAGCTCGTAGTTTCACCTACGTGGACAGTAACGAATTTGCATATGCTATTTGATCCATGCCATCTCAGACTCTGGAACGACAATAACTCAGGAGAAGGCATCACTCACAGCTTCTGAGAACCGTGGCTACCCCTGCGATGGCAACAGACGAGTTTGCCCAGAACTGGACATTGTCATTTAGTTAAGAAGTTTTGCATAGATCATGCTGCATACCAAGATGCATATGCTGATAGCCAACAAACTGTCACGAAATAAGGTGCTTAGTAGTCATCGCATCAAAGCGGTACAAGACTTGCCTCACAAGAAAGCCCATGCTGGTGAAATTCTTAGTTATGCTCTGGATACGAGTATCCGTGCTACACCACATGGGTGAATACTTTAACTAGGTTGCAGCACATCGACATACCGGTGGACACCAGATCTTCCAGAGCGTAGGTAAAAGTAGACGGAAAGACTGATCATGGAGTCACACAAAACGGTCTGAACTGCTCTTGCAACAGAGATTTTGAGTATCTACCAAAAAGATGTCAGGAAAGGATTCAGGGAGATAATCCGACGCACTGCGTGGTTCGAGAAAGCCCCGTCCTCCCTAGATATGTTGCTGAACTAGGTTCTTCAAGCGTTATCGAGAAAAAAACTCACTGCGGTGGAATAAGTACTGAATGCAAAAGAGAACTGTCAGTCACATGCACAAAGTGAACACTGTCCAGCCGACTAACTCAAACCGAACACTATCATAAACAGGTCTGAGACCACAACCGAGATTTAGTGCACAACGAAACTCACCATAAGACGAAGCTGTAAACAAAATCTGTTGCTCACCGACGTAAGGTCATTGATCTCGTTAATGCGAAGGAACACCTACTATCGGTATAGTGACGTAGAAGTTTTTGCCGCTGACTGTGTACACAGTTGAATTACAGATGCACATAGTACAATTAAAGTATGATGACGTACTTATCCATACACGATGACAATAAAAACTGCGGCGCCAAAAGGTAAGCATAACTCGTATTAGCAATTAGCGCGGTACCTTTGCACGATGAATGGTAAGGTATACTGGAAATAATATCAGATAACTGATCCTGAGGACGTATTTGGAACTCACATTCACAAAGAGAAGGATCATCGCCTGCCGTAGGTCGAGTTCAAGTTGGGTATGCTCGATCTGAAAGTAAAGGCATCTTGCTCACCGCCATGTCCCTGCAACTACGTTAAAACCGGAAGACACCATGATTATGCACGTGAGGCAGCTCACCATGCCTGACACCTCGGGGATGTACTTCGAAAACAATTGTAAAAGAACGACCAGTACATGAAACTGGTCAATATCGCCCCGATGGTATTCAGAATCCTGGATCATAGTTAAACAATGCATACGATAAGTATGAAAACAAACAAGACAGTGACAACCTAAAAGTCCTCAGTTGGAGGATATAAGTGATATTGTCATGTACTCACGAGATACTTGAGAAGCAGTTTGTCACAAGGGAAGGCTCGATAATAACAGAAGCCCTGGGCAGCAGCAACACCTAGTTGCCTATCAGAACTATTTAAGCGGGTATCAAATGCGTTCGGCAACCGAGACAGACTGACACGAAAGAGATGGTCAACCCTAAAAGTTTGAACGATAATATATACTCAGTATACAGAGAATCAAAGCACAAATGTTAATGCTCTGCTCCTACCTATGAACTGAATTGTAAATGAAGACATGGCGCTCATTGCTGAAAGCTGGGAGGAAGGTAGCTTAGTGACGCTGCACCGGAGGGAGGTTACACAAGACAAGTTAAGGTAGACTGCATCTACTTACTTATAATCCAGGTACTACAGGGTACTACTGGTATTGGCGAAAACGTGGCGCGGCTCAGTTTGCCAACCCAATTGAAACTCAAAGTCCTGAAATGAAACGTTAAACATTTCAATACAAATTGAGTATAAAAAATCAAATACACATTGCAATGCCGTAAAAGTGAGCGAGCCCCGGATAGCAGTAACCACACTTATATGACTTTGTGCTAGTGGTACCTGGCAGTGTTGTTATACGCTGAACTGACGCTGACAAGCCTGTGTATGGTGCGCAAGGCTTGATCTGGGATGACAGTTGCTACTCGGTAGGTTGCTCTTCCAATGGTTTATGATGTCTGAGCTTTTATTACTCATAAATCAGCCGCCACTGATTACACTGTTCCCTTTTCATCAATCAAACCCAAGTCAGTGTTCAGGAAAGTTTCAGGGTTTGACGTACAAGCGAACCTGAGTAGTCCTAGCCCAATTTTCCTTTCAGGCCCATCATATGCTATGTGGTCCCATCTACAGTGGCGCAATCTCCAATCCTCCCTGTGAAAGTGACCCTTCCCTGATCCTCTAAAAAGACCGGCTTGTTCTAATGCTATGTAGACAGGATAGAGGTCGGGGAACTTTAAGGCTTGACCATTCATCATGCCATGCGCAATTGTAGATCATGGCTCTGTTTCCCTTGATGGTGGCTGCACGTCAGACGCGGAGCATCGTACGAATAGGAAGGGGTGGCCTTCGTATGTAGAAGCAGTTGTGCCTTCAAATCCCTGAAGGCTATGTTTGACATAGGTCCTTGACCCTATGAACAATAAATTTGATTTAAAAAAGAAAGAAAACCAAGTCTCTGCGCATCCTACATCGTTCGTTCTACCATCAATAAAAAAAAACAACGGGCGCTACATTCGTCCCAAAAGTGAAGACCGGACATAATGACCACCACGAGAAGCAGCAGCAATATTCGACGATTCGTCGAGCCGTTCCCTCGTCACTGGTGGGATATGTTATGTAATAGGCCAGGGTTTTCTGATCTGGCAAATTTGGGGAACTTACAGACGTACGGACTCGAAAAAGTTCAGCGTGCATTTGATTTTCCTGCACATCTGCGACATCTCCATCCACGCTCATGATTGTTGACATGCCTTCTTGTCTGTTTCAATGGGGTGACGAAGTACTTACTATACGTAGTGCCTGTGTTCGGCCTATCAGTAGTCGGCCTGTGAAAATCGTTTATCATTTATCTAGCGAATGACACATAATCCCACCTGATGTTATCAAACCATACAATGGTTGGTTATGTAAACAAGTTCTGAGGCAGATATATTATGAAGATAAGTCGCCGCAGGAGGGAATGACGATAAGACATTGCTTAGTAAACTAGTCAGGCAGTGGGCTGGGCAGGGGAGACAACCAATTTGGGATGTGGGATGCGTTCAGTTATGAGCGATCTCCAACAACTCACCTTGTAGTTGTAAGGCAAAGACCATGATAAGCTGTGGTGCTGTGCGACGTGCGAAGAAACTGCGCTTGAGTCTTGAGCAGTTGCTGCAGCGGAACCGACTCATTTGTTGGTAGGTGGCGTTGAAAGTTTCTGGGGAAAGGGCACCATTGAATCATTGTACCCCATGATCCCTGATCATGCAAGAGCGCCCTGACACCGACCTGTGACAATCCTATAGAAATGACAAGGCACGAGTACGGTTGCGTTATTCGTAGGAACTCCCACAAGTCGACCACACTCGGAAGAAAGCTAGCAGGAGTTTCTGATTGGAGTTGGTAAAAATTAGTACGGCGTAGTCCCTGGGGAGTGGCGATCTCCACACAATGTACGAGTAGGAAGTCATGTCACTGGGTGCATGAATCTGTGTCAGGAACTGGAATTCCCTTACGACGACACCTCACTTGGTTGCGACAGAGATGCGAGTTACACATTGCAAAGATCTGAAGCGGAGAAGTCAAACCGGCAACGCCCGATTTCCACGAGAGATGCGACTCGCCGAAGTAACCGGAACTTTGTTGCTAACATGGTTGGGGAGAAAGTTGGCGCTACTAGTAGCGCTGCCCTTGGTTCGTCTATCAGTTTGTCCCTCTCTAACGAACAACCTATTACAGGTTGATTTTGGTTGAACACTGGAGCCAAATGTCGCAGCTCCCGGCGCCCGAGAGGCGCGTCCTCTCATTACATACAACTCTAGGCTCAGACCCGGTCGAACTCAAGTGTTCTACGCTGTACTACCCCGTCTCCTGCACCAAGGACGGTCTCACACTCGTGTTCACGCACGGACTTGCCGGTCGTGAGTTCTTCCATCCATGAGCGGCCATATCTCGCACCCTGACCCAAAATATGCTTCAGATAAGGAACAGTACGACCCTGCTATCGCGCGCCTGCTTATCGCACGCTCAAACTCGCGCTACGATCCGAGATGTATGGGTGCTTGACTTCCCCAACCATGGTCAAACGGCACTTCTCAATCGTCCCGTACTTGATGCGCGCAAGACAGCTGGGAAGGCGATGTGCAGTACGTTTTTCCTCCTTATGTATAACTACTAATACTAACATTACCTCCAGCAACGAAAGATATTGCGCTTTACCTACAAGCATTCCTCTCTACTCCCTCGCTCAAGTCCAGCACAGTAGTAGGAATAGCTCATTCAGGAAGTTGTACTCTCTGGATATTTGCACTCACATCCATGCCTCCTTCTCTTACGCCCTTTGCTCTCGTAATGATCGAACCCACATTGATGTTCCTTCTCTTACTCCTACTGACCCTCGCTCCATCCACGGAGCCGCAAACGTCCGAGGGTCACTGGCTAAACGCGATCGCTGGACGGATAGGGAAGCATTGACGAAGTGGTTGGTTGGTGGGAAAGGCGTTTGGAGGAAGTGGGATAAGAGGGTTTTAAGCAGTTATGTGAGGTATGGATTTGAAGAGGTCAACGAGTCCGAACTTGGTGCGGGGAAGAGGAAGAGTTATGTGACGCCTACGTTGAGGAAGGACGAAGAGAGCCCATTGTATGCGTGTTTATCGCATACGGTGGAGCCCGAGTCTCTCGGGCGTGCGTGTAGGGCGGTGGAGGAGGCTGGGAGGGGGGTTCATGTTGTTTGGGCTGATTTTGAGGAATTTATGTGCGTTGTTTTCATTTCATTTCGCTCGTGGTCGACAGTAGTGTGACGGGATTTATATAGATCTAAAATGGCGAAGAAGGAGATTTTAGACGCTGCGGAGCATAGGGTAGTGTCTCAGCGGACTATCAAGGGGGCAGGACATCTGGTACGTGGCTCCGTCTTATTTTTCTGACGACGTGGGTTGTAAGATATTGTGTTCCTAAAACCTATTAGGTTCCGCAAGAGAAACCAGACGAACTTGGTGAGGCACTTGTCGAGATCCTGAATGAGATTGTGAATGGTTCGGGGAACACGAAGGCGAAGATGTAGGATGTTAGGTGAGTCTTTGCAGCTGTTCCTTGGTGGTCGAGGACGTTCGGCTGATGATACGCCTATAGATATGATCCCACCAATATCGCTTGCATGTAAAATTTATAAATTTATCAAAACGAAATGTGTACGCGTTGAGATCAATATTGTTAGAGCGCTTCATCGCTATGCATGCGATTTCAAACTTGAGGCTCTTGGTATAGCAGTTTATTGTGCAGGTGTTGCCTACACAATCAATTATTGCACGAAAAATCTTCAAGGCGACTTCTTCGAAGACGGGTTCGGGAGATCAAGCTTAGTGTTCCAGCAAGCAGCTTTTTCTAGCACCCCTGAACGCCTCGCGAGTGGATGTCAAAATGTCCTGGAAGCGCATCCGCCCGCGAAGACTAAGCTGGGGACCATTTCCCTACTCGACGTGTATCCTATCACCTTTTGACTTGGCAAGGAACTCTTTGGACACCGGACTCTGTTGGTTTCATATCTCATCATAGCCTGCTTTTTTGTTTAAGGTTAACGTTGATTCAAGACCTGGAACCAAGACACATTCAATGGTGCACAGTAACGAAGGCTTAATCATGTCCATTGGGTATCGCGACCATGTACATACATATAACCCCAGTCATATCATAATATCCCTTATCAGCTTCATAACACCCTTCGTCAGGCGCATAACCCGCAATCATCATCATCATACCGAAATTGTATGGGAGAATGGGGCACTTTCAAACGAACTCTATCCGATCGAATATACTCCTTGCCAGGACCAGTATCAGCAAACGCATTTATCCTCCAATCACAGCTATCATCGCAACGGCGAGTCAGCAAGCCTGCAGACAACGTCAGCAGCTCTACGTGAAAGCTTCTTCCCTTTCTCTTTTTGAGCTCTATGAAATCATATATATCGAATGGGGGTTTGATATGCGGGTAGGCCATTGAGAAAGTTTGAAGGTTCTTGAGATAAAGCCATGGAATGCTCTTCATCCACGGAGGTAGGTGGTAGCTTCGAGATAAGCCATTAGACATGGCTATAAAAAGAAATTCGTCGAATGTGGTTGTGTGGGACCGTAGGTGAGGCGAGAGATTGACGCAAGGAAATGGATCCTTAGGGAGTGTTTTTGAGGAGCTCCCATTGGCCGCCGGCGACCTGTCTCACCCGACAGTGTCAGGGTTTGGGTATTCCATGAATGCGGGGAATGTTCGTCGTTGGCATTCGTATCTGCACAGGACTTCCATGCATGTTCTAGGCATTCTGAAAAAGCTCCAGACTTGTCCAAGCAAGGGCAAGGGACGGCGTAGCGAGTAGCGCCGGTATCAGGACGCTGATGGTAAGCTTACGTGCCGGTGCATAAGTGCGGGTGGAGCAAGTGATCTGGTACGATATTCGCATCAGAGCACCCAATCCATATCTTGTGTACGTGGGGTGCGTACTACAAAATAAAGATCGTTTTGTGTTTGTTCCTCCTCGCACTTCAAACGGAATGTGTTTTATTTTTGGATCTCCGCATCCTCTTGTTGCATACGTAGAGCATCGACGAACATTGTCAAGTTTTCAGATTTCGACAGCAATACGGTGTGCAGGAGTTCGGGAAGCGCAACGCGTCTGACGGCTTTGGAGACGAGATAGAGTGCAAGTGTGGAGGAGTATGGACATTTGAGCCTCATATTTGTCGGTCTGGTCAAATATGGGTTGCGCGGAATATTTGAGGATGAGGAAGACAAGTTCAGTTGGAAGGTCGCTTAATGGAAATTAGGCCATAGGGTCCATGACGGGCGAGTAAGACGAGAAGCTGGTTTGAAGGAGCCCTGCCTTGAATACTCGCTTCATAAAATGTAGCTTCATCCACAGCAGTGTAAACTCATTGTGAGTGAGACCACACGTTGTGGCCCGGTGGTCTATAGCAGCGTTCCTTCTAGGTCGCACAACGTGCTTGGCCCTGTTGCATTCTGGCCCCGTTGTGCTCAGGCCCTGTGAAACTTCATTTTAATCACCTAGAGATTTTCGTTAAATAAAGAAAAAGGTAGCACGAACCATAGAATCTACCTGTATTCATACTTCCGACCAGACTCGATGCACGTACGCTGAACTCATCCATGATTCCGTCGTGGCAGAACTCTTATCGTATATGGTCGTTCGCTGAGTTGAGTTACTCCTGGGCAAATTTCACTGTGTTTGAGCAATGAGGATCCTCCAACTGAACATAGTACCAAGCGTGCTGAGCATATCAAACACCTGGTGCTATGTTCACTTAGAAGCACGAGATGTGGACGACAGACTAGTATTGCAGCCCTAGTGATCATTAGCTTGAATATCAACAATCTCACATCATACGTTTTTCGCTGGGCCTATCCACGCAAAATCGCAAACCAACCACTCCTCCACTAAAAATCTTCTTGTAGTACCACATGAGGTCCCTCACCCGTCCCTCGAACTACGCTTCAAATGGGTCAGACATGTCAGACAGCTAACTCACAGGACAACAAGTTGTTCAGCAAACCCTGGTGTTGAATATTGGTCTCCAGCATCGATGCGCTGGATTGAGAGCATAGTGAAGCTGGGTATTATCTTCGTTCGTACTTTGAAACTAATTGTGCGGAGTTTACAGTTACAGTAGATCATTAAAACCCCGTTGAGTCTCAGCGGTGGCTGATATTTAGGCTTGATCGATTCACGGGTTTGAGCTACAGTAACACGATGCACATCCCTACTATGTCGAGGGATTCTCCTGTCAAGGTGACCTCTGGAAAATCATTGTACGGTCCAAATGACTTCCAGATAAATGAGGATGAGCCGCTCATTTCCTTCTTCAACCATTGCCTACCCCGCGAGCCCCTCAGCGCCAAACTTCCACGCCATGGCAATGAATGTAGTACTGATCGCCTCTCCGTTGATTCCGATTCCCTTCAAATCTCTTTCCGGCGCACAGTCCGTGTACCCGAAACCGGGGAGCCAAACAATCTTCCACCTGGACTTGGGGCCTTCCCACTCTATAATGTTTCCGAATTTTCTCATGTCTTGCCACAAGATATGGTAGAGAAGGGCGGCTTGTTCTTTGCAATGTACCGTAAGTTTGGTCAGTCTTGGTTGAGACTTTATCACACATACATCGCTGCGAGCCGTAGAACGGGAAGCAATGTGGTTGCAGTTCAACAGCAACAAAAAATTCGCTATTCGGATATATGTTGGTGGCGTCAATGGCATCACTGGCGAGCCTATGATTCCGAACATGGCTACTCTGCTCAAACGGCAAAATGGCGTTGAAAAAAAGCAGGACTACATTATCGTACCCGAACAGCCATGGGTAGATGGCATCGCAACTGGTCCAGGTATAGTTAAGCAGTTTGTTGCTGTTCCTTATGGATCGGGTTATTCGATTGAGTATCAGGTACATTTTTGAGTCCACGGAATTAGTGATGTCTAAGAAAGATTCAGATCACCGGGTCAGAGACAACGAGCGGGATCCAATTCGAGGTCATACCGGCGTATGAAACTTCTGTGCGTTTCAAGGGAGTAGATATCTATCGCACACCTCACGAACTTGGACTCTCCCTCGGCTCCGAAATGACAATGACCAACCTGAAAATACTACCCTCACCAACAACCACTTACAGCGGCATGAGTCTTTTTGTGAAGACCCTCACGGGGAAGACAATAACTCTCTGGGCAGAAAGCTGCGATACTATACACGCTCTCAAATCAAAGATTCAAGACAAGGAAGGAGTTCCGCCGGACCAGCAACGGCTCATCTTGACGGGAAATGAACTCCAAGATGGCCTCACGCTATCGGACTGCAATATTCAAAAAAATTCGACGATCCTTTTAGTATTGAGACTGAGGGGGGGCGGGGAATTGTTGCCAACGATGAGTTTCGGCGCTGGCGGGATGATCAAGCAGGCCATCAATGAAGACTGCAATAATCCACGTATCTGGGACGCTGAGAGGGCAAAGGTCTTCAACGTACAAGTCCTGAATGCGGCCCACTTCGAACATATTACCAAGATGATGGCGCCCCCAACCCCAGTTGACGTCAAAGTGTACACAGCAGCAGGCCTTCCCTTCTTTGACATCTTCAATGAAGTGCCAACTGACATCCACGGATATGACGCATTTAAGACGATCAAGTCTGTTTCTATGTTGGATCGGGTGATGGGTGAGGGGACAGGCGTCACATACGAGCCCGGCGTGGGTGTCCCTTTGCAGAAATGCAAATGCCAAAACAATATGTTAGGCTGTGTGTACGTACTAGATATCAAACCTTATTTTCCTCGCATTGAAGCTTACCAGTTTGTTTGTAGCATTCGTCCTTGCAACCATGCCGTTTGCTCGGAGTGCGCATCGTACGGTTCCTGCACTTGGTGCCCGGTTTGTAAGAAATCGGTGACAAAGGTCGTGGGCATTGCTGGCCCAATGGGCGCCCCCGGCATGGAGTCAGTTCCAAAACTTCCAGTAGTATTATTGGAGATGACCCAAGTGGATGATGGGCGGGAGAAATTCGTCAGCATTGTCCGTGGCGGAACGAAATGACGAAACTAAATTTATCATGGTTGAGTCGGGGAGTGGAATATGCTCGGCGGACTTGGGTGCCTTTCAGTGTCCATTGGCTAAGGGGAAGATAGAGGGTTAAAATGACGAAACGAATATAAAGGTGATGCAGGGTGCCTTACCTTCAAGCCTGATATATTGGCCATCCAGGCTACTGAGTGTGATGGAACGATGAAGTAGATAACGAGCGGTGCGTTGGAGCATCGAAGATTAAGTAGTGAGCGAAATGAAGAGTGGGACAAGAAGGGGGTATGGATGCAGACCGGGAATCAAGCTAGTGGGGTTGAGGAGAATGGGTGAGGGGTGGGTGCAGGACATATTCCACGTGCATGTCCATACTGTCGATGGTCAGTTGGCATGAGAGACGCCGATCCTGACTACACTGAGCGCGAAGATCAAAAGATCAGGGAGAGAGAAGCAGGCAACGGCATGGTCACTAGATTCGCGAAGATGACACACCGAGTTGCTGTTACAATGAGACTGCGCGTCAAGATCACATGATTCATCTGAAACAACACCATGTGCATATAGGTGCCTGGACGTTAAAACTGTTCATGAAACTAGTGGTATGCCGAGCACAGATGCTGAAAACTACATCAAGGACACATAGACTGAGTGGTGCTTCAATTCCATGCAAGTAAGTAAGTAATAATGTGGTTTACAAATACGTGGAGTGCATGATGGTGAGGGGGGCGTAATGGCGTGCAACAACAGAGCAAAAGTATAATAAATCAGCATAAATGAGGTAACGACTGACGGCGGATGAAAATTGATATGCCCCGCGCGTCACAAGGTTCAACGTCGAGCACTTACTTAGAACCCGCCCATGCCGCCCATACCTCCCATGCCACCAGGCATACCACCAGCAGGTTTCTCCTCCTCACCATCTACAACGCAGCATTCACTCGTGGTCAGCAAGCTTGCGACACCTGCAGCGTCTACGAGTGCTGTCCGTACGACCTTGAGCGGGTCGACGATACCACGCGCGATCATGTCAGTATACTCGCCCTTTGCCGCGTCGTAACCGTATGCGAAGGAGGTGTTGGACGAGTTTGTAAGCGTGCCGACGATGACGCTTGCTTCCTCGCCCGCGTTGGTGAGAATCGTGCGTGCGGGCTGTGCCAATGCGCGGCGGATGATGCTAACGCCAAGGCCTTGGTCGAAGTTGGCAGTTGGGATGATATCAGGGTCAGATGAGGCAGGTTCGCCAGCTGCGGCTGTCTTGAGCGCAAGACTGGCCTTGAGAAGTGCGACACCACCACCCGGGAGGATACCCTCCTCGACAGCTGCACGCGTTGCATTAAGTGCGTCGTCATACCGGTCTTTCTTCTCTCCGACCTCAACTTCAGACGAGCCGCCAACTTTGATGACGGCGACACCTCCTGAGAGCTTCGCAAGACGTTCTTGGAGTTTGGTCTTGTCGAACTCGGAGGTGGTGGGGTCGTTCAGGAGTGCGCGGATCTGCTCGCACCGTGCTGAGATGGCATCCTTGGAGCCGGCACCGTTGAGGACGATGGTGTCCTCCTTAGTAATGGTGATACTGCCAGTGCTGCCCAAGAGGTCAGCTGTTGCGTGCTCAAGCTTGACGTCCAGTTCATCAGTGAAGACTGAGCCACCGGTGAGGATGGCGAGATCGCCAAGAATGCTCTTGCGGTTGTCACCGAAACCGGGTGCCTTGACGGCCACGACCTGGAGCTGGCCGCGGAGCTTGTTAAGGATACAAGCTGCGAGGGCTTCGCCATCAACATCCTCTGCGATGATGACCAGCGGCCTGCGAGCGGAGGCGGCAGTCTCGAGGGATGGGAGAATGTCTTGTAGCAAGGAAATTTTCTTCTCGGACAGGAGAATGAAGGGCTTTTCGAACTCGACTTTTTGAGTCTTGACGTCGGTAATGAAGTATGGGGAGATATAACCGCGGTCAAAGCGCATGCCCTCTGTCACCTCAATCTCATCCTCAATCGTCCGGCCCTCTTTTACGGTGATGACGCCCTCCTTCCCAACTTTCTCCATTGCTTGCGCAATCAACCCACCAATATGCTCGTCGCCGTTAGCAGAGATGGTGGCGACTTGTGCAATCTCAGCCGTAGTGGTAATCGTTTTAGTGTTGGCTTCCAAGAACTGGACAACCTTTTGCACGGCGGATTGAGCACCGCGACGAAGGTCCATGGGATTGCACCCTGCCGCAACGTTCTTCACACCCTCGGCATAAATAGCACGAGCGAGAACAGTTGCGGTAGTAGTGCCATCACCAGCAATTTCGTTTGTTTTTTGCGCGACATCCTGCACAAGTCTGATTCGAGAACGCGTAAGAAGTGGTATGTTAACAGTGGGACAAAAGGAACTTACCGGGCGCCGAGATTTTCAAACTTGTCCTTGAGAGTAATGCTTTTAGCCACGGTTACTCCATCTGATGGTGATTCAGGTAAGAGTAGACCTAGAGAGAGAAAAAGGGCTTACCCTTCGTAATTTTTGGGCCACCAAAGCTCTGCTCGATAATGACGTTGCGGCCTGTGAAATCGCGATTTTTTTTAGTTCAGGTTCGGTTCACAAGAGTGAAAGAGGTAATACTGACCTTTTGGACCGAGGGTGACACTGACTGCATTAGCAAGGACGTCGACACCCTTGAGGATGCTAGCACGACCGTCGTTACTGAACTTGATCTCCTTGTGTGCACCGCGGGTCAGAGTAGGCTTGACCTTTGCGGCAGCGCGACGAAGGGCACGGGAAGACGTGTGCATAGCTACTTCAACGACGGATGAGAACTTCAGGGAGAAGAAAAGAGAGAGAGGGAAGAAAAGAGTTGGTAAAAACTCGCAATAAAAATGTTCGGGGAAAAATCTAGAATTTCGCTGATTATGTCATCAAATACACAGTCATGAAAAAGGAAATCAGTACTATATTTGGCACAGAGTGTCACGACACACGTGACGGCTCCTTGTTAATAACCACTACTACCTCGCAGCGCTGATGGTCCTACGGACTATTGCGCTAACCCGTAGCTCACAAACTGGCAGTCATCATTAATAGCCTCAACGGCTACCACGAGCCCTCTATGGAGGAGCTAGAGAATGAGCTCCCTGTAGTCCTTGATGGCCAGGTTCCTCTAGGCGACCTTCTTTCTAGAGTGGCCCAGGCCATCTATGCTGAGCTGTCTGAACTTGCTGAGACGTGAGTGTACCCCATGTTCACTCCATATATGTCCTTTGAACTACCTCCATTAAGTCTTCCAAATATGTCCGATGGTGCTCGAAAACGCACGCTCGCTGATTGGGTCGTGAAGATTAAGAAACAAGTTGTAAAGCTGTATGCCATCACTAAGTGGGCGCGGGATGCAGAGACCGTACAGAAATGCATGGCGAGTGTCGCGTTTGTTTTAAGGCTTTATACTTCATGATCATTTTCCAGAACATCACTGCTTTTCTCATGAATCAGAACGAACAATTCGAAAATGTCATGAAAGGTCTGACATACGCAAAAGAAAGCTTGGATCCTGCCAGGTATAGAAACATTGCACGCCCTCACGCTTGTCCTCACGCGCTCTATACTGTAGGCTACGAAACCATGACTTACTCACCTCGCTGGATGTCCTTACTACGGGCGCATATCAGCGGCTACCGTCTGGCATCAAGGTTTTCCCTATCCTGCCGTATGCTAGGATTGTGCTCATATCTTCCCATAGAAATCTATCATTCCAATTACTCCTTTAACAGATGCTGAAATTATAAGTACGCTCAGTGACATGGAAGACGCCATCCGCTACCGTCTCCGTATGTCGGAGATAATCCCGGTGGAAATGTTTCAGCATCATATTGGTATCTTTCTGAGCTTAGAATCCCAAAGTCCCTTACTCAATTCATCTCAGCTAATGGACGTGTGCACTTCTCGGTCCCTAAGTTGTTCGAAACTGCTATCTGCCTAAGAGGTGCAGAGAAGAATGACGGCTGGTTCTTTGTTAGCGTCAAATTCTTGATCACAGTTGGCGGTGACCTTACGGGCATGCAAGGTATCGATGTCGTTGATCTACTACATACCGTCGTTTATGACGCGTACACCTAGAGTTCCCTTCAGAGCCCACTGGCCTCCTCAGACGACACATTGCAGATGAGGCTGATCTACGGATGTCATGTTACCTTCCGCTCCCAGATAAATCAGAATTTGCTCCGAATCTAGAAGATCCACCGCGACCGCAGCTTCCAGAGGGAACAGTAGATGCACCTCTTGTGAGGCTCTTTAATTTCCTTCGTAAGTGAAAGAGTTTCTTGTTGTTGAATGGTAATTCACGGAGACGCACAGAGATGATGTCCATGTCCTATCAGCTTGAAATATTGTGCTACCAAGTAAGTACATCTTCATGAGCGCAATACTGTTGACTGATGGCTTTCCCACAGGCTCAGAGGATGCGCTCCCTTGGTTGGGCTGACTTCCTCAAAGTCGAGATGCGTGATGGGCGTAAAACACTTGCTGTGTCGTATTGGATGTAAGGCCCTCAGTTCCATAGATCATTGTCTTGTTGCTCATGTACACTCAGGCGACCCCCACAACCTGGAGCTCCCGCGGCAGCCCCCAATCGTCTCAAATTACCACCGCATGGTGGTACCTTGACTATTTCTATTGTTGAAAAGGTTGACAAAAAAGCTGCGCGATCACCTATAGCGCGGATGCTTGCCGAGCTTCAGCGAAAGTCAAAATTAGGTGACATGCGCCCTTCTGATGATGTTGAAAGCCTGCGGTTTGACGCAAAATGGGAACCGATGAAGGGCGTGTTGGCTGCCAATATCGATGCTGAGGAAGCGATAGTTGCGGTTAAAGAGCTTGCGGTTGTATGTTGATGTTTTCCTACGTGACGAGGCTGCTCACAATATATGTTTCGATAGGAGTCCGATAATATTGACTTTGAGTCGATGTTGAGAAAGGTGATCGAGGTGCACACCCAAGCAATCCTGAGATTCTATCAGGTCCAACTTCAACGGGGTCCTGTTCGGGTATTCTCCCCTGCAGGCAAAGTGGTTCTGGTTTCTGAGAGTGGGTACCAAACTATCACAATCCTGATTTAGTGCTAAATGTCACACAAGGGGGTTATCATTCTCTGCGCGTGCATCTCTGTGCCAACGAAGTCGCGATCGTGTCCATCGACACTAGGACAGGCCGGCTGAGTATTCGGGATACTGGTGACCTCGCGGCAGCTGGCCGAGGACCACGGTTTTCTGCCATCTCTGACAAACTCAACGAAGCACCCAATATGCTTTTCGATGTGCTCATCAGACTACGATTTAACGTGCGCAACCTTACTTTTGCACTGATCATGACTCTCACGGTAGTATATTGGCAGACGATTACAGATATCGTGGAACAGAAAGCTAACTACCTTGGCTTCCAAGTGTTCCGACACCGAAACTTCTCAAAAGAAGGTTTGGTGCTGTTAATTCATTTTCATGCTCCGTCTCAAGTCCATCTCAGAAATTCAAAAGCTTGGACCCGCAGCGCGCGGCATGATGTATATCCAACTTGCCAACTTCCCCACGCACTACCTCGTGCTTGTCCTCACGGATGAAGAGTTCAGGTACGCGCTTATATCGACAAAAATGCTCTCAGACACGATGTTTGGCAACATGATCATGGAGGATATCGGCTGGCTTGATGTGAGACGAATACGAGGTGATAGGAATGCTGGTGCTGGCATGGATGAGATTGTGATCTCATCTATGTCGCACGAACCACTGGTGTTGCAAAAGAGAAAACGAGATGATATCCCTCCAGAATTATCAAGAAGCGAAGATAGGTAAGATATTTTTCAGCTCTCCGGTTTGTATTGCTAACATGTAAGCGCAGTTTCAACTTGGAGACGCAAGTACTCCGGGAGTTATATGCATATTGTTGGTATGAAAGCTTATTCTGTCGTCTTCTAACAATTCTCAATTGTCCTTCCAGCGCACGCGTTGCATACACCCGAGTCGAGCGTCAGTTTAAGCTCCGTGGCATCCCCTACACCCATGTCAACCCCACGGTCACTCTCCCACAGATATCCGAGCTTGGACACATTCAATCGTCCCTTGCCCGTTCTGTACCGGCACTTTGTGTTCAGTCCTCAGACATTCTATCAGGCGCACCAGCAGCCGAAGCGGCCATGCCCAACATCCGCGTCATACCATTGAACTGGTGGTCAGATAAGAAGGCGCAGGTAGTAACATGCGTGAAATTGAAGTACGTACAACAGCCAGTTGGGAAGCGTGCCGCAGCAGGGTCTAGCAGCAAAAATATCATTCGTCCATCGAAAAGAATCATCTACGATGCAGCCGAGGCTGTGGTCTCATTTTTATCTGAAGAGGTCGATACCTGTGTGGACGAGTTTCTAGAGGAGTGGGCCCGCGTTTCTAAAATGGTCGTCATTGCCCGTGAAGGTATGCTGTGCTTGAAGTTGTTGATGTATTATCGATACTTACACAATGCAGTGGCACGAATGGGGAAAGGCAAGAGATGGCCGGACGTGAGACTATTATCATTTGACCTGCAAACTGTAGAGTTTGCGTACGCCTCAGTGAGCTTCACCGTCCATTTGTCGAGTGATGTCTCACTCCACTTCTGCAGGATTATACGGTCTTAATTACTTGTACGGACCAGCTATCGCCTACAGGTGGATCTTTCGAGTTACGCTTTTCACGTTGTGCGCCTTCGCCGACCCTCCTACAACCTTCTTCTCTCGCTCCGCCTCAAGTTCGTTTTTCAAATCACCAGCTACGAACCAATCCCCATGAAGAAGCTGAGCCATATCTCCGCCATGTTCTCCGCCACGGCCCATTGGCGTCATCACTTGACCGCCTTGTCGAACTCCTTCGAAACACCCTTCCTATAGCAGTGGAACTTGAACACATGAGAGCGAGCTCCCGTGACGCCAAGCAGTCGCCAGGACGCGGTAGAGGTCGGCCACGTATATCCGACCCGTGGGTAGACACATACGTCAAAGGCTTGGGCTGGTGGAGGGTGCTATATGGCGACCTCAGGTGCGGTTCTTCGCTATCATAATGGTCATGAACGCAGCTTAACATAACGTGGTAGACATGCTCTTGACTTCCGGTTAATGATAGGACAACGGATTGCTATTCTAGATGCGTCATACTCTCTTTTCGGCTCAAGCTCCTCTTCAACATCATCACCATCTTCCGAGCTTCTCAGCCTGCTACCAATTCCAGACTTCAAGACCCTTATTGTTGATGCCATAAAGTCTGTACGTATAAAAGACGAACATGCAAGGGTGGCCTACATCGACGCCGGGGTAGTCTGTGATAGCTCCTTTGTGAGCGGTGTGGCAAGGGCATTGCATGAACGGGTGTTGAAGAAGTTACGGGATAGATAACCCCAAAGATTTCTTTACTCGATTGGTATTCTTTATATACTTCGTGAATGCGTCTTTTGCGAAAACACCGCTACGTTATATCGTGCATGCTGTGGTTACCTCATACTACGAGGTCGATATCAACCCATAATTAAGTGGCTGTACAATCGACCCGGTGAGAATTAATTGCCATTAGCAATCACGACGCTGGCATCCCGACTCTGGCATGTTTTGTGTACATGATTCTACTGTCAGTGCATGATCATTCTCGACTTGTACTACAGAGGTCCATCTTATGTAGCCAAGTGATAAGCGTGACAGAACAGAAATCTCTTGCAGGTTCGAAACAATCTTTTTCCTTTTATCACGTTTTGAACATTGACTTATAGATGGATCCTTCAAAGTCTATCTTTAGTCATAGCCAACTGGCAGTCTGGCACCAGAACAGATCAGAAATATTTGGCGGTGCAGATTCAAAACCTGCCGACAAATGTCTTATTACACCTTGACCTTCACTCGTAGATAATTTCGTTGGGGGTTCGCCTAACTGGCCTTAGTCAAGTGGCTACCACAACAGAATCGAAATCTGTTTCTCTTGGACTGTGCAGGTTCGAAACTTGCCGATTGACAGATTTTTTCTATCGGAACACGCCCTGAAGATCCTCATGGGTGGATTTCCTCAGATGTTCATCTCAACTTCGTCCTAGCCAAAGTGGTTACCACGACAGAATCTAAATCTGTCACTTGGTTTGTGTTCGAAACCTGCCGATGACAAGGTGTTGTTTTTCTATCGGAACGTCCCTTGAAGAGTCACTAGTCACTTATGGATGGTTTCCTTGAAGGTCCATCTTAGAGCCAGATGAACGGTTTCCACAATAGAGTCAACATTTGTCAAACCTGCCGAAGACAAGGTTTTTTCCCCTATTGGAACACACTTCGACATTCACTCTGGTCTCCTCTTAATTGGTCTTAGCCAAGTGGTTACCACAACAGAATCAAAATCTCTCTCTCTCTTCATTTGTGCAGGTTCTTGAACCCTACCGAATGGCAGGTCTTCCTCTATAATCAGAACACATCTTGACATTGACTCATGGGTGATTTCCTCAGAGGTCCATCTGACTGGTCTTAGCCGAATGGTTACTACAGCAGAGTCAAAATCTGTATCTCTTAGAGTTGGTTCGAAACCGACTGACAAGATTGTTGCGGTGTATAGATCCTCGGAGGTCCATCTTAAGTAGGCCCAGTCATTGCGCTGAAAGCTCTTTTTTATGATAGTTCGTCCATGAAAAGGAATTCACTTTTGTGCCCTATGATAGCTTCAGCTCTTCTTCGGAAGGTTCTTACACCATGCCTGCCTCTGTGATAAATATTATTTCTGGCAAATACTCCCAAGCTAGGCACTCTTGTACATGATGATCTGCATAGTAGTGGTTTGTGTTTTTATTACCGAGTACTAAAACTCTTTCGTGCGATCGAGCCGGTATAAGTGTACCACTCACTGCATCCTTGGACTGATCCGCACCCGTGACATCGTCATCTATCGTCATCCACTCCGCCAACAACCACATTTTGAGTTCATGGTACCCTGTTATCACTGGTGACTGGTCGGACCTTGCTCGCTTCCTTCAAACAACTTCAATGAGCGAACACAGTCCGAACACCCTCACGGCATTCACAACAAAAGACCCCAGACTCTGATCGACATGTTTGCTTCAGTTTAATGTCCTTACTTCTCCCTTCCCTTACTCTATCTTCAGCTTTGTCGGTCGATTCAATGAGTTCCGACTGATAGCCTATGTTTGAATCTGAAGACTTTTCTAAATTTTACGGAAAATCATGCACTAGCGCGGTACCGTACAAATGAATTATTTCATGAATAACACTCATTTTATAAAGAAGCGAAGCGAGAAGAAAGCGAGGAGATGACGTGAGGCTGTCTCAGCCAATTGGCAAAATAGTTCACTGCTCCCAATAGTATAGAAGAAGATGGTCGAACGCCTCATAAGGCCATCCACCAAGTTGAAGGAGGAAAATGACCTTCTTCTGACTGAGCACGTACAGGTGCAGGACTCCGAGTCACGACGCGACCTGACCCTCCCAGTGTTTACACCCGAAGTTAAGAGAATGGGCGGCCAGAGTCGAGTTTACCTCGGCGATCTGACATTGCCTTCCTCATGCCTTAGTAGTGCGCGGCGGTCACTGTTCTTGCGCATTGGCACTGCCTTCTTCGCAGGATTCTTCGTATGTCTGGCTGTGGTTGCGCAATATGTCTCCTCAAACCAATCATGCTTGCCATTTTCACTCTTCACTGCTTTACTGCCTTCGCACGTAGGAGCACCCGAATGGCATGAATACCCTCCGGCAGAGCCCACCAACGCGTTCCCCTCCATGTTTCCATCCAGGTATGTTTCTCTCCAGCTGCCATTGTTTTCAAGACTAGAGCTATAGTTGTGTAGTGTTGGCTCTCCAGGTCCAACACAAGCAGGTGCCGAGCCTGGCGTAGCTGCTACAGCTCCTGCTTATCCTTTGCATTCTGGTGTGGTGCACCTTGTATCCCCCACGCGATTTTCTCAGGACAACGTGAAGGACAGAACGAAGGACTTCGATATTTTCCGTAGCTGGGGAAGCCTATCTCCGTGGTACTCCGTCCAACGTGGAAAATTTGGTATTGATTCTGGTCCGGAAGCTCCCGATACCTGCAATATCACTGGCGTTCATCTTCTACATCGTCACGGTGCACGATACCCTGGTGATTACTGTGAGTCGACCACACCTAGATGTTTAAGTAGCTTCTGAGAGAGGGTTTGTGCAATAGCTAACGGTACTGGGCCGGGTAGGTTTGCCTTGAAGTTAAATAGGAATGCAGAAAATGTCACAGCTACTGGGCCTCTTTCATTTTTGGACGACTGGTGAGGTCGCTTAGAAAATGAACAAGGTAGCCGATATCTGATTTCACTTTCACAGGACATACAAGCTAGTAAGCCAAGGTAGCGGTCATATGTTATCAGAAAGTAGCTCCAATGCTCAATTATTGTCAGGATTGACGCATTTTGGGAGGTCTCAGTTGTGTAAGAGAACCATCACCTCTTATAGCAGCAGATTGTGATATTCGTTTAGACGATCTCGGCGTGTCGATGCGTATGAGATACGGGTTCCTTCTGAAGGTTGGCTTTTACGTCTCCCTGCTTCGTTCTTCGATTTGACCATATCATTCAGAATTTTAGCGAAACAAATACCTTGCCTGTGTTCAGAACGGCGTCCGCGTAAGTATTTCAAGGGTCGATAATTCCCATGCTGAAGATGACGTATGAAGAACCCGGGTGTTGAACTCTGCGCAAAATTTTGCTCTCGGATTTTTTGGTTACCCTCTCGAGGGCCAGTATCAACAACAGATCATGATCGAGGCCAAAGGTGTAAGTCATCTGAACTATTCTAAGATACCCATTTAACAATGCGTGCATGTCAGTCAAACAATTCTCTTTGCCCTCAACGATCTTGCGCCAATAATGACGATCCCGATCGGGGCTACCGCAGCCAAACACATGTTAATACGTGGAAAGCAGTGTATCTCAAGGATACCGTTCCTCGTTTGCAGCAATACCTCGATGGATTTGAATTGGATGTTGAAGATGCTTACGCCATGCAAGAATTGTGCGCCTACGAGTCGGTCGCTCTTGGTTATTCCAAGTTCTGCGAACTCTTCACAGAGAAGGAGTGGGAAGGCTTCGATTATGCGTGAGAAATCTCTTTTATAATGTTTGCACGCCGCTGATCTCGACCAGACAAGATCTTATTTTTTGGTGCATTCTTTCCTTCGCTTGCCTCCGAAAGTCGAATTCTGATAAAAATATACAGGTACATTGTAGCTTGGGGCTCACCTTTTGGCAGGGCAGAAGGAATTGGCTATGTGCAAGAGCTCGTGTCTCGTCTCACTCAGACACCAATTGAAACGCACAATAGTTCTACCGATGCGACACTTCATAACGCTGTCACTTTCCCCCTTGGACACAGCCTTTATGTGGATGCGACACATAAAACTGTGGTATTAAGTGGTCAGCTCGTTGATGGACTTGACCTTGGAAAACGTTCTGATCTTCGTTCATTGACAGTCCTTACCGCATTGAACCTTTCGAGCTTCGCGGCAATGGGACCATTGCCCACTGATCATATTCCAGAACAGCGCACGTTCAGGACAACAGATATTGGTCCCTTCGCAACCAATGTACAGTTCCAGCGTAAGTAATTTTGAGATCCTTCTAAATTACACCTGATTTTTTTCATCAGTTCTGTCGTGCTCCACGGAACACGACCCACAAATTCGTGTGATCATTAATGATGGTGTTGCACCACTGGCGAATCTAAAAGGGTGTCAAGATCATCCAGATGGGATGTGCTCGGTCCATGCTTTTGTCGACGCCCAGAAAGAGAACATTCGGAGTACGGACTGGGACTTCGTTTGTAACGCCGATTGGACAATCCCCGATGGATGGAAAACTACCATGGGCTACCCTCCTCTTTAGATTGACTATGATTGTTGGGATGACTTATACCCCAATCACTCCACACGGTCACAAGTCAGCGGCGCCGACCTCTAGTCTGATTACTATCCACGTGTCAAGGGTATAACTTGGAATAAGTATGCAATGGCTGATCGATGCAGAACGTAAAAAGGAAATACGAAGATACAATGCTTACTACATATCCATCAAACTATAGTCATGCTCTCATGGAACGACTGGTGTGTGAACAGGCTTTGGAACATGCCACTACTCAAGAGAGAACTCTGGACAGAGGTCGATATCAAACTGTAAAACGCTCCCATGTACTAACAACAAGCGGCGAACTACATCACGTTATCCGCCGTAAGAACCCATAGTACATTACATACCGGTGCTCTTGCGTCGCAAATGCTGCTTCATTTCTGACATTTTGATGGGCTAGGGGTGTCCGACTCAAGTGGACTGTCGCTATTGATCTCAGCCCCATCCGATGTTCGCTTTCTGGATGAGCCAGCATGTAATACAGCTGTATTGGGCCTTGAAGAAGGAACGGGTGGCAAGGGTGGTGCAAGAGGCGAAGTAGGAGGTTGGCAAGGATTAGGAACAGGCCACGGATGTGAGGCAACGACTCGTTTTTCTGTGAGAAAAATAGTTCCGAGAGTCGATGGTACTATGGTTGACATTTCAGAGGTGGACGCGGGTGCTGGAGCTTCTGTTGTCGAGTATCGGGAATCGGGACTGGTGGCTAACAGCCCTTCGAAAGTAGGCCGCTCGTTTGCGGGCTCGAACTAAGGATGAGATGTTACAAAGGGTGCCATAGAATGGAAAAAACCTCAAACCTAAAACAAGGCAATATCAGCTTTTAAATATTTGGGCGGGTGAATTGAGAATTATTAGAAAAATGCATACCTTGGCAAGTTTCTGTCCTTCAGATAGCATATCAAGACAAGACCACAGACCCCTCAAACACCACTGCCGTTCGAACCAGGAAAGGAGGTGACAATTCCAGAAGGCTTGGAATACATGGTTAAGCGTGTCGTCCCATGGATTTAGGGCATGTGACAGATAAACAACCCAGTTTTGACATGTGTACTTGAGAGCATTGGAAGCTGATTGACTTCGTTTCTGTGCCTCATGTGCAAAAGCTGCAAACACATTCATAGCATGGATGACCCCCCTGTCAGGAACTGCTGGCAGTGCAGATGTGAAATGATCTCAGGGCATCAACACCAGGAACATTGGAAACATTAAGAAATCTGGCAAGCTTTTGAACTGTTGGACTACTTGGAAAGGCAGTAGTAATAGTGATTCTGGGACAATGATATACTCATTGACTGCTTCCAACATACTTGAGAATTCTTCCATAGTCACCCAGACAGATGCCACAGGAGTGGATTGCCATGCTTGACCATGGGGCATCTGCAGCCAGTCTAACCCACCCAGGGTCTGAAGCCAGTCTCACCTGCCCAGAATCTGAAGCCAGTCCAGCCTGCCTGGGGTCTGAAGCCAGTCTCTCCCTCCCAGAGTCTGAAGCCAGTCTTGCCTGCCCAGAGTCTGAAGCCAGTTTTGCCTGGCTGGGGTCTGGAGCCAGTCTTTCACTCCCTGTGTTTGGAGCCAGTTGCACCCTTGCTGGGTCTGAAGCCAGTCTTGCCCTACTTGTGTTTGCAGCCAGTCTCACCTGCTTGGGGGCATCCAGAT